CACCCTTCGCCCCGGCCCGGCGGGTCCGGGCGGTCCCGCCCGGCCAGCCCATTGCTGTTTTTTTCTGTCCTGCAACCTCCGCACGGTTCGTCTCTCCCCCCCCCCCCCCCCCCCCCCAAGTTCGGAATGCCAAGGCTTAGTTAGAGTAAGTTACACACAGATAATAGTAATGTTCAATGCCCTGCCCATACCACTCGCTTGCTCATATGGCTAGCCTGCGCGAACGACAGACCTGTCTGGATGACTGGCCTGTACAGGTGCTAAATAGAGAACACGGGAAGAGGAGGATACAGCCCTGCGGATCCTAGGCGCCGCCCTCGTATGTGAGGAGATTTGGAGCAACCAGAAAACTGGAAGCCTCGACGACGGCAACACACATTCTACAGATATTGAGATTGTTGGGCTAGGGAATACTTTATGGGGGCTTCGCTCATGACAAGCTGAAGTAGGCTTGTCACCGTTCCATCTCCCTGTGGTTGCAATACCTGATTTACTGTATACTCATGCACCGGATTGTTTTTCTGGTCGCGACGGCAAGGACCGGCCCCGGCGGCCCGTCATGGCAACTGTCCGGCATGAGTTACGGAGTTGGAAATGGGTTGGCGGGATTTATGTAGCTAGTGCAAAAAGTGCTGCACATGACAAATAGGGTACGCCTTTACCTAGTCAAATACAGCATCGTATTTCCATCAATCGGGCCCGTTTGGCTCAGCGGTAGAGCGTGTCACTAGTAATGACAAGGTCGTCAGTTCGACTCTGGCAATGGGCAAACCATCATTTTTTTGGTACTTCCTTTTTGTCCACTTTGATTCCATTTCATTACTCACTTTCCTTTTTTCATCTTCTCTTGATCATTTGTTTTTCAGTTTTCTTTTGTTGTATAGGTTTTACATAAAGAAATCAAAGTAACTTCTACTTAACGCGCTTGAGGTTTTGCGATAGTTTCCTAGTACACCTTCCTAAATCCAACTTTCCTACCAGACAGCCAGGTTTTGAGATAGATCTTGCTAGCATTCGAGCTTCCACTCTTATGAGGCCCTTCACAACGCTTCGTTTCTGTACAGATTTCCCCCCACCCCCGTGACAAGCACTGGCGAACGCGTGCGGGGTTGGAATCGGGAAATACACCGGCCCCACATGGCAACTGGTCTAGGTATTTGTCATGCACAAGCTCCGACTGCATCTCCGAAGCGGGATGAACCAACAACCTCTTGCCCCTCCTCTTCTCGAAACGACCTCTCTTCCCGTGACCGTATGTTAGCAGCTGCAAGAACCGCGTCCCGAATATTTCGCACCCTCACGGCCAGCCACCCGCCATTCTCTAGCCTAATAGACTCTCAAACCTCCCTCCCACCTGCCCAGTTACTCTCCCTCTCGTCCGCGCTCCAGACCACGAGGCGAAACATGGCCTCGGCAGCGGCAGCCAAGCGGCTCGAGGGCAAGACCATTGTCATCACGGGGGCCTCGTCGGGGATCGGCCGTAGCTGCGCTCTCGAGTTCGCTCGCACGGCGCCGGCGAACCTCCGGCTCGTGCTGACGGCGCGGCGCGAGGACGCCCTGCGCGAGCTCGCCGAGCAGATCGGGGCCGAGGTCGGCGCCGGGGTGCGGGTGCTCGCCGTGCCGCTCGACGTCAGCGACCCGGAGGCGGTGCGCCGGTTCGTGCCGGGCCTGCCCGAGGAATTCCGCGACATCGACGTCCTCGTCAACAACGCCGGGCTCGTAAGGGGCACGGCGAAGGCGCCGGACATTGCTGAGGAGGACATCAACGTCATGTTCTCCACCAACGTCACGGGCCTGATCAACATGACCCAGGCGGTGCTGCCCATCTTCAAGGCGAGGGGCTCCGAGGGCGGGGCCGGCGATATCATCAACATCGGCAGCATCGCGGGGAGGGAGCCGTACGTCGGGGGGTCCATCTACTGCGCGTCCAAGGCGGCGGTGCGCAGCTTCACCGACAGCCTGAGGAAGGAGCTGGTTGCGACGAGGATCAGAGTTATCGAGGTTGATCCGGGTCAGGTCGAGACGGTTGGTTCTTTTGCTTCTCTTTTCTCTTTTCTCTTTCTTTTCTTCTCTCGCCCCTCGTAATTCGCGCGTTTCCGGTGGGGAGCTGCCATAGGCCAAGTTCGCTGATAATTGGTAGGAGTTCTCGGTCGTGAGGTTCTACGGAGACAAGGACAAGGCGAAGGCCGTCTATGAGTACGTACTCTCTCTGCTGCTCGCAGTGCGCAAGGAGCCTACTAACCATGACTACAGAGGCGTCGAACCCCTCACTCCTGAAGATATTGCAGAGGTCGTCGTTTTCGCCGCCAGCAGGCGAGAGAATGTGGTCATTGCAGACACCTTGGTCTTCCCGAGCCACCAGGTAAGAAAGAATAACCCCACGGACCGCGAGGACGCCGTGTTCGACTAACCATAGCCTTTCAGGCTGCTGTTGGTGTCATGCACAGAAAGTAAAAGCCGTAAGATCACAATTGCGAGGCTCGAGGCCCGGCATGGGAGACTACTGTTAGGGATAGAGGGAGACAGTACGTCGTTTTATAGAATAAACCTAGATTAGGAATGCCAGAACCGATGAGGGCGCAAATCCCAATGTCGAAGATCCGCAAGGGACTGTAGTGCTATAATCTTCACTGGTCAAAATAGGGGGGCGTCCCTGGATGGTCTGGCAAACGCGATGTCTTGACTGAGAATGGCCTTTCCCCCATTCGAAGTCGACATGTTTGCCAGCCATCCTCGAGCTAAGTGGAGTAACCTGGGTTGGCTCTCCACGTCTTCAAAGGGGCCTCTTCGATTCCATCCAGTTCGGTCTACGTTCCGGTTCTCACATCAAGTCTTTGTGGCTAGGGCGGTTCCCCATCGACAATGGTGAGGTCAGAATGGAAGCAAAAGAGTTTCAGCGATTAATGAATCCCTGTCTCAACCTGCTGCCCCTTTTTACTCCTCTGGGACACAAGAACGGGGCATCGGGTCCCCATCGAGACCATAATCCTCGTCGTATTTGCGGTCTGTGGGCATCTCGAGCTCCGAGAGGACCAGGTATGTTTGTGTTTCTCTCGTATTTCACTGAAAGCACAGGCTATTCCATCCAGCGCTAGGGCATGAGGGTTGTTTCCAATGATTGCGCCTCGACCTTTTCGTGATGTTGTTGCGATTGGCTCGTCTATGTCCCCCCCCCTCCCCCCCCCCCCCAACAGCCAGGTTTGGACTTGGTCATAAGGAGGCGTTGTTATGATCGACCTCGCATACGCCGCCCCCTTGTCGTCGAGGTTGAGTCTATCGAGCTTAGCATAGCCAGGATCCTCTGCGATGTCTGTCGGCTATCTGATATTACATTTTGGGCAGTTTGTCGCAGTCCCCTGGCGAAGGAGAGTTGACAAAGCCCCGCCTCGTTTATCTAGAAGATTGGGTGTTTGATCATAGCAGAAGAGATCGATGTCCCCGACGTACAGCCAAAAGGCTGAAAGCAATTGCGGTAGCTTCAGCATCCTAGGGAAAAAGCCGAGAAAAAAACTCCGAGTGGCCAGGCCTAAACCTTAGTTTTTGTGGAGTCGATTTTGAGTGTTACCGGGTCACCTCACTGCCGTGAAACATGCAAGCACGAACGAAGCGTTGGTGATAATCGGAGGTCGACTCTAAGGGTCCCCCACCCTCGTAACCCCCGTCATGTTTCGAGCGCCACCAATCAGAGTGAAGCATAAACCTAAATTCTTGCCTCAGATTCAAGAATCCCTACCTCGCGCGGTTGTCATCTTCCCAGTTCTTCTCTGAGCGGTGTCACAGACTGTGAAGCCCCCCGCTTGCACCGCCCCTCGGATGTCTGTGCGAGGACTATTCCAGAGCTCTCATTGAGCTCCGCCTAAGCTCTCCCTGTCGGTGTTCCGCATGAAACCTTGCCTCAGATCTTATGCAAAAGTTTTCTTCTCTGTCTTCTCCCTGGCTTCCTATCATGCCCGCCCCTAGGCCAGAACTGCCCTACGGTGGATCACCATGATTCCTCTCTGGATCTCCTTGGATCCTCAGGATTTTCCGGGGGATTCTCTCGGGTATTCAATGATGCACCCCGCAGCAGGCATACCGCCGTGTGATTCGACGTGTAGTATAGCTTTGGCATGTCCGTGTTTGCACGCTTCCTCCAAACTGGACATATCCCCTGGCCTAAAACGGTGAGGCCTTGCGATTAGCTCCTCTATTCCTCATTGAGTCAGGGAGGGACCCTGACTGAGGTCTCTTGAACCAGGTCTTCCGTGTTGTATGTATCCACACACGTCAAGGTAGTTGAGCCGCCTCTTGTTCCACCAGGAAAAGGCTCATAGCTGTGATGCGGCGCTCGGCGGCTTGTACCTCACGGAATCATGGTCTTACGCGCCTTGGCCGGTTTCGAGATTGAAACTTGAAGTTGTGCTGGGAAGCCGGGGCAGAGACCATACCAACCTCTTCGACAAGAACATCGCGAGGTTGAGTCGTGCCCAAAACGTCTATATAATGTTCTTCTTCCACCCCCCATTGCTATTCTTTCTTTCCTCATCCTCATCAGCATCACTCCAACAGTAAGCCAGGTCTCTGAAGCATCTTCACTTCTTCTCTATTCATTCATCCTTACCAACGATCTCCTCCCTGGCGGATAGGTCTTTATAAAATACACTTTTTTTATCCCCCCTTTCAGCCTATAACAGAAAATCCGTCAACTATGCCTTCCATCAAGACCGCCCTCGCCCTTACCCTCCTCGCCGCTGCCGAGCTAGTTGCCGGCCACGGAGCCATCATCCAGGCAACCGGCGACGCCGGCGGCACCGGCATGGGCCTGGGCGTCGACACCAGTACTCCGCGCGACGGCACCGGCCGCAGGCCCTTCCAGCAGGACAGCACGCGGTTCCGGGGCGCGGCGGCCGACACCTTTGGTGAGACCCTCGAGGGCGGCGCCAACCAGCTCGAGGCCGGCACCAAGGCCATCATGGCCGAGACGGGCGACCAGCTCCCCCAGGTTTCCCAGGGCGGCCAGGTTCTCATGACCCTCCACCAGGTCAACTCGGACGGGGCCGGGCCCTACACCTGCATGATCAATGCCGACGGCACCGGCACCAACTGGACGAACATCCAGGTCACCCAGAACGTCCCTGGCAGAAACTCTAGGAACAGGGTATGTCCCCTCCCTTCACCCACTTTCCTCCCTTGAAAAGAAATGACCCACCTCAGACTGACATCCCCTCCAGGCCGGCGCCACCACCGACTTCCCCCTGACAGCCTCCATCCCGGCCAGCCAGAGCTGCATGGGCACGGTGGCGGGGCAGGACAACGTGTGCCTGGTGCGGTGCGAGAACACGGCTCGCGCGGGCCCCTTCGGCGGCGTCGTGCCCGTCCAGATGGCCGACAACACCACCACGCCCGCCGCGGCGCGTCGCGCCCTCGCCCGCAGCGTCCGGCTCGCCGAGGTCGCCATCGGAAACCTCCGGAGGCGCGCGGCCGACCTGTCTAGGCTCGACTCGGCCGAGATCGAGGAGATCCTCGAGGAGTGCCAGTAGATTTTTCTTCTTTCTAAATCTTGGGGCGGACACCAGGTGAAGGCAAGTGTTGAGGTCAATGTTGGGCGTGAGCCGCGCGGAAATCTGTATAGGTTGGTGGGTGAGCCTGGTAGATCTGGAGGAGCGCTGGTGATGATCATCGCATTTTTGTATTTTCTTTCTCTTCTTGTTCTCCTTTTTTTGTATCTAGATATACCGAGGGACGCCGGCACTGAACAGTGCCCGGTCTTGCATGTAGCAGGAGTCCATTCATTTTGAAGCTAAATAAAAGCATCTGCCATTCCTTAAAACAAAGGAATTGTCTTCACACCTTTCAAGTTGAGGAAGAAGAGGAAAGAGACAGAGAAGGAGATGGAGAGCCACACACGCTGTTTTGGCTGCTAGCTTACATTTGGGGCCATCGCCCCCTTGCACCCTTCTCTCCTAGTTTCTGGCTGATGTTGAAACTGGTTCGCCCTTTAAAAACAGCATGGATGAAGCTTTGTGGGGAGGCGGTATTCACCCCTGGGCTTTTGGGATCCGGCATTAGCTTTGGTGCTTGGCCGCTCCTGAGACAACATACATACGACAGACACTCCCACTTCCACGCCTTATTCTCCGGGCATACTCTATATGAAAGCAATCGTGGCCTTCTCAATAGCTCCCTCCTGATTCAACTGTAGTCCTCCCGCCCCTTTGAAAAATTACTTATGTACAGTCATTAAGTGATCATTCGTCCATATCATCAAGATCGATTGCGTCGGGATTTGACGCAACCGCCGGCTGGCCAGGAATGCCACCCGTAGGACCGTCGGTAGCAGCGACGAAGCCCGCAGGAGCGCGGGCTTGCCTCTCGAGTTGCTCCATCGCATCGGCAACCTCCGGGTCGGCCTCTTCGCCGGCCTCCTCCTCCGCGCGCTTCTGACTCCTCGCCAGAGCCTGTGAGGCGATGAAGTTGACGTCGGTGTTGTACTGCGCCTGGACGCTGCGCTTGATCCGCAGCATTTCCTTGTACGTATCCTCGTTGCCGTGCTGGACCTCGAATTGCTCCCACTTGGTCCAGAACCCGGGATTTGTGCGCGGATCGCAGAACTGCGAGGCGTGGCCGTAGATGGCCCTTGCACGATCGATCTCGCCGAGGCGCTTCTCCATGTCTGCAAATTTGAGGCACATGTCGCGCGCCTCCTTGTCGGGGAGCGCCGCAATGGCCCGCTCGTAGATCGGCCGGGTCGAGGGCAGGCCGAAATTGGATGCCGATTTCGTGATGTAGAAGTTGAACATGTCGGCGCGATCCTCGTCCGAGACGGCGCGTGTCGCCCGTTCGTATATGCGCATGGCGTGCCGTGCCAGCCCGCGCTCTTCCTCAAGATTGCCATACATGAGATACAGTATCTTTGCAAACTTGGGCGGGCAGCCTTCGACGGCTTGTTCGAACAGGTCTCTCAGCCTCTCGATACCAATCTTCCGATCGACCGCCTTTGTCAGGTATAGGTTCCAGAGCTCAAACGCAACGGGATAGCTGAAGAGATCGAGACCGCGCTCGTAGATCTTGAATGATTCCTCGTAGTACTTGTGTTCCTCCAGAAGGTTGGCGTAGTTGACCACCGTTTGTGGAGTCGCGATGCGCAGTTCGAATATTCTTTCGTAGACTTTCCGCGTCTCGTCTAGCGAGCCGACGCTCTCGACAAGGTCAACATAGAAGCTCCACAACTTCCAGCTCTTGTGGACCCTCTGTTGCGGCGACAAAGTCTCGTCGAAATAGTCCACAGTTGACCGCTTCGGAGCCTGGACGGCCTTGGCCATTATCCTGACTGCTTCATCAAAGTTGTCATTGCGGAGCTCCATCTCGGCCCATTCTATCCACATATCCGCCAACTCGGCCACCGACTTGAAGGGAACCTTGACGGCCTTCTCCATGATGACGCGCGCATTCCGCAAATCGCCCGCTGCCTCGTAGAATTTGGCATAATTCGTCCAGAGCTTGTGGAAGGCACCGATCGCCTTCTTCGGCTGGATCGCTGCGATGGCATCGGTATACGTTTGGACGACCTCCTGCTTATTCTCTCCCCAGAGAGCGACACGCTTCTCCCATTCGGCAACGTTGTTGGGGTTTTGGCGCAGCAGAACGTCGTTTAGGAGGAATGGCCGCCGGTCCATGAGATGCTCAAACCGCATCATCCGGATATCCAGGTCGAAATCAGCTGCCTCGTCCACCACGCCTTTCTCGGCGCGCGTCGAGGCCACCTCCATGAGTGCGCCGATGATGGACTCCTCAAATTCCGCATACGAATCGAAGGCCAGGGTGAAGTCGCGAACAGTCATGACGGTCGTGATGCCCTCCTCGAACACATCTCGAGCCCTCTCAAAGCTACCCCGCCGGATCCAGTAGGTCGCCAGACCACACCACAGCTTGCCTCTCTGGTCGGCAAATCGTTCGATCCCGCTTCGAATGATCCGCTCGACGTCGATCCCTGTTTCATGGCCAGTCTGCACCTCGGTGGCGTGTTCGACCATGAGGTCTACCATCTCGCTCCACAATTCGTAGTGCCCTTTGCCGTTCTTGCTGTTGAACCGAGGATTGTTCAAGATGTCGATGTACTTTTGCACGGCCTCGGTATAGAGGCCGACCTGGATGAGCAGCTCGATAAAGTCCTCAGCATCTTCCGGATGAACCTGCATGTATCGACGCCAAATCTTGACGGCAGTCTCGCCCGCCGCCGAGTTCGCGAATGGCCGGTACAGGGCCCATATCCGGTTGTGTTGTGTGATTGGAAGCGCTCGGAGAGCCCTATCGAACGTGTGTCGCGTGTGCGTCACCAGGGACTGTTGCATCAAGAATTTCAGGTACATCTCCCATATCCGCGGCATCTTATTCAGGAGAACCAGGGCGCGCTCAAAAAGGGTGTTGACTTTGCGGTATTCTGCCGCAAATATCGCCGCATTGAGCTTTGCGACGTGCTTGGTTCGGAAGCTCAGATACTGTACACTACTTAGCATTGCTGCATGGGCACAGGTCGGAAAAAGGGGAAATCTTACCATCTTCCAGAGCTTGTACGAGCGAGGGAGCTGGAGACATGCTCGTTCCATTACGAAGGCCTGTTCCTGCATCGCCCCGTGCTGGAGCTTGAACTCGATATAGGCAAGCCATGGCTTGGTGCTTCCTGGATGCCGCTGGATATCCTGCTCGTAGAGGAAATCATCTTCAGTCTGCTCGAGTGGTTAGCTTGGTCAATCACCTGGGGTTCTCATTGATTCTGAAAGGCGGCTTACAACAAGGTGAAGGTCTGGTCGGCGACCAGACCCGTTGGGAAGGGCAGTCGAAGGCATCACGTTTGAAGCACCTGGGGCAAATTGTAATGGAGCCTCGGGTCAGAAGAAAAGAAAGATCGAGTAACAAAAGAGGCGTGTGGTCACACCATAGTCGTGGTAGTTGGTGGTGCGGTCAGGCTGCTCTCGCGCCAGGTGTTGACAGTGGCTGGCGACGTTGATGCATTGCACCTTGGGCCATTTTATTTTTCTTTCGGGTTATGCGAGGCTGCCGAGCATCCAGGTACCAATTGGGACTTGGTTGTAAGGGCTATGTGATGGGCTTAATGCTGCATGACGTAATCTTAGGTGGTATTGATAAGTCACTCCCAGGAGGCACACCCACCTGCCACAAGCTTATCGAGAAACGGCGTGCTAGTGCGGCGCCTCGCCAATCGCCTACCCATATGTACCTCCATCCCCATCGGCATCAGCCTCGAGCTTAGGGGAGCTTTAACCCTCATCATCCCAAGCCCGAGTTCGACCACCTGCGTGCCCGCCTCTCTTCTTTTATCTTCCTCTTCCTCGTCTATTTGCTCGTAATATTCAGTCTGTCCCTGATCCGCCAACATGTCCGGAGCTGCAGTAAGAAACCCAGCGCATCTGTGGGCCTGCTTGTACCCCAAAAGCCCCTAGATAGCTAACAATGGCAACCCAGGACCGCGAAGCGGTGTTCCCCACACGGCAGTCTTTGGGCCTCATGAAGGCGAAGCTCAAGGGCGCAGAGACTGGACACAGCTTGCTGAAGAGGAAGAGTGAAGCCTTGACTAAGTTCGCCCTGACGCCTTCCCTTGCACGACTGCACCAATGCTAACTCTGTCCCTCCCAGGCGTTTCCGAGGCAAGCTTAGACCGTCTTTGGAAACATTTCATATATCTCCTGGCCATGTCTGACTATTGCTGCGCAGAGATTACTCGACGAATTGACGAGGCCAAGCGTAAGATGGGCCGGGTCATGTCGATCGCCGCATTCTCCCTCGCCGAAGTCACATACGCCGTCGGCGGCGATATCGGCTATCAGGTCCAGGAATCCGCCAGGTCTGCGCGATTCCGGATCCGTGCGAAACAGGATAACGTGTCTGGAGTGCTGCTGCCTGCCTTCGAGAGCTACCTGACAGAAGGACACAATGACTTTGCCATGACTGGTCTTGGGAAGGGAGGTCAGCAGGTACAACGTTGCAGAGAAACCTACGCGAGAGCTGTGGAGGCACTCGTCGAGCTTGCAAGCCTTCAGACTGCGTTCGTAATCCTGGATGAAGTGATCAAAGTCGTCAACCGGAGAGGTGAGTAGTACACTCGAGCCGGCACATGGGCATCTGACTCAGGGGAACCTGCTAACAAGACTACAGTCAATGCCATGCAAGTCTAGCTAACCTAATATGCTCTGGATACACTTCTGACCGTTGCATAGCGAACACGTCATTATTCCTCGAACAGAAAACACCATCAAGTGTAAGTGCCAGAACCCCCTGGCATGACGTGCACTTGCTGAGATCATAAGACATCAATTCGGAACTAGATGAACTTGACCGAGAAGAGTTCTACCGACTGAAGAAGGTACCTTGTTCCGAGAACCGTACAATAGCCGTTTCTCGCATACTGACTGCTCGAAGGTTGCAAACAAGAAACAACGAGATAACGCTGCCCAAGATGCCGAGATGAAGAAGCGGAAGGAGGAGTCGGAAGCCAAGAACGAGGAGGATGAAACTGCTGAAGACTCATCTGCACCAGCGGATCTCTTGGCTGCGGAAGGGGAGGAGGATGTCATCTTCTAGGGGCCCAGGGGGTGCTTATGATCGTTAAGGATGCGGAAGAAAGCATAAGCCCATATTTGGCTTTGGACGCCGAGATTGACTGCATTGACGAGGATAATGACTGGGTATCTAAGATGTCCTCTCCTTGGACCTTGGACCCTATTTTGATGGATAGTGATACCTCCCTCCTGTATTATAACACCACACGCCGTACCTACTTCAGCTTGGAAGCAGCTGGCCAATTTGCCGAACCCACCAATTTGTACCTAACCTTTTTGAAAGCTCTGGATCTCACCGGAACCCTGCCCTCTACTGCCGCTGGTACGTGACCTTCATTATCTTCTCGCCGCCCTTGAGAGACATCCCGGCCGTGTTTTCCTTGGCCGAGATGGCGCCTTGTTCCGCCTCGTACTCGACGAATGCGATGCCCTTTCGGCCAGGGACCAGACGCACCTCGCGGAAGCCTTCGAAGCGGCCAAAGATTTCGGTGAGCGCCTCGACGTCGAAGTCGTCGGGAAGGTTCTGCACGAAGAGGATCTTGTTCGGGGGCAGGTACTCGTCGGGGACGACGGCGGGGGCGCTGGGCCCGGTGGGCTTGAGCCCGGCGCCGCGCGCCGTCTTTGCCGGTCGGCCGGCGAGATCGGGCGCCGCTCCCGGGGCGCCGGGGACTGGGCGCTTGAGACGCTTTTGCTCCTCGGCTGATTGGATCGCTCGTTTCTTATCTGTGTGCGAGGGGCGAAGCAGTCAGCTGTCGAAAGATCACTTCAATCATAGGGAGGGACCAGGGGAAAGTGGGTGCTATAATGCCAACCTTTCTCTGCTAGTCGTCTCCGGCGGTGGGCGTCGAGTTCCTCTGCGTTACCCGCCAACTCGACGGTGGCATCGCTGCGGGTACGCGCCAGCGCAACCTGCATGGGCTTCTCGAAGAGCTCGAAGCCCTGGATCTCGTCGATGGCCTTCTGCGCCGACTCGGGATTGTCGAAGACGATGAAGGCCTGGCCTTTCGCCTTGAGGTTCGTCTTGGCGATAATTTCAATCACGTTTCCATACTCGGAGAAGATGGCATGCAGGGCCTCCTTGAGCGGCTCGGGCTTGACGCGCTCCTCGAGGTTGCGGACATAGACGCTGTGGTGGGTGAGGTCAGCTATTGCTACCAGCCTGATTGGAGAGTGTACGTGTCGGAGTGCAATGACACGTACGTCGAAACAGACGGAGAAGATGCCATCCTGGGTGACTGCTCTTAGAACGTCGTAGATTCTACTATGCAGGCGAGAGGAATTCAGGCCGTTCTTTGCTGATGTTGAAGTGCCTGGATTGTAGGTACCTTGTACGGATGCAGATATTCACGATTATGCAAGGCCTCTATAAGCACAGTGGTAATGACGCATACGATAACTGTTTTTTAGGGGAGTACTGCCTAAAGCAACCATAAATCGAGGAACTTGGGCACTTAGTCACCGGGCCTCCAGGCTGTTCCAGCACTCTTCTCCCCCATAATTCCCCAGCAAGGCCAGCGACTTATGGACAGTCAATCCGCACTGTCGGATCAAGCCCAGCGGATTAGATAGGGAACATGATACCCGGCCCCACCCTTCCAATAACGTCAGATAGGTAAGTTGATCCCGACGCGCGCCTTCAGCCACGAGGTGGTTATTATTTCGCGGGGATAAACAAACATACGGCCTCCTTGGAAGATGCGACCTTGAACCCGACGCAAGGCAGATGATACAGCATCTCGGAGAGTGTTAGCGTCCTCCCATCGACCGCGGCTCTCTCGGCGGCCCTCCAGGTCATCCTTCCCCTCCCCCTGATCGGCCGCACGTATGGCCACCGACATGGCCGAGGCGATGGCGGCACAGGCCCAGGCGTCGCCCATCTTCGACAACTCGAGCGTGTGGCACAACTTCACAATATGGACCGCCCAGCATCTTGGATATGCGGTGAACATGTCGAAGCTGGCACCATCGATAGAGGACCTCGTTTGGGCCGGTCCTAGAATGGTGATGAAGCTTGGCAAGTTGGGCTCGTTCATGTCCCTGCCAGACGCCGTCGATGGCTTCGGCCAACGTATCATACCCGAATCAACCGCAGCCGGTATGGTTCACGCGACGACTACGGGCTCATTTGCCGCTCTAATCGCCGACACGACCGCCGCCGTTCTTCCGCCCGTCGGCGCCGACGAAGATCCTAATGCACTGGTCACAAGGTTGTCGCTGGAAGGCGTCAGGGGTTTGGGCAACGTCTTCAGCTACGCCACTAGCAAATGGGCTCTCTGCTGCGTTGCCATGGCTGTCGTTTTGAACCGTACCCTGATCTTTGCCGCGACTCGACGGAGGCTCCGGTTGCGATGGCCCGTTCGGTTGCTGCTCCGGCTGCTCCCCATTATACTCTTTGTCTTGCAGGGCCGGACCCTTCTACAGTCCATACAGTGCCAGACATCCCCTGACTTCGCCGAAATGCGCTGGGGAAATGCTAGCAAGAGCTCCGAGCTGATGTTCTCGCAAGCCAATACCTTTCTCCACGGTCTGAGCTCAACACTACTTTTCGGCGCAACTGACGAGGAGTCTTGTATATCCGTTTCGATGGTGCCACCTGATATTCAAGAGCCGAAACCCGAGCTCCGTGGGTCGCTGTCTCGACTCTGGCCGCTGTTTGGGACGTTCTGCTTGAGTCACTTCGTTGAAACGATCTCTTGCGCCGTACAAGGGCGACCCGTCGCTGCGGAAACTGGAATGACGCTTTTCGAGCAATCTCTGGCATTCGCTGAAGCCGATTCGACGATCGGCAGCCAGCTCGGTTGGAGTCGATTTGCCAATGCCTCAGCACCAACGGCAAAGGCAAGCCAAGGGAACAGCATCGCGCTCACGAGGTCGATGATCATGAAGCGGGTGAATACGTCGCCCGAGGTCCTCTTGATCGGCTTCCTATCTGGAATGAACCACATCACAAGCCACATACTGGGGATTTTAAACCTTCAGTCCCGGTTCAGGCTTATTAGCACCGGCTTCTGGGGACTGTGTTTTATGGCGAGCATCATCTGGAGCGCGATAAGCTTCTCGGTGGACGATGCTTCGGCTCATGGCTTGCTGCGATATCCAGCCGTCTGCATCGTCGGGTTCATACCCCATGTCCTTGTCTTGACCGGTATAATCGTCTGCTGCTTCATCTACCTCCTCGCACTGGTCCTCAGCGCCCTGGGCACCCCAGAAATTCCCGGGGAGGACCAACAACTCAGTTTCTTGGAACGCCTCGCCGTTGCCCACGGGAACATGCAGGCCAACGTGCCGCTTTCCGACATCCGCATCCGCATGGACATGGACTTCTACACGGCGCTTCTTAGAGCTGGTTTCGGCGCCATCACCATGGCCAGTGAGGCGGTGTATCTGAACGAGGACAGCGGGGTGAATATCAAGCGGTACACCTGGCTCGAGGATGAGCGGTTCCGCGAGTTGGAGGAGACGAGAATGCAGTTCTTCGGACCGGGAAGTTCAGACTACGCCAGTACCATTGGGCTTGTCCCCGTCAAGGACGGGCAGACGGGCGCCACAAGTGGATATTCACGGGAGCGAGTGGCGCAGAAGGCGCCAAAGTCTGGCGGTGGAAACAGGAGGATTAGGGATGGGGTCGGCGCAGCGGAAAGAAGCGGACGATGGCTTATGGCGCTAGAGTATGTGATGCACATCAACCGGCTTCTCCTCGCCGTATGGGCAATCGCGCTCTCCAAATTCCTGACCTTCGTGGGCGTCCAAACCCGACCCCGCTGGCTTCGCTGGCTCTCTCAGAGATCCAAAGCCGAGACCGCAGGAGATAGACGGTCGGCCGGCACAGAGCAAGGCCCGAATGCCGAACTGATGACCGGCCAGGATGTTAGCGGGACCATCCCTCGAAGCGATAGGGTCGACGTCGAGGCAGAAGTCCGCCAGTGGTTTGGCCGGAGAAACATGGGCGTCGGTGGACCATCCGGGAGGCGTAGAGTCGACGAGGAGGAGATAGACGCCACCCTCTACGGCTGGTGGCTCAAGGGCGGTTGGTGGGGGAGCGCCGATTCCAGCGGCGATTACGAACCGCCAACGCACCAAGACGACGACGGGGCCGATGACCCAGACTTTGATGCCACGAGCGTCGTCTCCACCACAGAATTTGAGGACGACCAATCAACCTGGGAATCCGATCCGGAGGAGCAATCCGACGACGACGGACAGCGGACCCCGACACGGCAGTCCCCGAACCCGTTCGCTGCGCCGTCATCAAAGCAGACAACATCCCGCCAGAACCGGAGCCGGAGCCGGACCCCTGCCTTCGTCGACAGCCCGCTCGCCATGTCCGACCTCGCCCGCCTCCTGCACCCGACCAGCCCCGAGGAGCGCGACGAGGCCCGCACCCTGGCCGCGCACCTCGACAGCGACCGCATCCTCACCCGCTCCACCTACCAGCGCGTCCGCCAGCGCCAGCGCGCCCAGGTCCTGGCGGCGCCCGGCCTCGACCTCAGGGGCCCCGCGGAGATGACGCCCGAGGACGAGGCCGCCGCGCTCGAGCAGATCCTGCTGTCGAGGAGGAGGGGGACGGCGACGGCGGCGGACGGCTCGGCGTCGACGTCGTCGTCGTCGTGGATGGGCGGGGCGGCGGGCCTCGGGTCCGAGGGCCCGCAGTGCGTGGTCTGCCAGAGCTCCCCGCGGAGCGTCATCCTCTGGCCCTGCCGGTGCCTGTGCCTGTGCGACGACTGCCGCGTGTCGCTCGCCATGAACAACTTTGACAAGTGCGTCTGCTGCAGGCGCGAGGTCGTCAGCTTCAGCCGGATTTACGTGCCTTGAACCCTCCCCCCGGCCGCGGCAAAAGGCTGAGGCTTGTAAATTTAGCGTCGGGGTTGTTATCCATTCTTTGTGTGCATTGCAAATTTTTTCTTTTTTTTTTGTCTCTCTGTATTTATTTGGACGCATCACTTGTGCTGAGAGACCAGCTCGTGGGTTGATATGGGATTGGGGAATCGGCACGCGTCGTCGGTCATTCGAGAAGCGGGAATTGTCTTTGTTACGAGGGAGGGTGGCATTCGGAGCGTAGAACTTGAGGTAGCAACACATACATACCTACAGACGTACATACGGCTGGCTCTTTACAAGGAGGCTTTCTTCATATTGTAAAATTTTTATTTTTTTTTTCATTACGAACCCAGCCAGAACAGCTCGGACGCACAGGGTATCTGTCTATCATTGCTGTAAACAACAACCAAGGCCCGACTACATGCCGGCCCACTCGATACAGAAGACACGAACATCGCCGCCTGCCCAGTCGCCAGTTGCGTGCGCGTCCGTATCTGCTGCTGTGCCTTCTTCCGGTTTCTGCCCGCCCAGGAGGAAGCCCTTCTTGACTGCCGTGCCCAGTCTCCCGCTCCCGACGAGATCGAGCAAGGTGATCTCCTGGTCCCAGCCGTAGCTCGAGGCCAGGAAATGGGCGTGGTACCGGAACGGGTCCCCCGGGTAGACGCTGTAGTTGCCTCCGAATCGCAGACCAGGAGTCATGAAGTATCCGCGCGAGTTTAGGTGGGCGTAGAGTGGGCACGGCTTGGGGACGTCGGGCTCTGCCATGTGTGTTTTGCCACTGGCGAATTCTTTGCTCGTGGCCGGGGTGATGCCCGGAGCAATTTGCATGGTTTGGGAGGCAGATGGCGTTCCTGACACCGGTAAAGGGCTTCTCACCACAGCGGTGTCGAAGAGGCTCGCCTCCTCCTCGGGCCTAGCTGGCGTCGGTTCACTGGTGTTCCGCGAAGGCTGGTTTTTTTGGCGCCGCGCCCTAGCCTCAGCCATCCTAGTTGCCTTCTCTTCATCTATAGCCTTCTGGGCGTTCCGGCGCTGCGTCCTGAGTGATTGCAGGTACGATTTTCGGGACGTTTCGTCCATCGCACCAAGTTCAGCGAGGTGGGCGACGGGATCATCGACGATATATGCAACCTTCTTATTTACAAGCACGCTTGCTTCTTCTGGAAGTAGCTCTACAGGCAGTCCCATGAATATGTTTTGCGTGGGGTTCTGCGGCATCGTGCCCACAAAGACGGCGCAGATATCATGGTGCCGGCGTAGATAGACGACATCCTGAACGTCGAAGACCAGATATCTGGACGCAATCTTCGAGATCCGTACCTGCCTGCCTTGTGCGGAGGCCATATCGGAATCACCAAACCTATCCTCCAATCTTGTAATTAGCTAGCTGTCCATCATCCAGCGTTCAAGTATCAGGAAATTAGTGCGGGAGAGAAATCATATAGATGTTTATAGTAATGTTATCGTCACAGAACGAGCTCAGGGGATTGACAGATTATAATTACGGTTGTGTAATCATGAAAATAATAGTGAAAGGTAAAGAGCGGGAAGTCGATGCTTACCTTTCTACACGGTCGACAAATTTCAGTGGATGATTGTTGGAGTTTTCAAAGGCAAGGTTGCGTCCCGCAAGTCGGGTTTTTTTTACCAACCCTGACCGGCAGAAAACTGTAGGCGGTGTAAGCCAAGAGACCCCACCCCAACCCCTTTTGAGCCAGGGGTAGCAGGATAGACTCCTGGTCTGGAATCTGGGATCAGAAATCAGAAATCCATGCCATCCTTTACTGTGCTCGCCGGGGATTTCTCCTTTTGGCCTTCTTCTCCCAGCGGTGGCAGGCTGAAAGGCTTGATTACCAATCCCTTAGAGGCACTCAGACTGAAAGTCAAGTTCTCGCGGAAGTGGTTGCCTTCAGCGCCGCCGCCCCCTTTTTCGTGGTAGATTGGTAGGCTGTGGACCCTTAGGAGGCCTTGGTTCTGGTCGGCAGATTTTGAATCCAGTTTCTCGGCGGAAAGAGCTGGAGAATTGGCGGGCAGCGGGACCAACTCAATTACTCCATCACAGAGAAGTTCCATCCACCTAGTCAGGCCCGAACTGCGCGGAAACAATGAGATGGGTAGAGCAAGGAGGGCTGTCACCTGCGCGCTATATTGACGGAGCAGCGCCCTAAGACCATGCAAGAACTGGAGCACTTCTCCTGGAGCGCAGGATCCAGATGTGTAAAGTGTTGGAGAAAGGAGGCTCGGGATAACGACCCGATGAATGACTGAGCGGTCGGAAGCCGCCAGTTTTGCCTGGAGGTTACCGAGAAACGCTTTGAAAGGCGACAGGGGTCCTGAGGGTTCGAGAGACAAGCTCATTGGGCTCGCTGACGGCGTGGCGTGTATCGCGCCTTTGATTGAACCAGAAGCGAGGCGCTTGGTGAGATCGAAAGAATGACAGAATGTCGACGCGGCCTGGCTTCCTCCTCGGCTTGAAAGTCCGGGAGTTGGGTTGTTTGCCAGCGCTTCGTACCGCCAAGCAATCTTCATCTTCTCCTCGCTTGGGCGGGCAGGTTGTGCAGTCTTGGATTTCCCATCCACGGCAGAGAGGGCAGGAAGCTCATAAGCCCAGGCCTCACTGAAGCCTAGGACATGGACCTGATGACCTTGGACCAGCCCTTCGGCGGCATAGTACCGGAGCAGGACGCCAGAGAAGTCGGTCGTGCCCTGCTCTTCAACCAACAGAGATGTACCTAGAGGTAGCCCGACGTGTCCGGCCAGGAGATGGTCCAGGGAGGATGTTCCAGTCGACATCGTGAGGCGACCATCAACCGGGGATGGTCGAAGCCCGGGCGAAGGCTGCGGTTTGGCAATCTTTGTTTGCAACGCCGCCTGTCCGGTTGGAGCTGTGGAGATGACTGTGTTCCTCTTCCTGAAAGACATTTCGAGCGTTGCGATTTCGGGCCCGAGAATGATAAGAAGAGAGTTGAAGCTCTCAATAAGACTTTAACGAGTCCAGCATGAAAGAGTCGAACCCCACTAAAAATCTGTACATGGTAGCCTTGCCCCACCACCAACCTTGGAAGCTAGCACCTACTCGTGGTTTTCAGCAAGGCTGGAAATTTCGACAATTCCAACCTCATCGCCAATAACAAGCACTCGCGCCTGCCAACCAGCCCGCCACCCTCACCCGTCGATACTTCCCACCATGGCCGGCATGGCGTCTGACAGCCAGCTCTTCGAAGAGACCTTCAAGATCAACAACGTCAACGACGAGAAATATGACAGGTGTGCTCGCCTCTCGTGCACCTCGATGGACGGGCAGACGCTTATGACCCTCGACGTCCACTCCGAGCTCTTCCCCTGCCGTGTCTCCGAGACCATCCACGTGGTGCTTGCGACCTCGCTCGCGCTCGACGGCAGCAAAGACGACGAGAAGGGTTGGCGCGACGTGACCAAGGCTGGCGGGGAGGCGACTCTGGCCGATATGTACGACTACGTGTGCCACGGCAAGATCTACAAATTCGACGACGGTGCCGACGGGCAGACCATGTGAGTAATTGGTCCAGAGGCAGTGCATGTAGGGAAGGACAATGTCGTGGCTTGGCAGCTTGCTAATGACTCCGACAACTCTACAGCAAGGCATACACCTCTTTTGGCGGTCTATTGATGTCCCTCGAGGGACCCTATAAGAAGCTCACCCCGTTGAGGGTGGACTATGTCTATCTACTGGTCAAGAAATAGGAGGCTTGACCACTCGGTGGATTGCCGTCGCCGGCGGGGTATGGCAGGCTGCTGCTGCTGCTGCTGCTGCTGCGAAAGAGGGTCTAGGATCTAGAGAACAAAAACACGAGATGACGACAACCCGTACCAACCCAAGAGAAGGGAAAAGGGGGTTTAACAGGCGTTCAGGGGTCTAGGCTAGGAAATGAAGAGGGAAATGGAACCGATGATACCCCCTAAAACACACAAGATATGTAAAACACTACCAGTCAACGAAGTGCTTGATGTGGGCCGGGAAACGGCATCTCGCGATGCACCCTCCTTCGAATCTCGTCATAGTTCGGATCGTTCTCCCGGGTCAGAATGCCGTGCCTGACGAAGAAGTCAAGCATGACCAGGGCGCAGTTGGGCTTCCACCTGCCCTGGGCCAGCTGCTCTTGGATCTCCTCGACCGTGCACAGGCTGAAGGATTCGACCTCGCCGTCCTTGGGTTCTGGCGTGACGCTCTGGTCCGCCGGCAGCTCCAGATCGTACACCCACTGGCACTCCGGGTAGATGAGGCCGTCCTCGCCGCCCGAGCGCTCGTCGGTTATGTAGATGTACGTCACGGTCCCGACGTGTTTGGCGTGATTGCGCACGACGTCCTCCGGGAGGGACGCCTCCTCGTCGGCCTCGCGGATCATGCACTCAAACGGGTCCTCGTCGGTCATCAAGCCGCCGGCCACGGTGTTGTCCAGCATGCCGGGGTACGTTGTCTTCATGGTGGACCGCTTGGGGACCCAGATGCGCATGTCGTGCTCGCTATCGTCGCCCTTCTGGCGCACAAATGCCGTCAGGTGGACCCCGTAGCGCATCGTGCCGAAGAGCCCCATGGCCGACCGCTCCATGCTGAACAGGACATTGCCCCGCCTGTCATAGACGGGCCAGAGCTCGTCGCGCCAGCCCTTGAGGATGCGAAATGTGCCTTTCTGCCGCCAGTAGTCGGTCAGGTTGGCGACGAGCTTTGTGCGCTCGGGCTCGGTCTCAGGCTGGTGGAAGAGCGTCACGGTGCCCTTTGCCGCGTTGAAGTCGAGCTCCCCCTTGACGCTCACGGGGGTCTTGAGCAGGGTTTCGAAGACGGACCGTGGCATGTAGCCAATTGGCACGGCGCCAGCCGCATCCTCCCAGACCAGGGTGTACAGGCTCTGGAGTCGAGCAGCGTAACCTTTGGGGTCTTTTACCGGATCGGGAAACCTTTCAAGGGTAGGTAAGCTGACAGCACGGTAACACAAACAAGGGGGGTTGGGTGGTTTGGCAGTTTTTGTTGGTAGGCTCGGCACTCAGCGCGTCGCACGTGTCGCACAGCATCTTGGCAGCACATAGGGCTGTGGGTGACGTATGCATAGCAGGTTGGCATTTGATACGCACGTAACGACTGCTGCTGTGCTCCTCAAGATTTCGCGCGACGGCGGGGGGCTCCCCAAGTGGCCCGTTTGCCGAGCTTGGTGCGACTGGCTAGAAGGAGGAAAGGAAAACGCTCCCGCGGAGAAATTGAACTTACGCATCGCATTTGTTGATCAGGTCCAGGCTAGTCAGTCGTTTTGCCATATTTGCCTGAGGTGAAACCAACTGTTTGGCTGTTCTATTCCTCGAAACTGGGGGTGCCGAAAGAGAGAAAGAAGGCTATGTCAACCAAGTGGCACGAGCTTTGCAGGAACTGAAAGACGAGCTAGAGTTACGAGAAGAAGAAAAACGAGAAAAACGACTAAAGTGGTGCTTCTTACTTCTTTAATCACACCTGGACACCGTTACTGTTTAAAAGGCGAAATCGCGCAATGCTTTCGCTTACATAGGTGTTTCCAACCAGGCGTATGTCCTAGCTTGGTGAGGTGTTTCCAGCCTTCTAAAAAGCTGGGTGGAGAATCCTCATCCCTATCGTACCACTGCCTCTACGCATGTCCATGAGTGGTAGATATCCTGGCCAGAGCAGTTAAAACCAAATGGTGGAACTGTCCGCTCCCAGTTCAGAGCTTGGATCCAAAGTTTTGCCGGCCTTGGATCCTGTCGAAACTCGGGACGAGACCCTGGACAGACCCGGTCCAAAAGTGCCAAACATTGGTGAACGAATCATAGCACCCCCACCGTCTTAAACGAACAAACACTTGCTCGAACCACCTCACCCGGAAGACATCGGCATTTGCCAACGCCCCGTCACTCCCGTCATACCGGGCCACCCAAACTTCCTTTGACACGAGCTTGGTCTCTTGTGTCGATCCTCTTATCAAGTTTCGATCTCTGGAACCGACGCCCTGATCGCCCGTGCGGCTGGGGATTGGAGCCTCATCGAGCCGCTATCAAGTTTGTCTCCTTGGTTCCATTGCATGGTCTAGAAGGTGTCAAAAAAGGGTGAGACGACCAATCAAACTTAGTCTCTCTCAACTCGGAGGGGCTACCGTGAGCTTGAACTTGGGGGTTGTGCAGGTGTGCAGGTGTTGCCCCCACTCTGGACTTCGCGAAACTTCAGTTGGCTATCAAGCCGGAAGGGGTCACGGCGGGAGACCAGAGATACCACAAGGCCTCCAACGAATAAAAAGGAAAGGAAAAACAAACCATGTCTCAGCCGGCCTTCGGGATCGTACCCGCCGGCCAGCCCGTCATCACCACCCCGACGGAGGCGCCCTCGCCGACGTCCTTCCTCTACGCCATCCCCCAGGGCGGCCCGGGCAGCACCGCCGGCGCCGCCAAGCCCTTCTCGCACATCGTCGTCTTCCTCCTCCCTGGCGTCGCCCTCCCGCCCGACACCGCCGCCGCAATCTACCTCGTCACCCCGGGCCCGCCGGGCCATGCCACGCCAACGTCTCGGTTCCTCGGCGGCGTCGGGCCCGGCAAGGAGAGCGCCATCTTCAACCTCGGCCCTTCCTCCTCCTCCTCCTCTTCCCCTTATTCTCCCCCGTCTTCCTCCTCTTCGCCCATCGTAATCGGCATCTCCCTCGAGCCCGCCGAGTCAGTCGCCCAGCGCATCGCGGAGCGGTCCGCCGCCTCATCTTCGGCGGGCGCGGCGACGTCGGGCGCCGTCGTCGCGCGGCCGAGCACGCTGGTCCTGGCGCAGCGCATCATCAGGAACGCGTTCAACTTCCTCGCCGGGTTCAGCGGCCAGGCCGGCCAGGTCGAGGTCGTGCCCCTCAAGGCGTTTGAGGACTGGTGGCGCAAGTTTGAGAGCCGGCTCAGGACGGACCCGGGCTTCCTGGAGAGGGAAGATTGAGGGAAAGGGTGAGGGGGGAATGAGGCAGGGCGCATTGCAATGCTGGTGGGGTGAGGCAAGGGGGAAGTGATTTGTGATGTATTACAATGATAAAAGGAAAAAGGGGGGTGTGGGTGGTTCAGGTCAAGGTTAGATAGGCACTTGGCGTTGAGTTTGGGTGGCATTTTTGCATTATGCGCTCGGAGAGATCCTCACACACCCGGAGAGCTGGGACAACCTAATGATCTCCATAATCTGTATGCTACATACAGGCTAACAAGTTTGGTGAATGACGCCGAACAGATGAACCTGTCCAAAATCGCCGAGCATGTATTTTCTGCAACAATACCCAGCCTTGTAACTCCTTGGTCCACTCGGCCCGGAGGCCCAAACCCAAGGACCGAACCAACCTATCACCACCCACACACTATCTTTACCTACAGAGAACACTCTCGTTCCTGTGCACGCCTTGAACGCCCCTCCGACTGATCGCATCTCCCCCCCCCCAAAGCAAGGCAATGATCCTCTGCCTGCTGTTCATATTCCATGCCTAGAAGTCGTCTAATTCGTCCAATAACATGCCAACATAAGTAGCCACGAAAGAAGAAGTGAGGAGATCTCCATCATTACAACTCGACTTCTAGTCTTCCTGTAGTGGAGAGACCAACGGACTCTTCAACCGCGTGGGACTACCGGCCCGACTCCTCCTGCCCGCGTTGAGCATCTGTAGTGTTGGCGCCAACCTCTCCCGACTTTCTGTCCTGACAGCCAGGCCGTTCCGGTCGAGCGCCGAGCCAGATGGCATCGGGTCGAACATGTCCAGGTTGAGTTTCGGGGTGGCAAGCCCCGATGAGCGACCGAACCGAGACCCTTCGCTGCCGTCGGACTGCTCCGTTTCGTCAGACTCGACTTCTCCAAGCTCGAAGCGGTTTGCGTCGCCTTCCTCCATAATGCGATCGTATGAAGTTGATTGTCGGCCAAAGAGCTTGTTGGTAAGGCCAGAAAACCTCCGCCCACCTCTTCTAGAACCGCCACCACCACGCCTCGATCGTCGGGCCAACCAGTTAAGTTTTCCGGACAAACGCATCCTCCGCTCCTTCTTCCGGAAGAAGAACCCAATAAGGAGCAATAGAAGAATAAACCCAAGGAACCCGGGGGTTGCCTTTGATTTCGCTTTGTCCATCAGGTCCTCGGCCGCATCGCTCCAGTCATCGTCGTGCTGCATGTCTTTGCCACTTCCAGTTGGGCGCCATGTTGAGCCGGCAAACTGGAAATCGGGTGGTGTCCCAGGCACATTCCTGCCAAACCCGACGGGCAAACTATCATCCTTGCTCTTTGGAGGAACCTGGCCAGCGGCATACAGTAGCATCTTCCCAAGCGTCCAGCTGACCTCGATCCCGTCGATTCTGTCCACCGGTTGGAACGGATCCAAGAATCCCTTGTCCTTGGCGCTCCCCAGGGCACCTTTGGAAGCATTGAATCCGGGCGCTGGCTTGTTGTCGAGGTCTATCCGAGGGATGCCAATGCCGTCATGGAGCACATTGATTAGCCAGGACGCCTTGAAGCATGCTTCCTGAGCAACCTTCATGCCGTCCTTCTTCCGGGACCCAATCTTGGACTCGATAGAGTTCCAATCCTGGCCGCAAAATTCCTTCACCCTTTCCTGATAGGTGGCAAAGTCATATGCTTTATCCGCGTTTGTGCCGAATACCCCGTGGGTTGTGTGCCAGTATTCGGAAACGCCAATGAAGTGGTTGACGTCGAAGTCAATCGCCGGCACATGCTGACCATTGAGCAAACACGGCTCGTCGTAGCAGGGCGCATCCTTTCCAAGCAGAGGGTAAGTCTTCCGCAAGCACTCGTCGAATTTCCCGGTACCCAGTAGAGTCCAATCTTTCGAACTCGTCTCTTGTGCTGGTTCTCCTTTGGCATTGGTTCGCAGACCCTTTGGCATGCACGGATCCGGTATCTCGCGGACATCTGGTGCTGCGTATGCATCCAACAAAGTTTCGATGTAAGATTCACGGGCTTGGTTGACCCCAAATCCAAGCCACGTTGCTGTAAAGACTTTGTATTCCTTCGGGGCGCCGTCCATAGTCCGCAGTCGCAGAAGCTTCAGGTCGTTCGCATGCTTCGCTGCCTCGGTCGAGTTCGGTGCAAAGGCAATCTGCGCGGAGGCTCCTCCCATGTCCAGGAATCCATATGTATGGTGGCCTTTGCCGTGCTTGTGTTGGTCAGGGTGGTCGAAGCCACCGAGCAGGTAATTGGACGCCAGCCAACCGTATAAGCCCTCAGTCTCGCCCGTGATGACCTGAATATGCAAATCACAGTCGGGTAGAGAGAATTGTGTATTCTGTCCAAGGTACGAGCATATTTCCCGTGACAACGCCTTTTGCTGGAGCTGGGGCAGAAGACGCATGCCGGCGGTGGCCATAAGAAAGATGGGCGTGTCCTTAATCTTCTCTTCGGGAATATATTCGAGCGCATGGTTGATCAGGGATTGAAGATGGTCAGGGCCAACCTCTGTGGGGTTCTGGCCGAACGTAGATATTCCAGGGCGAATCTTCTTGGTCCATTCCTTCTTTGCCACCAACTTGGGTAAGTTGCTTAGCTCCTCCTTCGATGCCTCCGTGAGCGCCTTAGTCGGGTCTTTCCAGCTGTATATATGAAGTCGCGTTCCCGAGGAGCCGGCGTCTAGGATGACACCATATCGCCCTGCCACGATGTTAGCCTTGGAGGGGGACGGGGGAACTGTCATCAAGTTAAACCACCCACATTTTTTACCCATGGAGAGAGACAACAGTCAATCGCTCAAGTAAAAGGTCGTCTTTTTGATAAATCAAGAGCCCGCAATGTCTTGCGGCTTCGAACTATGCCCGCGTTACTGGGGTATCTGGCAGGTAGGATCAATCCGACGTCACTGCAAAGAAAACATGGAAATTGCGACCAGGCTGGGTGAGAAAGTGAATTCGCGAAGAAACAACGTATTAGGCAACAGAGTAAGAAGCGAGTGGACGAAAGAGGTAGCAGTTTAAGCTCAAGAGGCTTCAATTAAACATGTACAAGGTTGAATAAGAGGGATGTAGCGAGAGACGGCCCGTGGAATGTTGGGTTGAACAAGAAAAGATAAGGGATCGGAAACGCCATCGTACGTACCCAGGCTTTCTTCATGTGTTTGGTTGGAGAAACCGGACAGGGGGGACAAAATGGGCGATCAGCTCAGGTGCTAGTGGCGTAAGGGGGGTAGCGAGGTACTTAAGTACTCATGGCACTTAACAAGTCTTAACAGCGATACAGTGTTCTATTTGAGCTTTTCGCCAAGAATTCTGGAGGTACTTACACGGTAGATTTTAGTATCAGCACTGTGGTTATGTTTCCCTCCCAATTGGCGTTTGGCCATACAAGTACAGTACCTCTCAACTACTGTATCTCCTTCGTAGGGGCTGACACGTAATCCCTCCCTCCCCCCACGTTCGTATCCAACGAAGAGACCCTCGAAACGAGTCAGGAAGCCGTCCCGACAGGAAATGCCGCTTTCTCGTAGAGAACACACCTCATCCCTCGTATTCCTTCGCCATATGAAATGGTTGGAACTGGGTGAATCCCCCGCTGTCAATTGGGCTTGACTCGGGGCACAAGCCAATTTATCCCTCTATTGCGCTGCCACACTGCCCTTTCATCCAGGAACATTGATTACCTCAGGGTTCCAAAATGGTTCCTATACGAGCCCACAGCCAACCCGCGCTTACGGGCTAAAATATTATATTACACGCGCAGCTTCCGTCCTGCTGCCGTGATGTGATCATGTTTGACGGACAGTCTCGTTGAGACATTCCACAAGAACCCGGTTTGCGTTCTTCGAGGCCCTGATTCCCATCTCGACTAGTTCCGTGTAACGCTCTGTATCCGAGGCGTCTAGATTCCCCTTAAACCAGAGGTTGGTAACCTCGTCTCGGGTAGGCAAGTACGCAATACAACAAGCTGCCAGGATCTTGTCATGCTCTGAAGGGACAGGGTCAATGACAACGACCGGCTGTGACCCCCCACTGCCGTCAACGACAAGGGCCGCAACTCCTCCCGCGACGGTGTCCACACAGTCGATGCCCGCATCGGCAAGAGCAGCCGATGCAACAGTGACACAGCCGCTTAGGACGTTCATCAGGTCCCATGTCTCGCCTCCATGGGCCTTTGAGGCTTCCCGGTCTTGGTCGCCCTCGATGATGGACACGATAATGTCGACACCACTCTTCGGCCACCGATCCGCAATGATGGCACCGCGGAGTGCAGTCTCGAGGTGGATGCCGAGATCTCGTTCAGTAGCATCTCGCAGATGCCCGCGCCGTTGCCGAGTTGCAAACGGGGCGAATTTGACATGAGTAGAGAGAATGATGTGTGGCGAAAAGGGGCTTGATTTTGGTAGAGACCTTGGGCCGTGGACGCTACAACTGAGTTTCAAGCCCGAGAGTCCTGTCTTGGACGAGGTCTCGACCTCCAGATATGCTGATCCAGAAGCAGAGGGCGTCACGCCTGTTTTCAGATCTATGTTTACTTCAGTTAGCAGTTTGTCCTACATCGTACCAGGTACCTCGAGTACGCACATTGTTTTCGAATCAAGTTAGCGGGCCGGGATCTGAATCTCTTGACGCTCCTCAGATCCTCGGCTTTTTCAGCCGCGAAGACAGGAGGCAGTGTAGCGCCGACTGGGCCATTTACTCTCCTTCTATCGGCCATCTCGGGTTCCAAGCCAAAAGAGGAGTAAATATGGTAAAACGAAGTGTTTCGTGAGACCAACCGACGTTCTGACTTCTGAGATGTGACCTGTGGGAGAGAGTGAAAAGGCTAAGAAACCTTCGTGGTGACACCAGCAAAAGGGTGATGCTGAGAATGATCTGGATCCCCGAAGAAAGGTCTCAGCAGGGCTCTTGGAGATCTTCTCCTAGGAAGGCTTTTTTAAGGTATCTGACAGGAACTGTATGGAGGTTTTCTGTCACTGATGTCCGATGTGGTAGAGATAGGATTTCACTGCAAGCCACAGGGATACGCCACTTTTTCGGGGTGTGAGAATCCCGTCTGTACTATGGTACAAGGTACTTTGGGCGCACGAGCCACAATATCAGGTCCCTTAAATTCAAGAACCAGAATTTTTCTCCTCGAACAATTTTTCTCGTCCTTGATCCCATATCAACAAACCACACAATTGTCTTGTCTCTAGCACCAACGGCTGTGATGCCTCCATGACCAAATCAGCTCACTCGCTGGCTGCACTCGGCTGCGTGGTTATCTCTTACTAACTTTCACCCTCTGGAAATTGCCATGGCAAGACTGAAGCTGATATGTCGGCCGTTTGGTGGCCATCGCCTTGACTTCATCCTGCACCCCCAGCCGGGTTGAAATGGGTCTTTTCTTTTCAGCTTTTGCTCACCCATCTTACTGGTATGATGCGAAACTATCTGAACACGAATCCCCCAAGCAACATTCCATGATGATTCCTCTTACCACAGTTCACGCGACTCCTGAGCGACCGAACAACATGCACTACCATCTGATCCGGTGTTATTCATATCAGCGTTGAAACCATCATACAGAGTGCCCTGGATGCTGACTTGCTGCAGGATCATATTCGTCTATGGGTAAACTCAATTGCTACTAGTGGTAAGTCGCCAGTCTCCCTCACATCTCCCCCCGTTTCCCACCCACGATGTTCATGATGAGAAACCTTTTTTTCAGTTCTGCTTCTGAACAGTAAATGAAGATATCCCTTACCAATTACCAATACTCTGAAGCATCTTGCCCCATCTCTTGATATTTACCTCCATAACTATGCCATGACGCTGATTATGTGAACAGCAGTTCCAATGCACGAAGATTCAACACAATCCAGCATACTCATCGACCAAGGCAGGTCCTTTTCTCCATTTATATCTCTTTTGCATTGCCCCTACGTGATGACAATAGCTTATCCATTCAATGACCATTATGGGCCGAGCCATCCACCCGCACTCCAGCGTCCCTCATGGGTTGTGATGACGAGTTGTGATGTCTTTCTACTTTGAACCCAACCTAGTTGGGCCCATTGGGAATGTAATTTGGCTTTCGTGCCTGGGCGCTCTGTGTATCGTTTTGATATGCAGTGGCTCTTGGGCCGGCCTATATAGCTGAATAAAAACGGCTTGCCTGATTTGCTTCTTCGGAACTCTGGTCTTTAACACGCTTGTAACCTGCTCAGCGCTGACCAGCTTCTAGTTAGATTCCACCATGGCTTTGCCACCGTCTCTGCCTTACTTCAGGTGAGCTTTGTCCCTTGGCACCCATAGTGACATGTCAAGATGCGGAAGCCACCAGGAGCAAGATCGAGATGCTCCGTGGGGCAGAACGAAGACTCGTTTCTCGACAATATCCAGGGGTTTGCTCCACTTGCGCCAGCCGTATTTGGGTTCCTCATTTCAAACCTTGCCAAAAAAAAGTCTTGGTCGTTTGTAGGTACCTATGATAGTAGGTGTAACAGAGCTTTGTACCGCTTTTCTGCGTGCGACATGGCAAACATATAAAAAAATTTACCATTCAAACCGTTGAGCTGAGTGACGTGACTGGCTCCCGTCTCTAAAAGAAATGCACATGATTCGACTTGTGGAATATTCCGAGCTCCCTGCTAATAACCCAAATGCCTTAATTAATGAAAATTCGTTACCTCCTTTCCGGCAGTGTCACATCATTCTGTACAGAGGTATCTGTCCCCGCTGAATGGACAGTGGTCCGGGTGGGGGTCCGCAACCAAGAAGCTAGTGCCAGTTTTGGACTTTTGAGCGCCAATCTGCGAGGCTGATGCGAACACCTTTTTATTATCATCCCCTGTGTCGCCTGAAAGTTCTCGACAAAGCTCTTGTCGACCCCGATTCTCGAAGCCCCTTCCCGACGAGCGACTACCAATGATCATGCATTGATCTGGATTGATCCAATTCAGTTCATCCGCCAGAGTCCGGTGCGGTCGCGACGAGCATCCAGGGGGGCGCTTGATAACCTGTCATCAAGTCTTTGACTGGACTTGGCGGCGAGAGAGAGAGAGAGAGCTGGGGCCCTTTGAAAAGAGCCGCAGAACCCATCCCAGACCTGATGTTGCCCTTCTCATCTTCGGGATCCAAAGCGGTCCCTCGGCATCATGTGAGCGGATACTCGAATGGATATCCACGCGGGAATACATTTGAGATTTCGCCTCACAGGTAATCCGCCCTCTCTCCTGCTCCTGCTTCTGCTCCTGCTTCTGCTTCTGCTTCTGCTTCCACCTCCACTGCTACTTCCACTCCCTTGAAACAGCTACTGACCTTGCATTCCCTGCTTAGGTTTCAACGCCGAGGAACGACAACAGCTGTACGACGGAGACGGCGGCTCTTCGTAAAGCTTGGTATTATTGCCGCACTTTGCTTCGTCATTTGGTACTTCATATCTAGCGGGGTCTCCTTCTTTTCCCTGGTTTCGCTGGGTTTGCTATCCGGAGGGGAGGACTTCCAACTGGAAACAGTGCGGTACTATGACCTGTCTAATGTCCAGGGCACCGCACGAGGGTGGGAGAGGGAGGAACGAATTCTGCTCTGTGTCCCACTTCGAGACGCCGAAGGCCATCTCCCGATGTTCTTCTCGCATCTTCGGAACTTCACGTATCCACACCATCTCATCGATCTCGCGTTCCTCGTTTCCGACTCCAAGGACAATACGTTACAAGTACTGGTGGATAGCCTGGAGGCGATTCAGGCGGACGAAGACCCGATACAACACTACGGCGAGATATCAATCATCGAGAAGGACTTTGGACAGAAGGTGAACCAGGATGTGGAGAGTCGCCATGGCTTTGCCGCGCAGGCGAGTCGACGAAAGCTTATGGCCCAGGCCCGGAATTGGCTTCTGAGCGCAGCCTTGCGTCCTTACCATTCCTGGGTTTACTGGAGGGACGTCGATGTCGAAACGGCGCCCTTCACCATTCTGGAGGATCTCATGCGACACAACAAAGACGTGATCGTTCCAAGTGAGCTTTTTTCTCTCTTTCTCGGCCAATGAGAGTCCAACCGTGCCTTTTTCTCTAACCCAATCTTAGACGTGTGGCGGCCGCTACCAGACTGGCTCGGTGGAGAGCAACCTTACGATCTCAACTCGTGGCAGGAGTCGGAGACTGCCTTGGCCCTGGCTGACACATTGGACGAAGACGCTGTCATTGTCGAGGGCTACGCAGAGTACGCAACATGGCGACCTCATCTGGCCTACTTGCGCGATCCCTATGGCGACCCCGATATGGAAATGGAGATTGACGGCGTCGGGGGAGTGAGTATCCTCGCCAAGGCCAAAGTCTTCCGATATGGCGTCCACTTCCCAGCCTTCAGCTTCGAAAAGCATGCCGAGACGGAAGGTTTCGGAAAGGTGAGCTGCGCAACCATCGCCGCCCCGGGTAGAGTGAGCTAACGCAGGGGATCAGATGGCACGGAGGATGCAATTCTCGGTCGTCGGGTTGCCACACTATACAATCTGGCATCTTTACGAGCCCAGCGTTGATGACGTTAAGCACATGGAGGTATGTGAATTGTGCCTGTACTTTGTCAGTGGGCGGCTTGTTTTCTGACCTTTGACACAGCAAATGGAGCGGGAGAAACTAGCCCGCGAGCAGGAGGAGAAAGAGAAGGCTGAGAAAGCCAAGAAGATCAAGGAGCAATTTGGTGACGCCAACAGCCAGTGGGAGAAAGACAAGACAGAGATGCAGAACATTGCAATTCAAGGCAAACAGCCGAGCGACGGAAAGCCGGCGCCAGGTGGCCCAGCAGGTGCTGAGGCTGGAGTTGGGGCTGGTTCTGGGGCCGGTTCTGGGGCCGGTTCTGGAGCTGGAGCTGCGGCCGGGGTCGGGGCCGGGGCCGGTGCTGGAGATGGAGCTGCGGCGCCAGTCGGACCTGGAGCTGAAGCTGCGGCCGGCGTTGGAGCCGTAGTTGCCAAAGCAGCTGATAAAGGCCACGGGGGGGCCAAGCCTCCTCCCAAAGTGGACAGACGAGTATAACCTTGTTCTCTGTCTTTCTCCGGATGGACATGCACTTATTCCCGTCCTGTGGGGGCTATGTTTTTCTTGGATCTACGCTCCATGCAAAGGTTTCTGACGACTCTTTCACTAACACCTGCACATGGAAGGAGGTGCCTCAGTGATATTAATGAGGCTCAGATACCCAGATGGCAGGAGGAAAGGAAGATAACATCATGTACATTACACAGAACAGACTCCAAGGGGAGCTGATTCTGCATGGCTAGGGCGTTTCGGGTTATTCAGGACGAGCAGCCAGTGTATTGAATACACTGAATTATGATATTCTGTTCAAATATGCAAATAAAAGGCACTGAAAAGGGGACCCCTTCCAGTTCCATTTGCTACCAGGATTTCATATTGAATACCTAGGTACCTACTGATCCTTGCCATCTGACTCCTGAGTCAATCGGAGGTGGCAGCTGGCGCCATCTGGCAACACGTGAGAATCCGAGATTACCCAGCCTTCCCACCCAGCAAAGCCACAGGCGCGACAAGGCTTAGGGAAGGTCGAACCTGCGAATAAGTTGAGCTGTTATCCACCCGCCCAATTTGAACACGTACGGCCGAACCTCTTGTGGTCGGTTGGTGCTCCATGGTTTTTGTCCACCTTGGAATAGCGCCAGATCCCTGTTGAACGCCGTCAAAAGTGAGCTCCATATGCCCGGTGTTGAGGACATTTGTCAACTCGTGGCCTTGGTTCTTCAAAGTCGACTTTCCCCCCCACAACCAGAACGGACGAGACTTCAAGGTCATGGTTCTTCCCTCGGGCCCGTTTCTGACGGAATATTAGAGATTCAGTACCTCAGCTGCGACTAGAGACGCCGCCCAGTCTCGCACAGCCATGGACTCGAGTCTTCTTTCAGTGCCGGGAACGCCTCTCACACGTCGCGTTCCCGCGCACTCGTCTCGAATGCAATATCGGAGCCGGCCAGTCTCAGTAGCAGTGGACCCCGTGTCATTGGTCATATCAGAGTGCATTGCAATCACCTCCGCCATCCACAAGTACGCTCGATCTCCGCATTCGTCTGTCTCGGCCATCTTGGGCGGCACCCCAAACCTGGTCCAACTGGGTCCTCCCAGTTCCCTCCGCACCCGAAGCAAGAGCTCTTCCGCGCCCAACCCGCTCGGCGATGGCTCCGGGGACTTTGGACCGGCTAATAGATGGGGGTTGCGTGGCAAGAAGGGCAAGAGCATGCAGGACAACCCCTTGATCTCGGGCTTTGGGAGGTTACGGCACGAGTTGACGGGCGTCAAGGGTAAGCTATATGCACCCCAGGTCAAATAGGCCGCATAGAAGCACCTTCTTTGCTAACTTGCGCCTAGATATTCACAAGTTCGACTCCCTGATGCTCCTCTACCCTTTCCTCCAGATCATCCAGGCCAAAGGCACGGCAGCCCCGATAACGCTACTTGCCCTTCGAGGCATACGAAAGTTCCTCGCCTACGGATTTATTGCCCCCGAGTCGCCTAGATTCGCTCTAGCGATGCAGTCCCTGTCAGCCGCCATCACGCATTGCCAGTTTGACATCAGCGATTCGGCCCAGGAGGAGGTCGTCCTTCTCATGATCCTGCACCTCATGGAGGACATGCTTTCCGGTCCAGGGGGGGATATTCTCAGCGACGAGAGCGTGTGCGATATGATGGGGCGTGGCCTGACAATTTGTTCCCGGCCCAGATTCTCCGAGGTCCTAAGGAGGACAGCCGAAGCATCGATGGTTCGAATGTGCCAGATAATATTTGAGGACCTCAAGCACCTCGAGGTCGAAGCTGGGGAGGAAAGTGACGCCCTGGACAAGCAGACGGACGCGGACATGGATAACGTTAAGATGGATCCCGCCGCGAATGGCACCGATGTGCCGTTAACCCCTGAGCCCACAGCCATTCAAGGATCCGTTGAACCACGGCAGTCGTCAAGCTCTGAGAAGGCGAGCAGCAGTGCGGACACACCTGCCACAGGAGAAGCGGGCCGAAGTAGCACTTCGTCGAGCTCGGAGAGTTCAATATCCGTCGATCTCAGGCCTTATTCACTTCCTTCTGTGCGGGAGCTCTTCAGGGTTCTCGTGAGCTTTCTCGACCCCAATGACCGGAAACAGCCTGACCAGATGAGGGTGATGGCGCTTCGCATCATCCACGTTGCTCTTGAGGTTGCAGGGCCTTCGATTGCGAGACATCCGGCCTTGGCGACCATCGCCGAAGATCGGCTATGTTGCCATCTCTTCCAGCTCGTCCGATCTGACAATATGGCTATTCTCCAGGAGGCACTCATAGTGGCCGGAACCCTTTTGTCCACGTGCCGAGAGGTGCTGAAGCTGCAACAGGAGCTGTACCTGTCGTACTTGGTGGCTTGTCTACATCCGTCGGTAGACATTCCCCGTGAACCTGGCATCGACCCGTCCCTCTACTCTGGCATACCACAGGCTCCGAAACTTGTCAAGCCTCCTCCGTCACAGGCGAGCAGCGGCCGATCGACACCAGTGCCAGTCAAGGATCGCCAAAAGCTCGGAATGGAGGGCGGAGCCCGCAAGCCGGACGCACGACAGGCCATGGTGGAGAATATCGGCGTCCTGGTGCGAATGCCCACCTTCATGGTTGAGCTGTTCGTCAACTACGACTGTGACGAGGATCGTTCAGACCTGTGCGAAGACATGATCGGGCTCCTCTCAAGGAACGCTCTGCCTGACTCGGCGACCTGGAGTACAACCAGTGTCCCACCCCTCTGTCTTGACGCATTGCTCCGGTTCATACAGTTCATAGCCGAGAGGCTCCATGACTCCACGGTCGCGAACGACTACCCCGATCCAGACAGGCTGAGGGAGCGAAGGCAGAGGAAGAGGCTCATTGTCAAGGGGATGAATAAGTTCAACGAGAACCCTAAGGGCGGTCTCGCTTACCTCCAAGACAAGGGCGTCATCGACGACATCACCAACCCGGCTTCTGTGGCGAGGTTCCTCCAGGGCACCTCGAGAGTAAGTAAGAAGGTGCTGGGAGAGTTCTTGTCCAAGAAGGGCAATGAGCCTATCCTGGATGCGTTCATGGACCTGTTTGACTTCGCTGAGAAGCGAGTGGACGAGGCCTTGAGACTCCTCCTGGAAACCTTCCGCCTACCAGGCGAATCACCTCTCATCGCACGGATCGTCACATCCTTCTCGGAGAGGTACTGCGCTGGATCCACCCCCGAAGGTGTTGCAGACAAGGATGCCGTGTTCATCTTGACCTACGCAATCATCATGCTGAATACGGATCAGCATAATCCTAATGTGAAGGGTCAAAATCGAATGTCATATACCGACTTCGCCCGAAACCTTCGCGGCCAGAATGGTGGAAATGACTTCAGCCCGGAATACCTTCAAGACATCTTCGACGCCATCAAGTCCAACGAAATCATTCTCCCCGAAGAACACGACAATCAACATGCTTTCGACTATGCCTGGAAGGAGCTCTTGTCGAAGACGGAATCCGCGGGGCCCCTCACTCCTTGCAGCACGAACATATATGACGCCGACATGTTCGCAACAACGTGGAAACCTATTGTGGCAACCCTGTCCTATGTCTTCATGTCGGCTACTGATGACACCGTCTACGCCAGGGTTGTGACTGGGTTTGACGAGTGTGCCCGCATCGCGTCCAAGTACGGGAACACGGAGGCGTTGGACCAGATCATCTACTGCCTCAGCCACATGACTACCCTCTCGTCCGAGACTCTCTCCAGCACTGCCCTGAACACCGAGGTCCAGGTCAGCGAAAACAGCGTGATGGTGAGCGAGCTTGCAGTCAAGCTTGGTAGAGACTTCAGAGCTCAGCTGGCCACGTTGGTCCTCTTCCGTGTCGTGACTGAGAGTGAGCATGTCGTCCGACGGAGCTGGAAATATGTAAGTCTTGCGCATGTGGTCAAGCTACGCACCATTCATGACCGTCACTAACCCCACGGGCCCTAGATCATCCGGATATGGCTCAATCTATTCGTCAACTCGCTCATTCCGCCTTTCTTCTCAAGCGATCCTTCTCGGGTGTCACTCCCGCCAATTCCGTTGCAGAGTCCAAGCCAAGTTGTAGACCGGGGAGCAAAGCAGAACGAGTCTGGCTTCTTCTCCGCTTTTACCTCGTACATCTCTAGCTATGCTGCAGACGACCCTCCTGAGCCCTCTGATGAAGAGTTGGAAAGCACTCTGTGCAGCGTGGATTGCGTCAATGCGTGCCACATGGGTGACGTGTTTGCCAATATCTCGTAAGTGGCCTGCCTGCTTCCTGCGGAAGAGAATTCTCTCTAGGGCGACTCTAACAGCTTGCAGAAACCTCCCGGCTGAGAGCTTAGAAGCTCTAGTCGACTCCTTGTTGGCCGAAATCCCAGAAGACGTTGGGTCGAATGCTGTAATTGCAGTGAAGTCGGAGAACGCGCCCGCATCACCCGTCAACGGACAGAAATCGCAGAAGAAGCCAGTGTACGATCCGGCGATGGTCTATATCCTCGAGTTCTGCACTGTTCTGGCTCTCCGGGACGCCACTACGGTCGAGTTGCTTGGCCAGCGTGTAGTTGGCGCCCTTCAAGCCATTCTGCGGGACGCCAGCAGCTATCACCCCATACTCGTGGCGCGTGCGACCTTCTACCTCTTCCGGTTACTCCAGTTCAGCTATGTATGACTCCCTCCCGTCGCTGAGCACACCCTGGGATCTCTCAACTGACCTCTTTTTAGGACTATGATTTCGTTCGGGCGCCTGTTTTGCTTCACAGCGTGTCAAGCTTCCCCGCAGACACGCTGAAGAAGACGTCTCAGCTGGTCCTCCAGGGCCTCAAGCTATGCATCGAGAAGCCGAGCCCACTGAGGAATGAGATCATGACGTCGCCTGATTTCTGGGTGATCCTGCAGACTCTGGCTACCAACTCCGAGTCGGCGGCAACTGTCTTTGATATTCTGGAGAGCGGAGTTTCCGGGTCGCCGCCGGCCATTATGGCGGACAACTATGAGGCCACCGTTGCGCTGCTTAACGGATTTGCTTCTGCCGCCAGCCCCGGGCCAGAACATAAGGTGGACCGGAAGCAGCATCATCGGAAACCGCGTCCAGTCCAGCAAGAAAAGTCAAGGTACGTTTCTAAAAGAACCGGTTGCAAGCGCCAGACAAAACTGACAGTCATCAGTGACAACCCTGCCGTTGCACGGGGAGCCAAAGCCGTTAATATCATCTACGATATGACGTCTCGCATCCCTCATCTTATGAAACAGTCCCATCTCGAGAACAGTGAAGGTAAGCAGAAGCCCAGCTTGCTTTTTCGAGCCAAAGACTTACACCATGACAGCCTGGTCCGCCTACTGGCTGCCAATCTTCCAAGCACTCACGACACAATGCACCAACCCCTGCCGTGAAGTGCGACAACTGGCCTTCTCGTCCCTCCAGCGGGCATTGCTGTCCCCCGAGTTGACATCCAGCGACCACGAGGAGTGGACAGCCATATTCGGGGAGGTTCTCTTCCCACTGATCCTTAGACTCCTCAAGCCCGAGGTCTTCTCGTCGGATCGAGATGGTATGAGCGAGACCAGGGTACAGGCTGCATCTCTGCTTTGCAAAGTGTTCTTGCAATATCTTGTCCTTCTGTCAACGTGGGATGGAATGCTGGACTTGTGGCTCAAAATCATCGAGATCATGGATCGTCTCATGAATAGCGGCCAGGGAGATAGCTTGGTAAGTTTCCCAAACTCTTATGTGTGGCCTTGTCATCCTCCCGACCCCTAACAGCAGTCGTTATAGGAGGAAGCAGTTCCCGAGAACCTGAAGAACGTCCTGCTGTTTATGGCCAGCAGCGGCTACCTGGTGCCGCCGAGTCAGAACCCCGAGCGGGAAAAGCTGTGGACGGAGACGTGGAAGCGTATTGACCGCTTCCTGCCCGACCTCAGAAATGAGCTCTTTGCAGAGGACCCCAAGGCGGAAGAGCCGCCGAGCGCCGCCCCGCAGTCTCCCAAAACCGAGGAGAATGTTGTTTAGATGGGATGGATGGGTGGATGGCACTTGAGAATAGATGCACCCGGGGTGACTCGGCCGGACCATGATTTTGCACTTCTAATAACTAGACCTCATGACCGCCGCTCGGCCCCAATGTGTAGCATCACTGGGATTTTGGCCGGGGATAAGAATCATGCCCGAGATATATAATCTTGTGTTCAATAGAAACCGCCTCCTCGCTGATTGGGGGAGGAGGGAGCAGGCTGGAATGCCTGCCTGATTCCTAGATTAGCTGTACATAAGTCCAATTGACCATGAGCTGTGTATGTACAGATGATTGAGTGTGTCCTTGGTCGTGTCTAGAATGCCTGTCGGTACAGGAAAATGCTCGAAACTAGCGCATGAGACTCGTGTGAAGACATGCCCCTATAACGTGTACCGTGCCCCATCATACGGAGGGCAGATTACCGACGCCCCAGAAAACCCCCGCGGCCGGGCTCGAAAATCATAACCTCGGCCCCCCGTCCAGCCGCCCACCCCCACCGCCGCCCCGTCGATAGAGATAGCCGTGCGCGACGGGGCTGGGCAAAAGGGGCGGCGATGGCGGCCCCCCCTGCGCCTGCGCTGGCCGGCGACGCAGCAGCCTGTCGGTGAAGAAGACAGGGTGTCGGTGGGAGGCGTTGTGGGCGGTGGGGGGTGCTGCTTGGGGAGGCGGCGGGGGGATGGTGGTTGTGCTTGTGGTTGTGGTGGCCATCACTTTTGTTTTTCCGCTTCTTTTTTTTACGGGTGTAGGTAGTAAGGGCTTCCCGGGCTGAGCTCGGCTCGTTTGTTGAAATCACGAGGCGGAGCTGGGGGAGGAGAGAGGGTGAAGATGGGTTGGATGTTTACTCTTTTAATGGTTTTGAATGCTTGGCCTTGCCAGCGTATCAATGCGGCGGCCCTGCGTCATCCATTTTCACGTGTCCTAGATGCTTGAGCTGTTACTGTCCCTGGCTCGGCAGTTTTGCGGTACATGCAACGCTTGTGTATACGTACCTAGGTACCTTACTGTGAAATAGCGTCTTACACACCAGGGACCTAGGTAGTAGATAGGTACCTACCTATATATTTTGATAACTGGTGAACCAAGTGCCGCTCGTTCGGGACCTGATTGACCAGACTCGGTCAACATGGATTGTGGTACAGACGTATAATTAAGCGTGGTATAATCATCAGTCTCACGGAACCGCTTTCCCGTCAGGCTCCCGCTTCTTCCTGTTCCTCGCCTTTTGAGCCTTCTTCTCCTTCCCCTTCTTGATGGTGTCCACAAGCGACTCAATCTCCTCCATCCGTTCTGCCTCCTTCGCCTCTTCCTCCCTCTTCTCCTGGTCCTTCTTCATCCTGGCCCGCTTCACCGCCTGCCCCTTCTCCACCTTCTCTATCAGCTTGTCGCTCGACTCCCAGAGCTTCTTCGCGACCTCGTCGTCCTTGACGTCCTTCCTCGCAAAATCAACCTCCATGCACTCCTTGACCAGCTTGCCTCCCGGACCCCGTCCGAGACTAGCATCCATCGCGGCGAACAGGATCGACTGCGCGCCCATGCCGGGGCTCTTCAGGAATAGCCATACCAGCACGTAGAAGAGCATGTAGAAGATCAATCCCAGCAATGACCCCCTCGTCAGCCACCGCCTCGTCCCGGGCGTCCGCGTGAGGCCGGGGTCAACGAAGACCACCCTTGCATTCATGGGGAGCTCGTCGGGCCGTTTGTATGCGTCCAGGTGCTTCTGGTATGCCTGCCCAAAGACCGCCAACGCCAGCTTGCTCCTCGCGTACGCCTTCCCCGGGGTCCAGCGGTCCTTGTCCAGCGCCTCGGCGAGCGGCGGCGAGGATATGTAGGCCGGGCAGGTCGGGATTATGATGCGGACGTCGCGGTCGAAGGGCTGGGCCCGTATCGCGGGGCTGAGTATGCCCAGCAGGTGGAAATTGGCGAGGTAGTTGACCATCCACGTGCTCTCCAGGCCCTCGGCCGTCTCGGTCCTCGCGGCTCCCGGCGGCGTCAGCGTCGCGGCGCACAGGATGACCATGTCCAGCCGGCGGGGCGGCGCGTTATCGATCCACTTTGTGGCAAACTGCCTGATGCTGTGTAGGGACGACAGGTCGACCTGCTCGGCGTAGATGAGCTGGTTGTTGGTGCGGTCGCGCAAGTCGTCGACGTAGTCGGCGAGGAACGGGTCGGCCGCGGGGAGGTGCGTCAGCAGGATGATCTGGGCGCCGCGCTCGGCCAGCTCAAGGGCGACAGCCTGCCCGACCCCCGAGGTGCCGCCCGTGATCATGACGACCCGGCCGTGCATGCTGCGCTCGGCCGTGTTCGTCGCGCCGCTGCAGTATCGCTTCGTCAAGATGGCGGCGGCCAGGGCGCTGCCCGTCTTGACGAGGTTCCATGGCTTTGGCATCCATGACGGAGCGCCGTCGAAAAAGATGCTGGCTATGAATGGGATAGGCATCGTTGGCGGAAGTCCATGGCTTGGATGTGGTTGTATTGTCGTTCCCTTGGATAGGATTTTGTTTGCCTCGTGTTCCTGGATGCTACGTACACGCCTGGCAGTACGAAATGTCCCAAACCAAGGTGCCCTGGAAGGATAGCGATTGGCTCCTGGGAGTAGTGGTGGCAATACGGGAGATAGCGGCTAACATTAGCGCCTGCCGCCTGCCGCCGCCCGCCGCCTTAAACGTTGATGAACCTCTCAAACTCGCAGATTAATCGTACACCATACATTCCACCCACCCAGACCTCCACCTGGAAGGGAAAGGATGGCCTCAGAAGAGGAGGAAGAACAGTACAACGATGTTCCTCTCCAACACCGGCGGCCTTTCGGGTCTGGGCTCAAGCGGAATGCAATAGCCTTCGTGCGAGCCTCCGACGGCGATCTGCGGCTTGCAGACCAGACTGCCAAGGCCAAACCTTCGCAGAACATTGGAGACCTTTACCTGAGCATGGTTCTCCCAAAAGACCGATCACGGCCTCAATCCCCCCAGGTCCAAGCACCGCAGGAGCCTCTCAAGGTCTGCACGGTGTGTCAAATCCCGCTCACTGAAAACCCAGAGAAAGACAAGGATGGCCCTCCCGAGGTGGCCACCTATCCCCAAAACGCCCACGAGTCGTCTCTCGCCCACCAGGTATGCCTGGCCCACTCTCACCCGCCGTCGGCCCTAGACCGGTCGCGCATGGGCCTAAGCTACCTAGAGTCGCGCGGCTGGGATCCAGATTCCCGCGCCGGGCTGGGGGCTTCCCAGCAAGGTATCAAGTTCCCCATCAAGCCGAAGCCCAAAGATGATACCCTGGGGCTCGGCCTGGTCTTTCCCAAGGACGCGCCAAAGAAGAAGGAAAAGCCCCAGCAGCTTGACGCCGGCAGGGTGAGGAAGATGGCGCGGGAAGAGAAAAAGAGGACCGAGAGGCTGCAGCGGCATTTTTACAGTAATGATGATGTTGAAAAGTACCTTGGGCCGGGGCATGGGGTCTGACGTTGCCAAATGCTACCTGGTAGGGCGATGGTACATGATATCAGATGAACATGGTATACGGAACCTGTTTCTTTGTTCGGGTAGACCAGCATATTTGGCCCTCACGTCCTATATGTAAAAAAAATACACTTTTTAAATCTTTACAGGAACGTGTATCATTTGGATCTTTGCCTCTTAAATAATCCTATTCTCTGTCTTCTTCCATTGCAGTGTACCCCTCTCAAAGGCAAAGTCCTATGATTATCCTCGTGTCCTTTCAGTTTCTATTGTCTCGCCCCCTCTTGTTCGATAAAGAGGTATCGAGAGAGTTACGTGAGCGGAGAGCAGTGAGCGTTCTTCGAGATAGCATGTGTATCGCATGGCTCCGGGTGCATTTCGTGGCATGAGGCCAAAAGGCGCCTTGGAGTGTTGCAGACATCGAGTAGGCTTACAAGGAACATGCACACAAGGTCATCAAATCGTATTTCACCCTTCTCTAATAGGGAACCGTCCTTTCCCTTTCCTAAACCCCATATCTAATGCATACCCCCCCAGGCCTTGTACCGTATGCCCCTTTCCCCCCACCCCCATCCAGAATCCCAAATGTTCAATCCCTCCATCTAAACTCCACGAAATAGGTTTCCCTTTATTCTCCGCAAACACCCTCAGTCCCCTAGAGCATCCGCCTCTTGGCGGGTCTCTCGCCCCCATCACTCGAAGGGTAAACAGACTTGTCCTTGGGCTTGCCCCTTGGGGGATCAGCCACAGCTCCGTTGGCATTGACTGCGGCCACCCATGTTGCAACAGCCTCTGCGGCCTCTGCGGTCTGGTCCTGCTTTTCTCCTTTCTGGGAAGGGGGGGTATATGTCAGCTACCATTGTTGGTTTTCAGTTTTATTCTGTTAAGGACAAGGGAGGGATGGGAATTACCATGCGTTCCAGGTGCGATATGTAGTTGCGCAGCTCCTCAGTCGTCAAAGCGACGTGGTGGGCTTGGCCTCTGGCACTGGCATGCCTGTCATTCTCGTCCTCGGATGAGCTAGTCTAGGATATGTTGATCAGCTCCGGATACACAAGGAGGAACAGCTGAACGGGGAAGAGAGACGTGCCTTGGTTGAACGTCCTCCCGATGACGCACCGGAAGGTGTCCCGGGATAGTAGCTAGCAAACTCGTCGTCGCTGAGGAACAGATGGCCCCAGGTATCGTGGAAATCGGCCTCGGCGTCGGGGGTGGTGCGAGGTTCAGCTTTGGGTTTGGAGGCATCGTTGCCAGAAGCTGGCAAGTCGGCGGAGGCATCTGAGGAGGAGGTTTTCTCAGATTGCAGGCTGTCGATTGTGGTAGGCAGCCCTGGTTTGCATGACGAAGAAGACGATGATGAGGTGCCGTAGGTTTCAGGCCCGGGGGAATTCACAGCTTTGAAAGAAGTGAGTGAAGCCATTGTCAGAGAGGTGTTCTGCAATGCCTAGAAGAGGCGAGAATATCGGAAGCACAGGATGTGAGAAGGTAGGGGCAGAACTGCTAGGTGATATGCAATATAGGTAGACTTGATAGTGCATAGTGGGTAAGCCGAAGAGTACATGATGAGATACATCACTAGGGAGCCTTGTCTAGAAGGCTCAGAAGCTGTGAAGCCTTGTTTTAAGGATAATATGAACAAAAAGTGAGGGCAGAGTGAGGGTCGATATTTGCTGCTCCGGTGCTCCCTAAAAGGTTGCCTAGCCAACCCCCAAAAAGAGTTCCCGTCCAAGGTGAGGTCCTACAGATGTTCTGGGGCGGTAAAAAACCCATCAAGTCACAGGGGGTTCGTGGCTGGGGGAAATATCACTGAGTGCCAGGATGCTTGTAACAAACCCTAAGTGGGCCGAGGGATATGGCATTCTCTAGTAGGTACGGTGAACCTACCATAGATCTGAAGGAACTAGACCTATGCCGAAGCCATACCAGGCCCAGGGCCCGGCTTACCGCCACTCTCCTTTGCCCCCTGGATATCATCACCGACGACAGGGAAGGCCGGGATTTCGACCCCAAGCACCCGATACTCCATACCGACATAGCCATCACTCAGCACCAGGACATCAAGCTTCCTCGCCTGGCCGCCTTCGGGATCCGGCAACTTGATCACCGCCCTAGCGGCCGGCCTCGAGCCCACGCCGACACTCCTGCCGGGGCCCTGGCTCCAGCCGACCCTCTTGACCGCGACGATCTCGTCCCTCGCGACGTCGCACACGATGACGAACCAGCCCTCGGTCTGCGGCTTGGGGAACCTCGGCGCGTAGATGCGCGCCTCCCGCTCGGCGACCGGGTTGAGCCGCCTGAGCGACACGGTCAGCGAGAGGGACTTGGCCTGCTCCACCGACACGCCGACGTTGGGGATCGCGGCCGCGGCCCTGGCGAAGCGCGCCTGCTGGCTGCTGGGGACGGAGAGCTCGCGTGCAAGCTTCTGCAGCTGCGGGGGCTTGAGCTTGCTGAGCTCGTGGAGGGGCATCCTGTTCTTGGTGTTCTCGTCTACGGTCGGCAGGATGGAGAGTGGGGGGTCTGTTGGCCAGCGGGCGCTCTTTATACACTGCAGGAGCTTGATGAACTCCAGAGTGCTGGAGAGGTAGCCCGACTCGGTCATCACGTCGATGGATGCCTGGATGATTCGGATTGACTGGTCGAGGACGCTCGTCTGGTCGCCGACGTAATCGGTGATTGGGAGGTTGATACGTGACATGTGCGCCTGGAGGAGGAGGAATGACTTGACGTGGGGGTCCCACATGGGCATATCGAATGAGGTGCCGGGCAGGGGCAGGTTCTTGGACAACTCGGCGTTGATAAGGTCCTCGTTGTGTCGGACGGGCAGTTCGTCGTACTCGGTCGCCCGGCACATCCAGGATAGCACGTCCTCGAAGGTTGCCTTGGGTTTCGCATGGCTGGCCAATTGGCGAATGGTCTTGTGAGAGAGGTAGTAGTAGCTCATGATCTTGCCCATTGGCGTAGGGTCGACATCGCCGTTGGGGTAGACCTCGACACACTTGGACGTGGCAAGCTCATTGAGCGATGTGTCAACCATCTCGATCATAAAATCGTTGGCAAGTTGCTGTGCGGCGGTGCTGTTATGCTCTTCGGCCAATATCTCAAGGCCGTAGTATGATGGGTTCTTGTGCAGCCTCCGGAAGAAGAAGGTCCAGGTCAGATAGTCCAGGGCATCCTGCTTTGTGACAATGGTTTCTGCGGATACCTCGGCGCAGAGATGGTTATCCAGGACGGTGTGAAGCGACGACTCGACGGGGAAGCCCGTGTGTAGGAAGTGTTTGTAGAAGTCCTTCTTCGAATCCTGGGTCAAGATCCGAGCCACACCAGAAGTATCAAACTGCGGTCGGCCGGCTCGACCCAGCATCTGCAGCACATCTGTGAGATCCATGTCCTTGTATCCCTCGATCTTTGCGTCGTAATATTGCGTTCCCTTGACCACGACGAGATGGGCCGGGAGGTTCACGCCCCAGGCAAGTGTGCTCGTGGCGATGAGAATCTGGATCTTGTTGTTCAGAAAGAGCTCCTCGGCCAGCTGCCGGTCAGACTCGACCAGACCAGCATGATGTAGGCCAATTCCAAAGCTTATGGCTTCTTTCAACGCGTCGTCTTTTACCCTTGAGAGATTGAGCTGGAGGTCATCTTCATCCATGGTGAGGAATCGCCTGGGGTTGTCTTCCATGCCGCATAGGTTGACGAGGTCCTTGGCTGTCAGCCTGGTTTGGCGACGGGACGGGACGAAGACGATGACTGGCTTGTCCGGGCTGTGGTTCTTGATCGCCAGGAAGGTCGGGCGGTTCATAGACTGCATTAGGGGGCAGAAGCCCCTAGCTTCTGGGAACCCGTCAATGTACAGCTCCAGGGGAACCGGTCGGACCGAGTGCCTGAAATTGAACAGGCCTTCTTTGACGCCGAGCCAGTTGCCCAGGTCGGTGGCATTGGCGCAAGCGGTCGACATGCCCAAGAGCCGGACAGAACTTTTAGTCGAGGCGGCGATGAAGTTCATTCTGGACACAATGATCTCCAGAATGGGCCCGCGATCGCCTGCCAGGAGATGGATCTCGTCGATGATGACAAGGCTGACCTTGCGGACATAGCCTCTCGTCTGCCAGCTACGAGAAATGCCGTCCCACTTCTCGGGAGTAGTGACGATGATGTCGGCATCCTGGATTGTGCGAGTATCGGGGGTGTTGTCTCCAGTCAACTCCACCAACTTCAGCCCCATCGGCTGTGCCAGGCGTCTCCCCCAGTCCTTCACTCGCTCTCGCACGAGAGCCTTCATGGGAGCTATGTACACCACCTTTGAACCCGGACGTTCTCGGAAGGCCCACCACATAGCCAGCTCGGCAGCGACCGTCTTTCCACTGCCGGTTGGAGAGCCAAGAAGGACGTTCGCCGGCGTGTGGTACAGCGTGTGGAAGATCTGCGTTTGCATGGGGTTGAAAAACTGGAACCGTTGGCTGTAGATGTCTTCCAATATCGGATTCTTCAGCGCCGTGATTGGAAGCGGCTGCAAGTTCAGGAGGTCGGTGTACACGCTCTCGGTGTCTGGTCGGATCAGATGTTGGAAGGAGACAGGGGTCACCGTCTCTGCCCCCAGCCATCTGTCGGAGACTGCTCTCACGTAGATCTGGGTCGGCAAGGGGTCCGCTAGGGGAATAGTAAAGTTGAGCTCATGCTCGTCATGCAGCTTCCTCCGGTTAAGGATGAAGAATTCGTGGTGATAGATCTCGGATGTCTCCGAGTTCTCGACCCAGATATAGTAGGACTCTGACGTCCCGTGAACCTGGTCATTCCAACGGAAATCGGGGTAGACGAAGAGCTTGATTCGCAGAACATCCCTGTTCAAGGGCGCAATTTCAGCTTCAACGTTGACGGTCGGGAAATTGTTCAGGATCTTGGCGATCTTCGTGCCTGCACTATGGTTGTGGACAAGGCTGCCGATCTCAGCAGGTTCCATATCGCGCATGGCCTCGATGGTCAGTGACTCCTTGGCGTCGAGCTGGTTCAATACCGGCTTGGGCAGGTCAAACTGGTGGAGAGGATGCTGGAACGGCCATATTCGTTTCTCGATGGACTTGGACAAGGTCAGGAGAACCAGGCACTGATGACCCCATCTTCTATTCAGGGCAATCATGAACAGGGCGCGGCAAATTCGGCCAGCTTGTTGGGCCACGTAGTTGAGATCATTACCCAGGGCAAAATCCTCCGGCTGCGCCCTCGAGATGTAACCCTGTAGCAAGATGTTGGTCTTTGCTTGGGGAGTATCGATTCCCGCGCCAACATCGCAGACCACAACATGATCGTTATTTTTCATCCTGGACAGCTCCACGCTTTCACTGTCTCGGGACTGTATGTTATCGAACTCTCCGCTCATGGCGATCATCTTTAGAACGTCGGCTTCGGTAGCCTGGGGGCGCATCATGGTGTTGAAGATCTCGATACTGGTCTGTTGTATGTAGTACTGGCTGGCAATCCGGCCGATATCCTTGCTCCGCAGCTCTTCCGTTGTCTCGTTGAATATGACCATCTGGCTCTTCTGCAGCGTCCTCGCTGCTTGAATGGCAAGCTGGCGCCGTCTCTGAACCAGACTCGGGTCTTCAGCATACTCGGCCCAGTCGATCCCGTACGCCATTGGGTTCCGTTTCATCCGTACGAAAAGGTACGAGTAGCCGATCCATTGGACGGCCTCGGGGATCGAGCTAACCGTTCCCAGTGCGATCTCGGCATTCAAGTTATCAACCAGCTTGGCCGAGAACTTGGATTCGATAGGGAGCTGATCAGTGACTGCTGTCAGGTAGTGGCTGAGCTTGTCCGCAGTGGTGCAGATCATGCCGATGCCAACGTCTTCGAACTGCGGCCGACCAGCACGCCCGAAGATCTGAAGAACGTCGAGGATCCCAAGGTCAACGAATTTGCCATCCTGGGCGCTGTACACCTGAGTCCCCTTGATAACCACGGCGGCTGCCGGCAGATTGACACCCCAGGCAAGAGTGGCAGTACAGCACAGGACCTTGATGACACCTTCGGAAAACAGCCTCTCCATCATATTCCGGTCCGCCCGGGCCATTCCGGCATGATGGACGCCAAGCCCCTTCGGGATGAGTTCTCTTATCTCCTTGGCCCTTGTCGTCCTGACATCCCTCATGGCAGACTCGTATTTTGGATGCCCAGTGGGGTCAAATAGATCGACGCAGACAGCATCAATCGCTTTCTCATAGAGCATCTTCGCCGTTGCCAGCGTGTCTCGTCTAGAGTGGACAAAGACCATGACCTGATGGTCCTGCTCGAGCATTTCCCGGACTTTTTCGAAAGCAACACCATCGAGGTTATCCCTGGACTGCCTCGTCCCGGCTTTGCCTTTCACCCCAATGAAGTGCTGTTCGAGCGGCACGGGCCGGAACGAGGCATCGAAATAGAACAGCCCGGCGTACCTGTTGACTTTTAGAAAGTCGGCGACATCGATGTAGTTCGGCAGCGTGGCGCTGAGACCGACGATGCGGATCAGAGACTGTGTGCTCTCGACCTGTCTCTCGGTCCTGGCAACGAGGGATTCGAGCACTGCGCCTCGCTCGTCATGGAGCATGTGGACCTCGTCGATGATCAGTAACCTCACTTTCTGCACGAGCTCCGTGTCGCCCGTCCCCTTTCGCGTCACTACATCCCACTTCTCAGGGGTGGTCACAATGATTTGGGTCTGCACAATCTCGGATTTGGTCAGGTGCATGTCTCCTGTGTACTCTCGGCAGCGAATACCAAGCCAAGCGAGTCGTTTGCTCAACTTCCCAGTGATCTCAGCCGCAAGGGCTTTCATAGGGGCGACGTAGACGATCTTGAAGCCCTCGGTGTCCACGGCGAAGTCGGTTGCCTGAGGGTCATCGAATGGGTTCGGGGTCAGGTACTGGCCAACAGTGTGAAGAATAGTCAACAGGGCGGCGTCAGTTTTACCCTACGCCGTGTTAGTCTGGTAAATAAGCAGGACCGTATCTCGTGGATGTATCCCACCACGGCTACTTACAGCACCAGTAGGGGCGCAGATGAGCATGTTCTCGCTGGTCTTGTAGGCTACCGGGTAGACGAGACTCTGCATACGGTTCAGAGTCGTGTATCCCTTGAAAGTCCTGCTGCAGAGCCCATCCAGCTCAGAGATCTCGAGGAGTCTCCGACCTGCCCCGAGAGTACCAACCCGGCCCGCGGGAATGGAGTACATTTCGTACTTTTCGAATTCTTTTCGCTCGCTACCAACGGGGAGGGCATATCGCTTTCCGGAATAGCTCAGAGTGTTGCCCGCATTGTAAGCCTTGTACACGTGCGGGTATTGCGGCTCTTTGGACTGGGCAGGAGCCAAGCGCGCCGTTTTGTGCTCAAGATCCTGCCTTCGAAGGCCTTCTTCTCTCTGGGCTCTCGTCAATAAACGCCCGGCGGCTGGTAGCTCAGGGGGTGTTAGAGCAGCAACGATCTCATCCCTGTGAGAGAGCAGGTCGGTGATAAAATCAAGGTCATCGAATCCGATCAGGTCGGTCAATGAACTCTGCAGCTCATCTTGGGAGAGCTTCGATGCCAGGATTTCACTAATCTGGTCTTCAACACCAACGCCACCTTTCCTTGATGCAATCCCAGAGCACCTAGCGGCGAGCCAGGAGGGTCCATAGGGGGTTTCGTTGAGCCCATCGGTGCCATCCATCAAGTCACCGCTGTCGAAGGCAATCTCGTCCAGTTCGCTGTCCGATATGAAGTCCCAAACATCGTGACTTGCGTCAGCTGAGCTGTAGCCATAGTCTTTGTCGTCGTCATCCCAGTCCGTGTCGCTTCCGACGTTCGAGGTCGGCGGCAGCCTGAGTTCAGCCAGCGCTGATTTCATGGCTTCCATTTGGGAGAGCCATTGGGCTTGACCCGAGTCACTCAAAGAACTAGTCATAGTTGCGAATTGAACGCCGAGTTTGGGGAACAGATTTGCTTCTCAGAATGGAGAAGGGTGACCTGCGTCTCTTCACCTGGTTGATTCAGATCTTGCCTCAAAAATCTAAACCGTTCATTGTGGCTTACATACCAACGTTAATATGTGGATGTGGGGAGTTTCCACCCGCTCTAAGGCAACGAGTCTGAGGCGAGTCAACAGCGAGACTACCCCGCTAATAATAACTAATGGCTTTCTCCCCCTTTCACTGTAGGCGGTGTGGGTTGCAGAGAGTCAGAAAGCAAGCAAAGAAGCAAAGAGTCTCCCGTTTCTTATTCCTCGCGCTGCTTCCATTTTGGTTCCCCCGCTAGCATTATCGTAATCTATTTCTACATGAATCGAAAGGCTTCTTGGCTAAGGTACGTATGGGGGTTTACACGCATGTTCCTTTCTATTCCTTGACAAGTTCCCCCCTAATAAGGGGGTGTCTCGACAATAGTTGCTGCAGTCAGGGTTGTATGAACCGGTAACGGAGAACACTTGAAATAATTATTAGAATTCCTAGATCACAACCAAACTCCGTGACCAAAATATTTGCTTTCTCTTCCTGCCCTCGCCCGCCCCGTTCTACCTCCCGAGGCCCTTCTGTAACGATGCAGGGCACGCGTATCGTGTATTCCATCGAAGCTTCTCCCACCATCTAAGCGTCCGGCCCAGGGGGCCTTAGGTAGTCATGTGGCTGGCTGTTGGGAATATTGGCCAACCTCGCACTCCCCATGGATGATGCTCGGGCATCTAGACCGCTAGTCAGATGCCGTCCATTTCCCGCAAAAGTCACTGCCGTCCGTCACGGTTTCGTTTCTCCGTCAAATCAAATCCTCTCTCCACCTCGGAATCCTTCGCAGGGGCCACCCCCTTTAACCATAACAGCACTTCACTCCTCCCGACCCGCTCTGCTCGCCGACGTTGACTGTCGATGCCTGCTCGTTCTTGGAAGTCTGGACGATGCGCTTCTTGATGTCGGCGGCGAGGCTGTAGAAGGCCTTGTCGATGTTGATGTTGCTCTTGGCCGAGACCTCGAGGAAGGGGATGCCGAGCTCGTCGGCCAGCGCCTGGCCACGCTCCGTCGACACCGCCCGCTTGTCCTCCCAGTCGCACTTGTTGCCGATCAGGATCTTGTTCACGCCCTCGGTGGCGTGCTGCTCCACGTTGGCGAACCAGGTGCGTATATCTGCGGGGGGTTATGCGCGTCAGTCTCCATGGAGCGTGAATCGGGAGATGCACAGGCTCAGGCTCAGGGGAACGTACTGTTGAACGATCGCTCATCCGTAACGTCGTATACCAATAATATGCCCATGGCGCCTCTATAGTACGCAGTCGTGATGGTGCGGAAGCGTTCCTGGCCGGCTGTATCCCAGATCTGTAGCTTACACCGCTTTCCGTCGAGCTCGATGGTCCTGATCTTGAAGTCGATGCCAATCGTCGTGATAAACGACGGCGTGAACGAGTCCTCGCTGAACCGCAGCAGGCAGCAGGACTTGCCCACGCCCGAGTCGCCAATCAGGAGCAACTTGATCTGTTTTGGCGCATTCCAGTCAGCCCTGACCAGTCCATCCCAGCGTCCCGCACCAGTTGCCGGGTCTCGCGGGGGTGTTCATTCTGGGGAGGAGAGGGGTTATTACTAGAAAGTCATAGTTTCTATTACTCGACATTTTGCAGATGAAGCAAACGCTAGAACACCAGGGAGTTAAATATCCGCGATACGGTGCCTCGCTTGTGAGATTGCAGGAAATGAAGATGAAGCCGAGGCCGGAGCTGCGAAGCTGCGATCGCGAGAAGGCGGAGTGGCTACTCGCCGCGACGTCCCAGTTGGCCGGATCGAGATCGGCTTACGTTGGTTGTGCGATTGGTGCTGTTTGAGGGAAGTCAGCCAAAGGATGCTCTCTCTGACGCAATCTCGCTGTGCTGATGTCTAAGGGATAAAGGGTACCGACAACAAGAAAGGGCTTAGATCAATAGATGTTTGTTTGCGGTCGGCGAACTTGGGGAATTGCATGGAGACCACTGCGAACCTTGGGTGGGGCCAGGCAACTTGGAAACGCCGGTCGGGACAAGTGGCCGCAAGCTAAAATACGGTCTAGGTAGGATATCAGGTGGACACAAGAACGGTTGAACTGGCTCCGAAACTGGTGATACAGGCTGCAAATTACGAGCAGGTAGAAGTTGTTTTTTAAGCCTCACTTCGGCGTCAGCAACCCTGAGACGTTCTGCGAGCAGGTATCCGTATCTACGGACGGGACAAGGTACACTACCCATGCAGTTATGCAGTTATGCAGTAATATGGTATGTATATATGCTGGATCTGCGCTTTCTGGTTGGTGGGTTCCAAAAGTTTGGGGTCCGAAGTGGAGGCGAAAACACCTTGGTCAATCTTCGTTCCGAAACCACTTCACACGTCACCACCCCTTTTTCGCACCCCAAATCCGACGACACCTTGGTCCACGTGCCCCGCATCCGGCGACTCCATGGCCGGCACCCCGCCGTCCGACTTCCCCGGCATCCGGGCGCCGACGCGCTGAAGGCGTTCGGGCCGTTTGATCTGTCGATGGCCGAGACTGAGCACATGATAAATAAACTGGCGAGACATTTGGATTCGCGCCGTGGTCACGTAATGTCCATGCCATCCTTCCATTCTTATATCCAGTGGCTATTTATGGGGTGATAGGCCTCTGATGCGATACGATAGAATATTGTGTTGCTATGGTGCGGGCTGATCTTGACTCGGAGACACCACGGAAGAGAAATCGAGGGCTCTCTCCAAGGACAATCCATGTTTGATGTAAAGGGTTGGGGACACCAGTTCTAAGTCCTGTCATGTCCAAGTAGAGTTCCAACTTAGAGCCTTGAGGGTTTCACCTCGATATGCCGTCACACGCATGACCAAATAAACTTGAGATCACATCTCAGAGATCGTAACCTAGCTATATAATGATCGGCTTTAGCTTGCCACACATGGCACGACACGCAAGTCAGGACACCATTTGCCCGGTATATCCGTTCTATCCGGCTCATCCAACTTCTAAGGCGCCACGACTTAGTAGGTTGTAGGTCTCAGGGGAGGTCTTGCTCTCCGCATCACGCGAATTGTCTTTCTATTTAAGACCGGTAAATCGAAGTTGCCTGCGAATCGATGATCACTAAAGCAATTACGCGCCAACCATGATTATCGCTGTGAGGGCATCTCAGAGGCTTGATTCGCGGGGGATTCCAACAGTCCAAGTCGAGGTCGAGACCGAATTCGGTGAGGCAAAATATCCACAGCATCTTGGATCTGGTCCTGACATGCAATTCAGGTATTCACCGGGCCCTAGTACCCTCTGGAGCATCCACAGGCAAGCATGAGGCTGTCGAGCTCCGGGACAAAGTTGATGGCGTCTACGGGGGTAAGGGCGTTGGCAAAGCCGTGAGAAACGTGCAGGAAATCATCGGGCCGGCATTGGTGAAGAGAGGCTTCAACCCACAAACCCAGCTTAGGGACATTGACCGTTTCGTGCGGGATCTGGACGGCACGCCCAACAAGGCTAATCTTGGAGCGAATGCGATTCTGGGTGTCAGCATGGCATGCGCCAGAGCCGGGGCAGCAAGCTCGGTAGGTCTTACGTACATACCAGCTCGAGCAATGCCTGAGCCCTGCTTACGCCGGTGTAGGGAATACCGCTATACGAATTCCTTCGAAAAGAAGCAGGTATCGAAGGTCCTTACGTCATGCTGGTGCCTTTCCTTAATGTTCTGAATGGTGGCGTGCATTCTGGAAATACAATGGCTTTTCAGGAGATGATGATCGCGGCGGTCGGTGCGACTTCCTTTGAAGAAGCCATGCGCATGGGCTCTGAAGTCTATCATCGCCTCAAACAAGCCATCCTGGATAGGTATGGAGCACCAGGTAAGGCAGTCTATTTTCCTTTCTCCCTTTCACTTTCCCAGCCCTTTCAATGACTTACAATGCTCAAAAGCTACTGGAATCGGCGATGAGGGCGGCTTCGCTCCGCCGGTCACCTTGCCAGAGCAGGCCTTGGACCTCCTGGCGACTGCCGTGGCAGATTGTGGTTACAGCGAGCAAGTCAAGTTTGGAATCGACCCGGCTTCCTCTGAGTTCTTCCGTGGGGATGGCTCATATGACCTTGGGTTCAAGGACAAGTCGCCAAATATCCTCTCGCCAGCCGACTTGCAACAATTGTATAACCGTCTCCTAGCCGAGTACCCAATTGTATTGCTCGAAGATCCCTTTGCTGAGGACGATTGGCATACATGGGCTGCGTTTAACAAGACGTGCCCGGTGGAGCTTGTTGGAGATGACTTGCTCGTCACAAACGTTGAGAGGGTTCGCATGGCTGATAGCAGGAAGGCATGCAATTCGATGCTCCTAAAGGTGAACCAGATAGGCACCGTCACGGAAGCAATTGAAGCGTGAGTGCCCCGTGTTTTATGGGAGGTTAAATGTTATTAACCCGGTGGACAGAGCAAGCTTTGCATTCAGTCTCGGATGGAGCGTGTTTGTCTCCCATCGATCGGGAGAGACGACAGACGACTTCATTGCAGACCTGACAGTCGGACTCAGCACTGGACATTTGAAGTCGGGTGCTCCGTGCCGCGGTGAGAGGGTCGTCAAGTACAACCGCCTTGTGGACATCGAGTCTGAGTTGAAGGCAGCGGGCAAGACGTGTTTGTATGCAGGGGCTCATTTTCGGTTCCCATCCGAACTTTCTGTCTAGCCTATCACGCGAATACAAACTATGGCCAAGTCGTCAAAATAAGCAAAGCACAATATGTGGCCAAAACATCATGCTGCTCTTCAGAGCATCCATCAAGGCCGCCGCCTAGCGAGGGAGGCCTTTGCACCCATCGCTGGCCCCTTTTCTACCCCCTTTCTACCCACGGCGGCAACGAACGCCCCCTTCCAAAACTCCCACCTCTCCAGGCCGAAAGAAGCACCTGAGAAGAGCGGGCCGGGCTTACGGATCTCCGCGCCTTCGGGCCAGATCTGCACTACGGCTTGGATTAGCTGCACGAAGAGAGCCTGGCCAGAGCACAGGATGTACATGGACGCCGCGCTGACCAGGCAGATGTAGACCTCGTCGTCCTTCACGTCGTGTTCCAGGGCGTCTTTCATCGCTCTCGATTTTTGAACGGCATTAACACCGCATGCAGTCACTTCAATTCAACTCGTCAACGTCCGTTGATATGTGCCTCTGATCGTTTGTACCCGCTTCCATGGCTCTATACTGGCAGCTAAAGGTAGATAAATAGGTACCTAGGTAGATATTCGGCGATGTAATAGGCATCATGACTCTCCTATGTGCAACGAGTCATATGTACGTACTATTGTACAGTATCGTGTTATGTTACATACAACCATATGCTGTACAACTGAGGATCCAGGAATGCAGGTTTGCCTGTTTTCACTTCAACCACCTGGAATACGCCCACCGAATCCTTTCCAGTGCCTTCACCTGGATCTGGATCCCCTTCAGGTTCGCTAGGTCGTCCAGGTCCTCGAGGAACTCTTTCTCGATGTCCCCGGGGAGAAGGCCATGCGCCAATTTCCTGAGGACGTGAACCTCGCAGACCAGCAGCCCGTGGTCTTTGTAGGAGAGCAAGTTATTCTGAGACGGTGTTGCTTCCGAGAGGATACGGTCGATATTCCGGAGGACCCGGATGCTTCTGCCGGCTCGCTGGCTCTGGTACATGCCCTTCCGCCCCCCCGACAGAGTCCGCACGTATTGGAGGGCTGCTACCAAGACGAGTACACCCGGGGTTAGGCCCACGAACCCGAACACCAGCTCCTGGCTCTTGAGCAGGGCATCGATTCCGCTGATGGCAATCTCCAAGTCGACCTTTGTCTTCTGGACCTGGATGAGCAACGCCCGCACGAGGTCACCCTTCACGGCCCCAACGAACGGTGTCCGCAAATCCTTCTCGTAGGCCCGTAGGACCGGAGACACATCCCCTTCCTTGACCTTTGCCCTGATGTCCGCAATTTGTGCATCGGTTAAGGATGACGCACCAACAGCCAAGTTCGGCTTATCGATGGCAAAGTCCACGACCATACGCTCTAAGCTGTCACGGTCGGCCTTCAGACTCTCACGGCTCATGAGGGCAATTTCGCTGCTTGAGTCGTGCCGAATCGTGCCGATGATCTTTCTCACCGGATCGATGACCCAGTTGAACCAGAAATCCTTGACAGTGGTGCCCAGATCCTGCACCCAGTTGATAATGTCGGCCTTCCGGTTGGCCAGGATGCGCAATATGGTCGACGACGATATAATTAGCAGGCCGGCCGGTAGCCAGTATCTGACCAGCTTCGACGGGCGTCCGCTCTGACCGGCTACCTCCCTGGTGGCGGCAATGTGACTCGGTATCCCGGAACCAAGTAAGTCCAGAAGCCTTCTCGCAAGCACCGCGGGTCGTTCTGCGGCGTTGGCGTCCTCCATGTGAATCGACAATTCAGGATCCTCCTCGACCCCAGCGAACACCCTGTCTTCGAACTCGGATATCCCATCCTCTAGGGTTAAGACACCGCGAAGGACCATGTCCATCAAAGCCACGCTCCGCTCCAGAACCCCTTTCCACTCGTGGCTGCTGTCTGCTACCTCACTCTTGCCGTCCTCTTCAGCAATGTCGAAGCTCAGGCCTTCATCGATGAGAACTCCTAGGCCACTCGCGATCATCTCCCTGAGTCGCCGCAGTTGGGTCTGTTTCCGCCGTGCCTGGGACCGACAAAGAGCAACCGGAGAGAGGATTTTCCGTTGGATATCGCTGATGGACCTTTCGGCGACGCTTTCTCGCACGATAGAGTAGAATTGGCGCCACTGCTGCGCTGCGGATGAGCCCAGGCCCTCCGCCTCAAAGCGCCCAGCAGAAGAAGACTGGTACAGGCGCCGAAGGCGTGCGCGGCTTCCGTGATAGACGCCCTTCGTCCATGTCCACATGCGGAGCGGGGAGGTCTGAACGGTGTATATGCTGCTGTAAGTGTAGGAGCTCAGTACCTCATCCCAGTACCATATGTCGTCACTGAGCGGGATGATCTGATCCAGCAGCGTGTTAAGGATCAGACCGTACGTCTGGATGGTGGCTTTGCCGACGACGAGCCATTCGATTTCGGACTCGTAGTGATTCCTGGCAGCATACTCACCCTCCCGTCTCACCAGGCCGGACTGCAAGAGGAGGCCCCGGATATGCGAGGATGGCAACAGGGGCCGAGATGACGTTGCGGTCGATAATGCTCGGGCGATGCGGAGCAACTCGTTGACACGAGGAGTCGAGAGCGCGTTAATCCCGGCCAATTGGCCTTCCAGACCGTTCCCCTCGGGTTCACCGGCCCCCTCGGCTGAGATGAAGGGAACGAGGGAAATCCGGTCTACCTGGGCGTCCAGACGACGCACCTGGCTATGGGATGGGAATCAGGCGTCAACTTCAAGTCGATAATACCCTGATAAATGCATAAGTCTCTGGGAGGGAACTAACTCGGTCACAATAGACATTGTATTTATGCGACTAGCGCAAATTAGGTCGGTTTCCGGGGTTTGAATTTGGGCTAGCGGAGGCTTCTGCAAGGGCCCTGTTCGGCTACAGGTGCACCCGCGAAGCGTGCAGGTCGTGGGTGCGTGGAGCGTGGAGAGTGGCGAGGGTTGAATCAGGCCATCCAACGTTGCTCGGAGAGAGTTGGTGCCGGGAAGACAACCTCGAACGGTTGATGACCAATGGGGGCTAAAAGCTACCTACCTACTAAGCTAGGTAGACAAGGTAGAGTTGTGGATTGTGGGCTGTGGCAAGTTATTCGACCACGTCATTTTAGGGGAACAGGGAGCACAGGAACCGTAGGCTTGGGACGGCGTCTGGACAACGCCCGAGGCGCTGGTGGGCAAAAGGCAGATGGGGAAAAACAAGTACAAACAAACAAGGCACCTTTGGTTTTCCACAGTTTAGACACTGGGCATGCAATCATGGACCGAAGAGCCGCAAATGCAAATGTCAAGTTTGGAAGACAGGGGGTGGTTCGGGATCTTCTACAGACAGTACGAATAACTTTGCCCCTTTTCGAATGTTACGATTCTAATACCTGATACCTAATAGGTAAACTGCGTAGTATGGATCCTCCGCACGCCAAAACAACGGGCATCGTCAGATGACGGATAGATCCCCGGATGCTTCATGAGCTGCACCGGTCCATGGAGGTACCTATGATAATGGTGGCAGTGCAATCCGAATACGATTCCCAATCTACGGGTACAGTGCACTCCGCAATCCGCAATCCGCATCTCTGTCGATTTGGCATGGCAATTCAACAGGCGCGGTTTGCGGTGGGGCGATATTAGTGGCTCGGGAGTCGGAAGTAGGGCGCTGGCCATGGGCCGATTCTGCAATTTCTCTCGCCATTGGCTGCTAACGCCGTAACTGGGTGTGGTCCCTGCAAAACTGGGATCCCGGGATTTGCATGTTTCAACGCCGCTCATAAAAGATCCCCTTTCCGCTCTCGATCTCCTGGCAAAATTCCACCACCATCACCACCGCTCTCGAGTTGTGTCCGTGGCCGTCCATTCAATTCCCACGCCTTCTCGGTGTTTGCGCCACTCATTCGATTGACGCCGACGTCCCCTCTTTTCCCCTTTGCTTTCGCCCACGATGGCGTCCTTCATGTATGTTTGCTGTCAAGATCCGCGCCCCCTTTGGAGCCAAGAGTCAGGACTGACCGTCTAATTGCGCAGAAACTCGACAGTGATCGCTGGCGCGAACTCGACGGGCAGCTATTTAACTGTCTTCGAAGAACTGTCCAAGTACAGCGTTCAGCTGAACTATGCCGAGCGCCTCTGGGCTGTATGCACATCCTATCCCCAGCTCGCGACAAACATTCAAGTTCTGACGCGTGCCCCTCCAGGCTTGGTATCTCTGGATGCAGAATGACACCCTTGCGACCGGAATCATGAGCTTCGTCATGCACGAGCTAGTTTACTTCGGACGTTCCCTCCCGTGGATCATCATCGATGCCATACCCGCCTTCAACAAATACAAGATCCAAAATGTCCGTCACAATATCTGCGCTGGTTTGGCCTGGTCCGAGTACTGACAACCACATAGCAAAAAGTCCCCACCTGGAAAGAGCAGTGGGAATGCGCGGCCCTCGTTCTGCTGAGCCACTTCACCGTCGAGCTGCCCCAGATCTGGTTCTTCCACCCCGTTGCCACCTACTTCGGCATGGACTATGGCGTCCCGTTCCCACCCCTATGGAAGATGGCCATGCACATTGCCATCTTCTTCGTCCTGGAAGATACCTGGCACTACTGGTTCCACCGCGCCCTGCACTACGGCCCGCTATACAAGTCGATCCACAAGCTTCACCACACGTACAGCGCACCGTTCGGCTTGGCAGCCGAGTACGCTTCTCCCATCGAGGTCATGCTCCTTGGAATCGGCATTGTCGGCTCTCCCATCCTCTGGGTGTCGCTCAGCGGTGAGCTGCACCTGGTGACAATGTACACCTGGATCGTTCTGCGCCTGTTCCAGGCCATCGACGCCCACAGTGGTTACGATTTCCCCTGGAGCCTGCGCCACTTCCTGCCCTTCTGGGCCGGCGCCGATCACCACGACCTCCACCATGAGCGTTTCATCGGCAACTATGCATCGAGCTTCCGCTGGTGGGACTACTGCCTGGACACCGAGGCCGGCCTGGAGGCAAGCAGGAAGCGCAGGGAGAGGAAGCTGGCCCAGATCAAGGCGAAGTCCCAGTAAATGAGGAGGTTCCCGTGCGACAGCCGGGCTACAATGGGCTGGCCCGCAGGTTCGGCGTGGCAGGGTCTCTTACCGAAGGCAAGAAGGCCTTGCGGAAGTTGGAGCGCCCGGAATAAGAATACAGGGCGGGAGATGTATGATGACGAAGAAATGCCGGGCGGAGATTGTCTCCGCGACACTCGGGGCCGCTCGTGCGGCGACACTGAGAAAAGCACATCCGATAGGTGTTCGCGACATTTGATGTTTTACCGGGTACATATTGAGCCGTGGCGGTTGCTATGATGATACACTATATTAATTAGACTAATAATACAAAGAAGTACAAATCGTTGTGTTTACAGTATCTGCCGTGTTTGCTACCTCTGTCGGGACCGTCCCAAGGTTACAGTTCGACTTAAGCCTTTGGCTTACAGCAGTCGCCCGAGGATGACACCGCCTTGTTGGCCAGAGTCTGCATCTCGCCGCCGGGCGAGTTCACGGGAGTCTCCTCGACTTCTCCAAAGTCCTTGGCGAGCGAGTCGCATAGTGCGGCCATGTCGATATCCTTGGCTGATAGGCCATTCGGGTGATGGGTTGTCCATCTGATGAAGGTTGTGTTGAACACCTAAGGTCGTCGTAGTCAACATCGATGTGAAAAGTAAGCCCGAAAAGCAGAACTTAGACATTCCATCTTACATTGGACCACTCTGGGTGGTGGTTCTTGAGCTTGCACTGCAAGGCCACTGCTGTCATGAAATCCTGGTCATGGAAGATGTCAGTTAGTGACACACTTGCTGTTCAGTCCACACTATCTTCCAAACCACACAAGAAGAGAAGACCCAAGGAATCAGTCCACAACATCTGTGTCGTCTATGTCTGGAGCGACAAACCAAGGGGGGGTATAACCCTGTCCATCGTCACTCTGATTATCGTCCACCCTGCTTTCCTTTCCTCGCTCCCCCCTGGGCTACAGGTAAAGATGAGTGAATCCCTTGTTGAGAGTGTCACTCAGGTCATACGCAGCACGTACGGAACCACCATCAAGCGAACGGCGAGAGCACGGCAAACAGTCCCCAGGTGACTTACCCAAGTCCTAGCAAAGGTCTTGAACTTGAACGTCCTCTCAAGACCCTCGCCGGTGGATGTCATGGCCCATCGGCCGCCGGAGTTCGCGCCGGAGTTCGAGAGCATTCCCGACAGCGCCTCCTCCAAGGCCTCTTCATCGGAGCCTGCCGAAAACTTGGGCCGCGTCATGCTTGATTTTGCACGCAACACAAACCTAGGCTGTCTGACGGGGGCGAAATTTGGGATACCAATTGGTATGCGAAGACGGGATGCTATTCTCGCCATGTTGAGTGGCCTCTCTTGGTGTTTGTCCCGAACAGACCGGTACCTAGGTAATCAAAAAGAGTTGGGGTGGGACGCCGCCCAGTAATTAATTGGCTGGCGGCCCGCACCAGTTATGTCAGTGCTGTAGGTTGGTGTCACCCTCCCACCTATGGACTAGGTATGGAAGGCTATCAACCACTTGGAGAAACTAATCTCGCAATTTTTGAATATTCATTCCTCTTCCTAGACTTAGCATCAGACTAGGAACACTGCAAGGTAAAGCATATACAGCCGCTATGAATACCCACGGCGTAGAACTAGGACTGGATCAGTTCCCTGTCTTCCTGTTAAGCCAATTCGGGCAGGTCGTTAGGATCGCCTGCTCAACGGGTTGTCTACCCCTCTCTACCCGCCTCTGAGAGAGTATAGCCAGGTAGGTAACTAGGTTGCCGACCGGAGACGGGAGTCAACATTGCAACTTAAGAGAACCCCCAAAACTCGATATAGAGCGTCTGATCTGTTTGACTGGTACTACACTCTACTTTGTTGCTCAACTCATCGCCTCGCCTTGAGACCCTGTTTGTCCCGATCCAAAACCTCCTTCACATTTGTTTCATGGGAGAGATGCGCGTACCGATGCGGCCAACTGCGGCCAGTCCCGCGGGGGATAGCCTGCCCAGCAACGCGTCCCACGATGGCGCGGAAGCCAGCCCGCCTGCCGCCTTCGGCCTCCGCGCCGGCATCCTGATCCCCGGCCGCGGCGACCCGATCGAGGACGGCGCCGTCGTGGTCCGGGGCGCGTCGATCGACTGGGTCGGCCCGTACGCCGAGCTGCCGGCGGCGCACTCGTCGGTCCGCTTCACCCGCGTGCCCGTCGTGATGCCGGGCATGTGGGACGCGCACACGCACTTCATGGGCTCGCACGTCGTCGCGGGCCTCGAGGACAGCATGCGCATGTACCTGCCGGGGACCGGGGCCCTCGTCGGCGCCGTCACCGTCGACGACCTGCGCGCGACCCTCGAGGCCGGGTTCACGTCTGTGCGCGAGCTCGGCGGCTACGCCGGCTACGTGTGGCCGGCGGTGCGGTCGGGCGTCCTCGTGGGGCCCAACGTCTACTCGGCCCTGTCGGTGCTGAGCATCACGGGCGGCCACGGCGACCAGCACGACGTGCCGCTCGAGACCGTCATGGACGCCTGCCGCTCCGGCGACGGCATCTCCATGCTGTGTGACGGCGTCGACGGCTGCACGAGCGCCGTCAGGCGCGTCGTCCGTCGCGGCGCGAGGGTCATCAAGATCTGCTCCACGGGCGGCGTGCTCAGCCTCAACGACCAGCCCGAGGACTCGCAGTTCTCGCCGGCAGAGCTCAGGGCCATCGTCGACGAGGCGGGAAGGAGCGGCCGCGCCGTTGCGTCGCACGCCATCGGGAAGACGGGCATCATGGCGGCACTCGAGGCCGGCGTCAAGAGCATCGAGCACGGCATGTACCTGGACGAGGAGGTCGCGGCGCTGATGAAGGAGAAGGGCGCCATCCTGGTGCCGACGAGGCATATTGTCGAGGGCTTGGGCGCCAGCGCGGACAAGCTGCCCCCCCAGTCCCGCGAGAAGCTGCGCCGGATGACGGAGCTGTCAAGGTCGAGCCTGAAGCTGGCCGTGAAGCTGGGGGTCAAGATAGCGCTGGGCACGGACACGCTAAGCAGCGACAGGAAGCATGTCCTCGCCCACGGGAAGAACGCGATGGAGCTGCATTGGGCCGTCGCCGCCGGGATGAGCGCCCTGCAGGCCATAGAGATGGCGACCGCGACGCCCCCCGAGACGTTGGGCGCGCAAGCTCCGAGGTCGGGGCAGCTCAAGGCGGGTTATGACGCCGACATCATCGCCGTCTCGGAGAACCCCCTGGACGACATTGACGTCCTGGTGAGGCAGAGCAACATCACCCATGTCTGGAAGGGAGGCAAGCTGTACAAGTCTCCGTAGGGTGCGTGGGAAGATCCTGTAGATACCAACCGGGAAATTGGCCAGATGAATAAATGTGCGCACTTTGAAGCAGATGTATATATCTGCAAAACCACGCAATCAAGAGAGGCATCCTTCAATATGCTCAATTCTTCCCCCCTCTTGATTCCCAGACACAGCAACTAGTCTGAGCAGCCAGTTGGCTATATCAGATAGGAAGCCTCCTACAGCCGAGCAAAGATGATTAAACCTGAAGTAGTAAGCCCTCCATACCGGCCCTTCTGTCCCACCAGTACGTCTAGGAGAGAGAGCCCATGGATATCTGCAGAATCGCGGATTTATTGGATACTTGAATGTCTATTCAGTGAGGCTGAGGACGCTAACTTGCATGCCACCAAACAACTTGTCTTTGTCGGGATTTCCCTCCCTCATCGATCTAGATGCCCAGCCCAGAAGAAGTAGGATCCCCGGAGAGGGTCCGACAGCTGGGCGTTCGACTTTCGCTGCATGATAGAAACTTGGCCAGACATTGGACAAGTCAGACCTGACTATGCTACCAGGCGCGTTGTACGCGACGACATAATCACTTCGCTGCCAGCGGGGTCCTCGGCTTTGCTCAGCCCCTAGCAGCAAACGCCAGATCTGACTTGAGCCGACAACATGTTGTGCTACCCACGACAGACAGATTCGCTGCCGTAACAAGCCGTTGATAGGAGAATATGCGACTGTGTCAATCCCATGAAACGATGCTCAGCTCGTGATTTCGGCGAATTGAATCACATTAAAGGTTCGAGACAAGGCGCGAAGTAGCTGCTGCCATGCATTAAGGTAGTTCTAATTCTACGCTCATGCCTGGCGGTGTCTCGTAAACATCCTAATGAGATACCTAGTGGTTTTTAGAAGCAAGAGGGAGTTGGAGGCAGCTCTCCATAGGTACCTAGCTCGCTGCCAACAAAAAAACGCGGACTGCGAAACACAATATCCCCTATCAAATCTACTTCACTAGCCAAAACCCATACTTTTTCAACAGAAACCAATTCCTCACAATACGCTTTACAACCAAATAAAAGGTGCTGTACAATAATTCAAATATCAGAGAATATTTGACATCCTTAAATTCCTTTTTACTGTTTTTTAAAGAGGTTTTAGACGCTCAGTGAAATTGGAATAGTTTCGCAGTGCGCGTTTTTTTGTTGGCAGCGAGCCTAGGTACCTACCTATGTGGGGACGGGATCTTTCTTTGGCTGCGGGGCCGCACGTGACCCTGACCTGGGTGGTTGAGTGGGGCACGATCAGTCTGCATCTTTAACCCTGCCACCGCCCTCCATCGTCTTCATCCCTCCGTTTAGTCATCTTCCATCAGTGTCAGTCGCAAGGCCGAGCAAGGTATCCAGGAAGCGCAAGAAGTCGCGCTCGTCTCATCGCCCTCGCAATCTATTCGCAGCGCTATCTATTATTACCAAAGCACGCGACTGGGAGGAACTGAGGCATCGCAACCGAGATTACCGTATTTTCTCTTCAAATTTGGGCAAATTCGGTCATCCAGCATCGCGCGTCGTCTTTCTCGACAAGGAAAGGTGAGCGGCACGCCATCACTGATTGGAGAGGGAAAGCAGAGAGAAAAAGTAATGGTGTAGCCCCCCACCATACCGAATATCACTGCTGACAAAGCATTGAATAGCTGACAAAGAGGTTAGAGGATTGGATTGCCTCTAGCCAGCTTCAAGGCGATAGCATCGAAGGCAGCTCATCGGCGAGGGAGGGGAAGGGGAAAAGCCAGTGGCATCTCGGTTGATTGTCACGAGACCTCCCAAGCAAGAGATTCAAAATCTGGAAAATTCTGATTCCGGAGGTGAGTCGAGGAGCAAAGCCCTTCTCACCGACGCTGAGAGCCTGGGAGGCGTTCCCATACTAACAGCTCTGAATCGGGCAGATCAGACTCGAGTCTGGTTGGGCCGATCCCCAGCCACGCGGTTTTTTAATAATCATTTCCCGCCCCTCGGGATCTCTCGTTGGTCAGCTGTAATCTGACCACGAGTGTGGCCCACCATTGTCAGTCCTCCTGACGAGTGACGAGTGCCAAGTGCCGGGCAACTCAGTCTCATGCTGAGTCAGGACGGGATACAGACATTCAGCGATCTCAAGATGGGTGAGTTACACAACGCAATTGCACTCTCACAGCTGCGGCCACTTTCATTACCTCTTTTCTGCTACCGCTATTCCCCCCTCGCACCTCTCGGGACTAGGTACCCACTTCAAGCTCCTTAGCGATCCCCCAATGCCCCTCCAGTGAAGGCGCAACGGCATCAAAGGGCATATTGTGCGGAGTACCTACCGAAGTAGGGAGGTACCTACTGATACAATGGGAATGCCTGTACCGAGTACATATGTACACCGTCTCCCACGCCCGCCCTGCCCGTCTAACAAACTGCCCTGCCTCCAACATTGGATGTTCTCCTGGCAATTCCCCGTGCTGAGACAGTTGCATCACGCACCAGCGCGCTGCAACTAACCCCTCTCTCGCTACTCCGACCCCTCTCCTCCCGCACTTGCCACATCCCTCCATCCTTTCCACCTTCAAATCCAATCCGACCTGCATCCGCATCCACATCCCACCGATCCGCATCATTACCTAATTCTCATCCTCTTGGACCGACAAGAGCGTTGCAAGTTGCATCATACAGCTCTGCCTCGTAAGTTGTTGCGACTCGACCTCAACTCACCGTGCTCTGTAATCATTCCCAACCCCCGCCCACCTGTTGCCATTTCTGTTTCTGTTACTATTTCCATTTGCCCTCCGCCATAGCGCAAGTGGGCGCTGCGAAGTCGATCTCGAAGAGCGGCCAGTGCATCACCACTACTCGGCGCATTTCGGATTACTCCGTTGAAAGGCACAAGAAACTTGCCCAATCCACTTACACCTATACCGCACTGTACCACCCGCCTCCTCATGAGTTTTTGCCCTCATTTGCCCAAGAACCGACCGAATACTGCTCCTCATCATTCAGCATCGATTCAACCGCCCCTGCCTTCTTCCCCACGGCCTCGCTCGTCCTTCGTCACGCTTTGTCAATTGCCCTTTCTTTAAGCTTTTGAGTCCTCCCCGGAAGTTCTAAGCTGACCTTCAACTCCCAACGCTCCAGAGCCGAGAGAGCGTCTTCCTGAATCATCGTCACCAACCACCCCTACAACCTACTCTGACGCGAGCTTCTCAACCCGACACTTCGCAATCCAGCGCCAGCACGAACCGACTTCTAACGGGGCTGAAGGAGATCCAGACTCGCCAGGCCTAACTGCGTCGCCGCCACTACCACATGGATACACGGACACTTCGGTTGCCGAGCACGAAGCGCACATCCATCCGGAACTAAGATCGGTTCACAAGCAGACGACGAGAAACGGCAACGTGCCCACTTCAAATATGATGCCAGCGGGGATAGCCCCACAACCCGATCAAGCCGGCTCCATCCCGGGGCCGTCGCATGCGCCTGGTGGTGCCCCGAACATGGGACCCGCCGACATGGCCGATATGGGAGATGTCATGATGGCTGATGGTAGGAAAGCGAAGCGCGAGCTCTCCCAGTCGAAACGTGCCGCGCAAAATAGAGCTGCACAGGTAAGTCGAATATTCTGCTTTTTCGCCGCGCGTGAATATCAATTCGTTCGCGGAGGTGCATACCTACTATCCCCGACGGCACTAGCTAGCTGTTCTGGCTGCTCCAAATGCGCCGGGCAGGTGCGTCCACCCCGGGACATTAGTCATCATTTCGTATCACGGACACTTGCCTGTGTTGGTGGCAACGGCAGATGGAGCACCGGACAGTCAGCCGCAGCCGCTATCCTTCATCCTGTGATTTCTATAATTAATACCTTACGTAACTAACAATATCGGTTACAGAGGGCATTCCGCCAGCGCAAGGAACTATACATCAAAAAGCTGGAGCAGGAAGTCCGGGACTTCGCGGCAATGGAGAGCAACTACAAGTCGCTCCAGGCAGAGAATTATGCTCTGAGAGAATACGTCATCAATCTTCAGTCTCGGTTGTTGGACGTTCAGGGAGAGTGTCCGCAGCCGCCACCGAACATCAACCTGGCTCACCCCCATGGTGCACAGCCCCCGGTAACGTCGAGCAGCGCCGATCTACACGCGCCAAACTCGAGTACTGGTGCTGGCACGCCGCTAGAAGTGGTCGCGCAAGCCGTGGCAGGCCTACAACGGGGTGATCACCTGGCCGAAGGGCCGCAGTACTCGAACAGGATGAAACCGGAACAGGGAGAAGGGGACTCGAGATCTAACGAGGAAATCAGTCGACAACTGCAACCCGACCCTCTGCCATCGGCGATGATGTAGGACGTCGCACCGTAAAGCATGGTGGCAAGTCTGGACCTGGACCATCCTAGCCCCTGAGACATCGAGTACCGCTTTAGTACTACCATTATATCGTGGCGTTCCTGGCTGCCTTCTTTCACGAATCCTCTGTTGAGGGTGGGGAACATTTACTGGGTTTTATGGCGTTCCTGGGGGAAGTTGCTGTTTTGCGGTCTTATGCTATCTCGAGGCGGCATCGCCATCAGGGCGCTGATGATGCCGGGCGAGGACGGACAAAACGGATGGCCCGCCATGCGCCCGGCAGCAGCGGTTGGACCAACTGGGGTTGTCATGCGTGGAAACAGCCAGCCAATTGGACGAAATGTGCTGTCGACTACGGACTACTTTATTCATTGCGTTGGTGGTTCTTCTAGTGTTTAGAGAGAGAAATCTAGGTTAGATGGCATTGGATGGGTTCCTCACATACGGGCGGAAATGTGTTCGTTGCCACCTCTGAGAATGGTCCTGATTGTATCAGATTAGGCACGCGGGCCACGACGTCTTCAGGGATGAATAGCGCAAGCCAGTTCATCCAAGCCCTCTGGTATATTATGATGATACCTTCAGAGGTTCTTGACCAGGTGCCTAGTGTGCGTACCCACATGTTTGTGTTAAAGACAACCAACCTGCCGATTCCAGTTACTGTTCGCTCCGCGCCATTGCACCGTCGATTTTCCCGCCGGCGCTCGGCCCGTACCTCTGCTGTTGTACAAATTGGGTGACAAGACATCGTTCGTCCCTCCGTCTTTGAAGATGGAGCACAGGCGTTGCATGCTCATGAGAAGGCATTTCCGAGATCGTGCTCCTGTGGCACACACACACATTTGGTCAGCAAGCGTCATCCTTTTATTTGCTCTTCTGTTTTAAGCCTTTTACAGCTGTCGTGGGACTTGGGGGGGGGGGGGGGGGGGGGGGGGGCACCCTTATAAAAAACAACCCCATCTCTAATTAAACAAACCCACTTACCAGGGGCCAACACAACAAGTCGCGGCGGGCCCCCCCCCCCCCCCCCCCCCCCCCCCCCCCCCGCCCCCCGCCCCCGCCCCCCCCCCCCCCCCCCCCCCCCCCCCCCCCCGGCTCACCTTGATATAATCGCTCCCCTTCTCGAGGTACTCCTCCCTCGTGACGAGGGCCCTCCTCCAGTCGTCGGAGCCGGCCCATGCGGCGGCGCCCCTCCAGGCGTCAAGGCGGGCGTCGGCGGCGCGGCGGACGGCGAGCGGCGAGCCGGCGGGCAGGAGGGCGGTCAGGCCCGCGCGGAGGCGCTCGTCGAAGCCCCGGAAGAGCGTGTTGCCGCCCGTCAGGAAGACGTCGCGCAGGAACTCGTCGCCTCCGTCCGCCACCCCCGCCAGCCGCTGGGTCAGGATGTCGCCCGCGATCTCGACGAGGCCCGCCTGGTCGAGCCCCGCGACGGCGCCCGGCTGGAAGATGACCTCGGGGACGCGGATGCGCTCCACGTTGAGGTGGAGGCGGTGCGTCTCGGCGGCGGAGGCCGGGTCGAAGGGGCGCGGCCCGTAGCGGAAGGCGTGCAGGAGGGACTTTGACCAGTCCTTCTGGGCCTCGAGGGTGTTCTCGTAGGTGAAGTTCTCGTCGTAGAGAAGCAGGTCCTGCTCGAGTGCCCGCACGGCCGACTCGAGGTCCTCCTCGCCTTCCTCGTCGTCGTCGCTGTCGCCCTTGTTGGCCCCCATGGCGACGCTGCGGTACACGCCCCAGTCGGCGTCGTCGGCGCCAAAGTCGTCGTCGTCCCCGGCGCGCCGCCGCTTCCGGCTCCCCGACGTGCCCGCGGGGGCGTCCGACGCCAGGTTCGCGATGTTCTTCATCCGGATCTGGCTCGCGAGCGACTTGCGGTTGCCGAGGTCCGCCTTGAGGCGGTCCCTCTCCTTGAGAAGGGCGAGCTTGGCGAGGTGCGCCTGCCTCTTGTCTTCCAGCCAGCCCTCGAGGTCATTTGTCCGCCTCTCCTCGTCGAGCCGAGCATCCTCGGCGATGCGGGCCTTCTCCGCTTCCTTCTCGGCCTTGGCGCGAGCCCGGGCGTCGTAGTTCGACTTCATGAGCCGTTGTTGCCGCTTCTGCTTTACACCGGCCTCGTCAAGCTGGTCGTCGGGAACCTCCAGCAGGTCAAAGTTGGGCAGCTCCTGCTCCTCCTCCTGCTCTCCGCCCAGATCCTTCGTCCGCGCCCGCCTGATCGACTTGTCGAGTTCTTTGATCGCCCGTTCCAGGGCGGCTTCATCCTTCATTTCGGCCTCGTCGAGAAGGCGCTTCGTCTCCTTCTTGTTCTGGTCGACGAGCTTGCGCTGCACGTCCCTGTAATACTCCAGCTCCCGTTCTTTCTTCATGAGCCTCTCAAGCCGCATCTTCGCGGCTTGTTCCTGGAGTCGCCGGCCGCTCTCCTTCTTCCGCTCAGCAACTCGGGCCAGCTCTTCTTCGGTCTTCTGCACGATGACCTCCTCTGTATACGGGTACTGGATGATCCGCTCTCTGTCCTCCAAGCCGGTCCAGTCGAGATAACGCGCCGATTCTTGGTCGTAGTCTTCCGAGACGTAGCAGAATTCCCGAACCATATGTTCGGCTTGCGATGAGTTGAGCTTTCCTGGGAAGCCGGCGTGGTATTTCAGGCGTATGAGCTTGAGGAGATACTCGGCGGCATGCCACCCGCCCCAGTTCAGCCGGATTGCCTGAGCTAGCATCGCCTTAGAGTTGTAAACCGGGATGACGTGCGTCGCGCTGTAGGATGAGGAGACGACCAGACCCGTCTTGCCTTTATTGTAGTTGTAAGAAAACAGGGAGTCGATGCCGTATGCCAGGCCCGGTGCGCCGTAACATTCGAATATGATTTCGGTCATTGCTTCCAAGGGGTCAGCATTTTAGCCTCGAGTTCAGAGTTGTTCTAGAAGGTGGGGGACCAACATTTTCTCGAGTAAGGGAGGTTCGCGACAGCCTCTGTCATGAGGATGGGCGTGTCTACCGCGCCTTCGACGCCGTTCAGGCCCAGCTTAATAAATGTATAGTCCAGAACATGCTCCATGACGTCCCAGTTGCTCACTATACCGGTCCCGGCTTCAAATGCATTCCGGATGTGCCCTCGCGCGGTGGTATCGGCGTAACAATCCTGGCCGGCAAAGGAGTAGGTCTTTCCAAGCTTTCGGTCGCGGTACTTGGCCATTATCGGAGGTATTGCAAGCCGTGGATTCGATTCGAAGGACCATCCTGCCCGGACAGTAGAGGAGCCTAGAGGTCGATAATGTCAGCGTGGGGGCACCGAGAGTGTGGAGGTGCGTCTCCGTACCATTATCAATTACGATCGCTGCAGTGCCTTCGGGCTGTGCTAATGCTTTCTCATGACCGTCTGCCTGGGGTGGAATGTATTTCTCGAACTTGGCTTCCTGCACTGGGTACAAGATGGGAGGAGGGAGGCTCTTCCAGGCCTCCCTCTGGCTCGGCGCGTCGCCCGCTGGAGATGCTAGCATCGCACTTAAGTCTGTTGTTGAAAGTCGGCAGGATTGTGGTTCAAGGATTTAGCGGGGAAGCATGGTGGATCAGGTTTTACACGAAACGGAGTGGGAAGGCTCAAGACAGGTTGTTAGGGTGAATTGGTGGTCCAGTGAATATTAGAAGCAAGTAATGCGTCAAGGCTGAAGTTAAACAAGGCTGTGAGCGGTGAGGCCTCAAAGCACCTGATAATATGGCAATATAGGTACGTATGGCGGGGCATTTCAGTCCCTAGCTACCTACATAAAGCCAAAGCGCGTCACTTCTCTCAGTCTCAAATAAATGTAATACTTGAGAAGACGAGTATGATTCAAATCTTGTCGATTTGCCTTGCATTTTCCACAGGAGGCCTTTAAGCAGCTTCGCATGCAAGGCTGCCAGCAAACTGCAATAGCCTGCCCATCCAGCATCCACCCTAAGCCCCATGGCACAGGTTCCTATTACCGGCCCGAAGTGATAGTCCCGAGTCCTTTAAATGGTGACTTTATCGGAAACCACTTTCATTCCACCCCAACTCCAACGAAAACCGTGAAATAATGGAAACCCGAAACTCAGTGTTGGAAGTAGGTTCGGCGCACTTTGTTTACTCCCGAGCTTCGATGTCAACCCGCCGCCATCTTGAAGTCGGCTCATGAGGGGTCCTTCAGGTTATCGGTGGCTGGAGCTGTGTCAGCCAAGCAGTAATCGAACCGAGACAGTAAACATACCCTCGAGATGGAAGAGCACGTTAGATTGATAGTTCTTGAACATCTGAGCAACCAACTCAATATTCATGTTCTGGATGTTTATATCCTATTGCCACCCCCATGTAAGCCAGTGCCGGCAGGTGTTTGAGACCACTTTTAAGGCATTTCGTACCTGAAGGGTCTTATTCATGACGACAATAGACTCGTTAAGTTTCTCCTAGGGCACTATGAGTATTGAGTATTTTACTCAGAAGCTCAACCTGCAAATGAAGTGTACTGACCACATTTGTGATGATGCGAGACAGCAGGAGATTCTGCTGATGTTCATGAGGGCTTTCCTTCTCAGATAATCAGCAATACATCTTAAAGTACTAGATGGGCGACACAGTCATACCATGTTGCTTTACTTGGGTGGCAAAGCTGCCACTCTATACTGGCTGGGTGATGGTACTGGCTTATTTATCTACAACTCGCGCGCGTCTTTGGTAGAGGGGCTCGCGTGCCACTACCAAAGCGGTCAGATGGGGCAGAATCCCAGAAGCTCCTGGATAGCTCCCATCTTTGCTTACCCGCAATTGAACACCTTGCTACGTGCCAGATTCCCGGAAAAAGAATCAACTCAACAACCAGGCTCCAACACAATGTCGAATCCCGAAGCCGTAGCTACACAAGCAGCCCACCAGGCTCTCATAGAGCAGCTGGACATCCATTCCATCCACAAGACCTTCCGCAACCCACACTGGAGACCCAACCAGCGCCGCAACAAGAACATCAAGACGATCCTCGGTGACGCCTCCCGCAAGGAAGCCTCCGTGCTCGCCACACCGCAGGACGACAGCGGCGCCGCCACGCCCACTAACGACGACGGGCTCTCCACCTCGGGAACTTCCACGCCGGCCGCGCCCTCGGGCAGCCTGCAGCCGAACCTGGCGCAGGCGTCGCGCAGCCTGTCGAAGCTGGTGCTGGAGAAGAGCCTGGGTGCGGGGCGGGCCGCTGCAATCACTGCCAATGCCAACGCCAACGCCGGCATGGGGATGTCGACGGCGCCGAGCGCGACGTACACCAACATCGAGAGCGCGCCGAGCCTCGCGCACTCGAGGCGCTACTGCGACGTCACGGGCCTGCCGGCGCCGTACGTGGACCCCAAGACGAGGATGCGGTATCACGATCGGGAGGTGTTTGCCATGATACGGGGCCTGACGCAGGGCGTCGGGGAGCAGTTCCTAGAGGCCAGGGGGGCGCATACCGTGCTCAAGTGAGAGACGCGTTCGAGTCGGCTTTGGGAACTTGGCGTTTTCATGGCATGGGGCTTTGTCACGGCGTTCGGGACCGGCTTTTCATTGGCATTGTTTGGGCAGTGCTTAGGATTCTACAACCAATTCTACGACGATACATTGGGATTTCTTTACGGAGGATAATTGGAGTCCTCACGAAAGAGGCTGCAAAACAGCAAGGTTCGACGATTGGGGGAGACAGGGAGACAGGCAGACAGGCAGACAGGCAGACAGGCAGACAGGCAGACAGGCAGACAGGCAGACAGGCAGACAGGCAGACAGGCAGACAGGCAGACATGTGTCGCTGGCAGTAAAATGTTCGACCAAAAAGTCAAGTCCCGACTATGCACCCAAAGCCTCTCGGCAATGGGATATCAGTCGACACTCCGGCTTAATCATGATCGAGATTTGGATTGCTCTCTGCCTAGATGCGACAGACCACCGAGGACGTATGGGGAAACAGAACTCAGTTACCGTAGCATAGAGCTACGGCCGTCGTGGCATGGGGACGGAGGGGTCGAAGGGCATGAAATGGGGAATACCTACCATTGCTGTCGCGATCTTCTTGGCCTTGATATTCTGTAATGACGGCTCAAGAAGTGCGGCACCTACACCATTATTCACGTCCAGTTATGTGCCCGGAACCTTTTTTCAACACAAATTGCAAATGTTAATCGAACAGAAACCCAGCAAGAAAATTTCCCGTTGCTAACTAGCAGTTTCATATCAGGTGACATGTCAGCTGCCAGACTTTAATCATCACATGCTTGGACCAATTGCAGTAAAACTTCTGGCTCCCTTCAAGCAGCGCCCTGCCAGGTGTCGCCACAGCTGGCCCCCTTGTTCGCGTTCCCTTTTTTTGTATCTTTTCGAAGACGACACATTTCCAACGAGAACAAGCCTTTGAGACGCTTATATCCCTCGATCCCTTCAACTCAGCTTGTTTTATACTGTTTACAATCCACTCCGACCTGGTACTCTGCCAAAATGCCGACCATGTGGTTATCAGATTCCCAAAGTGCGTGGGAACAAGCTCCCAGAACCCCCCTCCGTCTCTCCCAATTGGCACATGCCCCGGGTTTTTAAACTAATGATCGAGTCTAATAGAGATTGGGGTGGCCTTCTGCTCTGGTGGTAGGTATGCGCTTCCGGCCAGCTTGGCGCACGCGAGCCTCGAGCTGATTTCCGGTCCTTGCGACCGCACACAGGGGGCCTGTTCCTGATCGGCGGCGTCGTGCTATTCTTTGACCGGGCCATGCTTGCGATGGGAAATGTAACTGCAAAATCTCCCAACCCCGTCTTCGGTGTCTTTTCTTCTAGAAGTTACTGACGCCGAGACCTCTCCAGATCCTCTTCCTTATCGGACTGACGATCATCATCGGGCCGCAGAAGACGCTCCTCTTCTTCGCCCGGAAACAGAAGATCAAGGGGACCCTGGCGTTCTTCGCCGGACTTGCCTTGATCCTCTTGAGGTGGCCGCTGATAGGCTTCTGTGTCGAGCTCTACGGAATCATGGTCCTGTTTGGCGACTTCCTCGGGACGATCGCCAGCTTCGCTACCAACCTTCCCATCGTGGGACCCTACATCGGAATGATCGTTGAGCGGACAGGATTGGGACGGCGAAATGCTGAACTGCCTGTATGATGCTTCTGGACACTCTCGAGGGACCATGGAAGTAAAGTGGGACGGCCGGAGCCTGGGCGCTGGTGCAATTCGACGATCGGTCTAGGGGGAGACTACAGTCTTTTGACCTTGATAGACGGACGGTCGCTGTAACGGGAACGGCGTTGATGGGGGAAACTATACCCTTGTAATTTGCGAGGCGCGGGCTTCATGTGTAGGATACAGCCAAAGAATGGAATAGAACCTTGTAATATAATCAAAGCTCAGAAGAAGAGGTCGGATAGACGCACTCTGTGCGGCTTCTAGTAGGGCAATTCAACGCATTCTAAAAGGTGGTCACAACAAACGGCTGTCCGGAGTGTGGTTATGGAGAAGCCCTCATCGGGAGAATGGTCCTCGCCATAGTAGCAACGGGGGGGGAATAAAAGAAACGGACTTGGCAGCCAAACATCAGAAAATCCATCCACTCCTGTGTTCTTCTAGAGGAAAATTGTGTGGCTCGCCTCTTCCACCTGCGAGGCAGCCTGGTCATCCATGCTCATGTAGTCCTCAGCATCACAGCATGCTCTTATCCCACCCAGCGGATAGTGGTGACGAGTTCTTGTTAGTAGCCAGCATTGATTAGGTAGTCCGCGAGGGCTTCGACGGTCTGTGCTGCGTTGCCGGCCACCTTGCCCTCATCGTAGTATCCAACTAGGACTGCCTGTTTTGTCTTGACAACGACAATGCCTGTCCTCCCCTGTTGAATAGAGCTGGTTAAACGCTGTTCTCGGTTATAAGCGGGGAGACCAGCTAGTCGAGCTCATACCTGTCGGCCATAGAGACTTCTGTCCTCAATCTTGGTCACAACGAAGCGAATGCCGGTCACATAAACACCGTCGGAATGGGCCTTTTCCACAGCACCGCCCGAGTTGTTCAGTATATCAACAAGTGCCTTCTGCTCCTCGGGTTTGATCTGTGGGAATACCATTAGCTGATGAACCTAGCAGCAACCGGCTAGCGGGGTTATTGACCTGGAAATCTGGAGAGCTCGCCCATACGCTATCCCCAGCAGCACTGATGATAGCACCCTTGTCAATATGACCAGAGGCCACAAGGCTGGTTCAACTGTCAGTGCTATTCATGTTGGGCGGTGGGATGGTGATGCGGCGGCGAACCTCGAGTCAACATAGGCTGGAAAGGGCAGTTAGCTTGGCCCTCCAAGCAAAGCAGAGCAAGAGCGGGGCACGGCATACCTTGCCAGGACATGTTGACAGGAAGAGTTCTCTCGGAATTCAGGAAGATATATGGATGGATGGATGGATGGATGCGCAAATCAGTTAATCTGGATGGGCGTTCGAAAGAGGCGGCTCTGGATAGACACAACAAGACGTCGTCGGGATTGAGGCAGCTATTTTTGGCGGGGTTTGGAAGTTGTCTGGTGTTTCTTGAACCCCGCTACGATAGCCTGAGGAGGCCCCAGTTTTCCCTCTCTTCAAGATTCCAATGGATAGAGGTAGGCGAAGGTACCTCGCTTTTTGCGGCACCGAACGGGGAGACCCGCAAAGATGACGTGGTCACCCTAGTAGGTACCTAGGTAGTTAGGAAACTCGGAGGTTTTCTAGTATCATTGCGCAATTCCACCGAACATTTACTTGCTGATGTTCCAGGTTGTCTTCGGCTTCAGCATTTACCCACCGACATCTTGTGATACCAGTGACCACCTTTCCTGCGAAGTCCTGTGAAGGGGAACCACACTTCTTCCTAAATGGATGGAGACTGTGAGTCCAGCTTTTCATTCGGATCTGCAGATAGAATAAGATAGATTCGGACGAACGACTGACATCCATGTTCTCCCTGGGACCAACTTCATGCCTGGAGCCATCATGGTCAGGAGATCTGGAAGGCAGACCGAATATTCCACTGCATTGTTGAGGTGTAGGCTTCGGGATGGCCGGGAGGCCAAGCGGCACGATCAATGATCTGGGGACATGGTCTGGGTTGTGCTTCTTTCGACGAACTTCATGCTAGGAGGACGAGGTTCATAGCACTAGAATATGGGAAAGAGCCCTTCTGCCGTTGCCGTCGCCTCTAACCATGGGGATAAACACATCGGTATTGGATGGCAGGAACGAGGATCTGCCTGTCCGAACGAGGAGGAAATCTGGGTGATCCATAGAAGACTTGGAAGGCGGCCTTGAGGCACCGAGAAGTTATCATACCGTCGATCTTCAGGCGGTTAATAGGTCCAGAAGCCGCTTGCACTCATCCCGTAAGCGATACACTGATTTCACGGCCTTCAGGACCTTCACGATCTCTTTTGGCAAACCGACGTGGTATCATAACCTCGCAATGTGGCGAGTGTGGTTTGTGTTACGCAGAGATTTGCAATCTTGAGACACTTTATCTCGTGGTCCTTATTTACCCCTGAAGGGAGAATACGTCCAGACGAACCATATTCGCAAGGCTTAAAGCTTGGGCTACCGAACACTCCCGAACGAGCTGTTGAACGAAGATGAGCCCAGCCAGTCTGACGACCTCGATGAGCTGTTCAAAGAGGATTGGGAAGAATCGAAGAACATGACGGGACTACACAGTAGAGAAGGTCGCAAGGAGATTTCCATAGACTCGTAAGGGCAGATCACATCCTGATTTGCGGCTAACCTCTTACATCAAATGGCACGTGATGGTGAGAGCGCGCCTGGCGTCCGGTTGTTTCAACCTGGGAGGGTATATCGCGACGTTTTTTTGTCGGTGGCTGAGAGCTGGTAATCTGCAGCAACGTTGGCTACAGGAAACGATGACAATGGAGAAGTTACAAATGTAGTATGCCAAGATGGGGGAGCGACGGCCGTTTGAAGGTGCTGAAAATTGCATGTGTGTACATTCCATCAGCACCTGCGAATCGACTGATGCCCAGACGGCCATCGTCCGTTTGATTGTATTCGGTAGATGGGACTCATCTCCCATAATACAACCCCAACTCGCCTGCAGCGCTGCAGGCCTGCAGAGTCTCCTTGATTCCAGGTACCAAAGTATGGCTTGCAGCTGAGCCGTCTGCAGCTGCACCACCTGCAGTTATCCAACCGACATCAGCAAGGAGTGCTGATGATTTATCCAGATTTTTGCGGATGTAACAGCCCAGCTTGCTAGTATACATCTAAGTCCACGTGATGATGGCTTTGTCGGCTGATTACGGCGCACCCTTATTTTAATCTCTGGTCCTGTGCAGCTGGCCAACTCCTCGTTCTGTTAGTTATCAATTTGAATCGACCTCAAGTCCATGGCCAATCCAATGGAGATGGAGATGACACTGCTACCTACCTATCGAAACGGTGCCAGCCAACCCCTGCAGGCGGCGGCCGCCAACGAGTGACTGCTCCGCCGGGCGTGCAGGTTGGTTGTATCAGAGACTGGGCAGGCAGGCCTTATCCCTGGAAACTCCAAAACTTCTGGACAACTTAGCAGATGTGTCCGGAGCCAGGGTTTCCTGTTCTCCCAAAAATCATTGATTCCTGGACAGCCCTGCCGCGTGCCACTAAGAAAGACTGGAAATTTACGCCGGGCTCGGTTTCATGGAGATGGCCAGGTATCAAAGAATTGAGCCTGTTCTGCCTTGTGTTAACTAGACGGCCTGCCGCGACGAGGCAAGTCCGGTGACGGTCGACTCCGACCTTCGCTCCGTAGATCACGCCGACCGCCTGCCCCTGTCGTTGTTGTCTTCCCCCAACTCTGAGACACGAAAGCGCAAGCTCTCCGCACCAGGATCACCCAGAGTGGGGCGCTCCCTTGCCCCTCGTCATCTGGATCGGGGAAGGATGGCTTTGTTGCCACTACCGCCTGTGGTTCGCAACAGCCAACAGTTTGTGCTGGCCTTGGGGGGATCTCTCAGGCTCTGCTCTGGGGTCGCGATCCCTGCTGCTGATCAGAACTCTCTGAATAGCCGTCTTTCTGGAAGAATACCCGCCTCGAGATGCTGAGCAAGATGGGAAGCTATGTAAGTCGAGACAAGCCCGGCTCTTGTTTTGTTGAAGAGTCCTTCATTCTGTTTGGTCTGCGGCTTCGTCCCCAGCTGTCCTTCATTTCAGTCATTAATTTCTGCTATTTTGCGCGAGAAGAAACCTCAACCACTCCTTTCGATCTATCTCATCCCCCAACCCGATATTCGCGGGATTACCTCATTTGGGTCCCGCCTCAGAGCTAGTAGCTGGAGCGTCGGGCAGGATAGAACCCTGCACATGGTTCGGGGGACACAGCAGGAGCAGATACCATGTTCAGAGTGATTAAGCGTTCCAGATCTATGAGGGTTGTTGCTGGGCATGCAGGAGGCGACTCTGCGCACGGTCCATCCCCCCCCTCCAGTGCTGAGCAAGGCATTGTGTCAGGTCCCGGTCTGCGCGATGCAGGTGGGCAAGGAGTTCAAAATGCTCGCCTGTCCCCCGTGCGATTCGATGACGGGAGGAATCCCTATCTCGACCGGCCGCTCCCTCCCCCGCCTCCGCCAAAAAGCACCCCGTCTGTTCTTTTTACTATGCCACCAGCACGACCAAGCACATCTTCGGGGCCGAGTGAGAAGGCGTCCATCCTTCTTGGACTCTCCGAGAAACCAAATTTCGACAAGAGACTGTCCAAGGATGACATGTTCTTGGCCAGCAAGACAGCACCAAGGAGAGGTCTGAAGTGGCATCACTTTGGAGTCAGGGGTGGCCTTCCCACACCAGAGTCGAGCCCAGGAATACCTTCCTCCCCGATGGCAACGTCTTCGGCGATACCAACACGGATGCACACCCCGGAGTCGCTGGCTTCTGGGGAGATCCAGATCGGAATGGCTTTGGGAAGCCCATCCCACCTCCCGGATTCCTATTCCGGCTGGCAGCCTCAACGGTCATTCCAAGTTCCGGCGGGCCGACAGCCTCAAGCTCCTCCCTCACCAGAACTAATGCCACCTGCGAGCGTACCAGCCGTTCAGAGACAGAAGACTCAGAAACGAAAGCTATTCGGAAACCTGTTTGGAAGCAAGAAAACCGCGGACTCGGCAAAGGCCGGCAACAGCCCGGCTCCTGTGATGACGTTTACCATGCAGCAGCCGCCTGTCGGGGAGAGCATCCCAGCGAGGAGTAATACTGTCGGGGACCGGAGGCCAGTGAAACACATGCCTATTATCATTAGGTCTAATACCGTATCTGCTCCAGACAGCCCGCCTGAGGAGCCGACAACCTCAAGTAGCAGCCTGAAGCCAAAGCCATCGCAATTGACACCCTTCGAGAACCTTGGGGGCTATTATCCTGGGTCTATCGGCACGACACCTTCAATTACTGCTTCGGGTTTGGGGTCTCCTAGCCTGGAGTCTCCCAACCTGGAGTCTTCAAGCCAGGGGTATTCGAGCCTGGGTGCTTCAAGTTCGGGCCCATTCCTCGACGTCGAAATCCCGAGCATCAAGATGGAGAGATACAGTGTCATGTTTGACAGCCTTCTCAATCCGCAAGGGACCTCGTCTCTTCTTGCCAGACGGCAGGCAACATTGGAAAAGTTGAAGACCATCAACGATAGGATAGCACAAGAGGAGGAGGAGCGGCAGAGATTGAGACAAAGAAGAGCAACCTCACCACAACCGGCGAAATCACCAGGACTCAGCCTATTTCCACACCAAGGGGCGCCACATGGCGCCTCACCGCTCAGTCCTCGAAGACTCATGCGGTCAAACACGTCTCCCGCCCTTCTACCCTCGCCCTCGCAGCCCAACTTTGATCGTGAACACCACTACTCGCGGAGGGATAGGAAGACGGTAACGATCGTCTCTCCACGGACGATGGATCATCGGAACCGGACCGGGACGCCGAGCCGCGAACACGAAAATATGCAAGCGCCAGCCCCAGAAAGGGGCTTCCGCTTGGGGCCCGACTCCTCGGGCCTGGTTCTGGACTCGCCCGAAAGCATGGCCGCCCCCGCCGCCGGCAACACCCGCGACGCGCCCAACACCGAGGCCCTGGCCGACATGTTGCCACTGAGGCACACCATCGCGGAGCCGCAGTGGCAGATGGTGTCGCCGCCGCCGTTGTCGAGCAGCGCCAGCAGCAGCGTGGCCACGTCGCGGCGGTCGCCGTCGTCGTCGGCCTCGTCGGTCCGCACGCACATCACGCAACCCTCGGTCGACTTGGACGAGCCCGACGCGGCCCTCAAGACGGCCGTCGAGATCAGCATCGCCCGCCAGATCAGCATCAGCCGCCAGCAGCGCACCCTCCTGCAGCCCATGAAGCCGACGGCCATCGGTGGCCCCGCTGCGCCCGTTGCTGCCCCCACCGCCCCCGCCATTCCTACTACTACCCCACCGCGAGGCCGCGCGAATTCCCGCGGTACCGCAAGGTCCTACATCCCGCGCGCGAACCCCATCCGGAAGGTGACGCTGGAGCAGCACGAGCGCGTCGCCGAGACGAGGTTCGCGACGCCGAAGCTAGTCGCGCCGGGCGCGGGCGGGATGGCGGGGAGCCACCTGGCGCAGCATCGGAAGAGCGAGAGGGTCGTGCTCGAGGCGGCGTGAGCGGCCTTCCAGTGGGATTCCGTCCCTTTTATTTTTCTTCTTCTTCTGATTCTGGTAGAACAGTCCGGAGTTTTTGGATTCTTAAAACCCAACCGCCGAACCCTCTTGAGATAATTGGAGGAGGCGTCGGGCTCTACCTGACCTTTCATAGGATCGGCTTGTATTCAAGAGGTGGTTCGGTGGGCTGGAACCTCACTTCCCTTGTTTTATCTTCTACTTTTTTTCCCTTTATTATTGTTCCCTTTTATACTTTCGGATACGGCGTTTCATTTGTCAAATTGAGAGAGACGAGCCTTGATGGTTGTCGCGTATGATACCTTCTGTAGTTGTTGTGGCACCTTTTGGGAATACCAGCTGGGAAGGATCGGGATTGTTAGACGAATGTCGGGCGCTGAGGGCGGGAAATATTAGGACGCGTATAATCTAGTCTCAAATACCTAGCTGTCTAAATGATATCTCATGGTTGGTAAATGCCATTCTCTCTCATCTTGTGACGATGCCCGAAACGGCTCCGTCGTTCGGCGATTTTACCACAGAGCAGTGGCGTTAACCACCATCGTCCTATCCCTATCAGGGAGACTTAATTCACGTTTGTGCCAGCTCCTAGCGAAACGCCGGGCCTCGACCGCCTCGGCGAAGGACACGATGAATCTCGCACGCTGTTGCGTCGGGTCATCCTTCTCGGGCGGCCCCTTCTCGAGAGCATTCCGGAATCCCGCCCCCGGGATTGGCGCGATCGATCGCGGACCATCTTGCAATCGCCATGCGAGATTGCGGTCCTTGCCGTCATCCTCAATAGCGCCAAGTAGCGTGTCCGCCGTCACCTGGCTCCCGTCAAGCCAGACCAGGACCTTATGATGCTCCCCCTTGCCTTCGGCGTGGCGCCCGCCGTCGCCGGACCAAATCCCACCGCCAATTCCAGGCTCGCCATTGCGCCTCCCGGCTTGCCCGTGCCGGCGGCTCTCCACCTCTTCCGGGAGCCTCAGCTTCAGATTCAGGGCCGCGCTCGGCGGGATCAGCGTGAAGGCCTGGACGCTGGCATCGGTGTCGCCCTCCCCGCCGCGGGTGGCGCCCAGCTTGGGCGCGAGGGGCAGGGGCCCCGTTGGGTCGCGCGGGGAGAGGTCCCAGTTGGAGCCCGCCGCCTGGCGCGAGAGCGACAGCAGGCGCATCACCTCGTCCATGTAGGCCATGGCGGCGGCTCGGCTGTCGAAGTGGATGAAGTACTGCCCGAGAGGCTCTTGGGTGGTCGGGGACCGCGCTTGGACGACTGGTGATGCCGATGCTTGTTAGCAAAGAAGGGAAGAGGGGAGGAGGGGAGAGGTTCGATCCGTCCGAAATACGGGATACATAGGGGGCTTACCTTTCACTATGCCACTGGCCCAGCCATCCAGATGCTGCCCTTGTCGGCCGAGTCGGTAGAAGTCGCTCTCAAGCAGAGACTTACTTGCCGAATTAAGTACTAGAACCGCCGGCCCGTTATAGCTTTGACCCTCGTCCGTATCCGTTCCATTGGAGGTCTCGGGGGGTTGGTTCGTAGGGGTCTTGAACGCGCGGCCCAGAGGTATATCGCCCATCTCTCCGTTCTGCGACTCTCTTCCACGGATATACCGCTCGCCCCACCTTGGGGACTGCGTGCCCTGACTCTCCGTCTTGGGTTGGGACTTTTCCCCCCATCCCCATGCCTTCATGTCCCTGATCAGCGCAGAGCGCAAGGGCTTCTGAGCCGGGGGGTTTCCATGCCTCTGCCTAGGCCGTGTTCTTGTCGCCGGCGGCGTGCCCGGAAACAGCTTGTCGTACAAGGAGGCTTCGTTGGAAGCATCCGGGGGAGTTCGAGAGCTTTTGGCTCGACGGGTCTGGTCACGGCGATGGGGAATCGTGAATCGGGCAGCTGTTCCCCATGGCGAAAGGGCAGACTGCGGCGCGAGCAGCCTCCTCGTAAGCATCAAGGCGGTCAATGCTATAATGTATTCATCGGAGCTAGGTTGGACGAGAACGACTGCACGTGGTAGGAAAGGCAGCGATTGACTATCAGTTATAGCAGCTTGGTTCCGTTCTTTTCAGCGGCGGAAAATCCTAGCTTGGCCTCATCCGCCGCTAGAGCATGCACCCGCTCGTGCAACGTCGGGCTTTGTGCGGATTCGGCGTGTACATAAAATAAGGTATCGGATACCACAGAATCAAACTCCCATGCCAAACTTTGGGAAGCCCATATCGACAAATGGAAAGCTATGTACACCCAAGAAGTATGCTTGTACGTCTCTTGCGTAAATAATTACGATTTGGGCTTCTTTCTTTTGGATCCTGATCTCGAGAAGACAGGCAAAGGTAGCACCAATACACCAATCACAAGAACTGGATTGCACATGCTCTGCCTCTTTTTTGTACCAAAAACCAAGCTAGAATTTTTGCATCCCTATCATATAACCATTCCGCATCTGTCTCCATGGGCTTCCATATCTGAAGACACAACCTATCGGCCACCTTCTCCTCGATCCACCAGTTACCAGAGTGCAACAACTGAGGTCGTATACGTTCATTTCAAGTGCCAACCCGGCTTGTGATTGCCGGCGTCACTGCCCTGGTTCCCAAGCACTGTACCATCCTCTTGACAAGGCATATCAGGCTGTTGTTGATCGTGATATCCAGCTGAGATGAGCCACTGAGATTGGTGTGGCTGTCCATTCTTCCGTGTGGTGATTCTCATCCGCGCCTTCCTGGTCAGTTGGCAGAGGGACTGTGGCAAGACCACTTGCAGTCCAACCCTAGAAAGGAAGGGCCGAGAGGGAAGCTTGACTGGTGGATGGCAGTAGAAAAGCCGAGTCCATAGCACAGCCAGGGCAAAGTCTTCAGAGCTTTCCGCAAATCCCCAGCACGAGTGTCTTTCAACCTACAACCATGAAGACTCTCGAGCTCAAGATTCGGGCAACCAACCCAGGTTCAGAACAGAATCTGAAGCTAGCTTCTCGCGTCTACGTTGGAAGAGATGCCCTCATCGAACTGACAAACGGGGTGGAAGACGGCAAGCCCATTACAATTGAGAAAATCTCAGAGGATGGCCAAGCGGCGAGACGTCGGGAGGCAACTGTCTGGGCTTCCCCAACCAAACTGGTCAAAGTTGCCCAGATGAGCGAGACTCTTCGCACAATCTATGGCTATAGCATAGGGGATGTGGTCAGGATATCATTCTCTCCTGGTAGCACTGTTCCAGACGCCGAAGAAGTCGTGCTCAAAGAGGTGACGCCCAAAGATGGAGCAGCGGCTCCCCTGGAGACGGGGTCGAGTGACGGGTTTTGGGAGCAACTTGTCGCCCGGCATCTGGTCCATATTGAAAATGTCTTCGTTGGAATGACCCTGAAGAAGCTACAGGCGCCTCCTCCTGTCCCTATCTTCACAGTCTTGTCTGTCAACGGATCACCCACCGCCCTCGCACGATACAGCCACGGGAAAACGGTTGTCAGAATTGGCGGTGACGAAACCCTACCGGTGAATGGCGTGGACACTCGTAAGCTCGAGATTGCCGATGTTCCCGGCCGAGAGTCTCAGGTCAAAGAGCTCAACAAATTCTTGCGCCGTTTTGCGGGAAACTCTGCCTACAATCGACCTGACCTGCGGGCCGCTGGCCTTGTTATTCATGGCACGCATGGTACAGGCAAGACGATGCTACTGGACCGGATAGCCAAGATTGGATGGGGAACAGTGCATCGCATTCAGTTCAAAGACAAGTTATCCGACATCCAGGAGACCCTTGTGAGGGCTCGGAGTCAGCAACCTAGCATAGTCTTAATAGACATGCTCGAGAGGCTGATAGACAAGGACCGAAGCAACCGCAGCGCCGTCATTCTCGCCCTCTGTGATACCCTTGATGGACTGGCCCAAGACGCGAGGAACACAGGCGAGCTGCCTAGAGTCGTTGTCATTGCTACCTGCTTGGATCACACTACTGACTTGCCCGCCGATCTCCGAGACCCAGGCCGGTTCACCAAGGACATCTATCTCCCCCTACCAGATGTGCAGTGCCGAAGGGCTATCCTGTCCTCATATAATCTACCATTTTCTCCCGAGAAGAAGGAGGAGGCACTAAAGGATCTTAGCGAACGGACTCATGCCTACAACGCCAAAGACTTGCAACGCCTTGTTGACGAGGCAGTCGACCTGGCCGAAGAGCTGATCGGTCCCAACGATGGCACCTCGGACGCAGAGCAAGCAGAGTTGTATCTCCCGCCCGAAATCTTCGATCAGGCCCTCAGGAAAGTCCGTCCCAGCGCGATGCACGACATAAACCTGAAGCCGCCACCCATTCGCTGGGACGACATCGGCGGGCAGGACTCGGTCAAGGCATCCCTGCGCCAGGCTGTCGCCTTGTCGACGGCGCCGAAGGAGCTCCTCAGCGCCGTAATCGAGACCCCGCCCAAGGGCTTCCTACTCTACGGGCCCCCAGGCTGCTCCAAGACCATGGCGGCCCAGGCCATGGCGACCGAGTCCGGGCTCAACTTCTTCGCCGTCAAGGGCGCCGAGCTCCTGAACATGTACGTCGGCGAGTCAGAGCGCGCCGTACGGCAGCTGTTCGAGCGTGCGCGCGAAGCCTCCCCCAGCATGATCTTCTTCGACGAGATCGACGCTATTGCCGGGCAAAGGCACGGCTTCGGCAGCGGCGGCACGAAAGCGACCAGCCACGGCGGACTGAACGTCCTGACCACCCTTCTCAATGAGATGGACGGCTTCGAGGCCATGCAGGGCGTCCTCGTGCTCGCGGCGACGAACAGGCCGCAGGCACTGGACCCGGCCCTTCTCCGCCCGGGCCGTTTCGACGACCTCATCTACGTCAGCCCGCCGGACCTCGGCGCCCGCGAGGCTATCTTCCGCGGCGTGGCGCGCAAACGTCGTCTGCTGGATGCCGACGTGCCGCGCCTGGCCGCCGCGACCGACGGGTACTCGGGCGCCGAGATCAAGGGCATCTGCGCTGTCGCGGGCAGGGCCGCCTGGGAGCGGTACACTCGGGACCCCGGGGCGGTGGAGCTGGGCATCACCATGGCAGACCTGGAGGCGGCGATAGCGAATCAGAAGAGGCAGATAACGGAGGAGATGTTGAGGGGGTACTCGGACTGGGAGGGCCAATTCCGCAGGTATTAACCAGATGGCTATGTCGGCTGGTGGTTATGGCGGGAGGGCATCGGTGGCCGGGAGATGGTTTGCCATGGATAGCGTTATCTCGCAAGAGGTACTCGATCAGCAGGCCCCTTGCAACATGCATTACATTGGGCTGGGATGGGCGAGGATGAGAGGGTCCATCCGTACCTTGTTGCGATAGAGGGATGTGTGCACGTCAAATATCACATAGAGGAAGGCATATAAATGCTCTAGAATCATGACTATTCATACCAATCGCCTCCCCTGTCTTAACTGTGGGGATGGTCGTGGTGATCGTCACAGACCTCTCCGGGTCCATGTTAGAGCAAGTCCCATCATCGACCCCGTCCGGCCGCCGGAGGGCCGCATTACTATAATTCGTACATGGAGGCAACTTTCCAGATAGGCTTTGAATCAGAATCAGATCAGCTGAGATCCTCGGCCGGGTGGGGGTCCTTCTTTTATGCACTCCTGCTCTCCTCTCCTCTCCCCTCCTCCCTTCCCTCCTCCGTATTTCCCTCCTCCCCTGCGCCGGGAAAACCCTCCAATCGGGAGGTGGGGATGGCTGCGTCGCCCCCCCTGAACCAACTTTGACCGACCAAACCCGCGAACCTCGAGAAGATATACCTGTCTATTCCAGACGTGTAAACGCAGAAATCCATAAGTACCTGTGGGGGAAACCCCTGCCAGGATGGAGGGGGAGCAGATAGCCACTGCGCCCACACACCAACACCGATGACCGGAGCAAAACAGCCCGACGGAGCAAAACGCCTCTCCTAGCCCGACACCCCATTCCAATGACAGAGTAAATTTTGACATTCATGCTTGTTTTTTTTTTAAAAAAAAAAATCATGCTCATGCGGCCGAGCCGTCCGGGTTTGGGGAGTGCCCAGCAGAGCTCCTCAACGACGGCGAGAGGGAGATGGAGATCCTCTTGGGGCCGTTGGGGCTTGGGTCGCGAGAACCGCCGGCGAAGCTCTTCTTCTTGCGCAGCACAGCTGCTACCCCCGCGGAATTGAGGCTTGTGGAGCTGCTGTTCCGGCGCTTGTTGTGTATGAGCTTATCCAGCTCGTCGTCCTCCTCCTGCTCCCTGCGTCGCTTCTCCGACACTCGCTCGGGAGGCGGTGCTGCAGCTGCGGCCGCGACGCTGCTACTCCGGCTCGGCGCATCCTGGTCGTCCTTTGGCCTGTCACCATCTGGACCGGCCTGAGCCATGGCCGTGTCGCCATTCTCTTCTCCCTCCTCGTCCGAGGCGTAGTCGACCAACGGCTTGGGCGCCGGGGAGGCCCCGTTGGGGGCAGTACCATGGCCTGGGGGGTTACCAAGCTCGTCCTCATCATCCGACGTATTCCAGTACTCTTCCTGGGCCGGATCCACGGCGAGATGCTCCATCATGCCTCTTGTGTTTGCATTGGTCGGTCTGCGTCCCACCTCATCGTCAGATTCCAGGAAGTAGGCGTCAACGTTGTTAGTGAAGCCCTGCGTCTGGTCGTACCTATCTAGGATATCCCGGAACGTATCCATATAGGTAAGCGCCGCAAGCTTCTCCCGGTAGTTCTCGACCAAATGCTTGACCAGATCCTTGATATTCTCCTTCTTTATCAGCTCGAACAAATCCAAGCAGGCAGAACACAGGAGGTTGTCCCGGGGCATCGTGACCAGCAAAACATCGAGAACGGGGCCGAGGACTTGCTTCTCGGCAATGTGCTTGATGTAGAACTCGTCTTGCAGCATGATTAGGTAGCGGAAGAACCGTATGGCGACTAGTGAGTGTGAGTATAGAACCGGCCCCCTTCTCAACGGGCCGCAGATGACTTACCGAGTTGGAGATGTTTCTCCTTACAGGCCAAGAGCTGAATAAACCTCTGAGCAATGTTGTGTTGCAGAACGAAGAACTTGCCGCGATGATGGTGCTGCCGGACGTAGAAGCAAAGGATATCGTTGAGGTAACCGAAAACTCCGTCGTCCGGGGCGCTGAATGTCATGTCGGTCCTGTTCTCTAGTTCGAGAAGCGGCTTGAAAAGCCTTACCGCCGAGTGTTCGTAGAAATTCGTCAGGAACAGCTCCTGCTGGGGGTCGGCATTCACCTGCGGCTGAATCCTTGCGGCAAAGCCTCCGGCCTGCTTCCCAAAGTTTTCAGGATGTTGCCCCTGTGGATTTGGGTCGAGGAGCACCTTGAGAGCTTCTGACACCTGGGATTTGATCCCTAGATCCACCTCGACCAGGAGGAGGTCGATCAAGGTGTCGGTCAACGGCGGTTGCTTTTCTTGCAGTTGGCGATAGATGGTATGGCGGATCATCTGCGGATCATGGTCGATCATGGAGACCAGGATATCCGTCGCTCCGACCCTCACCGAGACATCCATACTTCGAAGCCCAAAATTGATGACCTGGAGTAACCCATGGGAGAGGAAGTTGTTGTACAGGGTCTGTCGGGCCGGGGGCTGAAGGTTCTTAGCAATAGCACTGCACTGCTGGATGAAGAGAACCGCTTCTTTCTTTCGTAGTTGTTCCTCGTTCGGATCAGCAAAGATGGCGAACAGGTCGTTCAGAAATCCACCATTCTGCTGGAGATGTTGAACGATATCCACCTGGTTGAAGAAGATGAGGGAGTTGAGGACGGAAAAGGTGGGGTCGTCCAGGATTCGGGCTAGCACTACGTCCTTGAGGTATTGAAGCCTGTATGTCTGGTGGATCTTCCTGCGGATCTGGTCGTCCTCGATCCGTACCACCTCTTTGTACCTGCCCTGGTTGTTTAGCCATTGGCGGTGGTTGGCCTTATGGCTGGGGAAATCGGGATCGTATTCTAATGCGCCCACGACGCCCAACACGCAGTCGTCTGAAACTGCGTGTTCGATGATAGCCGTGTCGTTGAGTAGGAGTATCGTCTTCATGATGTTGCAGAGGCGGTGGAGATCTGGCAGGCTCTCGAGGTCTTCTGCCATATCCACCAGGGGTATGAGCTTGCTGATGTAGTCCTCGCCCATAATAGTCTTTGCCAGTGCATCCCGGCCATTAGCCGTTGAGCTCATCACTCGCATGTTGTTCTCGAGGTCTGGCAGATTACCGAGTTCTGCCGGCGGAAGTTGAATAGTGGTTGGTATGTCCATAGCAAGATCATCGGAGAGGCTATCATCTGCAATTTTCGCATTAGTATGAGTCATTGTAGGAGGTATGGGGTTATCAACAAACCGGGATTACCCCCCATTGGGTTCTGGAAGCTCTGCTGGACGCCATTGATGAATTTCCTGTTGTAGACATCAGTTAGACTTGTGGAAGAATACACACTGGGCAACATTCAAAACCCACCATATCATGGCGCATCCTTCAGCCTCTTGAAAGCTCAGGGCCATGTCCACACCATTGGTTGGCTCAGTCCACACGATAAGGGTCTCTGTCCAGGTTGTTAGGGCCTCTGTTAGACGCGACAGCTTCATGCGCAACCTGCCTTGTTGTTTCTGGAAGCCATCCTCCTTGCATATCTTAGTCTGAAGGAGGAGCCTGTCGGGTTGGTCTTCGGACTCAACAATGACGCGGGGTTCCTTATTCTGTCCGTCGATCTGGACAACACAAGTAGGATTAGTACTCAGCAAAATTCCAACGCAAGGGGATAAGTGCAGGCTGGAAGGGGGAAGGGGGGGGATGTGACTATATCTAGACAGGAATTGATAGGGTAGCATATCACGTACAAGAACAAAGGCAGCAGTGCAAAAGCCAGTGCCACGGTCAAACCAGTCATTGTTCCGAAGCTCGTAGACCTTGACCCGCTTCTTATCTGTCAACTGATGAGGCACCGGTTGTGCCATCATCAAAGGCTCGAGGTCCCCCTCAGAGACAAGTAGGTTGTAACTAAGCAGGTCAGGACTGAGGTCAAGATGTTGCTGGAGTGATAGTTCGGTGTTGGCGCGGCCAAGCAGAGTGAGTGCCGCCACCTTCTCGGGTCTTGCGCGCAGTGACTAGGCGCGCCTTGGTGGACGGTCAGTCAATGTGCCGGCTGCTGGGTTGTTGGGCGGCAGATGATGTCGCACACAGGCAGTGACGTCGGATAAAAATCGCAATCGGGATTCTAACGAGCCATGCAGGCTTCGGGGGGGGGTGGAGTGGCGGCGGGGAGAGGTGGGCGTACCGTGGGATCGCGATCACAGCTGCAGACGCGCAATTCGAGAGAAAAAAACAGCGACAAATGACGGAATTTGTAGAGAGGCAGTCGCCGCCAAATGAAGGTTGGCCACGCAGTGTTGCGATTCCACGTCTTCTTCGGGATGGCGATGGAATCTTTAAGGCCGTCACTGCATGCGCCAAGTTGGAAGAAGTTGGTGGGCCAGATGCGCGTGATCGGCTCCTCTGGCTGTCAAACTGGACTAGGCCCTGCGCTTACGGCCCGAGGGTTTAGCCGCCCTCTTATTTTTAAGCGCGGAGGCAGAATCCATACCACTCACTCCCACTAGGGGGCTAGTCCAGGTGCCAGTAAATAAATGCCAGTTATACCACTTATCCCAATATTTTCTCCCATTTCACTTTTGTCCATGTCCTTCCTGTGGATCCATCAAATCTGTTTACAACATGAAATATTTGCACCGTAGCAGGAAGCCGAATTTATATCTGAGTGCTCCGTAGGCTAGAAGTGTTCGAGCATCGAGTGTGACGCCACCATGCATCATCTCCGTTGGCTGTTTTGAGACGTACTGGGTTTGTTATACCCGAGACTGGCTCTCATAATAGACAACCATTGAGCTGTCGAGTTTACAATTGGTAAACCGAGGGCGGCACATACAATCAGACCTCTTGTGTCTCTGTCACCCCTGGGCTACCATGCCATCATGTGTTTTAAGGTCCCGCTGCCCGATCTATTGACAATTCTAGATGTTGACCTGGGCATAGCAGAATATGCTCCAACCTATCTTCCCTATCCAGTCTCAGGTATGATCACCCTGTTCAGGTGTTTTCCGAATACTGTGTATTTACTGTGAGGTTCTTCAGTCTAACCTCATAACCAGCCCACAAGTGTTGCAACTGGGTAAATCGAGTTGTCACGACAGACATGGAAGTGTTCTAAGGAGCATATTCAATCTAGGTCCTCACTCTTGCTAGATTTCAATGCATCATTCTCTCCCCTTTGTGCCACTAATCTCTTAGGGAGCAGCACCCCATTGCAACCAAAGCCAGTGCCTTTGTGGCATGCATCGAGGGGAAAGACACGATCCTGCAACTAACCTCTTGGAAACGGTATACCTCAAGTTTACATGCTGCGTCCTGCCATTGACTCAGGTACGAGCTGGTATGACAAGAGAAGGAATACATCACAGACGGTTTGCATGCTTAGTCTCACATGTATCCCAAGATCTAGTCTAATGTACGCAATAAATAGGTAGTAAGAGACATGAGTGCGGGGCTTGTTGTGATCAACTTGCATCGATCTACGAGCCGCAAAGCTTGATTATTCGGGGGACAGTCACGGCAGGCGCCTCCAAGCCCAGCACATGAAACTATTTAGAGTGACTTACCCAATACCTATGTCGGTGTGTGCATGTCACCTCAACGTTTTAAAATGTCTAGAAACTCCCAGTCTCAAACATGGGCAAAAATAGCCAATAAGGGTTGATCCCTGCTTGTTCGCAACAGTCGGGCTTTTTATGTCAGTCAGCCAATAGGAGATATACATGTCGGGTGGTTTTATCGCCAACTGCTGTACCTGGTATTTTGCGATACCACCCCCACCCTGGACTCCCTATATTATCTTACCAAAGTGGGCGATACAAGACAATGCGGGGTGGCCAGATGGCAGAGAGGCCCGAAAATGGCGAGCCTCCTGGGTGTTGCGCCGAGGTTGTCAAGTGCCCCTGGAGTAATCCGTAGGTATAGTATACACGTAGTTCCTCTACCAGCAACCAGAGAATACTGGTACTTGAGATCATGTGATATCGCGACCGGGGGGTGCATCCAGACATTGGTGGTTGCTATATTTATCCACCGCCCCAAGGCGCTATTACCTGTTCGGCTACTCGCGTCACCGCTTTTGTCATGATTGCGGGTTCTAGATTCCACCACTGACGAGTTCGAAAAGAAAGAGGAGAGACCGACCGAGGACTCGGGGGTAAACTTACCGGAAGGGGCTTTCGAGTCAGCGAGCGACTTGCCCAGACTCCAGAGTCCAGAGTCTAGATATGCCACTAAACGCTTCCGTTGAGTCAGAAGAAATGCAGTTCCGAGGGCCAACATTTCGACTACTCGAAGTTAGTGCACGCCCACATCACTCACACCACCAGCTATCCCGTGCCAGCATGTCTTGCTTCCTCAGTTCTTGGTTTCAGCTTTCAGTTTTCTGCCACCTGGGAAGTTGGCATGGTTGGGTACCGACATCGCTGGAACTAGCACGCACTGGGAGCTAATCTCTAACACAGGCCATAGTTGGACTCGCCCTGCCTAGTGAGTCCTAAGTTCGGGGAAGCTAGCTGCTCCGGAAACAAGTTTTGTCGGGAATTTCGACGAGTTTGAGAGAATGCCGTGAGAAGGAAGTCCCGTCTGACGGGAGCCGGTGAGGGGACTGCGGGAGTTGGAGTTGGGGATCTGTCGGGCACTTCAGACGGAACAGGGCCGCGAAGATCGAGGAACAAATGGGCCTGTGGGCCTGCACATGCAGTGATGCGCCAGGCGGACATGGATCGCTGCGCGGGAGTGCGTGGGACCCTTTGGGGCATCAATTGGCAATTGCCCATCAGACCGATCAGCGCACCCCTGTAAGCTGCGGCTGGAAGGTGGGAAGGTCGAAGGTGGGAAGGTGGAAGGAACGCTCCAGCGCATGCCAAGTTTGCATTCGTACTATGACTTGGCTCCATGTCCTGCAGTCGAGCAGACCACTTCCAGGTTCCATGATTGCTACGTAAACCATCCCCCAAGAGCAAGGGTCTGGCTGGCTGCTAGCGAGTGGAGATTGGTCGAACCGCGCTGCTGGTACGAGACAAGGCCCCTGCAGCTGGTATCTCTACACGGGCAAATACGAACTATGAGCATTGGATGCCCACATTGGACCAGGGCATGTCAGCATGGGCAGCGTGGCTCCACGAAAGGAATTTCCCTTTCGCCTTCCCCCCTGTCGTTCCTTTATTTTGCGCGAACGATTGCCTGGAAAAAAGCGACCCCTCTTCGATTGGGGATCGAGTGGAGGCCCAGCAAGCAATTGAGATAGCATCGGCTGGACGGCATCGAGGAGAGTCCGAGTCCAGTTCCCCTACCAACTCTTTAGAAATCAATCAATCTTCTGCTTAACTACGTGCTCACTCGTTCCGCGCCATGTGCTGCCCGTTCCTGGGCCCAATATCAGCAGAATCGCACACTTCATACGCCATTGGATAGTCGGGCTCTACCCCTTGCCAGAATTGGCAATCCTGGTTCCAGCCATCCGTCCCATCAATCCCAACAACCCTGCCAGCTGTCCATCTCTGCAGGGCTGGTCTGCTGCTTGTCAACACTACCTACGCCATCCATCCAAACGCAGAGTAATATATGTTGGGGCCCCTGCCCGTGGCTGCCTCTACAGTGCCAGCTCGTTGCGCTGTTCTCTCATAAGGCAGCAGAAAACCCTCTGCCCGGCCTCTTGGCTTTCATATTCTTTTCTCTCCTTCTGCCCATTTCACTCCCCTCTGTTTGCCTCGCCTCCAATCCTAGAGCGGAGTCGTTGCTCGACCGTCAGTACATCCACTGCCTCTCGGCGCACCGCATTCGAGGCCCAAGCCTGGTCCATCCAGCATTGTGGAAGTTACGAGGTCCTTGCGACACTCCGTCGCTGGCCTCCTTCTTTTCGACTTGCACGGAGGATTCCGTATCCAAGTTTCAGCATCGCATTCTGCCGTCAGAGTCTAAATGCCTGCAGGCTTACTCTCTCCTTGACCTGACGCCGTGTCCGAAGTGCTCGAAGCGACTAACAAGAACCCGAGTCTCAAACACCTTGCCGCAGATCCCTGCTTGCCGGGACAGGCTCTGTCCCCTTGATCCTAATCAGACACCTACAATAATCTGCATCCACACCCCGCACTGTACCCGGCTTACACCCACCTATTTTATTACTCTCCAGGAGCTCCCGCGCTTGGTTCCCGTATTCTCTTGTTGGTCTCTCTTGTCCCGAAATTTAGTGCACAGGCGCAAGGCATTGTCACGCCATGTCGGTCTTCTCCATGATCAGGCGAGGCCGCCAGGCCGCCAAGGAGCACAAGACAAAGCAGGCCGAGAAGCAGAAGTTGGAGGAAGCGAAAGTGCCCTACAGGCATATCCCCAAGCATGCCGCTATCGATGCCCTCTCTGGAGGGCCTGCCACCTGGAGGGAAAATGACCGGCCAAAGATTCTGGAGCAGAACAGACGGAGAAGTGCTATGACTGCCAACGGCGTGGGAATGGGGGGCATGATGACACCGATCCACACCGGCATGCCTCGGGTCAACAGCGCCTTGTCCCACGTATCGTACCCATCTGTCTATGCGAGCCCGGTCGTCCAGATGCCCCGGACATACAGCTACAACAGCATCCATCCTGGTTGGAATAACCAGGGCGGAGAAGTTATCTATTCCCACATTGGGCCCCGTGGCGGTTCTGTGAAGGGAAAGGAAGTTGAGAGGGTAATGGTCGATTCTAGCTATGCTAGCCGGTCGTCCAGCAAAGGTTTGAACAGACCGTCAGCGATCGACAGCTTCCTCGCTAACAGCCATCCAGCTACCTCCCCCGTCGAAAGCTCCACCAGTTCCACCAGCTCGCAAGACGATTTGGAGATGAAGCCTGTCAAGCACGCCTCTGCATCGCTAGCAGCCAGTGCCAGCACATACTCTGTTGCCACCACCACCCCGGCCAATACGCGACCCGCTCCTGAGGCTGAATACTTCCACCGCCTGCATCCCAGCCACTCTCGCAGAATCTCTGACCCCTCCACGTCGAACCAGGCCCGTGGCACCTACGTCTCACAGAGACAAGGAGGACCCCGGGTCACCAGCCTTCCGGCGTCCGTTGCAGGTATTCCACCGGTACCCGCTCTTCCGCAGATGCAGGTCGGATACCCACTGTCTCTACATACTTCTTCGCCATATGTTACCCCGGCGTTCAGCGCAGCCACGCCGAGTTCCCTTTTTATGGACGACTATGTCCCGCGGAGCCCGTCATTGGGCCCGAAGACTGCCAGCCCAGCACGCACGCCGCTGCCGGAGGAAGTTGCCGGGCCGATTCCGGGCGATGAACTCGAACCCCCCGCTCTGCCTGCGATTACAACACCTATTCTCTCACATAAGAAAGGAAGGATATCTAAATCAACAAGGTTCACCGAGTTGGAGACCATATCGTCGAATATTTCGGCGCCGACACTTGATACGCGTGCTCCATCCCCGGCTCCGGAGACTATCCGCAAGACCGTCACACACGTCGCTGTACTTCCCACAGAATTCGACGAATCCATCCTGCCAGAGCCCCGAAACCCGATTCCCCCGGCGACGAGGAAACCGGGGAAGCTGACCAAAAATGCAGGCCCGAAGTTGGTCAAGAAGAACCGATGGTCACTAAGAAGCGGCAAGTCGACAGCTGTGGCAGGCTGAGCCGACTCGACATGGAAAGACGAGATTCCAACGCGGCAAGGGCTTGGTCTTCTTCAGCGGTACAATAATTATGACCATCAGTTCCTAGCTTTGGTTTTCCTTCCTGCATGGTTTCAGAGCGGCGCTGGCGTTCTTGGACATTTCTAATACTCTTGGAAACATTTTGTTCCATCTTCCCGTCATGAGTACATATTACGTGCCCCGGCACAATCACCCTCGGAGCAGACATGTCTCCACCACTAGCACTATCGATGCTGCCCTACTTGGCTAATTCCCTTTGTCTTTATTTTTTACACCACGGACATATGCATACGCATACAGCTACTCCGCCGTCTCTTTGGCGCTCTGGATGGATATATTGGCGTTGAAACTGAAAACACTCAGCTACCTCTCTGTTTAGACACAGGGAGCTTGGACATTGTTGGCCGTATCTAGGATATTTGGGGGCAAAACGGCTACTGCCGAACTGGAAATATTAGACCTGGACTGGAGAAACAGGATTGCAAGCTTGCGACTTTATGGCAAGGGGCTTGGATGTCGGCGCTTACGACTCTGTGCGACCGTTGTTGGACATGGAAGGGGGGGCTTAGGACAAAAAGATACAGTTGGAGTCTGGAGGCACTTAGACAGCAATCCAAGCACATCTGCCATCATCCACGCCCCGGTCGGACTCATCCCCGGCCCACTTCCCAATTGTCGGGAGCAGGATAACTGGAAGGCCAAGCCGGGCTACTAGGAGGCAAACGAGGTCGGCCAAACCACTGTTCCCATGGATAGATGTCCAATTGATATGGGGGCGAAACATTGGGGACATGGGTTTGGCGGGCGCGCAAACCACGGAAATCGGCCTGCCCCTGGGGTGAAGGCTGGGTGGGTTTCAGGCACAACGTTGCCCACAGCTGCAAGCCACACCGTTCTCGAAGCCAGTTCCCAAAAGTCACATGTTTTCTGGTACGATACGACGGGGACCAACGATGACCGGAAAGAGAAATGGCAAACGAGTGTCTCGTTCCAGGCTTTGTTTCAGGTCTCCCAGACTGGCAGACCTTTTGGTATCTTACTGTAGTGTCGTGCTGACTGCATCATGCAAACACACACCCCATGCCTACATGATGACCCATAATTACAGTGTCTACGTATCGCGGAATAGGATCTCCGACCGCCAGAGAGCAAGCGTCCTTACTAGTCCTCCACAGCTTTGGCCGCGCATCCGTATTTGAGCTGAGGATAACCTGTTTGTAACTTTGTATCCAACCGAATTAATCAGTCCCTCCCCCCCCCCGCGGTCCACAATCTAACGATCGTCGTTGGCAAGGGTCCCCCAGCCTTGTAAGCGTACTTTCTAGCGTAGCTTATAAACCCGCGATCTCAACTACCGGGCCTTGGATCTTGTCAAGCCGCAGCCAGGAACGGAAGGAGAAGTCGGTGATCAAAGATGGGGAATGTCGACTAACCAGGGGCACACGAGAATCGGGGCTGAGATGGAGGGCATACTTCGTTTAGATAGTATGAATACACTAGAAGTCAACGCGCGGCTTGCGGAGCTGAGAACACCAGTGCCTTGTGGTTGCAACTGATGATAAAGCTCATCTAAGCAGCCGCAGTTACCTGGTTAACTGCCAGCCAGCTAGCGGCATCGCTTCAAGCGACACTTCAAGCTTGAGCCGTGCCTTCGTGGTACAGCAGCATCCCACGCGCGGTTGAGGAGCATCCGCCCCGAATGAACCGTGGTGCTTCTTACACGTATAACTAGGTACCTTACCTTCGCATTATAGCATGTCCAATAGCCGTACCCTAGTAGTAATCATTTCTGCTCATCTGGAAACATCCGCCACCCCAAGCTGCCGTTGGGCGATCGTTGTGGCTAGCTGAAACTATTGTCTTTGTTTGTGCCCGCTAACAGAGATAGCGTAGCACCAATACTTGTCAAGCCACCTGTTGCCCCCTGTCAGTTTAGGCCTGGTCCATCTGCCCCCTGGCCGTCACTTATTTAAGTGTAGTTAGTACAAGTGTATATGTATGCATAAGGCTGCGCGGGAGATAGGCGGATGTCTAGACCCCAGCCACTATCATTGTCAACGCTTGATTGACCTGGCCCTGCCTAGTGCGACTCCAGGTGTTGACATTTCAACAACCACCCATCTAATTAATGCATGGAACACACATCGACGCGCACTAATAGACCTCAAAACCCGTTTACGGCGTCATTTCCCGGCTTTTGGATACGATAGAACACGTCCCCGTCCATCGCCGTCATAAACCGTGCGCGGGCTTCGTTCCGCGTCTACTACCACAGTAACCCCGTGTCGCGCGCGCGCGGACCCCGTTTTGCTCTCTTCGTAATGAGCCCAAGCCGACGACAATGTACTAATTATGTACGGACGTAAAAAAGACATCCATTCGCATGTCATCCCTGCAGAAGGCGTTTTTCCCCACCCCCCATCCCAGTATTTGGATATCTCTGGGAGCCGATAAAAAATGTCGCCATTATCTGGGTCCCCAGTACACCTATCAGGGGCTTCCAAGATACGTGTACGTAGATATGGAAAAAGCACATCATGCATGTCCATACGAGCACCGGAAAACGTCATCTATTACGTTGCGATCTTTTCAGCGGAGAAAACGGAGTCTTGAGAAGTATGGCATGTATTGGTTGCGACCTGTGCTGCGATAGATAAGGATTCCAAGCAACTCCAAAATGTCGAGATGCTGAGCCAGATGATCTTTCATTGCAGCCAGCAATGTAGCAATTCAGCTCGAACAGCGAAAATGAGCCATATCTTTTCTCTCTGTCAACCTCCGCCCCCCCAAACCCCTTTTAACGCCTGATCCCCGACCAATTCCCGACACATCGTCTTGTGTGGGTTGGTTGTCTTTTTTTTTAAAAAAAAAATGCCCCTTTACCAGATACGCCCCCTTCCCGAACCCATTCACCCCTAAAATGAATAATTATCAGAGCCAGTCGCCGTCCTCAAACTCCCCGTGCGCATCGTGAACCCCAACGGGGTTCTTCCGCGGGCGACCCCTTTTGCGGACCTGAGAGCCAGACCTGGCCCTCTTCTTCCGACCGCCAGGCGTGCTGCTCGCCTTGCGCTTGCGGCCGCGACCCGAGACATCCTCGCCCTCCTCATCGGCGCTCGGGGTGGTTGGTTCCTCCCCGTCCAGGTCTTCGTCCTCGTCGGCTATCTTGAACTCCTTGTCCACGTTCATGAGCTCCACGAACGCCTTGCACGTCTCCGTCATCCGCTCCCGCGTGGACATGGCCGTCATGATGGTGCCCACCTCGTCCCAGAACCTCTCACCGTTGACGCCCTGCACCTTCACGGGAGACTTGGATAGATCTTTCGCCTGGCCCTTGGGCTTGTTCTCCCGGCGGTTCGTCCCCATGCCGTAGAGCCGGCGTAGATACGTGCGGGCCTCCCAGAGCGAGTGCAAGATCATCGCGCCCGCCGTCAGCTGTCGTAGGCGAACGAAATCCATAGCCGGCGCTACCTGAATGACGTCGCCATTTGCGGGCGCTTGTGGGTCAGGCTCGGCTTCCATTCGCATCTGTAAGATCTCCGACTCAATGGCGTGCGCCACTGTTGCCCCCGTGCTGGCCACGAGCTTCTCCATAGCCGAAACGGTCGCTTGAAGTTCGCCAATGGTAAGATATTCGAAGAATGCCATATTCTCGATGATAAAGCGAGAGAATTGCACGTGGACCGGTGGCTCCTCCGAACTATCCAGCCTGCCGAGATCGAAATCAATCTGAGCACACAGCTTCTCGAGGAACCTTTGCCGGTTCTTCGACTTGCTAACCTTTAGTACTTCCATCATGAGATGGAGTTTCGAGGTGAAAGGACTTGTGGTGGCTCCGCGAGGGTCCTTTACAACGTCTCGCTGATATGTGAAGGCGAGCTGGATTGCCTTGATGTATTCGCGCTCCAGGACGGTTTCGTGCTTCTCGTGGAGAGCTCTGTGCTCGAGGTATGCTAACTCGGAGATCTTAGGGACGGACGAAGTCTCCAGAGTCATGAGAGAGATCCCAGTCTCCTTGGGATGGACCAAGCCCTGCCTGTTGATACTGGCCAGCACCTCGACCGCAAGAAAGGCGTGCTCATCCTGCGCTGCTAGGGCAATCCGGGTCACCTCTTTCAAGAAGCGATGTGTCGTGGCGCTGGCCACGTCATCATAGCTTGTGCCTCCCATCACAGTTAATTCTCGCGTCTTGGAGCTCTCTGTTCCGTTGGCGGCGGACGCCCCCGACGCCTGCTCGGACCGCTTCTCCTCGATGAGGAGGAACTCCTTGAGTGACTTGAGGATCATACTCTCAAGCGCCGGGACCTGCTCATCAAAGACCTGCTGAAAGGCAGTGTAGATGTTGGCGGCAACATAGTTCCTCGGCGCCGACTGGCATATCAGGCCCACAGCGTCGAGCGCAGCCTTCCTCACGTCCAGCGGCTGCGAAGGCGCAGCAAATGGTACCAAAACGTCCACCATGAGCTTCGAGACCGATGCTCCCGACCATTTTGGGAACTGCGTCTTGAAGAGTTCATGGTGCCCATCGAGGTCGCAGTGTTTCCCAGCCATGCCAACGATGAGCGAATATCGGTCAAACTGCCTAATCTTGCGTTCGTCCAGGGGCTCTCGCTGACTCATGACACGCAGCTTTTGGATGCCTGCCAAGCTCGAAGATACCAGTCGTGCCAGATGCTCCGACGTCTCCAGCAAACCGCTGATGATCCAGAGACATGCGATAATGTCATCTAGTAATGCCCGGGTCACCTTGGAGACGGCAGGCATGAGCTCCTTCCGCACATCTGCGAGGAATTGCGCATGCACGCTCGACAGCTGGGGGAGGACCCGGCGGTAAATCACGACGACGGCTCGGGATACGGTAAGATCCTCGCTAGTGCTGATGGTGGTTATGTAAGGCTTTAGAAGGCGGACTTGCTCAAATGTGAACAGTCTCGCGTCGGCCTTTGCGAGGATCATCAAGACCTGCAGGGCGTCTTTCCCAGACGGCGCCGAGGGGTCCTCCGGATCCGGGTTGTCGACCAGATCAAACATGCTGGCAACGAGCCTCGCGCACACATCAAAGCTGGCCTGGGCCGTTTTCGACTCGGGAGCGAGGATCGTCTGAAGAACCTTGTCGAGCACGATGGTGACATTGCCATGCTTAACAGTCTGAACCATAAGAGCAACGTGGTCGGCCAAGGAAATCTTGGACTCGGCAGAGTTCTCGCTTTTGTAGAAGGGAGCGAACCAGATCTCCTCTATCGTGTGACGCGCAAGATCCCTCACACTTTCCTCTGGGTCTTGGACTCGGTGGAGCAACCCGTAGGCAATGGCGCTCCGAACGCTCCTGCTGTGATTCCGAAGGTAGATGTCCCTGGCAAGCTTCATCGCCCTTCTCCGCACGGCAGGCCCCGTATCAGTGAATCTCTGGACAACGGTCTCTACCATTCCCTCCTCGAGGGCTGGCCGCATTGCAATGCACTTTCCAATCAGCCCGACAGCCGAGTCCCGAACCTGTGTCGACGAGTCGTTGGAACATTGCAGAATCAGCTGGATGACGACCGAGTCGCCATCGAGGATCGATGGATCGGTCTCCAAGACCTGGTTGATGCTCTTCAGACTCTTGCTCCGAACTGTGGCCTGGTCGCTCGCCATAGAGCCGAGGAGGATATTGAGAATCGCAGAGAAAGACTCGCAGAGCTGAGAGCGGAGAAGCGTGATGGCGTACGACAGCCGCGCCTGGTTTGCTGAGACCGACTTAAACGAGTACTCGTTGGCCAGCCATCGACGATCCTGGATCATCATTCGGAGTCTGTATGCCATCTTTCCGTATTCTTCGTCCCGCTCATCCTGGTCGTCCTCAAAAGAGTCGTAACCTGTACAGACCTTGGTTGCCCATTCGGCAACGAGAAACGAGATGGCACTGCTCAGGTGCGGATCCTCCGAATGTCGCTCCTCGAGATATTCCAATGCGGCCCGATAAGGCCCATACCAAGCAACCATCTGCTCCGGCCGGGACTTCAATTCGAGGGCAGACGTGCCTAGGTCCGAGAGGAACATGCCCAAATCATCTCTCTCTGTGGCGTCTAGCGAGAGCGCCGTCTTACGGACGTAGGACCTGACCCTCGAGATTGCCGCATTTACCACCCCGAGAATCTCGAGAGCCATGTTCTTCGCCGGCGCTGGGGACTTGTTGTCCTCCACGATCTTAACCATCATCAGCATAAGCAGCCGAAGCAGCAGCTCTGCCGCCGGCCAATCCGGGTTATTCAGGCAAGAGGTAAAATCATCGACAAAGAGGTCGAGGAGGTTGCGATATGGAGTGTCTCCGGCTTTCGTTGACTTGAGGGCCCGCTTCACAATGAAGTTTATGACGTACGACGCATTGCGTCTTGCCGTATCCACGAGGGGGTTTATGACATGGCCCAGCTCAGATACGGCAGTGCCATGCTGCTCGGCACCGGCCTCTTCATTGTTCACAGTGAATACGGCGCCATAACTGCTCGGGTCGGCTCTGGCAGCGGCTCCGCCGTCGTCGTCACCATCATCTTCCATCGAAAGGACGGCCGCGGCGCGCCTGTGTCCTTTGGACTCGTCAACCTTGCCAGAGCTGGCCTGAACGAGCCGCATGATCAATGCGGACACGGGCTGGATGCTGGTGCCGTCAACAAGCTTGAACTGCCGGGCGCGCTGCTTTCCGACTGGCAGCTTCTCCAAGGAGGTCAAGATGTCGTCGAATATCCCCTGCCTCTGAAGAGGGTTCAGCAGGAAGACTTGGCAAAGCATGTCCATCGCCACCAAACGAAGCCCGTCAAACCTCTGAGTCTCGACTACCGAATCCTTCTCTGTATGAGAGTTCTCTAGGAAAACTAGACGAGATGACGCAAACTCAAGCGTGTTCATAACGGTTTCTGATACGTCGATGGCAGACATCAGGGTCCCCATTAACGTGAAAAGCCTCTGGGCGCTTGTGAAGACGGCTCCAATCCGGCCCTTGTGCTGCAAAAGCAGCTTGAAGATGGAAGCAGTGGGTCCAGCGCTTCGTAACTCGGCCAGTGGCACGATGATACCGTCCAAGACGCTCTTGAACAGATTAAGCGACTGCTCGATTGTTTCCTCTGAGTAGAGTTGCTTGTCCTCGCGCCCTCCGCACATCATCCTCAACGACGTTCGGGCGGCCTTCAGTCCAGTGTCAATATCCGGCAGAAGCTGCAGCCATTGCTCAACCTCTGGTTGACCCCATGCTTCATCGATCCTGATATCAAGCCCCTCGACGTGCTTCAACGCATTATCCGACAGCTGGATGATGTGAAGGAGATCGTCGACTGGCGCTTTCTGGAAGCAATTCAGAGCAATAGCTCTCTCCAGGAGCGTGTGGACCTTTCGCTGGGCAGTAGCTGTCAATGTTGGCTGGTTCTCGGCTATCAGCGTAACGACTTCATTGTTGGCGCGGTTGGTATGTAAGTGTTCTTCAGCTTCATATACATCTCGGATGCAACGACTAAGGTCCTGAAAAGCCGCATTAGACCTCTGCCGTACATCGAGACTTTCGCCAAGCACATCCTGGCCGCCATCATATTCGCCGGGGCCGCTCTTCCTCCTGGATAGATGAGAGGGCGTGTCGGCCTCGTCTGGCACCACGAGATAATCGTTCTTATTGAAAGCGCCGGAGCGGGGAAGCTCAACTGTGATGGTCGCGGCTTTCGGAGTCTCAGGTTGGGGTGTGGTTTGAGATGGCGACACGAAGGATGACCTTTGTGTGGGGCTTTTCCCCTGAGGAGTTAGTCTGGGAGGTGGGATCGGCTGTGTTGGCTGCCCATCAGAAGCTGGCTGCGCTGCTCGAAGAGGAGTGTCCGCGGCCACATTGTTCCCCGTCACTGCAGAAAGCACAGAAGCGTCGTCGAGATGTTTCTTTGAAGGCAATATGATTTCGAACCTGCTCGAGTTTTGCGCATGGGATTGTCTGTTCAGGGCAGCATTTGCACTGATTTTTGGCTTCTCCGACTTGTGAACGACTGGCGACTTTTGCTTCTTGAGGATGGGGGTGCCCGGTTGCCCATGCCCATTAGGTCGTGCGCGCCCGGGAGTCTCTGGAGTGGGATATCTGAACGATACGGACGTCTGGTCGTAGACCATCTTCGAAAAAGGCAACAGGTTGGCCGCCATCGAAGCAGGTTGGGTGGGGGGTTTCCCGGGAGTTGGTTTGGGGCCAGACTTGAACTTGCTGTTGTCATGTCAGCGTGACTCGTTCTTCAGGTTTCTCTCGGTTCATACAAGTGGGTTATGCGCTTGGGATCTAGGAGATGTTGAAATTGGCCTAAGGTTTGCTCCAAGCGCTTCGAGGTTGACGAATGCCCTTCGGCTTCGGCATTCAGACTCTCAAAGTCATTGGGGGGGACGAGGTCGACGAGACTGGGCGCGGGTGAGGCTGAGCCGAGATTAGGAGTCGGAATGATATCTGGCAAAGCATGTTAGCTGTCTGGCAATTGGCCGTCGGAGGGCATCGGCGGACATCGGGGATCGGGGATCGGGGAATTACCGGAGTTGAAAGGGACGATCGAGGTGAAGGGTGTGTAAGGGAGGGCTTCGTAAAGAGTGAAAGGTCGCGTGAAAGCGGGTTGTGGTTGAGAGCGTTCGTTAGGCATGCCATTCTGATGGTTCGGCCGAGGGTCCGCCATGGTCGAGGCCGGCTCATTCACAATTCATGGCGCAAGAGAGTTGTTGGTGGCCGAAAGTAGGGGCGCATAGCTTGCCGAGCGGAACAAACAAGCAGCTCAGCAATGGACAGTTGTGGCCATGCACTTGGGTAGGTGTCCTGCTTTTTTCAGCTTGGTGTGCGGTGAGAAATGGGGGGGGGGACAAGAGATGGGGAGGAAGATGGAAGGTTAAACTTTGCTGTTGGCCTTACTTTGCCAGCCTTGCGTTAAGGTGTTGTTGCGGCTGCGTTTGCGGCACAGAGAGAAAAGTGGGGCGATCCACTAGTGCAAGTCCGTTTGCAGAGGGGCCGTGCATCCGGCCAAGCAAAATTGTCCAAAAATTGCTGGCCAAAATGCTGGCCCAAATCATCCATGGAGATTGATCCTGGCGACAATCGGATTCAGAGACACCATCATGGCTGCTATCGGCTCCTTGATATTCTGCACGGACTGCGGCAACCTCCTGCCCGCTTCCAAGGGAACTGCGAAGAACATCCTACACTGCGAATGCTGCGGCGCGGAAAATCCAGGTTCGTTGGTGATGCTCGTCGTACTAAATAGGAATATGGGTGCTGATCAGCAACAGATATCCCATCGCGATCGATTGTCACAAGAACAAAGGCGTCAGACTTCCCTTCGCCCCTTCGCCAAAAACTCTCTTCTGTTCAGACGATTGAGAGACACAAGATCGAGAGCAGCCGAGTAGACCCCAACATGGACTGCTCCGAGTGTGGGCGAAATGGAATCAGATATACCGAACTCCAGACGCGGGGTGCCGACGAAGGGTCAACAATCATGTACAATTGCGAATGTGGCCACAAGTACGTCAAGCTTCAAGCTTCAAGCTCCAAATCGACCACCTCGGAACTTCCCTTTTTTATTTTTACTTTTTTTGCTAACTGCTGCGCAGGTGGAACATGAACAATTGAATACACCTTCGAGTATTTACCGGAATCCGACCAACCTCTCTACCTGCCATGGTCTACCGTCACAGATCACCTTGTTGCCCGATTATTCCTTTTTCCCCTCCAAGAGAAAACGCCAAACGCTCGCACATGGATACCGTATCACGCTGTGCCCGCAACCTCTGGGATCAGGGCATACTCCGCCTCCCCGCCCTTCTCATACTCAGCCATGTCTAGTGCTACGATGACGCTCTCCCGAACCACCTGCTCCTTGTCATGCAAGAAGCCCTTCAGGATGTCCTCAACACCCTCTTCCTCGCCGAGGCTGCCTAGTGCCTCGGCGGCCTCGTGTCTGACCATGCTAGCCTCCTCCAGGTCGCCCAGCGCGGCTGCGAGGGCCGGGATCGAGGCGGGATGCGAGAGCTGGCCGAAGACGAAGGCGATCTCGTGGCGGAAGAGGGCCGAGGAGTCGGCGAAGCCATTGGCGAGGGCGAGGACGGCCGGTACGGCGGTCGGGAGGTCGGGCGGGGACGCGAGGTCGCGGAGGGCAAACATTGATCGGTACCGCAAGAAGAGGGGGAGTTTGGTGTCCATCAGGGTAGCACCCAGCTCCTCCACGGTTTTCTGTGTGTCGGGCATCGGGGGGGCAGGATCGACGGAAGCGAAATCACTGTTTTTTGTAATAGAGTTAGACAGATTCCCAACATAAGACCAGCATTGTAAAACACAACAGATCACCAACCTCTGCCTCAACTTCTCCCGCTTCCTCTCCTCCGAGTTCTCCCACTCGATCCGGTCAACCGCAATCTCGCACGTCTCCCGCACAACCACCTCCTCCCCCTCGGCGTCCCTGAACCGCCTCAGCAGCTCCAAGCTCCCCGCGTCCCCCAGCGCGGCCAGCGCCTCGGCCGCCTCGTGCCGGCACATGGGGTCCTCCTGCATGTCCTCGAGCACGCGCCGCAGGTGCGGCGCCGCCTCGGAGACCCTCCCCGTCTGCCCGAGGCAGTACGCTAGCTCGTGCTTGAGCAGCGCCGACGGCGACGTAAACGCCGCCGCGATCGCCTCCACCGCGGCCAGGGCGTCCGCCGCCGCCGACTGCGGCTGCTGCGCCAGGTGCTTGAGCGAGAAGAGCGCGCGGAACCGCACGGCGAGGGGCGTCGCCTCGGAGCAGAGCGATTTGCGGAGGCTCAGGATCGCGGGGTTTGCGGTCTCGGGCGCCGCTGGTGCGTCTGCTGAAGGAGTCATCGTTCGGGATTTGTGGTGTAAAAAAAAACGGCTGGTTGTAGAGCTCTCGGTGCGGTGGTGTCTGAGAGACCAACGAGGAAGTCAGCCTGCAACTGTTCGCTGGGCAGAAGAAACTCTCGGAAATAATTTCACACAGTTTCGGGGGTTTGGCGGGGAGCGGAGGCTTATCGGAGGGGCGATAACGGAGGGGTTGCAGGAACGCACGAGCCTACCCTACCCTTTCTCAACCATGCGTATAAGTGGCTGGCTATGCATAACGGGCACCTGAAGTTATTGATGCGCAACGACAAGATAAATGCTTGCTTCCATCATTCTCTCGATAGAAACCCGCGACTCTATGTAGTTGATTACTGTATGATCAGGTCATAGTACCTATCCAACGGTCAACCCGCTGGTCTCGCTCGTATCGTCTTTCGCTCTAAGCGCTGGGTACTATGTACTGTCTCAATTTGGTATCTCATGGATCAAATCAACAAAGGCACCACTTCTGCAGCATTTCTCCTCCTCAGAAAGCGTCAGGAGACTTTTCCATTACGGGTGTCGTCGGCCCCGTCGAGTGCGACATGCTGTACGGTGCCTGTTGATGTGTTGGTGAGCTTCCCAGGGCGGCGGCGTGTCACTCAATATTGCAAGCTTACCAGAACCTGTTTTGCGTTGCATATCCTCCATGCCAGCTTCTTCACGTTCCCGTCCGCCGGGACCACGGCCCGGGCGAACTCGATACCGAACATGTGGCGAATCGCATAGACGACCCTCTTGGCATATTTGCTGTCCCGCTCGACGTGGCTGCCGAACGGCTCGTCCACGGTATTGGGGGCGATCTCCGGGTCGCGATCGAGGCAGTTCTGTACGATGGGCAGGAGAGCCACCTCGACAGTCTTTTCAAAGAGGTCCTTGGAGTCGGCCTCGACATCCTCGGAGTCGAACCTCCCGACGGAAACCTCGAACGGCTGCGAGATGGCCATGACGTTGTGGTTTCCGTCATGGTGGTACCTGAATTCAAAGACGCCCTGCGTCCACCAGAGTTTATCCCCTTCGAATACCATCTCTCCCCTCACAAGGTCGACCTCGGACGACCTGTCCTTGCCCGCGGGTTGGTCCGAGACAAGGATTCCCTTCTCCCTACTAACCTCGTAGACTCCCTTGCAGGTTGGTGTCCAACGGCCGAGAGAAGAGACCTCGGTCGCTTCTCTCGACCGGTTGTCAGTCACCATGTATAACCCGACCCAGTCCTTCTTGCTATGATTTGCCGGTGCGGTCCACTTGACTCGTAGAGGGGCTCCATATTGGAACACCATCGTCTTCACCGCCTTTGGCACCCGCGCAGTCAGGCTCTCCTTCCCGGTTGCCCTCTCGCTCTCAGCACCATCCAAGTGTGTCCCTTCGACTGACAATGAATAATGCTTGGGGTCATATCCGGCAAGGTCCGGGGCGATCCGTGCGAGGGTGAGACGCGCGGGGTACTTGTTGAAGAGGTCAGTTGTGTCTCTCACAATCGACGATGACTCGGCAACCAGTTTAGACCGAGCGACTTCCAGGAACTCGTCCACGAAGTGCTTTGTCTCGTCGAGCACCTTATCGACGCTCATTTGCAATTTCTTGGCTGGCGGGGGCAGTGAACGTTTGATGAACTTGGTGAGGCCGGCCTCGTCGCGGAGATTGCGGCCGTAGATCTTCTGCATATGTGGTTTCTCAACGTATGAGATAAACCCGATGGTGAGCAAGTGACCGACCAGTGCCAGAAGGAAGATGGATCTGCTCCACGTCATCAACGCGGCGCCCCATAGGCCACCCGTGCCGAGGACGCGTTCCGGGTCGTTGACGAAGCGGTAGATGGACTTGTAAGTCAATCTCCCGGTGCTATCGAAGAAGAAGTCCCCGTAGAACCAACCGAACTCTCCGAGGGATTCGTAGATGCTCGTAGCCGTCCAAATCTGGAGAGCAATCAGGCTGATACCGACCACGTGCTTCAGGAGTACCCATCCGTAGTCCCAGTCGTCCGGGAAAGAGTACATCTTCCAGCATGCGGCCATGAACGAGGCGTGGCAGAGAGCCATGCTCAGATGGTACATACCTTTCCACTGACGCCATGCCTCACTAGCGCTCTCTCCGAACTTGAGGAAGTGTCTCGTGAACGTCTTGTCTTGCGACTGACGTGTTAGGACGACCCCCAGGCCAATCGAGTACCATAGCCGCCATAACAGGGCATGTACCACGAAAAGTGCCTGGTAAAGAGGAGTACGAGGGGTGACAATCGTAAGTGTTATGAGGTACCCAAGGAGCAGGAGGAGGGCGTAGTCTGTTGTACGGAAGAGGTCAAAGTTGGCCACGCCTAGGAGCTTGTGAACGGGGTCTGTAGCAGGTGTAGATCCCTCGCCAAGCTGGTCTTGCACCTGGCTGCTGAGGTCGGAGATGCCCGAGTTTGCTCGCATCCGAGGCGGCGGCGGGTTGTACGTCTTCTCGATGTGAGGGTTCTCGACGACCGCTAGGAAAGCAAACTGGGCCAGATGGGCGACGATGGAGATGAAGAGCACATCGTAGCTGGCCGCCATCATGGATATACCGTAGTAGCCAGCATAGCCGATGGAATACATTGGATGGGGAGCCATCTCGAAGACGCCGTCGAAGGTCAACTCCTGGTCGATGAGGTAGAAGAAGTCTCCCCAGTACCAGGCGTAGTCTTTGACGACGCGATGGGCGTCCAGCTTGACCCAGAGGTTGAAGCCAACGAGAGAGATGCCGACGGCCCAGCGGGCAATAGTCATGGCAAATGCCTCGCCGGCTGGCTTGTGGCCGCAGACGATGGCGAAGAGGCAGTATGATACAAAGTCACACATCAAGATCAAGTCCACCACCCGGCGGAAGACAAGCCAGGTGTTATACTCAATTGGCGCCTCCTCAAACTTGTAGTCGGCGGGGATCTTGGCCTCAAGCTCACGCTTGAGCACGCCGTACAGCCAAGGCCTGGGATTATCCCCAGTCGAGGGGTTCTCGAACAGCTTCCACTTCTTGGCCCATGTCACCAACAACAAGTGATTCGACTGGATATTCAGGAGATAGCCTATGCCGACATTGTAGGCGGCCCTCCAAGAGATGAAGATCACGGCAAACACCGGGCGCTTGAGGTTCGCAGGGAGTAGATAGGCGGCTAGGATATGGAGAGCAAGTATGGCGAGCACGATGACGTCGGAAAGATTCTTTGGCTGGCGAGGGTCGAGTAATTGAGAGACCATGTCATGGGTCGTCGGGACGATGAAGACTACAATTTGGGGAGATACGTGTTAGCTCTCTTTACGGCCACGTGCTTGCCCTTCAAGGGGGATCCATACCTTCTCCATCCGGGGTTCGCCCGTAAGTCTTCTTCACCTTGGAGCTTGCACCGAGCTCTGGGGCAGCCTGGGAGGTGCCAGTTGAGGCATCCTCCGAGGGGGAGGACAAGTGCCGCCTTTGGCGGACCTTGTCCCCGGAATCTGAAGGGGGTACTGCTGAAGTGCTCATTCTTGATGTTGAACCAAGTTGAGAGAGATTCAATTAATTGGCCAGGAGAGACTATTCTATGGGCAAGCCATGAGAAGGGCCGAGTTTCGAATGATCAAGCTACAAGTGTACGGAGTACTGAAAGTGCTTCGTTCAGGCACAGAGGAATGGGTAGAAGCTCTCTAGTGTGGAGAGACGTCACAGTTCCTGGACTTTTGGGGTTTTTGTGCTTCTTCAGCAATGTCTGGACCGGGGTGGGGGCCCAATTCCCGCAGTTGTGCTGTCACATGGAAGAGTTTAATTCGATATTTCTGTGTTATTCTGGAGCTTGGGCGGGGGTTCAACAAAATGGCCGTTTAGCGCGGTCGTGGAGGGAGCGGCGAACAAATGACGAACTTGCATTTCAACAAGAGTCGAGGACCCCCACAGTGGGCTTCAGCCTCCAGAAGATCTGTTGACAGGGTTACGGAGAATACCTCTCCAAAGAGGGTGTCATCAGCCGTGTTTCTGTCCAATTGCTGCCACGACATCCCGCGTTTTATCAAGGAAATGTCATGTGTGGTTTAGAGTTGCGCCACACATCCATTTTAGCCTGTTAGCTTGAGTGTCGGCAATGGTGCGCACCAGGCAAGTGACCCGACGCTTTGGATTGTGTGCTGTTCCTGTCACCCTCTGGATGGCTTGCATGGTGAGAGGTGCCACAGCCTCGGATCGGATCGGAAGAGCCAGATCTTCAAGATGGACCTCGTGTTGGTGCCTGGGTGCCTGGCTATATGAATAAGGCACGGTTACTGAGGTGATTCCTGGATGTTTAATTCGTTCATGGACATCGACGTGTCTCGCGTTTGATTGGACTTTATGCTCCCCGCGTCAAACGAGTGAGAATGGAGCCAGAAAAGAAGGCTGATCTCCGCTCGATGCTTCTCGAGGATCCCACCTTCCAAGGATGCCCTGTCGTTTCGCATGAATTTCGGCATGGTAGATCGTGTCATTAGTCCTCCGTCCACTGTCCCTCAAGGGTGGTGGAAGGATGTCAGTGTATTCCGCCGGTAGGGTAATAATAACTTGAATCGTTGATATAAGTACGGGCATGGTCGCTACCCCTTGCCCTTGCTCTTCCTTTTCTCGTCATGCGGTTTCTGCCTCCTCGCCCATCACACATCGCCGAGGCTTTTGGGTCGACAATATCCTTGCCTCTTTCTCTCCATCGGGACCTCTACAAGAGAAGACTCTTTTAAGAGCACGAACGAAAACGACCCCACCGGTCCTCAGCCCAACCTACATGTCCTTCTGGAAGATGTCCCGTGAGACCGCCAAGGAACCGGAGGTCGCGGAGAAACCCCTTCCAGACCCGAGCGGCCAGCAGCAGCAGCAGCAGCGACCGGGCACCTCTGGCACGGAGACGCTCCTGACGACGAACCGGCGGCGCGCCTCGGAGAGGTACCAGCAGGCGGCGCGGGCCGAGCGCACCTACAAGGCGCGGAAGCGGTCGGCGGCGGCGCGGGCCTCCTTCGCTGAGGCCCGGACGCACTTCCGGGAGGCGGCGCGGCACCTGCGACTCGCCTTGCGCATGACCCTCTCCGTCGTCAGGAACACCCCCTACCTCCTCAGCGACAAGGGCGAGAGGATGCGCGCCAGGGCCGAGGAGGCCAGGCGGAGGAAGGCCGTGGAGAAGAGGAAGAAGCTCGAGGAGGCCCTCGCTAGGGAGAAGAGCGTTGGCGACGGCGAGGCTGGGGACGACGCCGATAGGCCTGTTGATCCGGCTGCTTGAACCTACAGAGATCCCACGCCACCTTTTCCTCTTCCCCTGGAGGGGGCCCCCTCAGGGAACCCTCAAGGGTGGAATATGCCTTGATATGTCCCGTATCCTGCCCCCTTTCGATCCAGCTTCGATGCTATTTCCTATGTCTTCCCACTCCTCCTCACAAGCATTCATTCGTTGTATGATCTCTGCGAATGATCCTAGCGCAACACAGTATCAGTCCACTCACTAATCCTTTCTCTTTCTCTTTGTAATTTGTTATTCAAACATGTCGTTCGGATTGCATTCTAGCCTCTAAAGTTTAGCAGTTGCATTGGGTCAGGAAAAAGGGTGGAGCATCGGGTTGGCCTCTAATTCGGCCTTTCCCCCTCTCTCGTGTCTGACTGGGTTCTGTTGGAACGGGGAGGAAGGTGTCCTGCAAAGATACCCACTGGAAGAGTTGTGGGCTTGCAAAGGAGGCACTATACAGCAAGATAGTAATCCAGAATAAGACGAGCTGCCACGAGCATGTACTTGGAAAAAGCCAACTTCCACTTGCCGGGAAGAGCACCAGCTGTCCCTTGAACAGCACGGTAATCGTCGAGATAGTGGTCACCATGGTCACCATGATGACAGCAGTTGCAAAACGAAAAACCGTGGCCTTTTCCATTCTACCCTTTTGCCATCCCCATCCATCCTATGATCAATCTCCCTACGATGGAAAGTACATTCATGCCACAAAGCGTCAAGCCCTTTTCCTGGCGGAGACCTACGCAGCCTTCTTCGCGAACTCGACTCTGAGGATGAGATGCTTGAAGCCCCAGCCGTCCATCTTGTCACACGCCTTGACGGCATCGTCCCGGTCGGCGAAACTGATGAACGCGAAGCCCTTTGCAAGACCAGTATCCCTGTCCTTCGCAAGGAACACCCGAGTGACGCGGCCGAAGCGCTCGAACATATCGCGCAGCTCCGATTCCTCTGCCATTTCCGAGACCTGTTCGGCAAGAAATTAGCAAACATTTATTTTTCCATTTTGCCAACAGGATGCCAGCTGCCCACGCAGAAAATGACAATGAGATAGGGATGAGTGGGAGAAAATAAGCACTCACATTCGTAACCCGCAGTGTCGCCAAATCGTCCCGCTCGCCATACTTGCCACCCATCCTCTCGCCCGCGCCGGCGCGGTCGCCCCTGAGCGCAGGCGGGACGTAGCTGCCCTTCTTCCCGGCACCGGCGGTGCCCACGGCGGCCGCAGCAGCGGAGGCCTCGTCGCCGACGTCGCCGGCGGCGGAGCCGGGCCCGCCGGTGGTCTCGCCGATCGGGGTCATGGTGTCCTTGTAGGGGCAGCGGGTGGTGAAGTGCTCGCCGTTGCAGATGCGGCACTTGACCTTCTTGTCCTTGAGCTTGTCCTTCATGGCGAGGGCGTTGGGGTCCTTGGACTCGTCCTTTGCGTCCTTGCGCCACGTCGTCGACGGCTTGAAGATGATGTTCTCGCCCACCGACGTCGTGTCGCCCGCGGGTCCGGCCCCGTCCTTGGCCGACTCGCCGAACTTGCTCCACGTCTTGCGCTCCGCCACCCGCGGGTTCACCACCTCGCGGTGCTTGATCAGCCGGATCCGCCGCGTCGTCTTGACCTTCTGGCCATTGTCGTCGATGTGGTACTCGATCATCGTCGTGCTGCCGTCCTTGTTGGTGATCTTCTGCGGTGGCGGCAGGTCGGCGGCGACCTCGTCGACCTCCTCATCGTCGGCCCAGTCATGCCTGGAGGGCGGGTTGCCATCTTGGTTAGGAGGGATGCCACGAAGTTGACGCGAAAAGTGGGCGTATGCCCCGGGGGTTGTAAAGTAGAGAGAGGTGAGTAAGTTGGGGCGAGGAGACTCACTTTGCTTGGTTCGACATCTTGCGGAGACAGTCTTGTAGAGAATATTCTTCCTTTCTGACGGCACACTGCCTTTTCTCTTTCAATTCCTGTACCGGTCTTTAGCTGTGATGTCGCTTGATGGCGCTTGGTGGGGTCGATAATAGGTAGGTAGTGATTTTTAGATTTCTTTGATTTTTCAAACCGGCAAAGGCAAGTGTGTGGGGCAAGGAGGCTGTACCTACTATACGCATATACCTACCTATTTCCACTTATCGCCCCAAACTGCCTGGCAAGTACCGTAAACCGCCTTTTTTCATGGAATATTGAGGCTTGTGGGCTTGGAGCAAAGTGCATATGGTAATTAAATAGTAGTCGGATGTATGATGGGTTACTTTATATTTTCCATTCATTTGGTATTGGAGCTTGAGAGGCCAGGCTGAGGGCAACTTGTACTCTCTCGACCGAATCCAGGTGCGACTACGGGGCACGAGTAATACAGTGCAGGTGGGAAGTAGATGACTCTGTTCTTCAACCTGTCTACTGCTCCAAGAACAGCAAACTATCCTCTAAGCATTACGAAGCTGATCTCCTAGCCAGCCTGCCTGCCAGATCATTCGTAAGGTCTATATAATACAAGTGGGAAAAGAGCAGAAGGGGAAATATCGTGCGCACATCATGCCCCTCGTTTGGTATCCGATATATCCCTCTAGTCAATCATCGCTGCAACCTCCCTCGTCTCGCTGCGAAGCGATGGCATCTAGTCATCATCAAGAAACGCCATCGCCATAGTCATGCAGAAACCCCAACGTCGCCCGCGGAGCACAAAGGAAAAGGAACCGAGCCCCTGGGGCCACGGCAACATAATACAACTGGTACAGCTTTTGGTCATACACTTCGTGAGGGTGAGAGTCGTGTCATAATCTCCACTCGAGCGAAAGGCAGCTCTCAGGAGACCTTGCGTGGAATAGGCGGTAGGGCACATGTTGGTGGAGGAGCTGGCGGAGGGCCCTCTACCAGCTGGGACATGCTGCGCCGGTTTGGGAGATCCCGGGAAAACGAGTCGATCCTGAGATGTTGGTTCGATGTTGAGATTCTGGGGGCCATGGACCGAGGCCTAAAGTTGGGACTGATGGGCCCGCTCAACAAGTCTTGGGAATCGACCGAGGTCACCGTCAGATCTGACTCGGCCATTGAGTAACGAGGGAAGGCGTCGGAGATAGGAGAGTTCAGGCTCATGTGCTTTTGGTGCCTGGAAATTTTTGCTGAAGTCGGAGGCGGGGATCGGCTACGCGTGTAGCTGTCCATGGCCGATTTGGACCGAGGAATTTCGGCCGACGCTCGAGTGGCCGAAGCCGAGGGTGCTGATGACATCGGGGTCTTTTCCGGCAGGACTAAGATTCGGGTCTCCGCTCTCTGCCCGGGTTCCATATCCGAAGGTCTGATAGTAGTCATAGAAGCATGTTTTCGAGGACTGCCGTGTACTGTAACTTGAATCCTGTTCTCCCCTTGCGATAATGGGCTGGGGGACCGCGAAGGTAAGTCCGAGCTGCCGAGCTGGCCATCGTGGCTGCTTTCCTGTGCCCAAGTCGAGAACATCGATGGGGTATCTGGCGCTCGCATTTCCTCCTGCCGAATAATGCGTCTGTTACGGGACTCCGGCGACGCTGTCGGTGACGGCTGGTCCTCGACGAGCGATAGTGGTCGTGGATTGATCGATAGTGCTGAGCAGGGCGGTCGGCGGAATGGCTTCGCCGGCGGCGCACGCAACTGAAAGAGCGGAGACGCTGGTGAGGCGTGGTCCTGGGGCGAAGGCTTAATTAACGAGTACCGCTTCCCCGCGGAGTGAGGAACGCTAAAATTAGGAATAGTCGTCTGAGCTGGCGGGCTGTAGGTCACGGGGGTTTCTGGTTGCCACGAGTTGGCGTAGGTAGAATGCGGCCGATTCCCTCCCAATCCAAGCCGCATATCGAACATATGATTCATTGCCTGCATCGACTGCCTGCGGTCATTGATCACCGAGGCATTAGGCCGTGGGAGGACCCGGAGCTGAGCTTCGGCGGGGGGTGGAATATCCCTTAACGTCAACTCCTCAGGTTGGCTCGCGAAGCTGTCGCGGGTAGGGGAGCAGGCCGGGGAGGAACCAGCAGATGTAACCATCGTCCGCTGTCCTGACGAGATGAACGAGAGGCGGTTCGTGCTGTCCCTCAGACCATCGAGCTGTCGGCCATCTTGCGAGATCCCGCTGGTTGTGGATGTCTCGTCAAACGACTGTTCGCGAGCTGCATCCATATCAGAACCGTCTATATGAATATCCGGGCTGGTCATTGAGGCCGGGGGATCCCAGGGCAAGTGAGATATGCTTCGCGAGAACCGATCGGGGTCCTTGACCACTAGCGTCCTTTGGCTAGTCTGGACTCGCAACTGCAGGACCATATCGTCAACTTTTGGTTTGCCCGTCTCGGACAGATTCTTCTTTCCTCCTAGTGCCTCGATTTCGCGTCTTAGGGTGGCGATCCAACTATCCATATCATCGGCACTCTCAAACACCATCAAGAAGTTGGAGGCGTGCCTCCTCTCAGCGCCCCGGAATGGAAGTCGGGAGAACAAAGACGTCGACTGCCCAGACGCGGCACCGTCTGCCTCGGCGATAGAAGACACCTGTAGGACCCAATGCCGCCCCGGAATCACGTCGCTAGCAAATGCCGCCGAGTCTTTTCCGAGTTGCAGCACCTTCTCGGGAAGCCGATCAAATGACCCCTCTCCGCAATACTGGAGGAGATATCCAGACGTAACAAGCACGTAGATCTTGGTGGTCCAGTCGGCTTTGAGCGAGGAGGCCGAAGTGTTGCGCCGGTGCTTCTTCTTCGACCTGTCGGACTTCTCGGCTGCGGACTCCTCGATGGTCTCCAAGTTCAGTGAGCTCTGGTTGAGACCCTCTCTCAGGGACACGCTACCCTTCTGGCTGTGGAGTTTAAGAAGGGCCTCAGCTGTGAGGGTGCGGGCTGGTAGACGGGCATGCTTGATGGCCTGGGGGTATGACTGGAACAATGGCGGCGGGTCCCATGTGGCCAAAGAACCTCGGGTCGGCCTGGGTAATGGCTGCGGTCTGACTGTGCTAGTTGGCTTCTTGGGCTTCACGTTCACGTTCGCCAGCGGAGACTTCGCTGCCGGTTCTGAGAGCTGGGGAATAGACGAAAGCGCGGATTCTGACCGCTGGCCATTGAGCCCATAGGGCCAGTTGCCGATTCCAGCCAACGACGCCCGAATTCCACCGGACCTCGGCGGCGGCTCCTTTAGCTCAACAGGTTCCGGATCCTTGACGGGCTTATGCCGACCGAACAGGCCGCTCAAGGCCAACCTAGAACGCCGCCGGTGCAATCTCTCCGTCTGCGCGCGCAGCGGGACCTTGCTTTCTTCCCCAGCTATAAGGTCCAGATCGGGTGGCCGTGCCCGTCGTGAGTGGGCGGCTTGCTGCTGCTGCTGCAAGGCCTCGAATACGCCGCTGTTTGTGGCTGTAGCTGGTGTGTCCAGCATCGCGGAGGGTATATCGAAAGGAGGCCTGGTGATGCTTGGTGCTGGCTCTGGTGCTGACGCTGCTTGCTCCGGTAAAAGCAAGAAACGGGCCGTGTTGTTGTTGTTGTTTATGAGCGTCGATATAGCAAGGAATGACGCACGTGTTCGGGGTCACCTAGACAATGCATGCTCCGGAATTCAAAACAATTGCTGGGTAAATACGTCGGCCGAAAATATGTGCAAGGCCAATGGGGCATGTAGAGCGATTGACGACTGGAAAGGCACGACGAAGAAGTGAGCAGGTTAGATGGTGGGCGCAAATCCTAAGCCAGTCTGTGTCGCAGGGTGGGACTCCGTGGGCTCTTAACGAGTGAGCATCTGAAGGGATGGAAGACGAGCTGGCGGAGTTCGGTATACACAGTATACGGGGATTATAGGTAAGTCAGGAAAAACAAGGGAGGGAATTGTAATAAGCAGATGGAGCGACTGAACCGGACTTTCCTTGCCCTAACTACTTTGGCCGGAGGGGAGAGAGTGGGGACTAACACGTCCGTCGCGGGCGCGAGGAGAGGTCTCGGGATGGTGATATATAATGGACGGAGGATCAAGGCGAGGGCGAGAACGAGGGGCACGAACCAGCAGAGTTGCAGGACATTGTAGGTTATTAACTGGCCCTGAGCCCTACTACATCCACCACTCTAATCACAGCCGTGCGCTAGCTCCTGCCTCTTGCGACTCGAGAGGGCCAAAACCTGGGGCGTGCCGGCCGCGTTGTTCAAAGCGCGAACGGCGTTGCGCCCCCATGCAAACAAGCGATGTGGTCTAACTGCCTAACAAGGGGGTCAAGCGCCTTGTCAATGTCAGGGTGGTGGGTGGTCTGGGAGTTGTGACATCTCGGTATTTCCCCAGCGGTGAACTTCGCGCCGCCCTCCCATTGGCCTTTGCTGACCCCACCATCCTGCTTCCGAGAGGCCAGTGCCTCGACAGGGCAGTTGCAAAACCTGCGAAAGTACATACCTAGTACGGACAGGCCGCCGTACACACATTTTCCCAATTTTAATCAATTCCAAGCTCTGATGACGCAGGCGGCAGCATCACGGGTTACTGCACCCACTATGAATCCTCATGTGTTGTTGTTGACCTGGTCAAGGCAGGTAAGCGGCGAGCCAGCCCCTCTCTAACTGAGTGAAATGTTTGCTTTACGTTCAGAATTGATTGCCCAGCTTCCCACACAAAAAGATAAACTATTGCTGGGCAAAGGGAGGAATGCTACACACTATAACTAGCGCCACCGTGTTTTCGGGATATCAGGCAAAAAACAAGACGCGCTAAGGGGGTTCCAGGGATCGGGTCGAATCCGGTGACAACGTCCGGAATTACCATAGTAGTGTGTTGTTGGAATCCATCGCGAAGTCGCGAATCCCTGTGGCTAACCGACAGTCAAGACAAGGTACTTGCTTGTACATGACATGCTGGTACTCTACGGACGTAGTGTACGGAATACAGACAGGCACATTTTAGACATGTAACTGCCTGCACAGTACCTAATGCGTATGCGTACATGTCGCCAGGGGCTTCAACCTCTTGGCTGCAGCCTCAAAACGTAACCCCCCACCGGGCCTGGACCTCCTCTTCTAACAGCGATCTTTGCGATCGACTCTCTTTGCCCAGTTGACAGCGATACGTGCAAGATCTATGCGCAAAGATGCATGGGATCCAATGCAGATGTGATAGAAATCCTTCCTAGCGAGGGGCACATGATTCCCGTCATCAAGTGTCAGAAGTACGTACCCAATTAATTTCCCGTCCTGGAATGGTAATCGCACAAGTCGATCAGGCCCAGCCAATTTGCCGTCTCAAAACAGCCACGGCTGGTGATCGACGAAACATTTGTTACAGTCAACAGAACAACTTCCCGCTCGGTTGGAGTCGCCCAGTGAATCCAACCCATCTGCCTCCCTCCCTGAGACAAACTGGTCCCGTATTGGGAATCAAATGTCTCGGGCCACTGCGTCTTCTCTGTGCGCCCTCGTGGCCCCCCAGTTCAGTCAACAAATCCAGAAGGTCCATATCCTAGTGTACGTACTAGGTATGTACGGATCCGCAGAGGGCCGATTTTTGTGCATGGAGTTAGAGACGTAGAACACAGCCCCTTTCGCCCAGCACGCGGTGGCTTGCCGGGGGGTTGATGGGGGTTTGTTAGCCGAAACTGCAGAGGCTCTGTCGTACGAGATAATAAGACTCGTACAACCCATAATTTCTTGATCTCCAGTACAAATCGTGTCAAGGCCAGGTCACGGAGATATGATATCAGACGCAATCGGCCTATAAGGCTTCGTATCGGCGACTCCCCGGATCCTATTCATTAAATATTCAGCTCGGGAGCGGCTCAAAGTTTGCTTAATCCTGGACATGCCACGGGACTCATGTAGTCGAAGTCAAAGCCGAGACCCATTGGTTAAGGGCCTCTACAAGGTCGCAAAGCTGATATTCCGTACGTGCTCCTCAATGCCACCAAGATGGGACAGTAATGCTCTGATGTGTGGCCCATGAAATTGCATATTTCCGACCGCCTGTGACTCCGGCCGAATGGTCTTGACTGAGACGACTTGCCGCCCCCGTTTCCTTTGCTGTTGTACAATACATCCTTTAAACGCCTCATTACGAAGTATGCTATTCGTGATCGCTCCGCCATTGCACTCCGGCGCTTTCGTATGCAAAACGCCTGTATTAGAAATCCATTCCCAGGACATAATCGTAAAGCCAGCCGAGATCTGATCAGTCCTACTCCTCCTTCGGGGCATCGGCAACAGTTGGCAGAGGGGTCGATGTCGATGTCGCTGGAGTCAGCCTGGTCGAGTCGTCTTCAGACACAGAGGTGGACCGATTCAAGTTGGATGAATGAGGGGGTTCGTGGGTGATCGAGGAGCCTCCTCCATTCCCAGTCAACTCCGATAATTGTCTCTCTGGGGCATCGATTAGTAAACCGACATATTTGTTGGAATGTGCAAGGCGGAACCTACCCAGGTCACGAATTCTGTGACGGAGCATCTGGTTCTCCCGGATCAACATTTGTGTCTCGGCTTGGTAGAAGGCATTCTCATCCCGACCACCAAGAAGCCATTGGTCCCCACTCTCGCCACCTATTGAGGTAGATCGCAGCATGGGGGATGCACCCCGGCTCGGGGTCCTTGAGCGGCGCTGGATATCGGCTCGCGCCATGTCGAACGAGCTTCGAGGATGCGGGAAGCCGGGGGACCGAGGTAGCGAGCCAGAGGCCGACGTCAGGCCGGGGTGGGCCGACTGCGGAGCAGACGCGGTCTGTAGTGACCCGAACCCGTCCGTTGGTTCGTCGCCAACAGCCGACTGGCCCTGCTGCTGCTGCTGCTGCTGCTGTTGTTGCTGCCGTTGGACCTGAACTTGTAGTCGCCGGATTTCCTGCAGCAGGCGGTTCACCTGGAATTCCTGCTCATTTTCCAGTTCCTGGTGTAGCTCTCCGAGGCTCGGTGCCCTGTCGCGGTGTGGGGGGCCAGTCAAGCTCAAGCGCGGAGAGCTGGCAAGAGGCCGGGGGCTTGATGTCCTTGACCCGGTCGGGGTAAGGTGCGCATCGGATGCCACCATCTCTCCGGGGGCCGGAACGCCGGGATCCGCAATCTGGAGGGTCGTGAGGATTTGAGATCGGCGGCGGTCGGCACTCGGAGACTGCCGGCTTCTGGATAGAGAGCTGCTGGAGGATCCTGTTCCAAAGTTAGCAGGGCGTAGGTGCGCAAACGGGGGGTTTTTGTACGTGGTCGCATACTCCTCACAGGCTCACCGCGTTGCAGGCCAGCATTGAGGGTTGCAGCAGCCTGTAATGAGGTAGAGGTGGAACGGGGTGAAGGTGAGGGGTCGCCGTCGCCGTTCTGGGACGAGGGCGGGGCATCAATGTTGATGTGAGCCATGGGACGAGTGTTTGTCAATCTTGAGGACCCAGAACCAGTATTCAAATTGGATAGAGAGTTGATGTCGGGGGCCATGAGAAACAGTCGAAGGGTACCTAGGTAAATAAAGGTGAGCCCGGTCGAGGCAGGTGGCGACACCGGATGTTGCCAAGTGTGGACGGGCTGCTTGTCGGGCAGCGGTCGGAGGGGCGTCACAGCCGCTGTTAATGAGGTAATGCAGGGAAGGCGAGGGCCAACTAGAGGGTGGGGATATCACTGTGGGATGATCAAATAAGGGTCCAAGGAAATGCTCAACGCGATGGGCCAGACCCAACCACCAACACAGACTATCAGTATTGATCAGCCCGTCTAAGTGGGCAAGGTGACGAAGTTGACGGTGCCGCCCTCGATGTCTGTTAGTGCGGTACGTGTAACCGGACAATCTCTTTTCATTCGTTCAAGTGACCAAAGGTACCCTGTCAAAAGGTCACGAGCTAACGAGACAATATACACTGTCATGGGCCGATCGCGAAAACGACGGGCGGGTCAGACCGTCGAGTGACAGCTGATGTCAAGAATCAGGCCAGCTGTAGTTCCATTGCGAACCTTCTCGCCTCTTAATATGGAGCTTCTAGCCAAGGATTCCGGGTCAGACGACCCCTTTATCCTGCGGCCCTCGAGGCATATACGATCCATTGATTTTTGAATCTCGGAGCTGCCGTTCCAGGCGATTGGGGAAATAGCTATTCTCTAGCGGAAGAGGTTGTCTGTCATCTCCCGGCCCGGGCCTGGTCTCGTAACCTTGCATAACGAGCTCAATAGTCAATGGTATTACATCACAGCGCATAGCATAGTCTGCATCCAGGATTGGTGTATCTGCCTCCGAAAATCTACCCATCTTAGCTGTCAGTTGTCGTAACCTGACGGCCAGGGCCAGCATGCGCCGACGCCCGCTGCGAACATGTTCGTCCGCTATTTTCGCAGTCGCCTGCCTGTGAACTGCCGTCGACTCATCTGCCAGCGAGGATTCTCCGCTACCGCATCACTAAATGCCGACTTCACCCACGCTGTAATTCCAACACCTCCCGCGTGACCTCCCCCCTTCCGGGTTTCACCGCAACCTGAACCTTCCAATCAGCTGACACTGACACTCACTGACTCTGACCCCGACCCACAGGTGATAGGCGGCGGCGTAGTCGGCCTCGCCATCGCGCGGGCCCTGGCTTCGCACCCATCCTCCCCGCCCACGGTTCTGATTGAGCGTCACGGCGCCGTCGGCACCGAGACGTCCAGCCGCAACAGCGAGGTGATCCACGCGGGGCTCTACTACGGCGCCTCGGCCCTCAAGACCAGCCTCTGCATCCGCGGCCGCGAGCAGCTCTACCGCCTCTGCGCCGCCCGCGGCGTCCCCTTCCGGCGCACCGGCAAGTGGATCGTCGCGCAGGACGACGCCCAGGCCGCGGCCCTGCAGCGCATCCGCGACGCCTGCGCCGCGGACACGGGCGTCCCCGTCCGCTGGGTGGGCCGCGACGAGGCCCTGCGCCGCGAGCCCGCCGTCCGCGCCCGCGCCGCCGTCCTCGAGAGCCCCACCACCGGCATCGTCGACTCCCACGCCCTGATGCTGTGCCTGCTGGCCGACTTTGAGAACGCCCCCGGCGGCGGCGGAGGCACGCTTGCCCTCACCACCCAGGTCCGGGACGTGCGGCCGCGCCCCGTCGCCTCTCCGGGGGGACTTCCCGGGAGCGCCGGGTGGGAGATCGAGGTGCGTGATGCTGGGACTGGCGAGGAGTCGACCGTCACGGCCGACTCCGTCGTGAACTCGGCCGGGCTGGGGGCCGTGGACGTGTATAACATGGTCGTTCCGCCCGAGCAGAGGCTACAAATGTACTACGCCAAGGGGAACTACTTCTCGTATTCTGGTTCGACCCCCAAGGTGAACACGCTGGTGTACCCGGCTCCGGAGCCGGGGCTGGGCGGCCTGGGCACCCACCTGACGTTTGACATGGCCGGGCGGATCAAGTTCGGTCCGGATGTGGAATGGGTGGACTCGCCGCACGACCTGGCGGTCAATCCGGCGAGGTTGCCCCAGGCCATCGAGCAGATCAAGCGTTATCTGCCCGGCATTGACGAGACCCTCCTCACGCCGGACTATGCCGGAATCCGGCCCAAGCTGACGAAGCAGGGGGCGGTGGCAGCGGGGAAGGGATTCGTCGACTTCATAATCCGAAAGGAGGAGGGGTATGAAGGATGGGTCAATCTACTCAATATCGAGAGCCCCGGCTTGACGAGCAGCCTGGCAATTGCAGATATGGTGAAGCGACTGTTGTATTCAGGTTATGATGCCAATTGAGCCTCCTTCCCTGTCAACGGGGACCTTCGTCTTCTTGACACCCCCTGCGAGCCAGCTGCCTATTTTCGACGATCGATATTCGTCACTATAAACAATTTAGAGTACAATACAGGGATGATTTTGCGATGCCACCACAGCATATATGTTCTGTTCCGTGGCCCAAGATAAAACGGAAAGCAAGCCTATAAACTCGGCGGCTCCTGCAAGCCAATAGAAAACTCTTGACTTTTCCCCTTTGTACAAGTGCAAGGCCCTCAGTCAGCAGCCGTCTTCGCACGGCATCAATCTGTAAGGCACACCTAGGAAGTTAGGATACAGCCTCCATGCTGTGATACCGAGGGAGAGAACTCGTACAATCTTGATTGAATAAAATAAAATGGGATAAAACCCCTGGGAACGCCGCGAAACGCCATATTTGTGTAACATAAACAACCCCTGGCGGTCAGAGACATGATCACTGCAGGGTGATGCTCGGCAGGAGTTTCCTGCGGGACATATTCACACGGAACTCGTAGATGCCATTCTCAGCAGCCGCAAACCTGGAGATAAAAAGTTAGCCGAAACGGATCCAAACATCATACAGACAATAATACGGCAACGTGAAATAGCTTACAAGAACTGCCCGTCCTCGCTCCAGGCGAGGCCCGCAGTGTCGTGTGGATCAGAACGAGGATCGCGGCCCATATATTGCCCCATATACCGGCGTGACGGGCTGTCCCCCCACGCCTGCATAAGAAACGCCGCGCGGTCCCGGCGGCGGTTGTCGCTCTCGACCGCGGACAGCAGGCCACCATCCTGGCCGTCGAAGGTGAAGTTGTGCAGAACCTCCAGGTCAACCCACCCGCCAAAGGCGTTCGGGTTGTTGGCCACCAGGCGCGAGAGAGTCCTCCGGTTGGCCTGGGTGTCACTGTCGGCGGTGGTCGCCGCCGTGCTCCCAAGCCCGCTGGCGCGCCGGGGCGCGGGGGGCGGCACGGCCGACCGGCGCCTGTCGGCATCGTTCTCCTCCCGGACCGCCGCCCTCAGGCGTTCTTGGCTGTCGCGGAGCCGCTCTCTTTGTTCTCGGAGGTTGCCCATGATCTCGCTGACCGCGCGAGAGACGCTTTCGCTGCGCTCTCCCGACCGTGGATTTTCCGACGACCCCAAGGTGGCCCTGGTGCTTCGCTCCATCCAGGGAAATCTGGGTGCTGAGCCGCTCTGGCCTGCAGCGCGCTGAGCCCTCCGCCTCCCGTGATCCTGAAGGGCCTCCAAAACCATGGTCTCATCCGCCGTCAACGGTTGATTGTATCGCTCGATGTTCGTGAGCGTGTCTGGTCGGTCCTCCTGTCGAGTATCTGTTGCGACATCGGAAGCGGTTGACGAGCTCGCCAGGTTGTCGTTCCGGTCGCTGCGTTGGTCCAGCAGTCGGGGGTCTATTGAGCTCCGGTCGAGCACGGAAATGTGATCGTACGAATCCGGCTTGTCGAGCTCCAGGATCTGCCGAGATATGAAATTGCTTCTCAGGTCTGCCACGCCCACCCTGCCGCGGTCCTCTGTCCAGGCAAGAAGGTCAATTGGCCCGGGCGAAAACGCCATGTCCCTAACGGCACCTAGCTCAACATTGGGTCTTGACGAGGGGAAGGAGGTAAGGAGAGGATCCGCTCCCGGATCAGCCAGGGTTTTGGTATCGAATATCGAGATGGTGCCATACTGCGTGCCCACGGCTAGGTAAGCCCCAGTGCTGGAGAAGCAAGCCGCAAAGCTGCCTCTGTTATCTGACCGATCCCCCTTCTTCTGGCTCTTGAGATGGAGCCTGTTGCAGGCTCTCCACTCGAACGCATGTCGATCCACATGCGGGAATGATGCTGTTGGCGTGTCCCGCTTCTCACATCTCTCGTGGACGTAGAGATACGGGTCATCGCTGATAGCAATCAGAAGTCGACCATCCGGTGATATGACTGCGCGGTTGACGCAGTCGGGATATGGAAGCTCATCTAGAGCCTCCTGATTATGCAGACTAACGAGGGCAACTGTTTTGTCATTGTTCGACAATACTGCAACGGGCTTCGAATAGGCGCCTTGAGAGGGCTCGACTAGCGACGGTGGGAACCACATGGTGATGCAGTTGACGCGCTCCTTGCCGAACGTCTTGCTCTTTGCGACAAGGCTCTTAGTGGATCTGGATTGGGCGAGGATTTCTAGTATGCTGTCATCGAGGTTAGAAGAATCGATGCTCATCGGCGCCCGCGAATCGATTTCCATTGCAAGGCGGACCAGTTCGGACGGGTTGTCCCCATCGTCGACGCGGATCGCCGCGAATTCGCCAGTCTCGCCCCCGCAACATATCCAGCCGTTTCTGGCAACCAAGCATCGCGGCTGGAAGGGGAGGATCTTGATCGTTTCGGTTTCTTCGGTGACGGTGTTTAATCTCTGGACATGCACGTTGCCGCTTCCGGTCGGAAAGTAGACGATGTTGTGCTTCTCTGCGCCGAGGAGAGAGCGTAGCTGCCAATGTCTGGGAGAGATGGCACCATCGTGTTAGAGGACATGTCGCAAGAGGTTCGCACAAATGCAGGGAAACATACACCGGCTTGACTGTGGCCCTGAAGTGCCGCCGGGGCTGAGATAAAATGAGGCCTTCGGTCGGGTGGTACCTGTTTCGCAAGAAAGTTAGCCGGCCTGCATGAGCGGCGAATCTTGGGACGGATTTGAGATAGATATGAAGGCCAAACTCGGAAGCTTGCCAATAAATAGCAAGGCCGGCAAGGGGTAGACGCACACGTTCTCGCCTTTGACGGCCATTGTATCGGATGATCCTGCCAGGAAGGCTCCCTCACGGTTCGGCAACCATCAAGTCTATGTGGAGGGGTATGTGACGTTTGGAGACGGCGAAATTGCGGGAGAGAGTTCGAGAGTTGGGAGGGTTTGAGGATTCGACGGTGGGCACTTGAATGGGGCCAGATCTAGGTTACGACAACTTGCGACTACGCGACTTCTAATAGGTAACTCTAATTGAGAGTGGTCGCGGGAGGTCCTCAGCGCATAGATCTGGAAGACTGGTGACGGTCGTCAAATCTGCTAGCATAACGCCATGACGTTTTTAATCGCCAGATTCTTGGAGGAGCATGAGCCACATCACACTTAAACTCCAGTCGCTGCGTGCATGTCGACACTGTACACGGGCACAGATACGCTCATACCCGCCCGCCTTTGCGCTACCTACATTGTACATACCTTACCTACCGCTACAACCATCCGATGGCAAAATTGGCAGGGGAAAGTTTGAAGGTCAACAACAGCGCCGGCCCCCCGGCCGCCATTGAGCTCTAGGTACCTAACCCTGCTGTAACCCCGGGACAATCATGACCGAAAGCACCGATACCAACGACCACAATGGCGCCAGCCACAACCATGAAGATGCCGCCGCACAACTAAGCTCAGGCCGGACCGGAGACTCCAAGGATTCGGAGCCCATCTTCCCTCCCCTCCACAACAATGCCGACGCCGAGGACGACGCGCTGCTTCCCCGAACAACCGCGCCCGCCGGCTCCGGGGTTGACGATGATAACGATGACGACGAGCCGGCCGTTGCCAAGCCGTTTGTCCGCACCTCGAGCCCGGATTCGGCTGCGCGAGCGGGACTGGCCGGCACTGATGAGGAGGACGATGGTTCCGATCGAGGGCCGGACTGGAAGAAACCGCGGCTGGTGCACAAGATGCACAAATTTAGCCTCTACGAGACGGCGAGCAGGTTCTACATCGTGGGCGGCGACGTGACCGAAAAGCGGTACCGCATCCTGAAGATCGAGCGCACAGCCGATGACGCGTCGGACCTGAGCATAATCGACGACAAGACCTTGTACAGCCAGAAGGACATGAACCAACTCCTGGACACCATCGATGACGGGAACAAGGGAACCGGCGGCTTGAAGCTCCGGTCTACGACATGGGGACTGCTGGGCTTCATCAAGTTTACCGGGCCGTACTACATGCTGCTGATAACCAAGAAGAGCACCGTGGCCATGATAGGGGGTCATTACATATACCAGATTGACGGCACCGAGCTAATCCCGTTGACACCCCGCAACTTCAAGGCCGACCAGCGGAATACGGAGGAGTCGAGGTTCCTTGCCATATTGAACAACCTCGACCTGACCAGGTCCTTCTACTACAGCTATTCTTACGACATCACTCGCACCCTGCAGTACAACATGACCAAGGAGCGTACCGCCTTGCTGAACGGCCAGCCCAGCTCCTGCTATGACGGCTTAAACTCCATGTTCGTGTGGAATAGCCATCTGCTTCAGCCCGCAGTCAACGCCCTCCACACACCATACGACTGGTGCCGGCCCATTATCCACGGCTACATCGACCAGGCAGCCGTGTCAATCTACGGTCGGACGGCGCACATAACCATCATTGCGCGCCGGAGTCGCTACTTTGCCGGGGCTCGGTTCCTGAAGCGCGGCGCCAATGACCTAGGATACGTCGCCAACGACGTTGAAACGGAGCAGATCGTGTCCGAGGCCCTGACGACGTCGTTCCACGCGCCCGGACCCAAGTTTTACGCCAGCCCGGCATACACCAGCTACGTCCAGCACCGCGGATCCATACCGCTGTACTGGACCCAAGATAGCGTGGGCGTGGCCCCCAAGCCGCCCATAGAGCTTAACCTCGTCGACCCTTTCTACACGGCCGCCGCCTTGCATTTTGACAACCTCTTTGAGCGTTATGGTGCCCCTATCTACATATTGAACCTCGTCAAGGCCCGCGAGAGGACGCCCCGTGAGAGCAAGCTGCTCGTCGAATACACAAAGGCCATCGACTACCTGAACCAGTTTCTCCCCGACGACAAGAAGCTGATCCACCGGGCCTGGGACATGAGCCGGGCGGCGAAGAGCAAGAACCAGGACGTCATCGGCACGCTGGAGGCGATCGCCGAGGACGTGGTGACCACGACGGGCTTCTTCCACAACGGGGACGGCCACACGAGCACGATCCGGGTACAGAACGGTGTGGCGCGGACCAACTGCATCGACTGCCTCGACCGCACCAACGCCGCGCAGTTCGTCATCGGCAAGCGCGCCCTGGGCCACCAGCTGCACGCTCTCGGCGTCCTGGAGGACACAGGGATCAACTACGACACGGACGCGGTGAACCTGTTTACCCACATGTATCACGACCACGGCGATACCATTGCCGTGCAGTACGCCGGCTCTCAGCTCGTCAACACCATGGAGACGTATCGCAAGATCAACCAGTGGACCAGCCACTCGAGGGATATGATAGAGAGCTTCAAGCGTTACTACAACAACTCGTTCCTCGACGGGCAGAGGCAGGAGGCGTACAACCTGTTCCTCGGCAACTACATCTTCGCCCAGGGGCAGCCGATGCTCTGGGACCTCGCCACAGACTACTACCTCCATCACGCCGACCCACGTGCCTGGCACGACAGGACGAAGCGCGACTACATCCACTGGTTCACGCCCGGGTTCCTGGAGGAGAGCAAGCTCGAGCCGTACCCCCCGCAGCCCAAGGGCGACGGGGCCAGGACGTCCGTCTCGTCCTACGACGACTACTGGCTCGAGTACTACCGGCCCTCGACGCTGTCCTCCTTCCTCAAGATGTTCCCCTACAAGATGAACTCGACCATCAAGTACATCCCCATCAAGTCCACCCAGGACGGCCGCTACGATCTCAGCCCCTTCCGCGTGCGCAACGAGCCCGACGGCGATGGCCACGACAGGAGGAGGCCCAAGAAGGACATCGCGGCAATTGACCCCCAAGATCTGAACCGCCTCGGCGCCGATGCCGAGGCCGAGGCCGAATCCGTCACCTCGGGGAAGACGGGCGCCACCTCCACCTCCGCCGCTCGCGGCATCTCACGCTGGCTACAGCCGTCGTCGCACGACAGCCCGCACAGCAACATGAAGCAGACGACGACGACGCCTCCGGTACCGGATGAGTCGAACGGCGGCGGCCAGGGCAAGAGCAAGCCGACGGCGCTGGAGAAGACGCGGGCGGCGCAGTGGACGTTCACCAAGGTGGTGCAGGAGAGCCTGAACCCGACGGTCAGCGCGGCCGAGGCCGAGGACTACGGCCGCTACGTCAGTCACCCGCAGAACCTGCCGCTCGTGGTGTCTGCCGAGACGCCGGCGGGCGAGGTCGAGGCCGAGTACCAGGAGTACGTCGGCGGGAGCTGGCAGTCGGACGGCCTGCTGCTGCCGACGACGGCGGCGGCGGCGGCGGCGACGGGGTCCAGCGAGGACGACCGCGCCGTGTACGCGGAGCTGCTCAGGGTCGGGGAGAACCCGCTGACGGTGACGGAGGAGGACGCGCTGAAGAAGAGGTACAGGGCGTACCGGAAGTGGCTGAGGGGGAAAAGCCTGTTCAAGCAGCAGCCCGTGGACTAGGAGCCCATGTCGCCGACTGACGAGGAACCTTGGTCGCCCTGTAGTTGAGAGTCTCCACATGCCGGGGGACGTATGTATGTACTGTGCATTACCCGCTGGTGATGGAGCGATGGAGTCTTTTTGCATGGCCTTTTGATTTTGCTAGATACCCCCCCAAAAAAATGGAATGAAATGAAATTGATTAAAGAATTTATGTCATGTCATTTCGGGGAACAGGCCCGCAAGCTCTGGTTCCTTGGATAGCAGCGGCGCCACCTTGCTCGCGAGGGGTGTGTCGCCCGTCTCGGCCACGGCAGCCAGCATCTTCGCGGCCTTGATCAGCTCGCCTCGGACCCGGTTCCGGGTCTCCTCGCGGGCCGATGTCAACGTCGAGTCGTCGGCCGCCTGCAGCCAGCCGAGGGTGAGCATCTTGATGATCTCGTCCTGCCAGACGCCCTGTGAGAGGCGCGGCCAGCAGTTGGCGATGGTGGCTTGCAGGGCGGCGAGGGCGGATAGCAGGGCGGGGGGGTGGCCGAGTGCGAAGGGGTCTGTGATGGTGGCGGCGAACATCGGGATCAGGTCCTTTGAGAGGGTTAGCGGGACGTGGCAGTGTTGGAGAAATACGCAATGTAGGGCCTTTCTGACCTTGAGATGCTTGACGGCGTGAATCTTCAGCTCTCCCACCAATGCTGCTGTCTGCTGGAACAGGACCTCGACGATTCGAGCGTGTTCTCTTGCGTGGAAATGTGCCATGAAGACACCCTCACGGAGAATTTGGTCTCGCAGTTTATTTCCTTTCGCAGGGTCCTTCTCTGTTGATATCTTTCCCGACAGAACAAGAAGGGCTTTGAAAGCTGGCTCGAGCAGCTGGACTGACTCGTTTTCCGGAGTCAAGCTCGGCAGGAAGCTGAGGGAGGGAAAGATGGCCTGCTCACAAACAGTCGCAAGACCCGTGCCTATAAGGGTTTTATCGGGTAGCTTGGAGAGGAACTCGGTGGCGATGACCAGGCCTCGAGCTCTCACTCTGGTAGCAGGGTCGTCGAGCAACGTTAGGAGCACTGGCACAAATAAGGGCCAGTTCTTGCTGATCAGGTCTACCTGCGGTGGAGTTAGTACACTGCTCGTGAGGAGAGCAGATCAGTGTAGAGGGACAAACGTCAGCTTGGCCGATAGCCCACGAGAATACGGGTATGGCGCGGAGATCTTCGTATTTCCAAGGTTTTGATTTCGCCGTCTCATCTGGCAAGCCTCGTTCGCGCTCCAGGTCATGGTCGCGATACTCTGCCTTCCGGCCCGATTCTGTTATTGTACTCGGTCTGGATTTGGAGAACAAGGGCCGTAAATAGCCCTTTAGGATGGTGTCTACAACCAACGACTCCCTGTCACTGTCGGTCAGTTGTTGGCCCAAGATTAGAGTCGCTAATGCCGTTGTCTGGTCTGCTGCCCAAGACTCGCTCCCGTGTGAAAAGGCGGCGAGGGTGATCAAGACTTGATCATCGAGGGGTGTTTTGGATGATGTGTGCTGTTGCAGCTGCTGCAGAGCCCGAAGTCCGTCGTAGGCAACTTCGCGAGAATGCTCGCATATGCGGCCGTAGGGATCTTGATCAAGGGTTCCACCCTCGCTACGGCCTGATGAAGCAATAGGTGCTATGGCACGCGCAATAGCGCCGGCAAGTTTGCCGGCGAAGTGGGAATCCGTGGGCTCGGCACGAATGCGGCCGCCGTGCTGAAGACATGCCAGCAAAGCGAGAAGGTCTGGCCGCGTAGACTCCTGGTCTCTGCGTGAGCATGGGTGTGAAGGACCCCTAAGGTAAAACCAGGACGGACCTTTCCAGAATAGCTCCCTGAGACCCGAAAAAGTTCTTCAAGAGTGAACGACTGGGGCACGTCTGAAATACAGTATTAGCCATCCCTTTTGGCTTCATTTTTTGGGACATATATGGTGTACGCAGGTGATGTTCTTACACTTGGAGAGCGCTGACAAGCCATCTTTGATGGTCGTTGATTTGTCGAGCTGGCTCGCCATCAATTTCAAATCCCGGATTACCGACATCGTGCTGAATTGGGATCTGAGTCAGATAGGCAGCGCACAGTCAAGTCTCGCATATTTGGTTGTTTTGTAGTCCGTAATAGAAGGTTGGATATCAGAGAATCGGAAAGCCTGGAGAGCCATCTCAAGATTTGCTGACTAACCTAGACTTGCGAGGACCAGGTTCCAGACACCGAGGTGAACACCCCCTACCAACTCATTTCCACCTACATACAACCTGGTATCTCATAAGAGCTGGGAATAACGTAGGCAGGTATCACAGCCTGTCCAGGATCACGTAGACAGGGACATTCATCACGGGTATCTATTAGGTATCGTCCGTATCTACCATAGCCCCCCTGGCCTTGGTCCAAGTAGGGAGAGAAGTAGGGAGAGAAACGAGAGCTACCTCGGCACCCCTACCGGATCCCCAGTTCCTCCTTCCGCTCCCGAACCTCTTCTATCGCACCAGCAGGATCATCCTCGCCCGGGTTGCAAAGCTGCCACTCCATAACGGCATCAAGCGCCGGAGCCATCCACTTGCCTGGCTTGACACCCAAAGCCTGAGCTAGCTGGCGACCATCAATGATCCTCTTGATTTCCGGCGCTTCCATGACATCTAATTTCTGGAGGTGGTCGAGGAACCGCTTCCATTCCAGCAGTATCTTCTCGCGGTCCATGTCTTCGGAGGGATGCCCATCCGACCCGGCGGCATGTCCGCCAGTCCGTTCCATCACATCGACAAGAATAGCGGAGAGCACCTGCAGCTTCCAGTGCCCGCCTCGGGATTCATAGTTCCGGATGGCCATCCCAAACCGGCCCCTCTCGTACAGGCACTCATCCTTGCTGAATGCCAACTTCTCGAGTGCCAGCTTCTTGAGTCCCAGGATGGACGGCCGGTGTCTGTGGGCGGCAGTGATGACGTCGCTCAACTTATTGTTTGCCTTGATGCCTTCGCGGCTAGCTGATGTTGCCAGTGGCGTTGGGAGCGCCCCCGGCTTCTTCGACTGCTCGTCCGGGAGTTGTTCCCAAGGGGCGAGAGCAGCCAGAACCCACGAAAAGTAGCTCTCCTCCTTTGAGCTCACCAGGAGATCATAGATTGACCCCTGGGTTTTACTCTCGGCCAAGATTTGCAGGCACTCGTATGCCGCTTTCCAGTTGCTGATATCTGGCTTTGGCATATCCTGGCGGTTTGGATCTGTGAATATGGTATGGTAGAGTCCGATTGTGTCAATTAGCTGGAGGGAGTCACGCGGATGGTCGCCTGTCGATACTGGTTAGCCTGCGAAGCGCCCGGGGAGAAGAGGGATGATGACGGAGTGACTGCACCTTTGAGCATCTTCTCGACCTCAACACCAACCCTCTCGCGACTAATTTTGAGCTTTAGGGCATCCAGCACACAAGTCTCGGCCATTGCTTTCTCGGTGACTGGATCAATAGAGAACTGCAGCCTGCTGGCAAACCTGACCAACCTCAACACCCGGAGCGGATCATCCGTGAATGTCTGCAGTGGTGCCATAGGTGTCCGGATCAGCTTTGCCTCCATATCTGGCAACCCTCCAGTGAAATCCTCCACCTCGCCGGTGTGGAGGTTATAGAAGAGAGCATTCACCGTGGCATCTCTCCGGAGCGCATCCTCCTCGGCTGTACCGAATTCCATCTGCGGATTGCGGCTATCATCCGCATAGGTTTCCTTGCGCAGGTTCACAAAGTCAAGATCCAGACCGAAGAGCTTCGTGGTGGTCGTCTCCAGGTGCTTGGACTTCTTCGGGTTCTTGGCGATCTTGTGCAGGTGGCCAATATCATCGGGGCCTATGCTGTGACGTTCGCGGGCCTCGGGCAGGTCGCAGATCGCGCTCAGGTGCGAGGCGAACGATTCCCCCGTCATGTTGTTGATTGCTGTGTCGATGTCATGGCTGTCGATACCAAGCAGCTTGTCGCGAACCCATCCACCGGCCCAACGAAGCACAGTAGGCTCCCTGGCTTTGGCCACATATCCTCCGTCGTCGATGCGCTTTGCGACGTCGAGTAACAGGCCCCTGAGCTGGGTTTCTCTCGAGTTGAGTTCGATGGCTTTTACCATCTTGATAGTTCGCTTGGAACTAGATGTGATCTCACTGAATTTCCGCTTCATGAGAGGAGAACCTGGTATTCTGTGGAGGGCCAAATGTTGAAGCCGGCAAAGCATCTATCTTTTCTGAGTCATTCATTCCCAGGTGTCGGGCCGGGTATCAGTTGACTCAATCCAGGGCCTGAACTTTCAGGCTCCTTTAATTCTTCGAGACAAATCTCCTTCAAATAGAAACCTCAAAGTCTTGGACTCAGCGCATTGCCGGCGAGGATATAGCTTTTTAGCACTCGAGAATCCGGGGTGTCAAGTCAAGTCTCATCAATCTCACTCATCTAGATGGAAATTCATGGGCATTCAAACGTAGATAATCGAGTACAGTATGAAAATGGTGTGTCTGCGCCTCGCACTGTATGCCATCAACCTTCCATTCTTCAAGGTCGGATTGGTCTGATTATTTCCAGTAAATGCGTATTTGTTGACAGTGGGCCTCGGGTTGTCGAGGTATCATAGAGTACAAACATGTCTAAACTATATTGGCCGATGACGACAGGTGAGATACGAGGGCATATACATACGGGGAGTTGAGGGAAGGACAGACGGCTGCATCTCGTCAAGAAGTTAAATAGTGTGTTTCCAATGTATACAAACTGAAGAAAAGGAAGCATACGGCCGCGAGACACGGGTATCGATAAAGGAGAGAAACCGTTAGCCGGCACCAATCGGCACCTTTCGACCTCTACCCTATGCTAAGAGGCTTTGGAACCATTTTCCCGCCACGAAGAATCCCAAGAGTAATACAAAGCAAAATGTCGAATCTCAATAGGCGCCCGGGCCAATGTTAAACCCCAGAACGCCGGTAGAACGAGAGGGCGAAGGAGGCCGCCGTTGCCTTAATGTAGCCATGCTCAAGGGACGCTGTTCTTCACCGCGATGACGATCGATAGCACGATCAACACCAGGACCAGGATCATCAGGCTCATCAGCTTGACATTCTTCCACCACATCTGCCTCTTCAGGCCCCTACTGCGGACCCGGAACTCGTGTGCGCTGCCCCCGAGCCTATCCGTCTTGTCGACCAGGAGGTCGATGCGCTCGCCCCTCTCGAGCAGGCCCTCGATGTTGCGGGTCATGATGCCTCGCACGTCATCGATCTCGCGCTTGACGTTCCCGATGGCGTCGTCGCGGCCGTGGCCGGTGGTGCCGTACTCGACCATCAGTCCCTTGAGCTCCGAGTTGAAAGCCCCCGCGCCGTAGTTGGGCATCTCGGCGAAGTCGGTACCGTCGGCCGGGAAGCGGGCCAGGAACCGCTTGCGGATTTCGAAGAGGTAGCCGAAGCTGATGCGCCGCCCCAGCGACGACTCGGCGATCACGAGGAAGGTCAGCCCGCCGGCGCTGGAGTACTGGCCGTGCTCCGACGGGGCCTCGGCGATGTAGTGGATGTGGTAGGTTCCATGAGTGTAAGTCAGCTTCTGGGGGCTCGAGTGGTCGATCTTCGGGAGGATGAGAGATGCGAGGGACGACGTTTGGCTTGAAGCGGAAGTCGTGCACTCGGTGAGGATCGTGGAGTTGTGCGCTATACACGAGCTGAGTACAACATCATGTTTAGTTGCTGGTTACACTTGGGGTGTTTGGATATGAAGTCCCGGCTTACTAGAGCAACGGAGTTGGGGTGGTGGAGGATGAAGCCATTTTCTCTTTGACTGCAAGTCTTTGCCCCGGGTTGGGTTCTTGAAATGGGAGAGCCACTCGGCAGACCTTAGCTAATGCAAATCCTCGATGAGGTGAGGTTCAAAGTTCAGGACGGGATCTTAGCATGATGGAGGTTCCCTGTTCTGCAACTAATATAAGGCATGTTGAGGACTGGTGGGGCTTGTATTTAGGTGGGTCCATCCAATGAATCCACATGTTCGGCGCCGGAAAATGCGTGGTAGCGGCGCAAAGCGAGGGACCCCTGACGGGACTGCATGGAAATGGTTGTCCTAAATTTTGTGACAGAAACATGGAATTTCGGGTACCTTCCATATCAACGCTCGCCCCCCAAGAAGGAATGGGCATGATTGCGGCCACATCGTCGACGCGGTCATGAAATTGTTGTCCAAGACTGCTTGGTCACTCTCAAAGGCCGCAGTTAGGTTTCCTCTTCAAACGAGGGCGGCAAGCTCCTCAGATCAGGGGCGAGTTTACCGTACTGTAAGTGGGAACCATCTACCTACCTAGCCATTGATGCTCTGTTGATTCTGACATCGTTCTTCTCCCTCCTAGATCCGTGGAAAGGATGCTCGGCCGGATATCATACGATCCGGACTCGAAAATGAGGGCCAACGTGGCTCGACGAACCGGCGGAGTTACGATCTCTTCGGCTCCCTCGTGACCACCCGATTCAGATATGTCCTCGAACGCATGGGAGCATGGACGCCAGAGAATGGCCTATACCGATCCTTTGGCATCCGCAGCCAGGCTGATTTGAATCGCGAAGCCAAACTATTCGACCGAGCCATATGCAATGCGATTCACGGAGCTAGTCGCAGGCGTTTGACCGGTCGAAATGACAACCCTCTCTACTGGAATCTGCGCAATGCATTTGTCCGTGGAGATGCAGGAGGGTTGGATAGGGAGCTCAAATATTCATTTCAGAGCTTCTTATTGCGCTTAAAGTTCTCGAGGGCGGTCAACGAAAGCCACAAGAAGCTTGCAGACCTCCGCTTTCCGTATGAGTGGTTCCCCGAGACGCGTACCATGCAAAGGACAATACATCTCCACGTCGGCCCGACGAACTCGGGGAAGACATACAACGCCTTGAAGGCCCTAGAGAGTGCAAAGACGGGAATCTACGCCGGCCCACTACGGTTATTGGCTCATGAGATCTACAGCCGCTTCAAGGCGAAGGGAATACCCTGCGCCCTCGTCACTGGCGAGGAGCAACGCATTCCCGATGGGACAGACCTCTACTTTTCCAGCTGCACCGTGGAGATGTCGCCGTTGGGCGTTAGGGTTGATGTCGCCGTCATTGACGAGATCCAGATGATCGCCGACGAGGATAGGGGGTGGGCCTGGACGCAAGCAGTTCTGGGCGTACAAGCCCGAGAGCTACATCTTTGCGGCGAAGAACGGGCCGTTGATCTCATCCAGGGCTTGTGTGCCAGGATCGGTGACAAATGCGTAGTGCATCGCTACGAGAGACTTAACCCGCTGCTCACCATGAACGAGAGTCTAAAGGGAGATTTTAAAAGTCTGCAAAAAGGCGACTGCATCGTCTCTTTTACCAGGGTAGGCCTTCACACTCTCAAGGCCGGCATCGAAGAAGCGACTGGGCGCCGATGTGCCATCGTCTATGGCTCGCTGCCTCCGGAAACCAGAGCACAGCAGGCTGCACTCTTCAATGAGCCAAACAATGACTATGATTTCCTCGTTGCCAGCGATGCCATTGGTATGGGCTTGAACCTGGAAATCAAGCGGGTTATCTTCGAATCCGTCTCCAAGTACGACGGGTCTGCGCACCGCAGCCTCTCAATCCCCGAAGTCAAGCAAATAGGCGGCAGGGCGGGAAGATATCGTACTGCTAGTAGGGATATCATGGAGAGCGGCGGCGACACCACACCCGCGCAGCTTGAGGTAGGTTCGGTCTCGAGTGCCGGCCTATCTAAAACGCCACTAGCCAGCAACGAGCGATCAGTCGGTCTGGTTACCACTCTGGACGAGGAGGATCTGGAGTCGATCAAGACGGCCTTCAAGACCGATGCTGGGCCACTCAAAACCGCGGGAATGCTTCCGCCGGCCTTTATCATCGAGCAGTTCTTCTCATATTTCCCGCCGGACACGCCTCTCAGCTTCGTCCTGGCAAGGTTGAGAGAAATGGCCAAACTCTCGGAAAGCTTCGAGATGTGCGACTTTGTAGTTCTGCTGGACGTTGCCGATGCCATCCAGGACCTGCCGCTGAACATTCATGACCGGTGTATCTTCTTGACGGCGCCAGTGTATATGCGGGACTTCAAGCAGAGGGATGTTCTGAGAGCTCTGGCACGCTGCGTCGCGGAGATGAAGGTTGGCCATCTACTGGACATCGAAGAGATAGATCTGGAGATCCTCGACATTGAGAGGGGCACGGCCGATCTGTCGGATATCGACTACCTGAGGCGCTTGGAGGCCCTCCACAAGTCCATCACGGTGTATCTGTGGCTGACCTACCGCTACCAGGGGGTGTTTCCCAGCCAGCACCTCGCTTTCCACGTCAAGTCGCTGGTCGAGGGCAAGATCACGAACTACCTGGAGAACCTTGGCTTCACAGTCGAAGGAAGAAGGGCACATCGTAAGATTGCGAGGAAGCTTGTTGAGAAGCAGAAGAAGATCGAACGACGACTGCTAGGGCAGGAAGATAACGGGCATCGGAACGAAGAAGCCCTCGAGGAGGAGCCTTTGATGGATGACGAGGAAGAAGCCGAGGCCGCTATTGGAGGAAACCCCATCCCCGATGATGGCCAGAACAGAGGCAACAATGAAGCCCGAGTATAGCCGGGCTGTAATTACAAGCGCTGTATACTACTTGTACATTACTATAGGTACCCACGGGGTTTTTACAGGTTTTGGAGGGCACATGGTCTTGGAGTCACAGGTTAGAAAGAAGACCTGGGTTTGGACGCCATATTTGTACACACAATACAGAGGACAGGGCAACGGGAGGCCCTGGGCCCTGGCACAACCCGCAACTCAGAGATGTTAATAAATAGGTATTTAAGCTGTCCCATGCCATGGAACCTTATTAGGTGCGTAGGAGGTTCTCGGGGTGTATCTGTGGGAAACTGTGATTAATAGTGGGTCCCAACGGTCCGACAGAGGTGCTATGCAAAATGACGTGTGAAGGTGGGCTGCCAAGCGCCAGCTGAGGGGCAACTCAGGTCCCTGGATGGCTGAGGAACAGAAAAAGAAAAGCATCAAGATCCAACGTCAAGCCAAAATCTGCCGCATAGTGCCTGGACCTTCTTTCATCTTTATTCGTCACACGTACCACGTCGACCCTCGAAACGGAGCCCATCCAAACTTCCACCCCCACCAACACCATGGCATCAGTGGATACACACGGCGGCAACCCGGACCCGGCGTCGACGGCGCCGGCCTTCATCCCGCTAGAGGCCAACCCGGAGCTGATGAGTAGCCTCCTCCACAAACTGGGCTTGTCGCCGGCACTACAGATGCACGACGTGTACTCGCTCCAGGACCCTGAGCTGCTGGCCTTCATCCCGCGCCCGGCCCTGGCCCTGCTACTGGTGTTCCCCGTCTCGGCCGCGTACGAGTCTCACCGTCTCGCCGAGGACGCCACCGCATCCGAGTACGCCGGCAAGGGCGACGGCGAGCGCGTCGTCTGGTTCAAGCAGACCATCCGCAATGCCTGCGGCCTGATGGGCTTGCTGCACGCTACTGCCAATGGGCCTGCGAGGGGTTTCATCGGTGAGTACCTAACCGGAGCTTTTTCTTAAAAACCACCAGCCCAGCCCAGCACCCAGGGCTAACCCAACCCCCACCTGCAGAAGCAAACTCGGACCTAGACAAGCTCATCAAGTCCGCCATCCCGCTCGCGCCGGCGGAGCGGTCGCTCCTCCTGGAGCGGGACCCGAGCCTGGCGCGGGCGCACCACTCGGCGGCGTCGCAGGGTGCCACGGCGGCGCCCGACGCGCAGGACGACATCGATCTGCACTACGTGTGCTTCGTCCGGACCGAGGACGGTGAGCTGTGGGAGCTGGACGGGCGGCGCAAGGGCCCCATCGCTCGGGGCGCGCTGGGCGAGGGGGAGGACGTGTTGTCGGCCAAGGCGCTCACGCTGGGGCCGCTCAAGTTCCTGGAGAGGGAGGGGGCGGATCTGAGGTTCAGCTGCGTTGCGTTGGCCGGGAGCTTGGAGTGAGGATGATGACAATGGAGGTGAGAAGGGCTAGGGCCCATATTCGGATTGGGGCTCCCTCTGGATGGCATGGGCATTGGAGTTCCTAATCGTGGGTAATCATGAAGGTGTCAGGTTAGTGGCAACAAGGCTTTACAGAAAATGCACGGCACCCAAAGGCTTGCACAACTAATTCCTGAATCGACAGCTTGGAGAATCGCCTTCCGTTGTTCATACCCAACCAGGTTGGCCAAAATACGTGTGCGTAATACAACCTTGAGTCTAGGGAAAGATGGTGCAGGCACAGTACAATACTGGTTTACACTCTCTCATCCATGTCGGTTGCACCGCGCCTGATAATCGGGTTAAGAGCTGTGCTTCACACCTCACCTGGTTCAATGCTCTGGGAAAGCCCGAAATAAATATCACAACGATGCTCCCATACTCCGATGCTCAGTTTCATATATAATGGGAGCTGCATGCGCACCCCTCGGTGCGACGACGACGACGACGACGACGACGACGACGATGACGAACCTCGGGGCCGGCAAGTAGTACCGACTCTGCAGCATTCCCGTCTTGCTTACCCTCTCACCATGGCGGTGGTTTTCGGGGTCGATCTGTGATCTCCGTTCAGGCTCGTCATTCACTTCTTCCCCCATTATTGGTATACACGAGCGTCGACGACCCGAAGCTAACATATCTGACATTGCCACTAATGCAGAGGTCTCAGGGATGACGTCTTCTGAATCGGACAGGAACACAGTACGAAGCTTTGCCCGCCAGGAAAATTCGCCAGTAATAAGTTCACCGGTATGTTTGGTTAGGACAGGCACAAGCGGTTCTTCGCGGGGCCGGCTTGGCACATTGTTCAAAAATCGATGACTACCTAGGCCGCTATGACGGAAAAGAGCTACAGGGTGTTCACGAATGGGATCTTCTTAGCCTTGTGCTTCCCACTGACCTAGAATACTTGATTAGGCGCAGTAGAGCTGCATGAATACCTACCTAGGCATTAAAGGTCGATTGAAGGAGGTTGGTGCACACAAACGCACGCACACACCGGGCAACGGAGGGACGATGGATTAAGCTAACGGATCGGAGGGCCAGAGGGGGTGGGTAATCCAATATGGCAAAAGATGGTCGCCGCTTCCTTCGGGACTGCTGCGGGCTCGGACTTCGCACGCACACTACAGCTGCAGACGGCCGGAGCGGTGGATGGGAAAAGAGGGACCGCACTCCAGGTGTGGCTGCAAACCAAGGTCAGTGCCCATGTCAAGGGGCCCAATCGCAACTCGCCAACTTTCAGACGAACCCAACCGCATAATTGACGATGGAAAGGGGGGAAAGGCGAGGAAGATGAGTTGAAAGTTATTATATTCCATAAGTTCCAAGTTTTGGGAGTCGAAATCACAGGGTTCCGTTTTTCTAGGTCAGGGGTCGGAATGTGGGGAGCATCACTAGGGCACCTAGGTACGCATAGTAGTATGATCGAGATTGGATCTTCGGTAACCTGGTAAGTACCTAGGTGTGGAAATAGGCGAAATCGAAGAACCACAAACCACACTCCTCAGCTGGACGGGGGCATTCGAGCTCTCCCAACCGTTCCTACACAGGTGGTTACGTATCCGTACTTTCCCCAATCTCTCGGACCTCTTGGCGGACATGGCTGTCTTTTCTCAACCATCCTGCTCTTATCATTTCATTTCCGCTAGCACCTATTGAGCTGGCCCTGGTACCTTGCAGCTGTAGATACCTATCGGCTTGTGCACCGTAGCCAGCTTGGAGTCTCACTTATGCCCTATCTGATAAGATTCTGCTGGTTTTGTTTCTCCCAGAGGACTTACCATGCGCAGCCCATGTTTCCACCCACCACATTCACGGCTGCATGCAGCAAGGTGTGCGGCTGGGCTGCATGGGCCCTTGAGACGGTAGATCCCCTGGACTTCTGGTTCTGATCTCTTGCGATATGCCCAGCCTTTCCCGAGCCACGACATTATTGACCCTGTGCGCTAGGTACCATACTTAGTAGTTTCCATGGCACCATTTCAACTTGTACCGTCTACACACTGTGCAGTAGTGCGCTGATCACATGGATATTCCCCTCATGATCCTCGCCGCTGATGCAAGTCAGGACGATCCCTGTCAGATCTGCTCTAGGTGGAGCGCGTTTGGTTACTAGTCGCCCTAGTGTCGCACAAAACGGTTGGTTCATTGGACCTTACGGGCTTGGCTTCCGATCGCAAGCTGCCAATTTTGAAGCCCCTGTTTGCTGCCAGGCATGGTTGTCACTTCTTCAACACGAGTAGAATGTTCTACACCACACCAATGCACTGGTCCAGTGGCCAATAATGTGCCTAGAATAGATCTTCTAGGGTGTGTAGGATCTAAATTACTCCGTACACCGCATACGGAGAGGTAATACATGCCGCACGGCCCACGGTTTTCTCCCCTCGTTCGCTCTTGAAGTCTCCCCCGTCTCAGTCCCCAAGGAATCCAAGGATCGAGTTCATCCGGAGCCACCTTCAACCAGTCAAAGCGTCTCGGCCGTCCCGGTTTACAAACTTCAAACGCGACAGAATAGCCGCTTGCCTCCCAAACACGGCATGGACGTGATCCATCACTCCTTTCCTGCCCTGCAAACACATAGCTTGAGGACTTGGCTCACCCGGTTTACCGATGGTTGAACTTGATGGATGGATTAGCACCCCACCGTTCCACGGCTAGCTGTGACCTCCTGCATAAGTCCTCCCTCTGCAGATTTTCTGCAAGCCTAGCTAGCTTCGACGTAGGCGTGTTTCTTAACACGGTGTACTATTACGACGTCAGCTTCTGCTATGTCTGGGGGATGCCAGCCTCAAAGTATGGGGAACAGACCATCAATCCGCCTGGTTTCCCGTCTCATAGAAAGAGGGTACCTTGTCTAGCTATACATTTACTTCCCAGGACCGACCGTGTGCTCCACGGCATCATCTAGCGCCTTGTAGTCCCTTCGCTTTATTCTCTCGTCCCCTCCATTTTCCCTTCTCCCTCCATTTCTTGTCTACCTCTCTTCTCTTTCCTCTTGCGCCCCCTCTTCCGTCCCTATAGTGCCGTTTTCGTTCACCTTGTTGTTGTCGTGGTTGCTCTCCTTGTGGTTGACTAGCATTGTCCTTGCAACATCAATCTCGGCCCTGTATTGTCTCTGTCACCGTCCCACTATCCATGGCTGGCATTGGCCGCCATAATGGGGCTCTTGAGCTTTCTATCCAAGCAATCTGCGGGTGACAGACAGCGGCCAAGCACACGCGTCAGGTCGCAGGCATACAACGCCACTGTTGCCTCCAACCCTCCGGTGAGAGGTGAGTGCTGGGAATTGGCCCTCCGCCATGACGCCCCGGACTTACACAGACGACACAGGAAACTACCCCGTTCCTGGCAATGGAACAAGCGCCCTCGAGGGTCTCTCGAGGATTCACGGCGAACTTAGCGATTCTCAATTATCGCTAGATATCAAAGCACTTTCTCGGTTCCCTCTTCCATCTCCTGTAGTGTCTCTATTCCAGGATGAGAGCCGGCAAAGGCCAAGCACAGCCCCCAATGGGGCCAAGCCGCTTGATAACCGCCCATATACTGCGGATCGGCCAAGGAAAGGTCTGCCGAGAGGACCATGGACTTACACGAGACCTCAGAACGGTTCCTCAGTGCCTGAGCCTCCCCGAGGTCGCTCTGCTGCGAGAGCTACAGGCCCTCCGCCAGTCAGACTGGGTGTAGGACCTCAACTCCTTGCTGCTAGCAGCCCGAGTGGCCCAGGTCCTGACAGCCCCTTGAAGGGCTCAAAGGACATCCTTGACGCACAATCAGAGTTTAAACCGTTAGACTTTAGGACCCGAATCAAGGCGGCCGGAGCGCGAGATTATGGAGAAGATGTTGCCGACCGAAATATTGGTCAGAACGGCGTCAATCTCGAGTCCCCTCACGTTCGGGCATTCTACGCTCAATCAGCAGGCAGTCTCGCGGCTCGCAAAGGTCGATGCGTTTCCGTGGCCGATATCTCCCAGCTGTATCTCAACGACGACACTCGTGGCCGGCCAACGTCGAAGCAACCTCAAATAAATTCTGGTCATCGTACAAAATCTCTGAACTCTTTGAGTTATTATTCCTTCCCTCAGAGGGCTACGCCACCCGTTCCCCAAACCCCAACTTCTGGGACACACGATGGTCGTCTGAAATCAGATTCGAAGCTCACTGCAGAAAGCAGAGGCAGTCGTCGTAAATCCCTCAACTCTTATATCCCCACCGGTTCCCCCGGCACACTTAGACCACACATTCCAAGAACAGGGTCCTTCAGCTTCCGGAACGGCGATGGCTCAGGAAGACCTTCCCTTGCTCTTACTCGCCCTGCCACAGCTCATGATCCTCAACATCGAAGCAGCTTCTCGACCATTCGACAGGCGTCTATTCCCAGAGAACCTCGATCTCCGAGAACAACTGCCGATTCAGTCTCATTTGCAAAGATAAAGACGGGTCATGGAGGACCTGACCACGGCAATACGTACATCGACCACGCCCATCCCGGCGGGAGATCATTCCCCCTTATGGCGACTTCTAGACGTGACTCATCAGCAAGTGCTGCGTTTGCCTACTCGGGAAGCCTGCATACCCGCCAGTCGTCCGTATCGTCCTCCTTCAGTCGCGATGACGCCGTCGAAAATACCGCCCTCTCCTATCCTCGGCACAAGTCGCAATTCAGATCCTCCCACGATGGAGGAAGCACCGGCACCACTGCCCCCGGGGCGGACCTGGGAATATATACCTCAGATAGCCTTGATTTCGGGGCACGTCCTTGTAAGTGCTGCACATTTTGCGGAATTGTTTGCGATATGAATTTACTAACGATAGCAAATAGCCATCAGTTCCGCGCATGCGAATGTCACGGTTCGTGAGAGCCGTAGGAGGTCGCGGAGTTTGGCTTCGAGCATGAGGACGCTGAGGTTAGACGAAGTTGACGACGTCGTCCCCGTAAGGACTAGCAGTATACGCCACTGGTCCATATCGTCTACTACGCCAACTACTTCAGAGACAAGTTCCAATCTATCTCAGCCGCAATCTCGCCATACCGCTGACACCTCGGTCGATCTTTCTCATTCATTCTCGGCCAAGAACTCGAGCCGTGGTTCTCTGACGAGCGCCATTGACACCTCCGTCGCCTTGTCGCCCAAGACTCCGAAGTCAAGCACATTTAACATCGATGACTATATTTCCTCGGATGACGACGTCTCCATGTCTCCTCGCCGCCCACGCGGCGAAGGCGAGGAAGATCTCTTATTCCGGGATGATGGCTTCTGCATGGGCGGCTCCCAGCTGCCCGGCCTTTTCGACGGCGGCCTGACGTTACCGGGGCTCAGCTCCAGCTTCTATGCGGACGAGCAACTGTCACACCGGCCCCGCACCAGTTCTTCATTGCCCGTTGGGTACATGCAAAACGCGTTCAGTAGCTCCATGTTCAACCCAGGGGCACCTTCGCCCCTGCGATCAAGCAGGAAATACATCATCGATACTGCGGCGCACTACGACGAGGACGAGGAAGGAGACGACGACTATGCCAACGCGTGGCATCGCCGAGGCGAAGAACCGCAATCCCCCGGTATGTCGCCCATGTGGGGGGGTGGGTTGCGAGGCACAAAGCGGCTCTCCGCGCTGGGCAACAAGTACGGCCACCCGTACCGCAGGGACGACGTCATCGAGGAGGAGCGCGACATGAGCAAGATAGACGTCTCCGCCGCGGTGAAGATGCGAAAGGAGGCCAAGGCGAAGAAGAGGGCCGCCGTGGCGGCGAGGAGGAGGCCCAGGACCAGGAGCAGGCCGGCGCCCATTGTCGTGGATGGAGACGAGGGACACCATGCTGACACCGAGTGCTAGTTGTGGGTTTTTGGTGAATCCGGACGTTCTCGGAGTGGGCATCGAGTGATGGGAGAGTCATGGGAGACTACTTCTAGCTACTTCTAATGACAGCCTTAGGAGGCCTGGGCATGGCAACGGCGTTTTGGAATGGGGAACTAAGGCCGCGGATGGGATGAAGGGCCAGTACAGTACGTCATACGCAGACGTTCATCACATCGACACATCAATTTTCATTACATAGGTAGTTCAAAGGCTTATACCCAATGGAGGAGTGATTTCTCTGGAACTTGGAAGATAGGCTTGGTTATTATGTAACTGTTAGCAATAGGGGGAGGCGAACTTTTGGGGCTTCCAGAGACCCAGAAACCAAATGTCTCAATATTTGATTTTCTTGGGACTTGCATGTTAAAAGTGCGCTGTCACAGGCAAGCTCCAGGGTGAACCAATTGAGGGCAACCCTCGGTTTTATTATGCGCAGTCAGACGTGGAATCAATGGGCCCCCTGAAAGACGAGTTTCCACGCCAACGGGTATCAAATCAAACCGGACGCCCACGAGCCCCCTGCAAACCCATTCAATGCATCCGCATTTTAGACGGGGTCAGCCTGCGCTCCGCTCACCCATGGTTCACTCTCGAATTAGCAACCCTCCCGCTCCCCCTTTTCTCCCCTACCTCACAGTGCATCACAGCAGGTAATGAATGAGGGATGCAGGGTCATCCGCAACCATAACTCAAAACGCCATTAGATGGCTGACCCATGGACATCTGCCACCGCCACCGCCCCCGCCACCGCCACGCCGTCCTCCTCGGCCCGGCAGCGGCACCCGAAGCGGGCGCGGAACTCGGCCGGGTCCATGGGCTCGAGCTCGGCGACGGCCTTCTTGGCGGCTGCGATCTTGGCGTAGCGCCCGCTCGCGGCGACGGCGTGCGCGAGCGTGGTGTCGTGGACGCGCAGGCCGCAGACCACGGCCTCTGACCGGGCGCCGGCGGCGGCGAGGTCGCCTTCTGCGCCGCCGTCGCCGCCGCCACCGCCGGGCGGCAGATCGCGCACGAGGAGGCGCCAATCCTCGCAGTGGAAGCGCAGCTGCATCAGGCTGCCCAGGAGGGTGACGGGGTGCTTGCTGGCGAAGGTGTCGTAGCGCCGCATGTCGGCGAAGTGGGGCTGGACGTGGTCGGCGAAGAAGCGCCGGACCTGGCCGTAGTCGTAGCCCGAGTCGACGAAGACGGCGCCCACGTACGCCTCCAGAACGTCGGGAAGGCACTTCGGCGGCTGCGAGCACCGGACCCAAAAGTCGCGCGCAAAGTCGGCCGCGTCCCGACCGGCCCGGACGGCATCCTCCTGGGCCTGGGCCTGGGCCCCGGTGACCTCGGTGACGTACAGGTGCACATCGCGCTGGACGGCGCCGTCAAAGGTTACGAGGTTCTTGTTGAAGCCCAGTGAGACGGCGAGATAGCCTAGAAAATGATTGCTGACCATGGCCATCTTGTGCTCGGTCAGCCACTGCGGGTCGGCGCCGGGGAACCGGTGGAAGAGGTGGTCGACGCAGACCATGTCGAGGAGTGCGTCCCCAAGAAACTCGAGACGCTGGTAGCTGGGTAGCTTCTCGTAGGAGCGGGATGGATACGAAGGGTGCATGAAGGCGCAGCGGAGGAGACGGGGGTGCTTGAAGGTGTAGCCCAACTTGGCGGCTATCCGACGGGCCATGTCATCCTGTAAGGGGGTAACTTGTGCCGTCTGCCACGCCGGCTTATTGTACGCCGCGTAGTAATCGGACCAGCTAGTCATGGGGTGGTATTTGTCCTTCACCATCGTTGCGACTGCTTGGACCGCCATGTCGAAGTCCCCCTCCTCCCAGGTTGTCAGATACGCAGCTCCGATGACGGCTTCGCAAACATCGGCAATGGATTTGCCCGCAAGTACGTGCGAGGTTTTGGCAGCTTTCCTCTTGCCCTTCTTGAGGGTTAGACCCTCGGGGTACCAGGTTCGTCTGCAGAACGGTATTGAGCGGATATGTTCGTGAAGCTTCATCTCTATGGCATGCTTGAAGAGATTCTTGTTGCAGATGAGCAACATCCTCGATACGTGGTACTCGAACTCGCCATGGTCTGGATTGAGCGTGAAAATAGCAATCGTAGTCGCCATTTTTAAGAAAGAGTCGCCCAGAAGCTCCAGTCTCTCATAGTTGTTGCCCATGCCCCCTTGGAAGGTGACCTCTTCCGGATTGTGCTCGTCTCCTGCTCCGTCACTATCCTTGGTAAAGGCCTCCAGCGCAAGATCGGGCCGGATCGGAAGACCAAGCACCCTGCACATGTCTAAGGCGATGAGGTTTGATTCTATCCGATGTATGATCGCAGGAAAGGTACAGGCCATCGCCACGATATCTGTAGGTAACTGCGAGCGTATCAGCATCCATTGCTACCATACATGGCCACGAACGCCATGCTACTTACAGGTGAGATTTGGAGTGGCTCGAGGATCAGGAAGCACTGTTGAGCCTTGAACTTCTGGTCATCGATGGTGTCGTCTAAGAAGTTGCGGTGGATCGGAAGCAGCTCGGCCTCCACAACCGGTTGATCTTCTTTCCAGGTGGCACGTGTCCGCGACTTGGTCCATAAGCTCACGCTGTAGTTGATAATGTTCTGCGTTGTCGACTTCCAACCTCGGCGTTGCAGCGGGACAACGGAGGCGGGAACAGGGTCCTGTGGCTTCAAATCATGTCGACGGTGGCGAAGGAAGAACTTGTGAGAACCATTCCAGGGGTCAACCACAAACTTGTCTCGGAAGAATTCATCAGGCTCGTCCCCAAGACTCTTGATCTTGTCGGTTTTCGCCACATATTCTAGCGTGTCCCAATCAATGAAGTCCCGTGTATCGTCGTGAGCCGAGAAATTAAAATCGTGTCCATATTTCGACGGGCAAAGGAAATAAGGCAGATCGGCAACGCCATTCTCATATTCTTTGCTGAAGATATCTTCGAAGATCTTCAAGGTAAAAGCCGTGAGACATCCAAGCATATCTTGGTCAGCCTGGATGGGTCGAAAGATCGAAACGCAGTGAGCATCTGAGGAGCGGTCCTCTCCGAAGAATAAAGGAACTCGCGCAACCTGGGGGATGGCCTGCCTGGTAAGTAACAGCAGGGGCCGAGATGGCCGGCCGAGGGACTCTGGCTTCGACAGGGTCAGGACCGCGACATACAACTCCTGTGGAACGCCAAGATACGACCAGATCTCCGGTTTGATGCGCATGTTGTACCTGCTCTGGCTGCCGGAGCCGATGGCCAGCCTGGCGTTGCGCATGGCAGGTAGCTTCTTGGTAAAAACTGGCTGCAGGTGATCGTCAAGATACTTGCCCTTGATAAGCTGAAGGCACATCTCGAACGCTGCTGCGCACTTGGCAACTTGCTTGGTGGAGTGTGGTCTCCCAAGGGCGCTCCGTACAGGAGACTCGCTGGGCAGGATGACTTCGCACTGGAACCCGTCGGGCGCCGAAGTAACCATGTAATCGGCCAACAAGATCGTCTCCGGTGAGTGAGGAAGCGAAGCCACAAAGTTCGCAAGGCAGACCAAACTCGATTTGTAGTTCAGTCTTGCCCCCGATGACGGCACAGTGTATTGCCTCTGTTGCCTCTCCTTCCTCAAGAAGTAGTCCATGTCGAAGTCGTTTCCTGTCAGCCTTCGATCTTCAGGCATGGACTCACAGAACCTTCGCAGCGTTTGCTCGTTGGCCTTGTTCTGGATCACCTTTCTGTTATGGATACCGTTTCCTTGCTCGACCATGTGGATGTACTGCGAATCCTCGTGGCGAGCCCGGCCACGAGATTGGATGTATTGAATCATCGTATTGTAGAGGTCGAACCTGATGATGGTGTTGCAGTCAGGGATGTCAAGCCCTTCCTCGGCCACCGAGGTCGCGAAGATGCAGTTCAGTTCTGCCTTCTTCAACTTGACAATTGTCAGGACATGATCTCGGAACGAGACCCTGGTCTCTCCCGAGTCGGCAGGATTGACTCCCACCTTCCACAGGTTAGTGTGAATTTGAATTCCTAGGAGCTGGGATTGGCAACTTACCAAGACTCCGACTTTCAGGCCCGGTATCTCTATGCCGGGTTGCTGGAACAGGTCAGCCAACATCATGGCGGTCCATCTCTGCTGAACGAACACGATGCATCTCGGTCTCGCGTCCCTGTCGCCGAATTTGTCTTTGAGAATGTTTATGAGCTCAATAACTTTCGACGAAAGAAGACGCTGGTCGACGGCCACGGGAGCGGGCTGGAAGTTTTTAACAACCTCCTTCGCCTCTCGAACCTGATCCAGGTGGTTCTCCAGGTTCGAGTTTGAAGGTCCGTTGTGGAGGAAGTTCCGCTCTATCTTAGCTTCCAGTTTAGGTCCGTCCTTCTCTCTCATGTACAGCGCCCAAAACCGATCGGCACACCACGGCCCGAGCTGTGATGTGGCATCCTTCGAAAACACCAGAGGTCTCTTGAATAGGCTATGGCCATCAAGAAGTTGCTTCAGGGACTGGTAGAGGTCGGTCTCCCAGGGTGAGAGCAGCCGGGCGTATGGAAGGACAAGTTCCGTTTTCGGCTTGCAGATTGTTCTCAGCAGGAAATCAGGGTTGGCAATAGTTGAAATCTGGCTATGAAGTAGGCCCTCGAGCTCAGCTGCGGCTCGGTGGACGTCCACCTGGGCATCTACCGGGGATGCCGTCATGCCAAGGATCCTGGGTTGCCTGTCCTGGTCCTCAACCTGAACATAGAAGTCCTTTATGATCCGGGCATAGGGGTGGTTCTTCTTTGTGTGGTGAGCCTCGTCAAAGATCAGGAGGTTAATCTGGCTCATCTGGATATACGAGTGGTGCAGGCACTTGTAGAGTATTTCTGCAGTGCAGACGATGACCATGTTTTCGGCAAATGCCTTGTCCCATAGTTCCTTTCTCCAAATATGATCCACCATCTCTCCGCAGAACTTCTCAATGGGGTGGTCTAGGTTGCATTCGAGCATAGAATGCTGCTGGAAAACCAGGGCGACCTTGTCGACCAGGAAAAAGGAGATCCTCCTCTGTTTTCCGCTGGCCTGGTCTTCAAGTTCTTTCTCGATAGTCCACCGTAATAGCAGCGCGGCAATAAGTGTCTTGCCCGAACCTGTCCAGACAGTTAGCTGTAATACCAAGGCCGAGGGATCTAGCACACACCAGTGTCAAGAACAGCGATGGTGTTTTGTTGCTTTGCCTTTTCGAACAACTCGATTTGGTAGTCTCGGGGGCTGGTGATGATTCTCTGTTTGTCGAGGTCCCTTGCTATGCCACCGACCAGACCATGGACCAACCTCTTATCGCCGCGAGCTGGGCAATTTCTAGACGCTTCTGAGAGCTGTCCTTGGTTGTTTTCAATCCACTGATCAAACGCCGCAACGTCTGCCCGTCTCTTCTGGGACATATTCATAGGCAGGCTATCAGTAGCTGTGCCGTGGCTCTTGTCGTCATCATAGTCGCTGTCATCATCCATCTCATCATCGGGGCTGTTGTCACGAGAATCTGCAAGCTCGATTAAAGAGCCGGAGTTCATGTCGGCAGGCACACCGGTGCCCTTCCCAGACGGATCGCCCTCCAGCCGAGGAGATGCCATGGTTTGGCAGTATGTTAATGTTAGAAGTCCCCCGTCTTGTTTCTAGAAGAAAACAAATAGCTAGATCGCAGTGAATGAGGGGTGATGGTCCTACCCTTAAAAATGAGGAAGGCGCAAGTGGGCAGGATGGGGAAGTGAGGTAGGTATTTCTGGAAGTAAGTGGTGGTAGGTAGCTGAGAGAATTTCGGGCTGTTTGAGTGCGAGAAAGGCACAATGACTGTTGGTCCTCAGAAGTTCCTCGCTGGCAGGCCACTTGCTCGATCCGCAAACTGGCGACCTTGATACTCACCTCTTTGCAGGTCTAAAAGGTGGTTAAGTGATCAGTGAACAGACGTGCGAACGTGAGAGGTAGAGAGAGAGACCGTCAAATTTGAAGCAAACAACACGGAAATCAACAAATTGAATGGAAATATTATTCCAAATCCCACCGACACTTTCTATATTTTTTCAGAAATTCAAACCAGTCAACCATCATTTCCGAGATGCACATTGATCTTCACCATGATAGTTAGAGTATCAAACGGCCGATTTCTGTCTCCTGTGGGACTGCAAGCTGCAAGGATATGACAGGGATCTTCCCGCGGGTGCCCCACATCATCTGCCAACCCCTGCCCGCCCTGATAACCTTGATAAGAGCTACTGACCCGACGCGGGGCAAAAGTGGCAGAAAATACAAACCTGGCAGCTTCAATGGAACCTGAGCGACAAGTACATACATACCTCGTATATCGTGGTTCACCGCCTTCCTGCTTGAGGACACTGATAATCTATTAGATGACATTCCTCTCATCTGCCGCATAAGACCCGTCATTAGTCTGATCTTCAAATTTCCCACACCATGGACGGCGAACCTAGATCTCTGAAATCCATCTTCGCCGAGGCTGAGGAGAAACGCCTTTCTCTCGAAGGCACCTACGAAGCTGCTTCTCCAAGCTATCGCGATGACATCTCAGCCGCGATCCAGGGTTACCAAAGCTGCCTTTCGACGATCAGCCAGGTATCCCTGTTCAGTCCCAACGAATCCGCCGACGATATCTCCACGTCCGACCTCCCATACCTGCTTGTCAACTACCACCTCGCCGAGCTGATCCAAAAGGCCCCCGCCTCCACCCCACAAGACCGCAAGCGCATCCTAGCCGGCGCCCGCGACGCCTACGACCGCTACCTGCACCTCCTCGACAGCTACAGCCTCCTCACCGACGCGCACGCCAAGCTCCTCTCCCGCTACGCCGAGGACCCCGCCTCATTCAGCACCGTCTCCGGCAGCGCCGCCGACGCGACCGCCCGGCGCAACGCCAAGATCGCCAACTTCAGGGCCGAGAAGGAGCTGCGCCAGAGGCTCAACTTCCTGCGGCGGCGGCCGGGCTACGCCGACCCGGACTCGCGCGAAGCCGGCGGCGACGAGGAGGCCGTCCGGGCCGTCCACCTCGCACACCTCGCCTACGCCGCCCACATGGCCTTCCAGGGCCTCGAGTCGCTCAACCGCGAGCTCGACGTCATCGCCCAGGCGCCCCCGCCCGGCGAGCCGGTGCCGCCGGCGGCCTCGGCCGAGGCGGACGAGCGGCGGCGGAGGGCCGAGGCGGACGCGTACAGCGACAGGGTGGACGGGCCGGCGGGGGGCCTGAGGGGCGTGGGAGGCCCGCTGCTGAGCGGGCAGGGGAAGCCGCTGCAGCCGTTCACGCTGGTGGGGAACCGGCAGGAGCTGGCGAGGGGGGTGTTCCGGCCGGGTCACAACCTGCCGACCATGTCGATCGACGAGTACCTGGAGGAGGAGCGGCGGAGGGGCGGCATCATTGAGGGCGGTGGCGAGGCGAGCATGCGGGTGCCGGAGCCAGACGAGGACGACTTTGATAAGGCGGATGCGGATACGATGAAGGCGAGGGAGTGGGACGAGTTCACGGAGGCGAATCCGAGGGGGAGCGGGAATACGTTTAATAGGGGGTGAAAGAAGCTCTTCTGGGGGGTAGAAGGCTCTAGAAATGATGATCGCCGATTACAATATACATACCAGGGCTGAATAGTAACGCTGGGTGGAAGGACGAGTATGGGAAGATCGCAAATCAATGGTCCTTTTGATTCATCTCTAATACGGTATGAAATCCATGCCAATGGAAGGCTAATGGCCGTGTAATGGTCATTACATTTTGCTTTGTCCCATTCCTCATACCTGTATCCATATACCAACAAGACCGACGTTTTCAAAGCACGAAACGATATAAGCTTCGTTCCACCAAGAAAAAACCACTCTCCCAGTCGACGCCACGACGACCACAGTAAAAAAAGCTAGCCACCGTTGTCTCAAACGTGGAAAGAAGGTACCCCTTCAGAGCATCTCGAAGTCGGAGAGGTCGCCCTCAGCGCTCCCGGCCGACAACGTGTCGTCAGAAAACATCTCGTCCTCGACCTCGTAGTCGACCGTCGACGAAACCGTTCTGGAATCGCCGTCATCACCGACATCCCCGTCGACGTACATCATCAAGGCCTGCCCGAAAACCTGATGCTCGGCGGGTTCATGGCACATGGCGTCAGCAAACTCGTTATCGCTGACCACGAACTGCTCGGACCCGTGGGCCAGGCGGGCCGGAGTGGCGGTCGACGCGGAGCCGCCCTGGGCGTCGAGGCTGCGCGGCACGTCGTCGACTGCGAGGCCGTCCAAGCCGAGGTCGCTGATGCTCGCCGTGTGCGTCACGGTCGCGGCATCGGTGCCGGCAGCGTCGGTATACGCAGCCACGGTCCAGCCGGTATGATAGGCCGGACCGGGCTCGCTCGGCCCCATCTCCGCGGGCGGGACGGCGTCCTGGAAGACGCCGCCGGACCCGTCGTCACAGCCCCCGGCCCAAATGGGGAGGAACTTGAGCTCGCTCTCCTCCAGCTTCCGGATGATGTGGTCGCTTACCACCATTGGAGGGCCCTGGGCGTCGTTCTCCCAGTCGGTACCCAGAACGTCGGTAACGAGTTGTCCTAGCTTGGTTGATACCTGATCGATGAAGGCTTGTGAGTTGAACCTCGGCGGCGCCCGAGAATCGGAATGTTCATTGAGAGCTGTAATGTGGGTGTCCAGGAGGTCGGTTGTTGTTGCCATGCTTATGAGCCTGTTGAAGTCTTGTGTGAGGCTCTTGAGAGAGGATACTCCGTATATCTTGTTCCAAAACTCATGGCATTCTACCCGTAGATTCTGCCAGAAAAAGGGGCAGAGAGCTCTCTGATAGTTGTTGAGCTTCCCCTGCAGGTATGCCATATCGGCGAGCTGATCTTTAGGAGTATAGTGCAGGCGCTGAGCCTCTATGAGATCCGCGAGAGGCCCTGATTCTGGCGAGCGCCGAAGTGCGAGACTCACATGGTCTTGAAAGCAAACTTGGATATGGTTGACCAGCTTCTGGTATACAAGTCCAAGGTTACGAGCCGTGGCCAAGCCACCGACCGCTTGAGCGTCGGTAATCAAGGGGCAGAAGAGTCGGAGCCTCTTCCACTCGGGTATACCGAGGTCATCCAAGGCGGTATCTGAAGTGATTGCATCGAATTTTCTCTTAATCCGCTCATAGAAAGCAATGCCTGCGTGTTCGACGGGGTCCATCGGCATGTCTCCATAGTCTCCTCGCTCCCGGTTTGCCCAGGTCAGGGGTGGGCGCCGATGAGGGCGGACGCTTGCAGCATGGTCGATGGCAAAGTCGTTGACCAATACTTTGAACGAGGTCACAAGAACATCGGGAATCCGCAAAGCAAGGGCGACCTTGAAGGATTCCTCGGGGAAAATCTCCATGAACTTTGTGTTTGGCGTAGCCAGGAACCATTGAGCGACGCTGTCCCTCTATACCCCGTATTAGCAAACGTGTACTCAACTCCATCTATAGGCTGTGACGGGAGCACTCACAATGACTGATGTGACCTCTAGGCTAATGGCAATGTGAACCAGTGTCCACATCCGGGTGGCGGAGTTGATTAGTAGGTCAGCCCCATTGATCGCGCGGAGGAGGCGGACGATATTGACTCGATGGCGGACTTCGCAATAATCGTCGATCTGCCTGAATCTTGGCACATGAGGACCGGCGAAGATGCCGGGAATCTTCTTCTGTTGCCGCGATCCGTCACAGTACTCGTTCTGGTATTGCACACAGCAGCACCTGTCATCGTGGCCCAGTACGAGAACTGCCCCGACGGGCTTATTGGCAAAAGGCCTGTGGCCCGTTGCAATGATTTCATCGGCCGTGTATTGTCCTGCGAGGAACCACAGTTTGGTAGCCTTGGGTAGCCACAGCGAAGCGACGAGATCGGCCCGCTCGGCTCCTTCTGAAGGGGGTGTCAAGTCGATGACATACTCAACACCCGCGGGAAGTTGTTGAAGGTTATGGCGACGACGGATTCGCTCCTGTCGCCGAGGAGCAAGCATTGCTTGAATCTTTGCCGACCCAGTGGCCATAAGCTTGTCATAATCCACTCGCACTTGATAGACGGGTTTGAATGCACAGCCATTGCAATCTGCACCAGGATTGTCGGGGAATTGTACGATTGCAAGCACGGATCCTGTTGTAAACTCATGCTCTGATTGATGAATGGAGCTGAGTTCAAATTGATGGCGGTTCATGGCCATGATTTCGGCCGGGGTAGTGTCCATATTCACGGTGTTGGTAATGAAGTATACTCTCAAGGTAAATCTAGGCAGAGAGCACCCATTCAATCAAGAAGTTCGGAGCAAAATGGGTGCTTGCAAAGGAAATTCAGGGGGCGCAATGGGGGGGGAGAGATGGAAGGGGGGAAGGAGTTGATAGCGAGGATGATGCAGATAATGCAGCTTCGCAAGGTCAACAGACAGGTATGTCTCTAGTCGAATTCAAACTTGCGAATATGACAGGGAGAGATCCAGATTGTAGGAGTGATGGAAGGGCGACTGGGACTGGCCAAGATTACATAGATGTAGAAGCCAATGATCAATAACTCTCAAGCCGTTAAGAGATTGGAAATGCGGGCAGGATCGCCGTAATGACATTGGGAGTCGCTGTCAAAGTCGAGGCAGCGGGGAAAGAGACCAGGGCGAGGAGGCTCTCTGGAGGTGCGAATAGACTTGGCTAGGCAACAGGATCGATCTGGCAGGCATGCATAACCCCCTCGTCTCATTGGATGTCGACATCATCTTGTGTTCCCAAAGTGCATGCAGTGACGAAGGATCACTTGAAAGTACAATTAGTCAGTGAACCTTTGAGACATAGCTGACTACCTACCTACCCTGCCTTTAACTGCACCCTGGGGACTGAATATCACTTGATGGGGTGTAAGGAGACGCCCATTTCGACATCAGCCTCCGTTAACTTCTACGTCTCTAGCTAGAAGTAGGACCAAGCGCTACTATAGCAATTACTTAATCACTTGCAAGGAACGTTATTGTGGGAGTGAGTGCTTTTGCATAATGAAATCGATGGTGAATGTGATGGGGTACAAGTGGACGTGGAATAGTTGATGCTCTTGGATGATGACCACCAACCTGTTGCATGTCTACTTACCTAACCTACCTGTAGGCAGTTACTCACCTGGATTGCTCGAGACACCCCTCCCTACCTTAAATCAGGCCAAGATAACGCGCACCCCACAAGAATGGTACAATTTATTAGGTGTTGCTGCTGTATTCTATGCGTCGTGAGGCAGTAATTGCTCATTTTTATGTACACCGTACAGATTAGGTAGCACCATCCGCTTTCGGTTATCCATGACAACGATCCAGATCCCCGCATCCTGGCTGGGTGCATTCGGCATTGTGTCGCGTGCCCGGCCGGGCCTGTGGATCTTTCGCCCAAGCTCCTCACTTGCCTTCCGACTTATAAAATCATTCGATTTCTCATCCCGGCCCAAAATCTGTGGGACCTCGACACCATCTCGTTGCCTGCCGTACTTGCCAGATCGAATCCCCTCAGAGTATTCCTCTCGGCCTACGCGATTGTTGTCTTTTGAACCTCTCTCGACGTAAATAAAGCACCGCCTTGTCCACGCCAACCTCACCGCCCAACCCAAGCAATGGACCGTGCTAACCCCAAAGCCTCGACAAATACCGGGATACTCCGCCCCCTACTGTCAGTTTGATAACCCCCCCCAAAAAAAAAACAAATTCCGTTGCCCTCCCCAGCTTCACCTGGCCTCGACGGGACCAACCGAGAACCCCAAGCTGACCGACCCTCCCTCCAGCCGTCGCCCCGGTCTTCTAGTCTTCACCGTCGCCGTAGCAGGCTCCGCCGTGGCGGTCAAGTACATGGCGTCGAGGATGAAGGACAACGAGCTCGCGCAGAAGAACTCGGACTCGCCCAACTTCTACGTCAGCGTCGATCGCAGCGGAGGAGGCGTATGAAGGGAGGATCGGACCACATAAAGAAAGAAGCCCCTAACCGAACATGCCGGGGATCTCGATGGTGGCGTATAACCGAGGCAGAAACGACGTCCCCCATCTTCCTTCGCCCAAACCCCTCCTTGAGATTTGAAGCACCGGCAGTTTAATACCTAATTCGACCGCAACTGCTCACGAGACGACCCTATATCTAATGGTGGGTTGTATGGGGGTCTGGGGTTCTCCATGGCTCACTTTGGGAGGGTGGGAGGTTAGAGGAAGTCCATGAACTCCCCTCATGCTTCTGCTTCAGGCTCGTGCTTGAATGGTTCTGCTTGCATGGTCGGTAATATGGGTAACTTGGGCACTTGTACAAATACGGGTTGTGGCTCTTGGTTGATTGCATACTTCGCATGGCTGTAGAACAGTTTTGCCTTTAGAAATGGATGTGTTAATACGGACGGGGATGGCATCAGAGCTGGATTCGAGGAGTTTCACGGCGCGCGCTATGGGTCTTGGGAGAACCGTGCCATCTCTTCATCCACTTCACTGGAGAGGGTAACTTAGGTAGAATGGCATGAATGGAAGTCAAAATGCGGAAATTAATGAATTATGTCATGGCGTCCTTGCCTCTCACCTGTGAAGGAGACGGACGACCTCGATCTGCTGCTCGCACACAAATGCTATCGAACCAAGAGCGGAAAATGAGATACCCATGCCAGGACAGCCAGATTCAAAACCGACGTGATGAACTCAAGCCGGGAACTGGGACATGAACCCCCGCACCAAATGCCAGATCCAGAACGCCCCGTCCAATGCAAAGAAAGCATGCCACCCGTCGTAGCAAAACGCCGCTGATATATGCAGAACGAGAACCAAACACAGCCCCTGCCCTCCACCGTTCCAGTCTGCGCACCTCGCCCCCCTCAGAAGGAGCTCCCCCTCCTCGTGAAACTGGTATCCTCCTCGAGACCAGCCCAATCATCTCCATTGTCATCCGTGTCAGACATCTCCACGGCCTTCCCCTTCCCCTTGTCCTTGCTCTTCCCCCTCAGTTCGTGTGGCCCCATCCCGACTCTCTCTTCGCCCAGGCTCCTGCGACTCGCGGGCCGCCTGTCGCCGCCCCTCGCGGCGGCGGTGGTCTTTGACCTCCTCAGCCCCCCGCCGCCGCGCCCCCGCGCAGCGGCTACCTCGATCAGAGCTGGCCCGGCGGAGCCTGAAGTCGAACTAGACCTAACCCGATACCGGAGCCCCGGTCCAAGCCCGGTCCCCTTCCGACCGTCGTTGCCGTCGTCCCCGGAGTTCTGTGCCGTGCTGGGCACGGCGCTGCGCAGCACCCGCATCTCGCGCACCACGTCGCCGAGGCTCTCCTCCAGCGTCTTCATCTTGGCCAGCATCAGCCGGCTCATGCGGTTGTTGCTGTCCCGCTCGGCGGCGCCGGCGCTCTTAGCCGCCAGGTTCAGGTGCGGCGTCATGGCCAGGGCCATCTGCGTGGCGAAGCTGGACGGCACCGCCCCGAGCGTGTCGTCCGCCGCCATGGCCGCGTTGAGCTCTGATGACGGGTCCTGGTCGACCGACGAGCGGCGGCGCGGCGCGGCCTGCCGGGCGGGGATGTCGAGGCCTAGCAGCGCGGAGCGGTTGAATGCCGTGCGGGCTACATCGCGGGCGGGGAGGACCGGCTGTGGCCGGGAAGCCGTGTAGAGGGACCGGCGGGGGGACGCGTGGCCGGCGGCGCCAGCAGGGGAAAAATCGGCGGGAATATGCCGGTTAATGGGTGGCCGTGGGGTGACATTCGATGCCGGCTCCAGGGACCCAGCGGGGGAGCCGCGAGGACTCGGCGCCTCCTGCGGAGCATAGAGGATCGTATTCGTGGACATTGTCCGATTATGCAACCCGCGGCGGCGGGAAGGCCCCGCGCGAGGCGACGCTGGTGTCTTCTGTTCCTGATGTACCGAGGGTCCAGGTGGCGTAGAGGCGAGGTTCCCGAAACGAGTTGCAATCGGTGTCGCGAAAGTCTCGTCCTCTTCGATTATTGGCTGGCGAGCTCTGTCGTGCTCGGCAGCATTCGTAGCATTGTCCTCTTCCTCTTCATCGTTAGTCACGAGCTCATCATCGCCGTCCGCATCTGTGTGGTTATGAACCTCGGCTGCATGATCCCGCCGAGATATACCCTCGTAGTAGAAGTCGGGTGCCATGGGGTAGGCCGCGTTCGACATGAGATCCGCAGGATCACTTGCGACAGACCGCGCGTCGGAGAAGTGCCGGAACCTCCTTGACCTGTCTCGGTTCACACTCAGCTTCCTCTGCCACTCGTTCACGGACCGACTGTCAATGGTAGAGTAGTTGCGCGGCGAGTTCGCATATTCGCCTTCGTGTTGGTCCATCCATGTGCGTATCGCGTTTTGCGTCTTCCTCCTCTCATGCCGTCTCTGTGTTCGCAAAGTAGCCAAGTCGGGAGCTCGCCGAAACACCTCTTCCAAGGCGCGGTCCTTCTGAAACCCCACCACGGATCCTTCACGGACCCGGACGTTGGGGCTGAAGAGAGCTGCCCGGCTTGCCGGGTCTGCGAGAGAAACAGCCCGTTGCCAACTGCGGCCTGGATTTTCCACCAGGTCCGTCGGGTCGTACATGGACGGGGCTAAGAAGTATCTCTCATAGACGTAGATGCAAAACAGAAGCGGGAAGTGGGTGACCTTGATGACGAATCTGTTGAGCCAAACAAACTGCCTCAACGGCATGCAATATCTCAGGGGTATGAGAGCCCACGCAAAGATATTGCCGGGGGCAACATAGGAGAAGAGGGCATCATTCTTGATCTCCGAGATTGTGTTGATAGCGAACAGAAATCTGTGACCAGGTGGTTAGGTCTCAATTCCGAATGTTCTCCCCGAGTTACGACACTTACTGATGCTCCTCGGACGCATTCGAGGCGATCGACATGAACGAGTTTGTTAGGACCGTGATAAGGATCGTTCTGGCAGCCGCTGTCAGCTAGGGGTTCACACACACAACGAGATAAGCTGAACGACGGCGAAACTCACACGACTACGAAGTGGCAAATGATAAGAAACAGACCCATGAGGGTCTTGCCCAGCCAATCGTACTTTGGCCAACTGCGAAACAGATTAGTGGTCATATATAAGGGGTACCGAGAATCCGAGGGACGAACTTACACTTCCCAGGCCGCAGGGGTGAAGCCCATGAGTATCTGGAATATCTTGTACGCAACTTCGGCACCGCCATTGTTATTTGTCGAGAGCGTGAAGAAGACGAAAAACCCGCTGCACGAGATGAGAATGAGGATGAAGACCGCGGCGAGGTCGAGGGCCATCAATCTAAATGCTATCAGCAACTGGGAGAAGTACTGATAGTGGTCCAGAACGCTGAAGATGCGAGGCAGCAGTAGAATTGCATTCGCCGCGAGGACGTCATATGCGTTCTCGTTCCATCTGTTGGTATCAATGACGAAGACGCCGTAGATCCGCATACAATAGTAGACGATCAGAAGCAGCAGGATGCCGAGATCGAAAATATTCCAGAAACTCATGATATAGAGCGAGAAGCCCTGCTCGGTAAAGCCGACAAGCTCGTCGAGCATGAAGCCGGCGCTCCAGAACCAGAAGACAAGCTCTAGCGAGGTGATGCGCTGCGATCTCTGGATGAGAACGGCAAGGAAAAGGCCAATCAAGACGGCGAGGGAGCACGTGGACAGGATCTGCCTGTAGCGCGGGACCCGAAGCCGAGACAACTTGAACAAGGATGCATTCCTGGGGTCATAGAGGGTCGCAGTCCGGCGGCCAGGGGCGACACCTTGATACCGCATCGGCTCCTCTTTCCCTGGCTGCTGGCTTGCAAGTAGAGGGGTCCTCTGGTCACTCTGCCGCCGTGGCCCCTGGCTGTTTACCGGATTGGCCACCGAGGGTCGGCGATGGAGGGCATCCGCGGAGGAGTAGAAGCTGATGGCACCGCTCCAGATGGCTTCTAGCTGTTGCACGACGAGAGGGTGAGCAAGGAAGTGCTTGGCAGATGCTCTGATGGCGACCTCGAGGGTAGAGGTCCTGACGACGCCCTGTTTCACTTTGCCTCCGGGAGTGATCGGGGTCATGGATCCGGGAATGCCGCGGAGCGGGTAGAAGTCATAGGATAGAGCATCTATGAGCTCGCGAGTGGAGTATTCCTTGAGCAACTTGATTGCCAGCAATTCACAGACTTTAGACCGCGTACTACTTGTCCCTGCATTGCCGGGATAGAGCTGTCGTTCCTTGGCAAATTGTAGACAATTTGCCATCAAGGCATACAAGGTTGCCGTGGAGAAGTGGTGGGCACGTATCTGTTGCTGCATTGGCTTGACGAGGAACTGGGAGACCTGGGGGGATCTCAGTTGCTCCCATGTCAGCGTCGTCTCGGTTCTCGCCTGGACGATGATTCGTATTGCATGTGTTATCGAGTAGACGGGCAGCGAGTCTGGGGGAACAAATGGTTAGGTATCTACGAGATTGTGCGAGGGTGGTGCGGGTCAATGGCATACCCAAATGTGACGAGGAGTAGAGGGGCAAGACATTGCTGGGCTGAGGCAGGCCGTCCTCGTTATCATCCCCTCCGCGATACCGGGGCTGCCCATCTTCGTTGGAATCGTCGTCGTCATCATCGTCGTCGAGCTCGGTGAAGTCTGCGGTGGCATGCCGAGGCTGGAAGTAGTCTCCATGCCGGGCGGGGCCAGGAGACAACGGCTCCGGGTCCTGTTGGGAGCGTTGACCGCGCTGGAAGGAACGCAGGAGCAGCGACATGATTTTCTTCCTGTTGAGCGTATGTATTACCCGTCCCTCAATGCTTGCAAGTCCTCTACGGCGCCATTTGAGGTTTGATGGAACAGAAACCTTCCCTGGGCAAGGAGCCACAGGTAGACGGTAAGGAGGAAGAAGAAGGGAAGGATGAAGCCGTGATGGAGAAAGTGGCTGCCGCCCGAGGCTGCACACACTCACTGCACTGCACACACCGCACGGCAGGCCCCAAAATCCACCACAATCGGCAGGCAAAGAAATGCCCCAGGATCTACGAGGAACAGGAGAAACAGGCAAATTGTCGACGGTTCGGTGTGGGGTCCGGCATTAATAAAATGTGCGGCCGGTTCAGAACGACGCGCGTGAAGCGCGACTGAGGACAGAAGGACTCGATGAGGGGAGGTCAGTTTGAGATTATGTCTTTAGTGCATGCAGGGTGGGCGAGGCCAGGAGGCCAGGGTTTCCCTGCTGGGGAATTGGCCGTACCAGAGCCGCCAGTAGAAATGATGCAACAGCCGTGGTCAAAGGTCAGCAGGGACGTGCATCCTCCTGACCGTCTCTACACCCTCCTTCATCTTGAACTGCCATATCTTGCATTCTTAGTGCGTACAAATTCACATGACTGGATACCAAGATAGGTGGAACGGGTGGTCACGAAGCACCTATCAAAAGTCGGTCAGGCAAAGAATGGAAACCAACAGTCATTCCACTACCTTACGCAGCACGCTAATAATGCCTTGATGCAAGAAAGTGACCAGATCCGAGGGTGTGTAAGGGTGTGGGGGGCGAACCTCGTAACTGCAGGTTGCAGTCTGCATGCAGTCCTCTGCAGGTTGCAGAGCAGTCAGCCAACGTTGAGACAATTAATCACCACGGCTAATAGCCCTCCGATGTTCGAACAGCATCCCGCATTTGCAACAGCCACAGGATATACATACATACACGATCTCCACCACTGGAGGTCTGTCTCAGTTGCAGTCCCAGGGACCAGGCTGGTGGAGGGTGCACGTTAATCGCACGCTAACCGAAATGCTGAAATCTGAACTCAAACCTCGAGTTTCGTTTCGTTTTGCAAGAAAGCCGATGTTTGAGGTTCGGCCTCTGATTGGCAGACAGCCCGGTGGGTGCCACACCAATGGGCCCTAGAAAAGCTTGGCCATTGCTGCATCGGAGCTAAAGTTCCAGTTGCTATTTGTGACGCCCATTGCATAGTGCATTGCCCATTCTTTGTCAGTGTTCATCACCAGAGTGCATGAAAAGTCGAAACTCGAAGACTGTACGGAGGTATGAGCAAGGCTATGGCCAAGCTTGGATGAAGCAGGGGAAGATGGTAAATGAAAAAGGGGTCAAGTCAGATAGATGGTTCCATCTCTCACTGAGTGATGCCAACTGGATAGGCAGGCACCCAGGTTCTTGTCAGGAGTGTAACGAAAGAGTAACACCAAGACATTCTAGTATGCTGCCGTGCGCCGTGTGTTGTAGGGGTCCGGCCGAAATATTTTTCCTATCGGCGATTCTGGTGGGCAGACCCACATCGGAGCCGATGCGGGTCTTCCGTTTGTGGGTCTGATCCCGTCCGATTTTGCCGAGTGGAAAGGGAACTTAGGCATTACGCGGGCAAACGGACGTCCTGTACAGATACATATATAATTCATGCATTGCGGTGCCTACCCGAGATGCTGGGGAGGGAGAATGGCCCCTGATCAAGCCGATATCCTAGCGTAGGCGCTTTTCCAGCATTTCGGATTCATTTTCTTTCTCCGCAGTACGGCGTGAACTTTTTTTCTCTCACCGTTCTAGAACCTTGATTCTGTTGCCTCCCAAATTGCCACAGAAAATTTCTCTCCGTTTGCACCCAAGTTTCCACAAGTTGGGTGTCACCTCTGCAACAGAGGCCGTAAGACTATGAATTATTTAGGAAACACATGACTTGGTGGTTGTTCAGTCGTTGACTCGTTCTTCAATCTATGCGTAAGCTGTCCAATTTCTGTTGCTCTCATCTGATTTGCTCTTTTCCCTGGAACACTAGGTAGATCCCGGGTCCTGCATCATACTCTTGGCCCCACTTGAGCCATAACACCCCGCCCACCGCTGGAATTGACCAAGGAAAACCCTGAGAAAAAATTGTTTAGAGCCAGGTGGGGTGGGGGTTCTAAACATATTTTGTAAAATCTTCCGCTTACCACATTCAACTGCTCCAAAAGCTTTTCTCGAGACTTCTGGTCTGTTAAAGCGAGCTTGGAAGCTGAACCGTGAGGGACACAGGTAAAGGGTCTTCTGGATTTGTTGCACGCGAATCCTTGCCCAAAGCCTGCGTCAACCTCTTCCTTCGAAGCATCTCTCTCTCGATCGAGCTCAATTCGGTAGCACAGCAACCGCTTGTCTGTTCTGCTGCGATAATGGCTCCCGCCGCCTACACCCCCGCTTCTGCAAGCATTCTCGGCTCGGGCGATGAGAAGCTCTTCTGCCTCGAGCTCGAAGATGGCTCTGCATATCAAGGCTACAGCTTCGGCGCTCCCAAGAGCATCGCCGGAGAGCTGGTCTTCCAGACCGGCATGGTGGGATATCCAGAGTCGGTGACCGACCCCTCCTACCGCGGCCAGATCCTTGTCATCACCTTCCCCCTGGCCGGTAACTACGGTGTGCCCTCGAGGGAGACCATGGACGAGCTCCTTGGTGACCTGCCAGCGCATTTCGAGTCTTCCCAGATTCACATTGCAGGCCTCGTGACGGCCTCCTACTCCGGCGAAGACTACTCCCATTTCCTTGCCACCTCATCGCTCGGCACATGGCTCAAGGAACAGGGCATCCCCGCCATGTACGGCGTCGACACGAGGGCTCTGACGAAGCACATTCGGGAGAAGGGAAGCATGCTCGGTCGCATGCTTCTCCAGCAGACCCCCCTAGCAAATGGCCCCGTCAACGGTACTGTCAATGGCAACGGCGTGCCAAACACAATTGAGGACTGGAGGCCATACTTCGACACCGTCGACTGGGTAAACCCGAACGAGAAGAATCTCGTGGCCGAGGGTAAGTTATTGCGATACACTCCACCTCCTTCCCGACTTCTGCTCATTGCCTCTCAGTCTCTGTCAAATCCCCCAAGTTGTATTCGCCGCCTGCGCACTCGGCGCTGAAACATCCCTCTGGCCGTACGATCCGTATACTCTGCCTTGACGTGGGTATGAAATACAACCAGCTCAGGTGCCTCCTGAAGCGTGGTGTCGAGGTCCTCGTCTGTCCCTGGGACTATGACTTCCCGGCATTGGCTGGGAAGGATTATGACGGCCTGTTCCTCTCCAACGGGCCCGGTGACCCGTCAAAGGTTAGCGCGACTGTGCAGCGCATCTCCGCGGCAATTGCAGAGAATCGGACCCCGATTTTTGGCATCTGCTTGGGCCATCAGCTGCTTGCCAGAGCCGCCGGTGCCCAGACAGCCAAGATGAAGTTCGGCAATCGTGGCCACAACATTCCCTGCACAAGCATGGTAACGGGGAAGTGCCACATCACCTCGCAGAACCACGGTTATGCCGTCAATGCGGCTTCTCTGCCTTCGGAATGGCAGGAGCTCTTCGTCAACGCCAACGATGGGAGCAACGAGGGCATCATGCACGTCGGGCGGCCGCACTTTAGTGTTCAGTTCCATCCCGAGAGCACCCCCGGACCGCGAGACACCGAGTATCTCTTCGACGTATTCATCAACACGGTCGTTAAATGCGCGTCGGACTCTAGTCTCCTGACAGTGCCAGTCCAGTTCCCCGGTGGCACCGTTGAGGAGAACAACAAGCTTCATCCCCGTGTCAGTGTCAAGAAAGTCCTTGTTCTTGGTAGCGGCGGCCTGAGTATTGGCCAGGCCGGCGAGTTCGACTACTCGGGAAGCCAGGCCATCAAGGCCCTCAAGGAAGAGGGCATCTACACCGTCTTGATCAACCCGAATATCGCCACAATCCAGACCTCGAAGGGCCTGGCTGACAAAGTCTACTTCCTCCCCGTAAATACGGAGTTCGTTCGGAAGGTCATCAAATTTGAACGGCCAGATGCCATCTATTGCACCTTCGGCGGACAGACGGCTCTCCAGGTGGGAATTCAACTCAAAGATGAGTTTGAGGAACTTGGCGTCAAGGTCCTGGGTACTCCTATTGACACCATCATCACCACCGAGGACCGGGAGCTCTTCGCCCGGAGTATGGAGTCCATTGGTGAGAAGTGCGCCAAGTCGGCCTCGGCCAGTAGCGTTGAAGAAGCAATGCGAGTAGTCAAGGATATTGGATTCCCCGTCATTGTTCGGGCTGCTTACGCCTTGGGTGGCCTGGGCAGCGGCTTTGCCAATAACGAGTCGGAACTCCTTAACCTCTGCAATGTTGCTCTGGCCGCCAGCCCCCAAGTGCTGATCGAACGGAGCATGAAGGGTTGGAAGGAGATCGAGTACGAGGTTGTTCGAGACGCACAGGACAACTGCATCACTGTCTGCAACATGGAGAACTTCGACCCGCTCGGAATCCACACCGGAGACTCCATCGTCGTGGCTCCGTCTCAGACTCTATCGGATGAAGACTACAACATGCTTCGGACGACAGCCGTCAACGTCATCCGCCACCTTGGAGTTGTCGGCGAGTGTAACATCCAATACGCCCTCAACCCCTTCTCCAGGGAATACTGCATCATCGAAGTCAACGCAAGGCTGTCCAGGTCTTCGGCGTTGGCATCCAAGGCAACGGGATATCCGCTCGCCTTCATTGCTGCTAAGCTCGGCCTCGGCATTCCTCTGAAGGAAATATCCAATTCGGTCACCAAAGTGACGTGTGCCTGCTTCGAGCCTTCCTTGGACTACGTCGTCGTCAAGATGCCCCGCTGGGACTTGAAGAAGTTTACCCGCGTCTCGACGCAACTCGGTTCGTCGATGAAGAGCATCGGCGAGGTCATGAGCATCGGGAGAACCTTCGAGGAGGCAATCCAGAAGGCCATCCGGGCGATCGACTTCCACAACCTGGGATTCAATGAAACCAAGGCACTCATGTCTATCGACGACGAGCTTCAGACTCCCTCGGACCAGCGCCTCTTCGCAATTGCAAATGCCATGAATGCCGGATATTCCGTTGATAAGATCTGGGAGATGACAAAGATCGACAAGTGGTTCTTGCACAAGCTCAAGGGCCTCAGCGACTTTGCCAGGCAGATGGGCGAGTATACGACTGGCGACATCGCCCAGAACCCAAAGCTCTTGGTTCGGGCGAAGCAGCTGGGCTTCTGCGATCGCCAGCTGGCCAAATTCTGGGATTCCAACGAACTTGCGGTACGGCGGATGCGCCTGGAGGCAGGGATCACTCCGTTCGTCAAGCAGATCGACACAGTAGCGGCAGAGTTCCCGGCCTTCACCAACTACCTATACCTCACGTACAACGCGAGCACACATGACATAACCTTCGACGACAACGGGGTTATGGTTCTTGGCTCGGGGGTGTACCGAATCGGCTCTTCGGTCGAGTTCGATTGGTGCTCCGTGAGGGCCATTCGGACTCTCCGCGAATCGGGTTTCAAGACCATCATGGTGAACTACAACCCCGAGACCGTTAGTACCGATTACGACGAGGCAGACAAGCTCTACTTCGAGAACATCAACTTGGAGACGGTGCTGGATGTCTATCAGCTGGAGGCTGCGAGCGGAGTTTTGGGAGCGATGGGTGGTCAGACGCCGAACAACATCGCCCTGCCCCTTTCGCGTGCCGGTGTCAAGGTCCTGGGGACATCGCCGGAGATGATTGACACTGCGGAGAACCGATACAAGTTCTCGCGCATGCTGGACACCATTGGGGTCGATCAGCCCACCTGGAAGGAGCTGACGAGCTTCGACGAGGCGAAGACCTTCTGCCAGAAGGTGTCCTACCCCGTCTTGGTCCGGCCGTCGTACGTACTCTCGGGCGCCGCGATGAACACTGTCTACTCGGAGAGGGATCTCGAGGCATACCTGCAGCAAGCCGTCGAGGTGTCACGGGAGCATCCCGTGGTCATCACCAAGTATATCGAGAACGCCAAGGAGATCGAGATGGACGCCGTTGCCAGAGACGGCGTACTTGTGGGACATTTCATCTCCGAGCACGTCGAAAATGCCGGTGTGCATTCGGGAGACGCCACCCTCATTGCGCCGCCGCAGGATCTCGAGAAGACCACCATTCAACGGATCGAGGAGGCTACGGCCAAGATCGGAAGCGCACTCAACGTCACCGGTCCCTTCAATATCCAGTTCATCGCCAAGGACAACGACATCAAAGTGATCGAGTGCAATGTTCGCGCCTCGAGGTCGTTCCCCTTCGTGTCCAAGGTCATGGGTGTTGACCTCATCGAGATGGCCACCAAGGCGATCATGGGGCTTCCGCTCCAAGAATATCCGCCCACTACTCTGGCAGCGGGCTGTGTCGGCGTCAAGGTTCCCCAGTTCAGCTTCTCCCGTCTCTCGGGGGCTGACCCAGTCCTAGGCGTCGAGATGGCCTCCACAGGCGAGGTTGCGTCCTTCGGAATGGACAAATACGAGGCGTACCTGAAAGCGCTCATTTCCACGGGCTTCAAGATCCCCAGGAACAATGTGCTCCTCTCCATCGGGTCCTTCAAGGACAAGAAGGAGATGCTGCCCTCGGTTGCCAAGATGCAGAAGCTGGGCTACAAATTGTTTGCCACTGCCGGCACCGCCGATTTCCTGCAAGAGCACGGCATTCCGGTACAATACCTGGAAGCCTTGGGCACTGCGGGGGATGACCAGAGCTCGGAATACTCTCTCACGCAGCATCTGGCCAAGAACATGATCGACTTGTACATCAACCTTCCCTCGAGCAACAAGTACCGTCGCCCTGCCAGCTACATGAGCAAGGGCTATCAGACGAGGAGAATGGCCGTCGACTACCAGATCCCGCTTGTGACGAACGTCAAGAACGCCAAGATCCTCATCGAAGCCATTGCCAGGAATTTCGACCTTGACGTCGGCATTCGCGATTACCAGACGAGCCATCGCACCATGGTCCTGCCGGGGCTAATCAACATTGCCGCATTCGTCCCGGGCATCGTCTCCCACGGGAGCAATGACTTGCAAGCGGTTACCCGGGCCTCGATCGCCGCGGGCTTCACCATGATCAGGGTCATGCCCGTCGGCATCGATGGCTCCATCACCGATGCAAAGTCACTGAAGATTGCCCAGCAGAACAGCAAGCCCGGAGAATACTGCGACTTCAATCTCTCCATCACAGCCACGTCGTCTAATGCTGACCAGATCAGCCTAGTCACCGGGGAGGTGGGATCTCTCTTCATCCCCTTCAACCATCTCTCGGACAACATCAGCAAGGTCGCCGCCGTTACGGCTCATTTCGACGCCTGGCCCACGCACAAGCCGATAATCACGGACGCAAGGACGACAGACCTGGCCTCGATCCTCCTGCTTGCGAGTCTGCATAGCAGACGCATCCACGTCACCTCGGTCTGCACCAAGGACGATATAAGAATCATCGCCCTCAGCAAGGAGAAGGGACTGCAGGTTACTTGCGACGTTTCCGTCTACGCGCTGTACCTCGACAAGAAGGACTATCCAGATTGTCAGCTCGTGCCTTCGGCCGAGGACCAGAATGCTCTTTGGGATCACATGGCAACCATCGATGTCTTCGCCATTGGCAGCTTGCCATATCAGCTTGCGCCACGCATAACCGCGGGAATCTCAGATGTCCTCCCACTTCTGCTCAACTCGGTCGCCGAGGGGAAGCTCACACTCGACGACATCAAGGCTCGCCTGCATGACAACCCCCGGAATATCTTTGAGCTGCACGACCAGGTCGGCACATCGGTTGAGGTGGAGATTGATCGCCCGTGTACTATCCCGGCCTCGTCCTCGTCGCCATTTGCCGGCAAGGTCATGAGGGGTGCCGTTCGACGAGTTACCTTCCAAGACCAGGTAGTCTGCCTCGATGGTACTCTGCTGCAGGTGCCTCCGCTGGGCAAGGACATGTCGACTCACGGCGCCCTGCCGGCTGTGCTGTCTCCCCAGGTCAAGCCCATGCACCAGCCGATGACACCAGTCATGGACGGACATGTCGGCGGACGACACTTGTCCATGGTGGGGACGCGGCCTTCGCCTTCCAGGCTACGGAACACGGATACTCTGCTCAGCGCCCTGCCCCCCGCGGCGAGAGGCTCGGCAGTGGAAGATTTCGGCCTTGCTCCCCCTCTGTCGATGCCCCACTCGGCCCTCCAGGGGCTGCTGTCACAGCCATCTTCTTTCAAGAATAACGACGTCCTCTCGGTTACTCAGTACACGCGCACCGACCTGCACTTGCTGTTCACAGTGGCGCAGGAGATGCGTGTCGGCGTCCAGCGGGAAGGGATCCTGAATGTCCTTCGGGGCCGCCTTCTCTGCACCCTTTTCTACGAGCCGTCGACTCGGACGTCTGCCTCGTTCGACGCTGCCATGCAGCGCTTGGGCGGGCGCACGGTCGCAGTCACGACGTCGCACTCGTCGGTCCAGAAGGGGGAGACTCTCCAGGACACTCTCCGGACACTCGCTTGCTACGGTGATGCCATTGTGCTGCGCCACCCAGACGAGAAGTCGATGGACATTGCGAAGAAGTTCAGCCCCGTCCCAGTCATCAACGGCGGAAACGGAAGCAAGGAGCACCCGACCCAGGCGTTCCTCGACCTCTTTACCATCAGGGAAGAGCTGGGTACCGTGCAAGGATTGACCATTACCTTCGTGGGCGACCTGCTCTACGGACGCCCCGTGCACTCATTGGTCTATCTGCTGCGACACTACGATGTGCAGGTCCAGCTAGTCTCGCCAAAGGGCCTATCGCTGCCCGCGAGAGTTCGCGAGCGACTGGTTGCCTCGGGCCAGCTTCTGTGCGAGTCGGAGACGCTGACTCCCGAGATCCTCGGGAGATCGGACGTGCTCTACTGCACCAGGGTTCAGAAGGAGAGATTCCCTGCCGCGGAGGAGTATGAGAGGGTCAAGAACGCATACCGCATCGACAACGGGACGCTGAAGCACGCCAAGAGCGGCATGGTGGTGCTACATCCCCTCCCGAGGAACGAAGAGGTCGCGGAGGAGGTGGACTTTGATCACAGGGCGGCGTACTTCCGACAGGTAAGCGAGCCCCCGCCCCAGCCCGATGTGTGACGTGAACGTTGGAGCTAACACGATCCCTTCCAGATGAGATACGGTCTCTACTGTCGCATGGCCTTGCTGGCCTTGGTCATGTCTAGTTGAGGCGTACCGTAAAGCTGACATGGCACCTATTATTGGTGACCCAACAGGTTGATTTCACTCGGGAAAACATAGAAAAGTTTGTGTGATTTTAGGTTATCTTTTTTCCATGGCATTTTGCCTCAGCATCAGAAGATATATAGAACGTAAACAGCTCAGGCTGCTGCATGTGATGAGTGAATGATTCATTTTCAGGGGTTAATAAGAGGCGTTTGTTGTCTGTAGCCCATTTTGAGCATCATTCTCAAATTTGGGTGGCGTGGTATGCCCTTTTGTGGGTACTATCTTTATGTATCTAGGTGGTGCGTATTGTGTATATTTGTATATATTTATGTATGTCTGTATAGGTATTTTTCATCTGTATAAAATCGTATTGATAGCCTCTCTTGGCTTTCTCTCTTCACTCATGGTAGATTCTTTAATGTTCCATCGTGTGACGGCCACGAACAAAGAAAATGCTCTGCTAGAGTCTAGACCAACTCGCGGGTTGCCCTATCTGATTGGGCAACTGCGGCAACTCCAACCCGTAGAAGCGCCTAGATGAAATGCGCATGTCATGAGACTTAACTCATTTTGACCGTATCAGGGAGCAAGTAAATGTCCAGGTGCAAACAAAGTTGGCAAGAGCATTCGGTTCACTCGCGTGTTGCCAACATCAGCATCTCACCACTGGCGCTGCTGTGAGGGTGGAGTCGGATTGATGAGAACTTGAGATATATCAATGCGCCCAAGGCTAGCTTGCTCAACCCTCTCAACCGCTACTGCGCTTCGCTCAAGGCACTTCACAACAAGCACAGTAAGGCTAAGTAGAATGGCTCTACATCCTCAGCGAGACCTTAGGAAGCTCATCTGTAAGTTTCATCCTTTTCTTTTCTTTTCTCTGACATCGTGGTCAGTTTTCCGCCATCATGACTCATTAACACACTCTCACTCTCAAAACCACCTACCTCTCAACTCACAGACCATATCCATCAGAGTCCCTCCAAAAACTAACCAAATCCCAGTCGCCCCATCCCCCTCCCCGGGCCCAGGCCAGGCGGGCCAATTCCTCAAGCACGAGCCGCGCGGCGGCCTCCGGCGAGCGGACCTGCACGCCTCGGACCCGATCGCGCAGTTCCACGCCTGGTACGACGCCGCCACGTCGTCCACCGGCCCCGCCGCCATCGCCCACCCGGAGACGTGCACCCTCTCGACGGCGTCGCTGCCGTCGGGCCGCGTCAGCGCCCGCGTCGTCTACCTCAAGGAGCTGGACGCGCGCGGCTTCGTCGTCTACAGCAATCTGGGCACGTCGCGGAAGGCGCGCGATCTGTTCGGCGGCCCCGGCTCGGGCCCCGGCGACGCAGACGCAGACGGAGAGACCGGGAACGGGAACCCGTGGGCGGCGCTGACCTTCTGGTGGGAGCCGCTCGAGAGGCAGGTGCGTGTCGAGGGCCGGGTGGAGCGCCTGTCGCGCGCGGAGAGCCAGGCGTACTTCGACCTGCGCGTCCGCGGCAGCCGGATCGGGGCGTGGGCGAGCCGGCAGAGCGCCGTGCTGGAGCCGGCGGTGGGGCGGGACGCGGGCGGGCAGAAGGACGACGACGACGACGGGCGCGCCAAGCTGGACGGGTGGGTGCGCGAGGTGGAGCGGCGGTTTGACGGCGTCGAGGACATCCCCTGCCCGGACTTCTGGGGCGGCATCCGCGTCGTGCCGGAGCGCGTCGAGTTCTGGCAGGGCAGGCAGAATAGGCTGCACGACCGCTTCGTCTATGACAGGGTCAGCAACCCCGGGGGTGAGGAGACGTGGACGCTGGAACGGCTGAGCCCGTAGGGGAGTTGGGTGGGGGCTGCGTTGGGAGGCTACGTCGCGGGCATGCGGACTAACTGGCATTTGTCTCGGAGCTTATACAGGCAGATTCGTTTCGTGATATGTTGGGAGGTCAGAGAGACGGCTTATATCGATTGAAAATCTCACGAAGAAAAAACATGATGCATTTACGAGGACCCGTTTCTGCCTGGGTAATACCTTCCGTGGCTACTATTTCCAGGGCCCCCCAAGCTCTCTCTGCCAAGGCAGCGAACTATTTCCAAAACGCCTGACTGGCTGGCTACCTAATGACCAAAACTCCCAAGTTTCAATGGAAAACAAAATCGTGGAGCTTCTTGCAGCGGGCCCAATGTGCTTGCTGCGTTGCAACGATGCCCGTCAAAGTGATGCAGCTTGGAATATCAACCGACAGCCCCCCCACCCCCCCCCACACACACACACATTATCGACAGAGCACTTCGAAATAAAATCCGGGGTATCAGAAGCATATGACTCCGGTAGATCTATGCAGGCACCGTCCCATAAACATCCAGCCCATCGGCTAGCGACAAGCTTTTCCTCTTGGTCGTCTCGGGCGGGAGCCGGAGCGAATCGCGAGTCAGAGCGGAGCCACCGCCCATGAAGGCGGCCCGGGCCTCGTCGCAGACCAGACGGCCAGCCACGGGCCAACAGGCTGCAGCTGCAGCTGCGTTCTCGAGCCGGTTGGGCGTCTCGGCGGGCGTGAACTGCAGGCCCAGGCCAGGGACGGCCTTGCCTGAGCTCATGGACCGCTTATGGGGGTCATCCTTGCCCCGCGGGGACTCCCCGTGCAGGGCGGCCTGCTTGGCGGCCCGCCTCATGTCCCCCAGCGCGTCGCCGATTAGCTCCGGGTCCCACAGCGGCAGGATTCGGTAGCCCAGGCTCTCCATGATGCACCACTCGGTCACGTTGATTTGCTCGCATGTCCATAGGTCATGCCCCCAGCACGAGGCGTAGTGTGTTGTCGGGGTTTGGCAGTCCTCCAGGAACTTGACCGCAATGACCAGAGAGGCGAGAATGATCAGCTCCGGGCGGACAGAATCGATGTGCAGCTGGTCGTTGACCAGAATCGGGGCTGGAATCGTGTGGCGTTTAGCGTAGGCCGGGGAGGCCTGGAAATGCGCGAGCGGACAGACCAGCCTCCAGCTCAAGGAGAACTTGGAGTCGAGCGAGTCTAAAACGCACACGGCCAGGGCAATCGTCTCCAGGGGAAGATTAGCTCGGGTGAGAATCTCGTGGACGAGCGGGATCGAAGGCGTTGCAAGCGAGGCGGGGGGCGGGATAAGGTTTACGAGGTGGACAGCTGGGCCTGCCCCGCAATTGGTGGTTAGCATTGCAACACCAGTGCAACTTCGGGTGGGAGAGGAGCTAAGACGAACCCAGTAGCGCAGAGCCGAAGAGCTCCCCATCTTCCAGGATGCTCCTGGGGCTCCCGATAGCTGATGTGTTCCGCGATGACGGAGGCGGGGTAGGGAGGTTCGACAGCGGACGATAGGTTCTGGCAAAGTACTCTTCGTCGAACTCGGCTTCGTCGTCCGAATATTGGTCTTGGGTCTCGTCCCTCGACATTGTTGCAAGTACCCGTCTCAAGATCGTACAAGCTTTTTTTTAAGGTTGCCAAAAGGTGGTGTTCCCAACAAACCACAGACGAGAAGGGAGCAGGAAAACACTGCTCATGTTCACCCGGAAAGTTTGGACTCGCCAGCTACCTAGTATATATATGTATATACCTGGCGGGAGAAACACAAGGTCTCCTTCTTGTAGCTCCAGGGAACCCAAGGAATCCAGGGAAAGGGCAAAATAAGGTGTCTGCTGAAAAGAGACAATGGGCAAGAGGGGAGAAAAGGAGAGCTTGCTTTGCAAGATATGAATTCGATCAGCCCCAGCTCATGCACGGTTTGCAAGCAAGCAGCAGCTACCTAGGTAGCGATATGATTTGAAAAAGGAGGGGGCTTGGCCCCGCGTGTGGAGGTGGATATCCAGATGTATGCCCAGAATCTTAGTTCATGTAGATGCTCTGATCCTTGTTGCTCGTGAAAGAAGCGGTGGGCAAGAAAGAAAGGGCGAACTCGGCCATTTTCGGACAGGTGCACAAGAGAGGCTGCGACTTGCGACTAGTACAACAGAAAAGATGGTTAAGGTAGTCAATCGGGTCTGGGCCTGACTATATATCTCACGGCCCTGGCTAGGTTTCTCGCAACGAAGACAAGCGCAACTCCTATTGCATCCTTGAATGGCAGTGGGACCACGGGTAATGCCGACAGACCAAGCGAGGCCATACTAGCGCAGGGTGCAATGCCAAAAAAATAGAATGGAAAAGTAAAGGAAAAGCCAAAAATCTGGAGCTGACGACACCGCAATCTGGAAGAAAAGGGCCGGCAGGTCAGGATGAGGAGAGGCGAGGCAGAGTTGCATCACCCAATCTGGAAGATTGTGATTTGTGCACGGAAGAGATTGACGCCGCAAAGAAAATAAAGTCCGACCGTCTGCGATTATGGCGCTTGAGGTCTCGCATTGCTAACCGCAAAGGCCCTGTTGTGGCTGGTGTTGGAGGGCGGGCTCACGTAGTGGAGGGTCTCTAGAGTTCAGCCAAGGCAGATTCGCCGCCTGGCATCCGCATTCATCCATCTCTGGCCTAATTAGTCACCATCCACTCCAATGACTTCCAACAACCTAAGTTTTTTGGGCTTGACGAGCAAGTCCCTCCAGCCTCCCAAATTGTTACTGACGCGCCATCCTCCTTGAAATTGACAACAGGGGAATACTCGGTTCCATTCCTCGGGAATAATCACAAGCTCTCAAAAGTTATATTGCGTTCCCGACTCACACTGGCACGCAGGAACCTAAAACCCGGATAATACAAGTTCTGGCCCAAATTGCTCCTGCAGAAGCCTTCTTGGCCAACCACAAGAGAGACGGCAGTTCGTAGGAAGTCCTGGGAAGCCGGTGGCGGCGCGGCTGAAAGACTGGTGGTAAGGGAAAGTCTTTTGGTTCGTTCTCTCCAGCTGCGCTGCCCGCGCAGGAATCTTCGAGAAGCTGAGGTCCCATGCATTTAAAACGCGCAGCCAAGTTGCTGCAGTTCTCCAAGATCATAGTATCTCTATACAATGCCGAGGCGGCTATGTGAGCAGCTGAGCGCGCCTCTGAACGCCACAAAGAGCCTTCCACCGTGATTCTTCAAGCGTCAGACTGAGGCTGAGACCGTCTCTTGTTCGTTCGCCGAGCCACATCAGCTACATGGCACGCTAGGTGAAGACTGGTCTTGAAGTGGCAGTGCTTACAAAGCCTCTGTGGTGCTGGCTTTCCAAACCTGTGCTAGGATTTCCCTCGACTGTAGATTTTGAGGAGCGGTAGTTATTGTTGCTATCTGCTTCCAGCTTGAAGGGCGTTTTATCAGGTATCAAGGCGGCCTCACATACAAACGCTGGACTAGGTTTGTCAAGCTATACTACTTGGAAGTCTATGGACAAAACAGAGCGCGCCTCGAGAGCAACCAGGGAGCTCATACTGACTCAACCGCCCCTCCATGGCTTCTGCATCCTGGATATCCGTACTCCCTCCATTGCCCCCCATCTGATCGCACCATCACTCGACGTCCAATTCTTAACTGCCGTCGCCTATGGCCACACTGATCGCCGGAAATCGGTACCTGGTTTAAACTTGGCCCCACCCCCTCCATCTGGGCCCATCAATGCCTACCCGTCCCCCCGCATTGGGGGTCAAAACCGGAACCCCCAAGCCCCGTCTCGGGTCTGTGGCTGGCCGAGCTAATCACACAGACCCCAGCAAAGACATGGCATAGTGCATGGCCATTCGAGACGTGGCAGAGCACGTTGCTCTTGTTTCAGGATTGCTTGCTTCCTGCTGCTTCTTCCCGCTGTTAGTCGGTTGGGCAGAGAGAAATCAACCTCGCCCATCTAGAATGTCACACACAAGGCAAGTCAGGACAGGGCACAAGGTTTGTTTGTTGTTGTTTTTTTTGGGTTTTTTGTTGTTCATTGTATGAGATTAAAACGAATCGATTTGGAAATAAGGAAAACCAAATAGGCCCGCATATTGATTGTCCATCTCCCACCACCATTGGCTTCCCCGTTTCGACACCGGTAACTTTCCCAAGCTCATCGGTCTACATTCAGTCTGAAATCCGAAAAGAAGATCCCCCTCCTAACTCGCCTGCTTGCGTCTTGTCTACCCAGAAACACCCGAGAGAAAAAGAAATAATAGAGAAAACAAGTAGTAAATCGAGTTCGCCCGAATCAACCGATGGAGATTGTTGCCCGAGGAGAGAGGGGTGTGAGAGAGATAGAGAATAGGGGGTCCAGTCATGATCCATGAGATGGGCGGGGAGGGTTGTGAGTGGGCCACGAGGTATATTGTCACTGTCGTAGTTGGTTCCCCGTGAACCCGTTCTCTATTTCCAAGACGTCCGAACTCCCACCAACCGCTCATGCGCAAGAGTGGCGGTCCATTCCCTCGACTCCTTAGACGAGGATGACTGTGACTGTTCAGGGGAAAATCGAATTAGCTTCTTGCCAAATCCTTTATGTATGCTTCCCGTGGCGGTAGAACTGGTAGGATGTGGAGTGGTCGTATATCGTCTAGTTGATTGACGCCGCGCCATCCTGGAGGGCTTCCTCCGCGGCGGTGACGATGTCGACCGGGAGACCATTCTCTACACTTCAGGACGTAAATACACAACGAGCTGTTCGTGTCTCCATGGGCAGGAAGTGCGAGGATTTGGTCTCCCGGTGACGACGACGAATGGAACGTGGTGAATTTGTGTGTACGTGTATTGAGTGTGCGGCACGAGTGTGTGTACGAATGTGTGCACGAGATATTTGTGCGCATGTCCTGCGGATGAAGGAGACCAAGAGGAGGGAGAAGGGGGGAACTAACCAAGCTGCTGTGCTACCGTCTGGATCTGGGGGAGCAGAGACTGGTCGATGAGCTGGCTGAAGTCAAAGCCGCCAATGTTGTTGACGAGACCCAGGTTGAGGGTGCCGAGGTTAAGGCCGGAGAGATCGAAGCTGTTCAGGACACCAACCTGGCCGAGGGACAGGAGAGTCTGGAGCTGCTGGAGCTGCAGAATGGTGTTCAGGTCGAAGGTGTTGCCCTGGAACAGGTTCTGGAAGCCGTTAACGTTGAAGTTGTTGACCTGTGTGAGCTGGGCCAGGAGGTTGAGGTCAAGGCTGTTGAGGGAAGCCAGGTACTGGATGTCGAGGGAGTTGAACCGGTTCAGGTTGTTGACCCGCGAGAAGTCGAACCGGTTGGCACGCTCCTCAACCTCCTTGGTGGGAGCAGCAATGGCCACAGTGGCGAGGGCAGAGACGAGAACGCTGATGGCCTTCATTTTGACGGTTGTTGGAAGTGAGTGACGGGTATTAATAAGCCGATTACAAGTAAGAGCACAGCTGGATTCCCAAGTTAGTCGCCCGTGGATTCCTGTGCCATGCCACGATCTGAGTTGTTGCTCTCACCTCAAAAATGTTCAACTGAAAGTTGGGACTGAAGGAATGAAAGCGAACAACGAGCACAGCTAATCGAAGGCTTGTCAGCGTCTGGATGATCTCCCCATAATGTGGTCGAGAAGATGTTTGGTCGAGACCAATGTGGGGAAAGGGCCAGGCTTACCTCTGTAGAATGAATGACTGAATGAGATGATCGGGCTTGAAAGTTTAAGATGCGAATGGGATGAGGAAACAAAAGGAGATCTCCAACGGACAGGCGAGGTTGACTTATATACCAGAGAGACCAGCCATGCGTCACGGACAAGCATGAGCACACACCAGGCGCCAAGACTTCAGGGAGTAAAAGGTAAATTCGGAAGGGAGGGCAAGGACGCTTCCGGCGGTATCAGACGTCAGGCGTCGCTGGACGGAAACGAACGGGTAAAACAAGAGGGACTTGGGGGAAGGGGTGAGAGTCCAGGCCGAGCTGGGGTAGGGGGTCGAATGGGATCAGGTGGCGGCGAGGGACAAAGCGGAAATTGGCGACTACCTGTCAGACCCGTCATGGATTACCGGTGCAAAGGATAACCGCAGCCAATGGCAAAAATGACCGAGTTCGAGGATCTGCTCCCGCGCAGAAGCACATGGGAAGCCCAGAAGCCCGAGACCTGCTGCACGGAAGTCACTCTGGCCGACGCCAAATATGGGAGGCTGAGAGAGAAACAAGCACAAGGGTGGGAGAGGGCAGGGGTGGAAATAACCTTAGTGAGGCCATGATGTGGATCGCGAGAGACAACCGACCCGGACATGGTTGGCAGGCGCCCGTACGGCAGGAGATAGATACCTACAGACAACTAGCAAATTCACGGGGGGGACATGTATCGTCTGATCAGAAGGCCGCACAGCAAGTACATGCAGGGATGGCATATCCTCGGGGTACGTGAATGGCTCAATGGCTCAATGGCTTTCCCTGATCGACGTCGAGGGTGGCCAGCTTGTTTCGCAGCGTTTCGCTGGAGCCAAGCACGAGTGAGAGGATATTTTAGGTTGGGAGTTTGTAGCCGACGATGTGGGATGGTCACCTTTCCCCACGCCGGGGTGCGTACTGCATGCTACCATGGTGCAGGAGTAGTAGTAGTGTAAGTAGTGTAGGACAAGGGAACAGACTTGACACCCCCTTTTGGTGGTGCTAAGGGGCACGCCCGGACCCAGCCAACACAAGCGAGGCCTGATTTGGGTTGGCGAGGTCTGGATAAGATTTAGGCTTACTAGGTTCACCCATGTGAGCTCTGTGCCTAGCCAATCAATCTGAAGAGAGATGGATCAAGGGTCCTCAAGGGTTTGTGTCGAAGCCTGGCCTCTGGGCTTGGCGGTGTGTGGTTAAATGCACGAGCGCCGCAAGTTGTTGGAACATTTTGGCGGGCTTGTGGGAACACCCCTGGAATTCAAAGGAGCCGCACAAATTTCTGCGCGTTGTCATTGGTCCACCGGTGCCGGTCACGGTCCGAGCGGGGCCATGCAGGTCCGCAGAACGTCAGACCTTTCCCAGTCAGGGAAAGATCCCCATCCCAAACTGTCGCAGGTGTCAGATTTGAAGCAGGTCCGCCTCAACCGAAGTTCAGGGCATTGGCAAATAATTACTCCAGCGCCTTTTCAATCCCCCACGTCATCCCGCCACCAGGCTTCCCGATCCCGTGCTAAGTGCTGTACGAAGTCTCGCTTGGGGCCGCAGTCGTGGACACTTCGAGATTGCCAAGATCGGCTTCGTAGCAGTCATGTAACCGAGGACAGGCATAGGGACTTCGGAGTTTACGACAGACTCCACAGTACTATAGTAGATGTTATACAACGGCAAGTATTGATCTCGGACTTTCAGACTGTCCACCATCCCGTGTACCACAGTATTGCATTGTAATTGTATTGCGTCGCACTGGATGAACTAGATATCCCTTCTTTGCCGGTCTTCGATTCCCAGAACGATAATTAACATGCAAGATGGCCCCAACTCCAACCCAGTCTACTCCCTAGAGAAAAGAGAGAGAAAGAAAATATCTTGTGTGGATGGAGTTGCTAGTCATAGAGCCCGACCAACTAACAGCGGAAGCGACGGTATTGCCTCGAAACATGTGCGCCTGCTTAACCCATTTTGCTCCGTGTTTGCGCCTCTTTCCATAGCCCTTGCCAGCTCCCCCATCCAGATGGATACGGCCTGCGCTCTGACTGAACCAAGGATAATCCAGTTCGCTTGGTCGGTGCGGGCCAACCCTGGCGGGTCACTCAGGAGAACTCTGCTTTCCCCAAGTAAGCTCTATCCAACCCTCGCCTCGAGGGTTTAACGAGTGAAATCTGATAGGCGGGAGTCTGACGTCGGCGCTGCCGCAGCTGGTTGGGAGGCGGCAGCAGACGCAACGACGGCCGCTGTTTCTGTTGCCGCAGGAGCCTGGCTGGCGACCTGGCTGGCGACCGGGGCGGCAGACTGCTGCGTTCCGGCCGTGGCATTGGGATCAACCACGTTGGTCTGGCACTGTCTCTTGCTCAGGGCTTGGGTGGCGCGCCTGAGCTTCGTTCGCTTGATGGTCTTCTTGCGTTCGTCAACCGCACGCTTGAAGACGCCTGGGTGGTTGTTCATGTTAGCTATGTGCCGCAGAGCCCCGCCCACACTCTTCCCACACAGACAGGCATACCAATATTGAAGGTACTGAGGCGGTTCAAGCCGTTGAGGCCATTGAGGCCATTGAGACCATTAAGTCTGGTGAGACCATTAAGTCTGTTGAGACCGTTGAGACCATTGAGACCATTGAAGCCGTTGAGGCCGTTGAAGCCGTTAAGGCTATTGAGACCAAATCCTCCACCTATGAGGGTCTGGATATCGACGACATTCAGGAATCCCAGCTGCTGGAGTTGCATCAGTTGGGCGAGCTCGAGGAAGAGCTGGAGGCTCGAAGCACTGCCGAGGTTGGAAATGCTGTTTGAGTTGAACAGACCGCCCAAGCACAGCGCGTTCGTCATGGTCAGGATAGCGTTGATGACGTCGTTCTGATTTTGGAGGTTGACGCTGCCGAGATTAAGCCCGTCGATATTGAGATTTCCGCCAAAGTTGCCGAGGTCGAACTGGGGATCACTGATGTTGGTGGTGCTGAGTCCAGTCCCGTTGAATATGTTGGCAATGGACTCCAGCTGGTTGGAAGTACTTCCAGAGGCGGATTCTGAACTTGAGCTCTGTCGGCGGGCGAGTGGCGATGGGATATGGAAGGCCGACGCCAGGCCAGCGGTGAGGATGATCGTCGTCAGGCACTTCATGGTGACTTGGATCGAGCCGAATCAATCGGGCTAGTTTCTTAAGAAGATGAAGACAACAAGGGCAATTAAACAGGTCTAGACAGAGCACAGCTTGAAGACGTCAGTATCCGATTCAACATGCACGTTATAATGAAGCTGGACTCACCTCTTGAGGATACGTAGTGAACGAGTGAGAAGACAAACAGATCGAAACAAGCGCAGGAATTTCTAGCACACGGGAAGGGCAGGCAGCATGGTATGTTATATTTGATATATGGGAAGGTCAACCCCGATTTGCGATTGCAATGGGCCGGCCTCGATCCCCGACAAGCTTCGGTCAGTTTTCAGATGACGAACAAGGTGTCGCTGAAACTGTGCCGTGCCATCTTAAAAGGGAACAAGCTTAAAGGCAATGGAGAACCAGCAGGGATGTAACGTGTGGGATTCGTGTCCAAGGTGTGGTGTGCTATAACGGACAGGAACAATCAGTTAGGTGGTGCACCACCAGATGGGCGTTGGCTTAAACACACATGGGTTCTCCTGATCTTCTTGGGTCGAACGACTTGGAAACCGCCATGGTGGTCCCAGCCAAAAATGGCCCGAGATCGCCCGTACCCAGGTATTCATTCTGTAGCTCAATGTCGTCGTTGCTGGCGCCTATCCTCCAACCGTCGTTTCGTCATGCCAAGGAAGGCCTGGTGTTGCCATGCGGAGAAGGTCGTGGCTGATGAAGCATGATAGTGATTGCGCCAATGCGCCATCCAAATGTGGGAGATGCTGTTACAGAACTAACAGCTCCCACCAACTATGCAGCCAGTATAACTGACACCTCTCTCTAACACGCAAACTCGGATGATCGACCAGCACCATGCGGTGTCAAAACGCCAAGAGGATCGGAGGCAAAAATCCAGGCAATCAGTTCAGCGACTGACTGCCTCACCTCGTTCTCTTCGTATCCAGAAATGAACCGTTTTGGAGTGAGCCCTGCTCCAAAGTCATTCCTAGTTACACACCTGGCCCCCAAATAGACGGCTATGTCGTTATTTGGACTTGGCCCAGGTAATAATTAGCTGGAGAGCCAGTCGATTTCAAAGACAAGCCAGTAAGTGGCTGTCATCCGAGGTCTTAAACCTGCATGAGCAGGGGCAGTGTAACGTAGGTACGCCAAGTACGTATTCAGACATGCCGCGGGTGGAATTCTCCGATGCAAATTCTCGGCCCGGGTGCGGTGCGACTCATTTCGGCACTCCACTAGGGTTGGACGATCAACCTCCTCAAGGCCGCCTTCTGTTGTCCTTCTAGAAATCTGAAATTTTCTGTTTCAATGGTCTGGATAAATGCAGCGATCACCCAGCCTGTAGGCCAAGTCCTTACGGTGTTGCCCATCTAGATCGCAACATTCGTGTAGATCTGGGGAGTTTTCCCCAAGCAAGTCAATGCATTGATGATGATTTGATATCCCGAAGGCGATCAAGTCTTGTAGTGGCATGACAAAGCAAAGCAGCTGGAAAATCCAGAGAGCCGTACAATGTGACCACTGACTCCCCCATCCCATACCTTCAATCATGGATAAAAAGCAGGAAAATATGGCCGATGAGATATTCAACCAAAGCCACGATTCTCTGGCTAAACAGTTACGAAGACCTGTGTCGATGCCGAGAGCTCCATCATGCTTGGTATGATCGTATTAGAACCTTTTGTTACAACGGCACTAATCGTACATCGGTTCTTCGGCAGCTTCTCTCTATGACGTGTCCGCAGGGGGCTTGTTGCCATCCTCCTTTTTCTTCTTGAGGTTAAGAAGCTCGCCCACGACGCCACCAGGTTTGGGCACAGGGCATTCTCTCCTCGGCCTTGCAGAGCGGCGTGATTCCTCGTCTCCGGTGCTGCTCCCAAACTGCACTATGCCATCTCTCGTTTCCGTGATCTCGGGTTTCCGCCGCCGCCTCCTCTTCCCGGACCCCTCTGGCATCTCTCCATCGGCGTATGTCACTCGTGGTGCCGGACACGGGAGGACATGGGGTAGCGCAACGACGAAGAAGCTGGCCACGACCGTGGTTGCGAAGAGTGATGAGGTCATCCGCGACCTGGGGTGTAGATGCGGTGGTGGCATGATCTCACATGGGCGGCCGCATAATTCGGAGCTTGGAATTGAATTAGCTGACGGACGCGTAGAGTGCAGTACGCCTGAGGACTTACGAATTATTATCGTCGCGCACTAAATCCCATGTTGCAGGTCGCAATTGACTATGATGCCGCTCTTTTGAAGCCGATTGAGCGCCCCGCGTGAAGAAGTGGAATTATTTCATCACTTTTGGCCTGGTCTACTGGATAGAGCCATTGAGCTTCAGCTTAGGCGTGCTTAGGTAAGGCCAGTCAAGCCACCTTTTGCACAGACCCTTAATAAGAGTTGTCATACAGCCACAGGGGCAGCCACACCTGGAGTGTGTCCGCCTTGCAGCTGCCCCACCAAACCCAGGTACCCTGGCCCGATGCGCTAAATTTTAGCAACATGGCTTGGCAGTTGCTATCACCTCGCGCGTTTCTATCTCGAATGTCACGAATGTAACCATCCCACCTCGGGCGGAGCTAACATTTGGCGTCGCAAGCGTTCAGCAATCATCATCCCGCTACGGGGCACAAGAGCATGTTATGAGACTGCCTTCTATTCTTTTCTCCATCCCACTACAGGTCTTGGCTGCCAGGATACCCATCACTGAAGATCGCAGACGGGAATAGCAACAATGAGCAGCCTGGACAAGTTCGTGGCCACAAGACTATTTTTCCTTCTCCTTCGAGGCTAATAATGTGCGTTACGATAGGTCCATTGCTCAGCTTCGAGCATGCCGTCCGATTCCCGAGGCAGACGTCCGCGAGCTTTGTCACAAAGCAAGAGATATTCTTGTCGAGGAGGGGAACGTTGTGACGGTCACAGCACCCGTTACGGTATGAATGCAATCTAGGGACGGGCAATATGGCTGCTGTAATACTTAATGCTGTGGTCAGATATGCGGCGACATTCACGGCCAGTTCCACGACCTTATGGAACTCTTCCGCGTCGGTGGTGATGTACCTGATACGAATTATCTTTTCATGGGTAGGCCATCCTCACATATCCACCTGCACTGTATTCGGAGCTGACTGGCGTCCTGGACAGGCGACTTCGTCGACCGCGGCTTCTACTCTCTAGAAACCTTCCTCCTCCTGCTATGCTTGAAAGTCCGATATCCCGATCGCATGACCTTGATCCGTGGCAACCACGAGTCTCGCCAAATAACGACAGTCTATGGGTTTTACGACGAGTGTCTGAGGAAGTACGGCAGTACAAATGTATGGCGGTACTGCTGCGACATTTTCGATTACCTTCCGCTGGGAGCCATCGTCTACGGCGCATCAAATACCCTCTCCCCGGGCGACGAATCAACCTCGGCACAAGAGTATATCGACGAGGATATCGAAATCGAAGTGTGCAACGCTAATGGCGCGATCATGAGCCGCTTTCCTCGCCGGCAACAAGAGGAGCCCGCAGCATCGACGAGTCCCAGCACCGCACCCGTTTCAGCAGGCGGCAGTGGCGCGGGCCCTAGCAGTGGCAGCATAGGGAAGACGGGACCGCCCGGCTCCGGCGCATCAGGCTCCAGTGGCGGTTCGATAGGCAACCCGGCGGGGGCGGTCCTTTGTGTCCATGGCGGCCTCAGCCCGCTAATCGACACAGTGGACAAGATCCGCCTTTTGGATCGCAAACAAGAGGTTCCTCATGAGGGTGCCATGTGCGATCTACTCTGGTCTGATCCGGACGAGATTGATGGCTGGGGCCTGTCGCCACGAGGCGCTGGCTTCCTGTTCGGCGCTGATATTGTCAAAGTATTCAACCAGCGCAACGACCTCAGTCTGATAGCGAGAGCTCACCAGCTCGTGATGGAAGGATTTAAGGAAATGTTCGACGCGAGCATCGTGACTGTATGGTCGGCACCGAATTACTGCTACCGCTGCGGCAACGTCGCGGCGTTACTGGAGCTCTCGGAGGACCCAAGCGGGCTCGGCATCTTCGCGCGGAGCAATGGCGAGAGAGGCCGGAGCGCCGGGGTTCCGATTGACCAATATCTGGAGCCCATGGTCGGGCCAGCACGCCGGTACCGCGTGTTCCAGGCTGCGCCGCAGGACTCTCGCGGCATGCCCGCGAAGAAGCCCGTTGCAGACTACTTCCTGTAACACTAGTGTGCGTAGGGGGTACTAAATCATGGTTGCCGGTTTTTTTGGTCCTCTTTTTGGTTGCAGTTTTTACTCGTTTGTTTTTGGGTGTATGACTACTGCTGTTGCTCAGCGGGTTCAGGGGGCTATTTCATCCGCATGGCGTTGGTTCGAGGACAGCAAAGGATGAGAGTAGAAAATAATAGCGGTTATAATTACCACCTGTCTACTCTCCTCTCTTCATGAAGCACAATTTCTTCAAGGTTGCGATCCTGACCTTCATTTCCGTGCGTTGTTGATGTTGTGGAGAACTGGCTCTCTGGAGCCCGCTCAGGGGGCTAGTTGAAACAGCTAGGTAGGATGGCCAAGGGGCGTCGAATAGATTGCATTATCCAAAATTCGAAGTCTACCTGGGGATACACATGGCTGCTCACACGGCTGGGAATGAAAGCAAGTAAAGTAGTGGACGAGATACCCAAAAGCCAAACAAACGCCAACAAAGAAACGGAAAATGAAAATGAAAAGAAAAGGAAAGAGCCAATAGGGGGCGGGGCGCCCACAGGCTAGAAATACAACCAAGCAGAGGTCAGACAGATGACCACGCCCTCAGAAGAACAAATCGCACTCTAGATCACAGCCCAAGTAATTTCTTCCCCTTGCTGCGTCCCCGTCTCCTCCCCTTCGGTAAACCCCATCTTCGCCTTGGGCACAAACTTCTCAAGCATGGCGAGCGTGTCCCTGGTGTCGAGCAGATCCTTCACAGCCGCCAGCGCGGAGGTCATGCCCTCTGCGTCGTTCGTATACCCCAGGAACTCCGGGCTGGGGTCAATCGCCCTGGCGCTCTTGTCGAGCTCGTCGGCCTCGGCGGTCCACTTCGGCAGCTCGTCGCGCTCGACGTCCTTGCGCGCAAACGTGTCCTGCTTCTGCTCCAGCTTCTTCTGGGCCACGCCGAGGGCCTTCTTCGTCGCCCCCATCGCCACCCCCTCGGCGTACTTGGCCTCGAGCTCGTCGATCTCGCCCTGCAGCGCCTCCAGCTCCTGCGGCAGGCTGGCCTGCGCCTTGGCGACCTTGGCCCGGAAGGCGGCCGCGTTGGATGTGGCCTGATCCTTTTTCCGTATGTCGGACAGGAGCTTCTTCGCGCCGGGCACGAGGTCCTGGACCAGCTTGCTTAGCACCTTCAGGGCCTCCTCGTCATTTGCTGGGTCCGGGTTGTCGATGAGGGCTTGGAACAGGGCGCTGTACCGCTCGATCCACGGGGTTTCTTCCTCGTCGTCTTGGGCAGTGCCGGCGGCGTCCCCTTGCTCGCCTGCGCCCTCGCCTGCGCCTGCGCCCTCGCCTGCGCCTGCGCCTGCGCCCGCGCCCAAGGGCGGGTCCGACATCTCGACGTCGGCCCCGCCGCTGGCGGGCGGTTCCGCTGGTGGCGGACGGCTGAGGTCGGGGACGGGGGCGGGTCTGTCTAGCTCCCCTGGCTTCCCTGTCTCTGCGCTTTCCGCTTTCTGGTCATCGGCCACGCCCCCCATTGCGGTGTCGGTTCCCTGGGCGGCCGAAGGGTCGGGGGTTTTAGAGGGCGGTAGGATGTCGGGTGCGTCGCCGCGTGGTAGTATGGAGAGGGATATCTTTTTCTTGGCAGGGCTGCCGGGAGGGGGGGTTGATAGTGACCGCTTCGCGGGTGACTTGGGGGTCACAGTAGGTTGCGGTGCAGTTCCAGATGGTGTCTTGGGACGAAGTCCTAATTGTGAAAGGCCGAGGAGGATATCGGCTCCCAGGAGACCATCGGGACTTAAATAGGTTGAAGAGCCTGGTGCGCCGGAGGCCATCGACTGGTCTGGCGTGGTCGTTCCTCGGGTGGCTGGAACGTTCGACACGTCAGGGTCTTGTAAGGCAACATCCTGACTTTCGGTGGTCGCGGTCCCTGAGGTACCCTGGATCTGATTCTCCCACCTTCCAGCGTTTCTTTGAACACCTTGAATGTTAGTTTGAACTGCTGCATCGGATGTTCGATAAGCTTGATTGGCTGCCGCATTGACTGCTATGGCAACTGATTGAGTGAGTGCTTGAGCCACTGCTTGAGCAAGTGCCTGAGTGACTGCCTGAGTGGCTGCTTGAGATGCTGCTAGATCGGCTGGTGGATTGAGAGCTTGAGCGACTGCTTGAGTGACTGCTGGGGTGGCGATTGCTGCAGTAGCGACTGCTAGATATGCTGCTGGATCGTTCGCCCCAGGGAATGATTGAGAGACTGCCTGAGCGAGTGCCTGAGCGAGTGCCTGAGCGAGTGCCTGAGCGAGTGCTTGGGAGAGTGCTTGAGTTGCTGCAGGGGTAGTAGTTGCTGGTCGGAATCTTGGAGCAAATGGCGACGGCCTGCCCAGTATCTTCCTCATCGCGGCGGCTCTCTCCTGATAGTAGTCGCGTGCTCCTTCCAGGATAGCTTCCCCCGCCCGCTCTATGCATGTCGTGTAGTCCTCCGCGAGGTCGCCTTTCTGAGATCTGGGGGATTCGAGCAAGGCTTCACATTGCCTCAGATACTCCAGCAGCTGGTCCATCTGATGGCCGCATACTCTGAACAAGTGTCTCGCCTGGTCGTTTCGCAGGCACTCCACGTCGCTTGTACCATCCCCCAACTGGGCATCCTGCCGAATGCGCTCTGTGCGGGTTGCCACTTGGTGAATATACCGGACAATATCGTTCTTGTCGATGTGGTCCTTGACAGCCCTGTGGTCTGCTCGTTGAATGCGTCTTCTAATCCACCGGAGAGTTTTCTTGACGACAATTGCGCAGATCCCAAGAGCCCTCAGGGTGGGATCGTTTATATCCTTTACAAGAAGTTTCTTCTCGACAGTGTTAGCCATGGTTGGAACGTTGCACTGGACTTCCTAGCTCGATGTTTCGTTAGAAGCTTCATCATGCGCAGTCCAGGATGGATTTCTTACCAGATTCTCTTCTTGGCTTGCCTTTCAAACTCTCTTCTGCAAACTTTACGTTGGCAGAGGCCAGGAAGTCTCGAATTTCACGGGGGAAGGAACACGGGGGGGATATGGAGTGATTAAACAAAGGAGTCGAGGACCCCCTTTGTCGCTCGAGGACGATTTCTGGTTTCGGCAAGTCAATGTAATATATTTTCATTCTGGCCGGATGCGGTTTATGAAAGACTAGTACAGATCATCAACGAGGATGACCTGCTGAATAGAATTGTGGGAGGGAGCAAGTCATTGACAGAGGTTGTTGACTAACTGCAACAACACGTCCACGCCAATTCCAGCGATAGATGTTTGCAGCAATTAAAATCCCACCATGGCGCATGTCCAGTCGCCAACAAAGCTCCAACGTGGTCCCCCTATACGGCATGGCATCTTGTCATGGGTGGTTTCTGGAAAGAAGGAGAACGCCTTGTCCTCACAAGGTAATGGGAGCAGATGAGCAGATACGATTCATAAGCACTTACCTAGATCAAACGCCATCCCGGCTTTGCTTCCAAGAGTATGCAGCCACACCTACCATTTCACAGACTGCACGCTGGCCGTGGTCTCCGTAAAGCTCATCGAATGTATGTCTTCGACATAAGGTTTCAGTTCCAAGACCTTGGCCAAGTCAACCGGACTTCAGGTCACAAACCATCAGTCCCGAGCCTGCTCAAGGTCCCTTACGTTGGACTCCCACAGGGTGTCAGCACAGCGCGAGTAGGTTTCCAGGCGGCATTCCTTACATTGCGTAGTTATCCGGCCTCCCTCAGGTATGGTCCGCGGGATAGTGTGGATGGTTGTCTTGACCACTGGTCGAGCTGGGATGGACTGGTCACAGAGCTTGTATTTCAGGTCCAGTCAACAAAACGGACAGTTCTTATGTCTCCGCAGCCATTCCTGGAGGCACCGATACCTAGCAATATGACCACAAGGGAGGATCGCGGCCGTGTTGTCGTTTAGCTCATGATCGCCGGACCGGAATTGTAGCCTCGACACTAGGCAAATCTCGCACACCAGGTCTTTCGGCTGATCAACTAGAAAGGTGATCTTGGGACAGGGGACGTAAGACCCTTTCTACACCACAGATTCGATTAGTGCTTCTTGCATGGCATTGTAATGGTGTAGGGCAGATAGATCCCGGGAATGCGTTGGTTCTAAGAGTTCTAAGCCTTAAGGACAGTAAGCGGCTGCCATTTTCCTCGAATAAGCGACGGTATTTATCATGGCCAGTTCTGGTTGGGGAACAAGCCATTGTCGCTTCAGAAGGTATTGCCCTCCTTTCTCTGGCCAAGAATTAATCCCCAATTTGCGCAAAGTACCAGGAACAACCGGATTGTCAAAGACGATAGGTGTGCGACGACAAATGGGATGTTCGACTGTGGTCAACCTCGAGGATCAACGGATCATCAACGGATACTCTTATCGAAACATGAGACACCGTGGCATCTCTAGCTGGACGCAGCAATTCAAGATGACTGGTCATGCAGACAGCATTGTATTTCCCTGCCAAACTCCGTGGTTATGTACAAAGATGTAGAAAGGTCGACGGCTTATTGGGGCTTTTCCCGTAACGCCTCCTCCTTCTGTGCCCGCTCATACTCGATAATCTGTTTGCTCCAGCTATGATCGGTCAGTTTATCCCTCCTAAACAAGAGCTAAGAATGTGGATTTAAGGAGTATTCTCGTACTATCTGCTCGGGAAGAACCTCCCCGGCTCCGGCATCTTATGTCGAAATTCGCGTTCCGCGCTCACTTTCCACACCAACGCAGTGATTCCGAACATAGCGAGGCCAATGATCGCCGTGTTGGCTTTCCAATTGGCTGGCTGAGCGTACCAGCCACCGGACGGTGACCAGATGTGCTTGGGATAGCTAAGAACGCATCAGAAGGAAGTTCAAGATGCCAGTGGACGCTGAAGCCGACTTACGGGACTCGAGGACCGCCACCCTAGTCACAATGTCAGAAAGCACACAAAGTCAATTGGGGTGAGCACACATACCATTGCGACAAATGTTGGCGAGCGAGACTGAAGTTTTCAGAAGCGGCTCTATCCTTAAGCCTTTGAAGCTGGAGTTCGATGGTGGTGCAATTCCCGGGCTTGCGACTGGGCGAGAGGCTTCCAGCGCCGGAGAACGGACCAAGGTTGTTCCACTAATCCATGTGACGGGGATGCGCCATTATGTCAGCGGGCACAGGCTTTTGGGGAACGAACCCCTGCTAGGTACTCACACGACTCGAGCTTCAAGGGGAAGAACTTTTTTTGCGCGGCAGAGCCGTCACGACAGGACGCGACGAACAACTGACGACGCTGCAACACGCTGTGCAGAGAGAAGTGCAGGCCCGAAAGCAACCCAATTCAGTAGGGCTCAGCACATACGATCTGCCTGCCCATGAAGAGGCTACGCTTCGAAAAATGGTCGGGCCAATTGCTCGGGGCTCGGCCAGGAGCAGCATCTGCTTCAGCAAGTTGTTCTAAGCCCTTCAGAACCCACCACCTGTTCTCGTCACAGCGTAGCCAATGGACGCTGGCAGCGGCGGAAACTCCTCATGGGGAGGGAGGAGAGGAATCGGCTTCACACAGATTTCCACCCCTCGATCCCGGGTCTGCGGGCCTGACCGCCACGTTCCCATCACCACCTCCAGAACGGGCACTGAGCTCAGCAAAGCTTGCTGCCCTGCACGCCCGATTAGCCCTTTCCGAAAAAATACCACTCCAGACGCTTGCCAGGGCACTAATTGACGCAACCGCCGACGAGAACCCGCGGTTCAACAACTCCAACCTCTCGTTCCTCGGCCAGACGCTCATCAACTACCACATATCAGAATGGCTCATGTGCCGGTACCCTCGCCTTCCGATGAGCATCATGTACGCCGCCATGTCGGCCTACGGCGGGGTGAAGCCCCTACACCAAATCGCACGGCAGTGGGGAGTTGAGAGCGCCGCCGCACCCGGCGGCGAGGTCGACGCAGGCCTGCTCCAGTTCTCGACGCGGAAGCCGGGGATTACCAACACGGGATTCGGCTACCGGCGGACGGAGGCCGCGTACCTCGAGAAGTTCAAATGGAGACGCGGAATCAACAGCCGGGTTGTCCTGGACGACGACTTCGGCGATGTGGTCAACGAGGTGCTCCCCGAGGAAGAGGGACAAGACGGTGCGGCCGAGGTCTCGGAGGACGGGCCCCTGAAGCCGTACGGCACGCCCGAGACCCGGCAGGTGGCCGAGAACGCGCACGCGCAGTTCGTCCGGGCCGTCGTGGGCGCGACGTACGCGCACTGCGGCCGCGAGGCGGTCAAGTCGTTTGTGCGGTCGCACGTGCTCGCGCGCCAGCTCGACCTGTCGTCGCTCTTCAGCTTCAAGCTGCCGACGCGCGAGCTGGCCCAGCTGTGCGCGCGCGAGGAGTTTGAGCGGCCCGTCGCGCGCCTGCTCTCCGAGACGGGCCGCCGCTCCCGCACCCCCGTCTTCGTCGTCGGCATCTACAGCGGCAAGGACAAGCTCGGCGAGGGCGCCGGCCCGAACCTCGACTCCGCCCGCTGGAAGGCCGCCATGAACTCCCTCAAGGCGTGGTACCTCTACAGCCCCGGCGAGAACGTGCGGGTGCCGAGTGACATGCTCGCCGAGGATGCCAAGTCTTGGGAGCCGGTGTACATCGACATAGGGGAGGTCGTCTAAATCACCATTCCTTTGGTGTTGGCAGGGACGGTGATCGAGTCGTGTCAGGGCGGTGGGGGGTGTTGTACGAGTGTGGGTTTTGCGTATCCGGTGTCGATGAGGATTTGCGGAGACTCCAAAACTTCCTCTTCGAGGAGATTGTACATTTGTAGCGGGCATTGCATAGGATATGGGTTTCCGGCATCACTGGAAAGCTAGTCGAGGATCCGGGGGCATGTCACTGACTGTATAGTATTACAACAAGAACAAGGGTTATATACTTGTAGAACAATGGCTCGGCCTTTCCTCGAAGCGGCGAGTCGATATTGGACAGGACTACCTATCTACCTATTCATTATGTCGCAAATTAGAATTCCCCATGCGCCTGAAAGGGCATTCATGATACGGCACAATCCATGTCCTTCTCTAGACTTGTTAGACACACACGTATACCTACATCATCTAAGTGACAGAAACGACAACAGGACTCGGCCTAACTGAAGTGGTCACCTTCCCCCAGTTTGCCGACCGTACCGAGCCTCACCGACCTCCGGTACCGCTCCTCCTTTGTCCGCTTCTTCTCCCCCAGGCGCCTCCTCCTCTTCCTCTCGTAGACGGCCCGCACGGTGGCCCTTATCTGCTCCCTCGCCTCGTCGTAGTTTGCGCGGGCGAGGTCGACGACCCGGTCGACCTGCTCCGGCTTGTAGACAAAGTTCCACGTGCTCATGTAGTCGCTCGTGGCCGGGTCGACACCGGGGACCCGGTCGTTGGCCAGGAAGGGGCAGTAGACGACCGTCAGGCCCGCGTCCGGCTCCATCAGCCGCCACGAGGTCGCGTCGTCGACGGCCTTGGAAAGGGGGTCGGGAGGCTCCGAGCTGCGCTCCTGCGTCGAGCCGACCCACACGGTACAGTAGCCCAGCTCGCCGGCCGTCCCTTCGCCTTGTCTGTACCTGTGCTCCCTCGGGTCTGTCTTCTGCTCGCCCGTCGAGCCGGATTCGATGCGCCGGGCGGCCTGGTCGACCTTTGCCTCCGTGAGCTTGTCTTCGGCCTGGGTGGTCGAGGAGGCTTGCGCCTCTTCCAATTCCTTGGCCGTCTTCCTCACCGGATCGCTGGTCTTCGGCCAGCCGATGCCCACCGGCCAGCCCTTGATCTTCCGCTGGCGGGCATAGCCGTCCGCCACCGAGAGCCAGTTGTCCGTCTTGATGTCGGCAGACGCGTCGAACGCGATGACGACGTCGACGTCTCTCCCGGGCCGGAGGAGAGGATAGATGGGGATGTTGTTCGACATGCCCGCATCCATCAGCTGTATGTACTCGCTCTCGTAGATGCTCCTCGGCGTGGTCTCGGGAAGCTTCCCCTTCATCCCGTAGGCGAAGTTGGCAAGCGTGGCCGGGTTGATGGGATGGACCTTGCTCAGGTCTTCGTTGTGCCCGTAGATCATCTCGTCCACGGCGCTGAAGCCACTAAGGCTGAGAACGAGCGGCCGGATCTCCCGGTAGTAGTGGCTGAGGGTCGCGCAGAATGCGCTCCCAAAGGTCCCAAAGAGAAACGGCATCCGGATCTCAGGGAGATGCAATCCATCTGCTGCAGGAACGTCGGCGCCGTCCTTGAACTTCCTCCCCATGGCCCAGGTTGGGATGCCGGCGGAGAATTCCTCGCAGAAGAACTCGTAGGGCGTGACCTCGAACCACTGGAACCAGGCTTCTTGTTTCGCTTTTCGTTTCGCATCCTCAGAAGCCCGGCCGCCCGCCTCCAGCACAGCACCGTCGACGTCCTGGATTTCATGCCGGACAGCTGTGTAGATGGGTAGAGGATTCTGGCCGTATCGGATATACTCCCGCTGGTTTGAGAGCTTGAAGTCCTTCTCGTTGACTTCCAGCTCGCCCTTGGGGACTAGGAGTCGTGCTGCAAGGAGAAGGCCATAGACGTCAACTAGGCCGAAGACCGCCTTTGGGTCTCCCTTGAGCTTCTCAACAATCCCGTTCAAGAGATATTTGTTTGTTGGGGCAGAGATGACGGACGAGAAGGCAACGGGGGGGTAAGCTATATGGACCCCTAATCGCGCCTTCAGATGGTCGATGGCACGATTCAAGTCCCGCCCCGTGATAGTCGAGAAGTAGAGGGCTTGTAGCCAGCACGACCCACTGACGCCCGAGAGGTAGGTGGCGCAGTCAAACAAGCCGTCCTCGGCCGTGGCGAGCAGCGATCCAGTGCCGGCAACCATGGCACGCAAGCCGCCCCCAGAGCCACACATGGCAATGACGGGGACGTCGTCCGGGTGGACGTCCTTCTCCTCCAGGCCGAGATACTTTGCCAGGGCCATTGCAGCAACCCTTTTCCTGCGCGCGAGGAACTCCTTCTCCTCATTGCACAGATCCTCAGACACCCGCACCTTTGCTGAATAGCGGGTCTCGGGATTGATGAACGGATCGTGAGCTTCCTTCCAAATCTCGTCAGCAAGCGAGCCGGGAGCCATGGATAGCTCCCGCTGCAGCCTCCGGACGTAGCCGGGGATGAGTTTGGACCATTCCGGCAGGATGAGATCGACGACCTTGTCAGAAAGCTTGCTCCACTCTACGTCGGTTGTGAAGGAGATCTTCTCAAAGCTGTCGGCGAATTTGAGCCACGCGCGTCCTTCGCCCCTCCTAGCATCCTCCTCCTTGCTTTGCCCCTGGCCAGCTTGTTGACTTTTCCCCTTTTTCACCTGGGACGCGAGGTGCTGAGATCCATCAGCGGGATAGAGCAAATAGACGACGAGGGTGCCAATAATTATCACCGCTGGCACAGCCGAGGCTAGTTTCCTAGGTTTTGGCTCGGGCTGTGAGAAAAATAGGGAGCGAAACTGTTGGCCAGGTGAGGTTCCTGCCGGTTGTTTGACGAAACCACTTCTCGATACCTTCGCCAATCCCAGCAACCGCGTGCAGTTTGGCAATTGGGACAGCTTCCGAAGAGGAGCTGTTGAGCGGTTCATCATTAGTCACGCGCCAGACCTGGTGGAGTCAAAGGCACATGGTGGCGACGTTAGGCCAGGCGCCCTTCTGAAATGACTTGAGACGGCTGCTTGGCCCCTGATAACTTGCATCGACGACTTGTGGATTTCTTGTTGTGCTGTTTAACGCCAAGACATCGACGGTTTTCGACCACTTGTTGGGGGAAAAGAGGGCATGTGTTAGCCGAGAACATGTCTTAGGAGGAAACCGGGAAGCAACCGATAGTGAGCGAAAAAAGCAATGACGTCTATGAGTATCGACTTTGGATACCGTCGCAAACTCCAAGCAATTAAGGGTCCAACTCGCTTCACGAGTGTACTATTTACCACAGGGACACCGACATCTATCAAGACTGCAGCCATGAAACCACCTACCTGAAAATGCACCATGTGTAGGTAGGTAGGAAAGAAAGCAATGCCCTCAGCAACTTACCTATGTACCTTAGGTACCAATTGAAAAGTTACGAACATACATACGCAGTACTACAACAACTTGAAGACAGTCTGCAATCTATCCTTCTTCAGCGTCTGTGGTCAGAGTCTTACTAGGTAGGTATATAGAGATATCAAGATGAACAGATGGTTGGACAGTGGCTGGACACTGTTACGGAGCCAACGCTCTTTCTTGGTCTGCCGGCCGGCATATCAGACCAGCCTATGTGGAGAGGCCACATGCGGGCCACGGGCTGGGAGGAGGCCGGGAGCCAGACCTCCAGCTACGACGGATAGACCTGCGGATATATCATATGTCGCTACCGTTACAGACTTATCGGCACGGTACACATTGAAGGCAGCACCAATGACTGACAACCTGGACGATGCAAGATGGTAGCATCGGAACTGGGAGAGCCAAGGCGGAACGGAGTCTTTGAGTCCTGATCCTCCACATTCCTGGCCAGTGCAGGCTTAATTCTGCAGCCACACGGGCATTTTCCCAGGGCCATTGCGAGTCGATTCACCAGTCGATGCTTTCCATGCCTTTTTCCGGATCATCGTGGGCGATGATACCTTGGCTACCTAGCCGTTGAAAGGCCCTTCAGTATGCGTAGGTCCCTCACTGCGGCACCCAGCTGTCATTGTTTCAGCCATTGAATATTTCCTTGAATATGCACAGTGGCCGGCCAAAAGCTCGTCTTAGCACCAACGACATTATTCGTTGGGCTGGGAGACGGAATGGAATGAATGGTGGAGAGATCTATCAAGAGCGCGTCTCGGTATACGCAGAGCGCCCATTTAATCTGCACTTGGATTGCGGTATAGGGAGTAAACCAGAACCGAGATATCAACCTGGGTAGCTGAGGATGGGATTCTAAAGAGATCAGAATCTGGAGGTAGCACCTCCCTAGAGCTAAGCTTTCCTGCCCAATTTCCATATCAGAACTGTCCCCTGTCCCCGCCTTCACTACCATCTTCCATCCCCAATCCACCAACCCACACTAAATTACCTGTCCTGTCGGTGCCAGCCACTCACAATTAGCACCAGCCCCTGGTCTGGTGGTACCCGAGATACGTCTACTACTACTGTGGTACTTCCCCAAACGTACCATTAAGAGCACGTTGTCCTAGCTCATTGGTACGTACCTAAGTACCTGCCCCCAAATTGGGTACCTACATGAGGGTACCTGGCACTGCGCACCCCCTTTTGCCTTTCTGCTGCTTGAGCGCTCACACCAGACACGACCCAAGAGAGGGCATCTTAATCTTCCCACCCCCTACCAGTCGCACCTAATTTTTTTTTTCCCCTTCCCGGGACTCCCACGACCTTCCATCATCGTCATATCTTCATTGCTATCACTCTCTTTGCCGTGTCGACAGGCGATTCACAGTTTTACTTGTCCGTCGACCTACTATCCACTCCCAAGAAGTCCCTTCTTTTCGTGACGCCCATCACACCTCCAGCTTTCCGCCGACCGTTGTCTTCGGGTCTTCGGGTCTTTTGGTACGTACGTGCCCTGACAATTTCCAATTTCATGCGTTTCGACGGTGTCAACTGTTTCTGCTGGCGCAATTGTCGACTTGAGGTTTACGTTTCCATTCCTCGTCCGCGTTCGCTGTGAATGGTAGTTGTACTCGTCTATCGCGTCTGCGCTTCCTGGTCGGGAAGAATACCTACAACTACCTACCTAGCTACCTGCACCTGTCTTGCCCAAACACGTCCATCGCCCTTTCCTCTGGGCTCGCTGCCTTCTGAGATGAGCAATTGCTGACCCGGACCCTCCCACTCAGACTTTTCCCCTTCGCGCCTTCTCGACGGTCCATTCGTTCAGGTGTTGACACACTCCACGGTGTTCGAAATGGGTAAGCACCACTTTCAGTTACCTGAAATGGCCGGTTCTGCAGAGGAAACAAAACAACTGCAGGAGGCAACGACTCGAGGGAACCAAACAGCCCATCAAAAGGCAGAGGTTGTCCTCGTGCGACCGCCCTCCGCATTCTTGTCCAAAGCAAGACCACATATACACACATCCATATTTGCCCTCACGAACTCTCGCTGCCTGGAAACGCCCCTTATTAGTAGGGAGTGAGGTTACAGCCCTCAAAAATTGCGTCCGGCGGCCATGTCAAGCACAATACCTTCTTCCCCTTTCAAACTTCCCCCAACCAAGCCTCCCCCACCCAAAACCCGACCGAAGACCGCTCTTGAGGAGACCATTATCAGGATCCTGGAAAAGCCAAAGCCGAGTAAGGGTGGTGTTGCTACAACTCCCGTCTAGTCCTTGGGTTCCAGAACGAGTAGTCTCGTGCGAGCAAGGGAACATGGGTACCACCCATCGCTCCTGTAGCTCTCTGGTTACACAGGGCGGCTGCTGAAATCCGACCCCGAGCAAAACTTCTATCATATTATTAGAGTCTCCTTTCATGTCCCCGCGCAGTCACTGCATATTTGGAGTCGTAACAAATCATGGATGTACGCGAGAAGCTAACATGTGCACAGCTTCGAGCAGTTCTGCTAGCAACTCGCCTCCTCCGGCCAGGGCATCTCCTGCTCCCCAAGCACCCGTTGGTAAGTCGCCGTCATATCAAAAGCGAAAAATTCCGAAGGAGCAAACTCTAACCAGAAATTAGCTGTCCCTTCTGCAAATGAGGCCAGAAACATTGTGCGGAGGAAGCTGACCGGATATGTTGGCTTCGCCAATCTTCCGAACCAATGGCACCGCAAGAGTGTCCGCAAGGGGTTCAACTTCAACGTTATGGTTGTCGGTAAGTTCGCTTCTCCATACCTCGGGAGACAAGTCTCTGACTGTTGCGATTTCTTCCAGGTGAATCTGGGCTTGGAAAGTCTACGCTCGTCAACACTCTCTTCAACACTTCCCTCTACCCTCCCAAGGAGCGCAAGGAGCCTAGCCTCGACATCATTCCCAAAACCGTGACTATCCAATCTATCAGCGCAGATATCGAGGAGGCCGGTGTTCGGCTCCGCCTGACCGTTGTCGACACCCCGGGCTTCGGCGATTTCGTCAACAACGACGAATCCTGGCGCCCAATTGTGGACAATATTGAACAGCGCTTCGATGCCTACTTGGATGCCGAGAACAAGGTCAATCGCATGAACATCGTGGACAACCGGATCCATGCCTGCGTCTTCTTCATCCAGCCGACTGGCCACTCCCTGAAGCCCTTGGATATCGAGGTCATGAAACGACTCCACACCAAGGTCAACCTCATCCCCGTCATTGCGAAGTCGGACACCTTGACCGATGAGGAGATTGCCGCTTTCAAGCACAGAGTAAGTACAAGTCGTTGACTTTTCCCGGTCTTGATGACTGACGCGATGCACGCAGATCTTGCAAGACATCAAGTTCCACAAGGTCCAGATTTTCGAGGGTCCCCGATACGAGCTCGACGACGAGGAGACCATTGCGGAGAACAACGAGATCCTTTCCAAGGTCCCATTCGCCGTTGTTGGTGCTACTAACGAGATCACCGCAGCCGACGGCCGCAAGGTCCGTGGTCGTCGCTACCCATGGGGCGTCATTGAGGTGGACAACGAGGAACACTGCGACTTCGTCAAGCTCCGACAAATGCTCATCCGCACCCACATGGAGGAGCTCAAGGAACATACCAACAACAACCTCTACGAGAACTACCGGACCGACAAGCTCATCGCCATGGGCGTCTCGCAAGACCCGAGCGTCTTCAAGGAGGTGAACCCCGCAGTCAAGCAAGAGGAAGAGCGTGCCCTGCACGAGCAGAAGCTTGCCAAGATGGAGGCTGAGATGAAGATGGTCTTCCAGCAGAAGGTTGCCGAGAAGGAATCCAAACTGAAGCAGAGCGAAGAGGAGCTGTATGCCCGCCATCGCGAGATGAAGGAGCAGCTGGATCGCCAGCGAAACGAGCTCGAGGAGAAGAAGGCCAGAATCGAGAGCGGACGGCCACTCGAGAAAGAGCCGAAGAGGAAGGGCTTCTCGCTCCGATAAGCCAATCCCGAATCGCTCTGCCTTTACTCGACGAACCGTGTCTTAGTATCATGATGCCCATACAATACCAGCCCGCCGCTCTTGCTTCGATTCTTGTTTTCATCTTCTCCCTCTTAATCATTCCTAATATTCCGGAGGAAAATCATGGTCTCAGGGGCGGAAGAAGAGCCTTCACAGGCATACTTCGGGGAGGAGTGTGCCGAAAGATATATTTTCCACTACCAACAACAACGGACCGGTATTCGGGGAAGCTGATGTCTGAACCTCTGCGGATGCTTCCTCGTACGCTTTGGGCAGTCATCATTGGACCCGAGTCTCGGCTGACAAGCACCTTTCCCGCACTTCCACCAACATCAAACCATTTGCAGTTACGATACCATGGAAACGGCGAAGGCTGGGGGCCGATGGCGTCCAAGTCGGTTACAACGCCGCCCGGTCCATTCCTGGCAGTTCATCAACCTGCTCTGTGCCTGCTTTCGGATATCGTCTTCTAATCTACAACGACTGGCAAGAGGATGCTCGTTTACACATAACAACCAGTCTCGTCAAGAGTGGCCGGCAGCGTCGTGGCCCCCTTCTGGGTCCTCGCTTCTCTCATCACTGTTTCTCTCCAGGGGGTTGCGGATGTTGGATGCAAGGAGTGAGCTCTCGGTGTCTTGATTGTGCGAAGGAGAATGGCTTTCCGGGAAAAGGACTACACAGGACTTTCATCTTGTATTTTACAATCGCTTCTGCGGAGATTTGGGGTGGGCTTGTCTTCCTTGTGACCATTTTTCATCATACCCTCCCTGCCTCAACTTTTTCCCCAAACACACTGCCTCGCTTGGCTTATCGGATTTTCCTTGGTTTTTTACCCTTCTAGTTTTCTTAGCTGTGTCGCTTAGTCTGTTGTCGGAATCGAAAAGGATGGTGATAGCCTTGACTTGTTCTGCCTGCCTGTGACTGGAAGCGATTGATCATTTGCAGTAGAGGTACCTACCTATGGACCTTAGGTACCTACATCCTAAGGTTGACCAGGTGCTGTACTTCGTGACGTTAAAAAAACGTATGGTCGAGATCAGGCACGACCTGAACCTCAACCTCCAAAGGCATGCAGCACCAAGGTACCTATCGTAGAGAAACCCAGTTAGGCGGGTAGCCATATGTCAGTTAAAAACGTAGGTGAATGCCTCTGCTTTGCCAGTGGTGATACATCTATATATACATCTACCTCGTTTTACATGGACGCCAACCATCCGTGTTCTATACTAATAGTCACATCGACCTCTTCGCATACCACGGCTTCAAGATTGGAAAAACAGTCCAAACTGCCGTCCACTGCCCATCTTCTACCGTCCACGGCCACATTCAGCATGTGCAACGGCACAACCCAAAGCTGCCAGCAACCCGGCAATCCAAGCCTCCACCCTCACCTCACCGCCTCCGCAGGTACCAGTTGAAAGCCAGCTGACTGATGTCATGAGGGAAGGGCGTGGGAACCTCGGCGGCGCCTTGCCTCGCGACGGGGTGCCGTAGGTAGACGGCGGCGCATATATTCTGGTTGACCTCGAGGTAGCGCGGGATGAAGGCGAAGGGCGACATGTAGGGGCGCGGCCGCCAGGGCGTCATGTAGGGCTTGCTCGGGTCATACGGGTTCTCCGCCTCGCGTGCGATCAGCATGTCGAGGCGCTCCCGCTCCTCGGACGTCAGGGGGGGGCCGCCGTTCTGCTCCTTGGCTCCGTCGGTGGCCGACTCTGCTTCGGCGGCGGTGGCGGAGGCGGTGGAGGAGCTGATGTCGAGGGTCGAGAACAGGGTGGTCAGGTCGTCGACGACGCTTGACGACTGCGGGAGCTCGGCGTTGCGCCTGCCGAGGCGGGACATGGCGGACTTGACGTCCTGGGCCAGGCCGCGGAGGGCCTTCTTCTGCTTGCCTGAGAGGTCCCGGGACGGGTCCTCGAGGATCGTCTTGACGCGCTCCCGGAGGGCCTTGAGCTCTTCTTTCTCCTTCTCTAGAGCGGCGGCGTCATCGACGGGCTCCTCGGCCGACTGTGCGGCGTCCTCGGCTGCCTCGCTGCTTTCTGCTTCGGCCTCGGCAGGTGCTTCTGCCGACTCCTCGCCCGACTCGGAAGATTTCGTGGGCGCTCCCAGGGACTTCTCCTTCGTCTTCCCGGTTGCGAACATGACTCGCTCAATGTCGACTTGGAACATGTCTCCGGGGTTGAGGAGGTAACCCGGATATACCATCTGTAAATGACCGCGTTATTAGCCTTGCTCGATGATCCAAATGTTGATCGGCCATCCCCGAGTCGACAGATCGTAGGGGAACACGCGGTACCAACCTTCTTGCCATTGACCTTGACAGCACCGTGTATGACGAACTGCCGAGCTTGCCTTGCGCTGCTTGCAAAGAGTGCCCTGAAGACTGCAATGTCAAGCCGCCTCTCCATCGGCGCGAACGCCATGTGCATGTACGGCGTCCTCTCCATCCCGCTCTCGGACTGCCCGTCGCGTCCGGATCCCCGCCCGGCTGCCTGCTCGCTGCCGTCGTTCTTGGCCATGTATGCCGGGTCCATGTCGACGACGGAGAGCAGGCGCCGGCTGAACATGCGCTCCCACTGGCGCTCCTTGATGTGCTCGCCGTGGTAGCCGCGGGTCATGGCCTTGGCGGCCCATTTCTGCTGGAAGAAGGTCTTCTCAAAGGGCCTGAGCGAGGGTTCCCTCCCCAGGCGCGAGAGGATGTAGAGGTTGTACTTGTTCCAGGTTTGGCGGACGCGCTGCAGGAGAGAAGAGGTATTAGATTCTGATGATGCTCGCGTGTGCGGCCGTCAGGAAGGGAAGGGAATGCGTGGGCGCAAACGTACAGGCCGCTTCAAACCGTGGAACCTCAGTGTCCTCCGGAACTTCATGTTTGCTCTGGCTTTGCAATTGGCCCGCTACAATGAGCCAGACCTGCGATCTTAGCACCCTTCTGAAGTCGTCTCCTTTGCTGGCCTGCCCAAAAATTTCCAGATGCGCCTCACGTGAGAGCTCCGTGTATGACTACCAGGTGCAATTTCAGTGGAGACTAAGCTAGGTCGCTCGTGGACTAGTGGCATATGGGTCCATCGCCAAGGTGGGGTTTTGGCAGGTCTGAAGGCGGTGAGCCTTGTGAGAGGCTGCGCGAAAGTTTGGAATTGGCAGCCTCTTGATTTTTTTTCCCGCCATCTCGCGACAGAAATCTGCGAGTCGCTTCACAACTTTTTCAACGCACGCCGTTTCCCTTTCCGGAAGTTATTTGTGTGGATATTTTTGGTTCTGGTAAGCTTCAGTTTCTTTTCCCTCGGTGCGAAACCCCAATTCGCCAAAAAAATTTATCTTTCTGGCGGTTTATCGTCTTATAAAGATAGACTCACCTTGCCCATCACTACCCCGCCAACGCCGCATTTTTTTACTCTCTACAAACAACCATTGAATTATTGTCTCTGCCCCCTTAACTAGCCATCGCCAAGCAACCACTGACATCTATTGCTCCCTTCCAGCACTCACAGACAAAAGTTCCTCTCAGCTTTTTCTCACCCTGGTCCTGGTCAGGACCTCAATATCGCGCGGCCATGAGTCAACCCACGGCTGAGGCTGGGTCCGTGTCCGAGACCAAGACTCAAAACTCCGTGCCCGACGTCAAGATTGATGATGCTGTTGCCACCGAGACCGCCGCAGACAAACCAGCAAAGGACGGCGGTGCCGAGGTTACCACGGACCAGGTAGTCGAGAAAGGAGAAAGTGAGGCAAACGGCTCGAATGACGACAAGGCCAAGGATGGGAAGACCGACGAGGCGAAGGTGTCGGGCGACATGCTTAAGACCAAGGCTCGCATTGATCACAAGAACCGCTCCTCGAATCGGAAATTTGACCCTTCGGTGCTGCCCGAGACCGACGATCCTGACAAGATCCGCAATCAGGTACTTTCCAGTAGCCACGCTACATCTTACCAAGCTAATCCCATGTTTAGGTTGAGTTCTACTTTGGAGATAGCAATCTCCCCACTGATAAGCACATGTGGAACCTGACTGGCGGCGAGGAGAACAAGCCGGTCAGCCTCAAGGACATCTGTTCGTTCGGCCGCATGCGCTGCTTTAAGCCGTACTCGGCTGTCGTAGCTGCTCTCAAGGACAGCAAGACCCTCATCGTATCCGGGGATGAAGGCGAGGAGGTCGTCAAGCGCAAGAAGGCCTATGTTCCTGCCTCCGATCTGGCCCAAGCTCGGATGGCCGCCTCCGTCTATGTCAAGGGTTTCGGGGATGAGGAGCCATCCACCCAGTTCGAGATCGAGGCATTCTTTGCCAGATATGGCCCCGTCAACGCCATTCGTCTTCGCCGAACCCCCGAGAACCTCTTCAAGGGTTCCGTTTTCGCCGAGTTCCAGACAGAAGAGCTCGCCAAGAAGTTCCTTGAGCTCGATCCGGCACCGACATGGAAGGGCCATGAGCTCATGATCATGCCCAAGAAGGCCTACGTCACCGATAAGACCAAGAAGATACAGAGCGGCGAGATAGAGGCCTCGCACAATAGGCCGAAACGTTTCTACGAAGGAAAAGAAATCGGGGGGCGGGGCAACAACCGCGGCAGGGGGCGGGACTCGCGGCGCTCCGGAGACCCGGATGACTGGAAGAAGCGCCGGGACGAGGACCAGAAGGGCGGATTCAAAGATCGGCGTCATCAACGTGGCCGGGGTGGCCACGGAAGGGGTCGGGGTGGTCGGGGTGGCCGAGGTGGCCGCGATGGTCGTAATGGCCGTGACAACGGCGAGGAGCGCACTGAACGGGCTGATAATGAGTACGTGCTCTCTAAACCCATGTTTCAAAACACCATCACTAACGTATCTATAGCGTTAAAACCCCCGTCGTTCAGTCGGGCGACTCAACTGGAGAGGCCAAGGCTCAGGCAGTCGAGCAGCCTGCTAATGGCAAGCGTGCTCGCGAAGATGATGGCGGAAGCGAGCAACCTGCGAAGAAGGTCGATACCAAGGCTGCGGAGGTCTCGGCGGATGCCTCTTAAGCTCAGAACCTGTGTTGATGGCACCGCGTTCCGAGTTTGTCCCCCCACAACAACATTGAACTATCCAAAGGGATTAAAACAGCATTTTCAGGTCTTTGAGTTGTAAATTATCATGGCGGCGTTTGATATTGGCTCGGTATGCTCTCGCGGTAGACGAACCTGCTAAGTTTCATTTGCTATTGATCGTCACAGTCGGCGGGGTGGCCATGGTTCGTCACTATGACTCTCTTTCGAGCGGTGGTAGATACCCAGGTTCTTATCGACTAATAGGCATGTCGCGGAATAGGATTGGTCATCTTGTCTTGCAGGGATAGCAGGAACCTGGTTCTGTCCTGCTTCGTCTCCGATGGCCGTCTTGTCCCCGCATTTTGATGCAAGTGGTCGTTATCTCCGCTCAAACTCCGATGCGGTTCCGTCATTAGCGTGCTGCTTAAGCTCAACCGGTGCTTAAGCTCAACCGTCTCGGTGCCGAATCGCCGGAACTGGGGCACTGGGAACGGCCATGGCCAGTGACCTTCCTAAACCTGCGACTTGCTAGTCTTAATATCTACTGTAGCCTCTTCCTAGCAGCGAATCATTAGCGAGTCTTTGCTTGACCCGTTGGAGAGACTCCGTACATCGGTCAACTTTCAAACTGACGAGGAGGCGAGGTAGGCAAAGTGCGAATCCTAGCAGCAGACTTTGACTCGCTGCTGCGAGTCACCCTTCCCCAGTTCTCGGCACTTGGTAGCCGTCTCTTTCCCCGTAATTATGCTGTTTATCTTTTTTTCTCTTTTATCTTGACAGGAGTGCTTTCCGTTTCTCTTTTTTTTATTCTGTTCGTATTGTTTACCCATGTTCCGGACGAGGGTGACTCTCCTGAGCGATGGCAGCCTCAACACCTTCGCCAGATCTTGAGGGGTCATCGTCTTCTCCCGCAGATGGGCACTCGCAAAGGTCGAGAAATGCCTCAATTGGCTCGGAGGAGGCGTCGGGGAACCCTGAACATGAGGACGCGGAAAATGAAAAGAGGCACTCTGACGAGTCGCTGTATCCGCCCCACGACGGCGTCAAGGAGAGAGACAGGGACTCGGACACGGAGCGTTCGAGTGAAGTTCGGTGCCCGCCGATAACAAGGACTGTCTCGGAGGTGCACGACGGCATTGAGAGCCGGAGGGATGTGGAAATAGGGGATGGGGTCGAGCAGCAAGCTGGTGTCGGGAGCCAGGAAGATCCGAATCTAGTCACTTGGGACGGGCCAGACGACCCCCAGAACCCGAAGACGTGGACGATGAGGAAGAAATGGGCAGCAGTCACCATAGGTGAGCAAATAATCAAGCAAACGTCAAAAGTTTGTACGAGTCCCAACCGTGACTCGGCGCGAAGGAAGAAGACCAAACCGCTAAATGACCCTTTACTGGGTTGGTGGTGTAGTGAGCCTCTTCACTCTGATCTCACCCTTAGGGTCCACCATGATCGCCCCGGCCCTCACCGCGATCGGCCGCGACCTCTCGATCCCGAGCGCCTTTGACCAGGCCCTAACGCTCTCCATCTTCATCCTCGCCTACGCCGTGGGGCCGCTCTTCCTGGGCCCCATGTCGGAGCTCTACGGCCGGGTGCCCGTCCTGCAACTCTCCAACCTCGTCTTCCTGTTCTTCAACCTCGGGTGCGGCCTGGCGCAGACCAAGGGCCAGATGATGGGGTTCCGCTTCATGGCCGGGCTGGGCGGGTCCGCGCCGCTGGCCATCGGCGGCGGCGTGCTGGGGGACCTCTTCACGGCGGAGCAGCGCGGGCGGGCGATGAGCATTTACAGCCTCGCGCCGCTGCTCGGGCCGGCGATAGGGCCGATCGCGGGCGGGTTCGTGACGCAGCGCACGAGCTGGCGGTGGGTGTTCTACGCGACGACCATCGCCGACGCCGTGATTCAGCTGGCGGGGCTGTTCCTGCTGCGGGAGACGTTCGCGCCGGTGCTGCTGGCGCGCAAGAGGGCGCGGCTGGTGCGCGAGACGGGCAACGCGGCGCTGCACACCGAGTACGACCGGCCCGATAGGACGGTGACGCAGACGCTCACGAACGCCCTGACCAGGCCGTTCCGGCTGCTCGGCACGCAGGTCATCGTCCAGGTGCTGGCGCTGTATCTCATGTTCCTGTACGGCCAGCTGTACCTGCAGCTGAGCACGTTCCCGCGCCTGTGGGAGACAAAGTACGGCGAGAGCGTCGAGATCGGCGGCCTCAACTACATCTCGCTCGGGCTGGGCCTCTGGCTGGGCTCGCAGATCTGCGCGCCACTGCAGGACCGCGTGTACGCGTGGATGAAGCGACGCGAGGGCGTCGAGGTCGGGCGGCCCGAGTTCCGCACGCCCATGATGATCCCGGGCGCGGTGGCCGTGCCGGTGGGCCTGCTCATCTACGGCTGGGGCGCGCAGTACCGGGTGCACTGGATCGTGCCCAACATCGGGGTGGCCATCTTCGCGGCCGGCACCATCATCGGCTTCCAGTGCATCCAGGGCTACCTCGTCGACTCGTACACGCTCTACGCCGCGAGCGCCGTCGGCGCAGGCACCGTCCTGCGCAGCCTCGCCGGGTTCGGGTTCCCACTCTTCGCCCCGCAGATGTACGACCGCCTCGACTACGGCTGGGGGAACACCACCCTCGCCCTCGTCGCCGTCGTCATCGGCTGGCCCGCGCCGATCCTGCTGTGGAAGTATGGCGAAAAGCTCCGCAAAAGAAGCCCGTTTGCCGCGGGCGGGTAGGGTGTTGGGGGGTCACGTATAGTATCAGGCCACACGCCAATACTGAACTATGGAATCTGTACAAATCTAATCAGTCCTCAGCAACAATCCGTACGAGCTTCTAACTAGCCTACTCAAAGCGCCAAAACCATGAGCCCTCGTATCTTCTCCTATGCTCTTTGTTGACATGTTATCTACGAATATGGGAACCCACACTCTGCATCTTGGATGAATCAGTTAGTATTTGCTATCATCCAGCTTAGTGATGGTGAATATATCAGCGGGGTGATGCTTATAGCCAGGGTGAAGCCATATAGTTAGGATACAGGGCAGAAGGAAAGGAGCTCACTCTAAAAGTTAGGTTCCTAGCAGTTCAACTTAGCCGTAGGATCAAGAGGAACATCACAATGTTTTGGTTGTCCGCATGAGGCCCCAAGAACGAGGCGTCTCGCGGTTTCTGGCGCATAACAGCCATCAAAGCTGGGTTCGATGTAAACAGACCATACCTTACTCTCTTCTTGCCCTTCCTTGCCTCCTCATGTTGCTCCAGGCATCGCTAGATAACGCTTGCAGGCTCTCGGCTTGTAGTCACAAGAGATGTCTAAAAGCGTGATGTTCTCCGAACGGCAACTAGGAGGATCTGGACCGCACGAAGTCCTTCGGGACTCCTTGACAAGGACTCTCTCGCCATGGTGGTCCCGCAGTTTGCTCAGGGGCTCCCGTTCGCCCGTCATATCGGTGTTTAGTCAAAGGATATCGCACAGAGGGGAAGTAGAACCACTTATTGTCCAGTTTCGAATGTCGCGTGCAAGTCAATTTGTTGAGGGTACTTGTGAGCGATCCGCAGTTTCGGTGGTATCTACGTTGTGACGACAGTTAAAGGAATCCATACGGGTTCCTCGATTTGAGTCGCGCGGAATGGTCCTATCGGATCAGGCCGTTGGGATTTTGGCAACAATCCAGGTACCCAGTTAGTTGGATGAAACTGTCGAATACTGGGCATTGGCTGGACTACCTAGTCTGGAACCCCATTTTCTTTTGCCTTGGCCTCCTCATACATGTACTTGATGGTGTCCCTCCAACTCCGTACGATCCATCTTTCCCATCATACCTCATGGTCTAGTTATCATTGCCCTGGCCAGTGAATACCGGCAAGCGCTGGGAAACCTGTTCCCACGACTCAGTGCCATCTACCAGATTCCTAACGGCTTGGACAACATCATCTTCCGACCCTCGAACCTGCACCGTGGTATCCCGTTCTCGAAGGGTAATCGAGCCGTCTTCCACTGTGTCAAAGTCGATGGTAATGCCCAGCGGCGTCCCAAGTTCATCATTTCTCGCGTATCTCTTGCCGATAGATGCATTGGATGAGTCGACGTTGTTGGAAATCCCCAAGGAACGGAGCCGGGCCGAGAGCTTGCGGACCAGGGGTGCAAATTGAGGTTGGGCAGAGAGCGGAACGATAAGAACTTTGGTTGGCGCTACAGAAAGGGGCAATGACAACACCTTTGGGAGTCTCAGTAAGTCAAACTGCAAAAGAATATCGACGGGTCAAACTTACCGCTCTTGCAGTGTCATTGGGTCGATGCCAGTATACCTGCTCCAGAAGGCTATACAAGATACGCCCAACACCGAACGAAGGCTCGATAACATTTGGGGTGTATTCGCGGGTGTTCCGAGTACGAGTCACCCAGGAGATGGTCAGAAGGTCGCTTGAAAGCTCCACAGAGGTTCTGCCATCGGACAAAGCTGGCGTGCTAATGGTCACGATCCCCTTTTCTTGGAGCTCGGAAGCCAAGCTCGTGAGGGAGGTTTGGTCAAGGGCGTCAACGGCTGTCTGGATAGCCTTCGCATTTTGCTTAAAACGCGGCCCAACAAGTTTCTTGTCGAGCGTCGCCTGCCATTCTTCCACCTTGACCGGCTCAGCCAGTGCCTGCTTGACCACCAACGGAGTGCCCGTGTACTTTGAATGCACTGTCAAGTCGTACGCACTCCGGTCAGCACAGCCGACGCATTCGATCCAGCCATAGCTCGTGAGAAGCTCAGCATCCCAGCAGTCACACGCGTAGTGAGCCATCTCATTTGCCAGATGTTGCCTAAACCGGATTTTTGAAGGATCAACTCCAATCTTGAGAAGGAACAACAGGACTCTTCCAAGGAAGTAGCCAAGCGTTTCGTTGTCAACGGTCTTGGACTTGATTGCTTGCTCCACTGTCATGGTCTGAAGCGTTGTCTTGCCAGAAAGCTGCGTCTCCTTGTTGAGCAGAGGCAATTCAACTTCGCGGACCTCATCAAACCGCGGGTGGTCCTTATTCTCGGGGTCGACGTAATGCTCAATCTCGGCCATCAGGAATTCTCTCACTCGGAGAAGGCCAGACCTAGGCGAAATCTCGTTTCGGTAGGATTTGCCGATACTGGCAGAAGCGAACGGCATTGAGTTTTGGTTATAGTCGAGCAGCTTCTTGAAGTTCAAGAACTGCCCCTGAGCGGTTTCCGGGCGAAGGTAGACAGGAGCAGCTGCACTTGGACCAATGGTGGACTTAAACATCAGATTGAAGGGTATCGGTGGGTTAACTTCGCCATTGCCATCTGGATTTCGAATATCGAGTCGCTTGATCAAGTCGCCGAGGTCGTTACCGTCGTAATTGTCGATCTGCATTAACGGGACAGGGTCAGCGATTGGCAGAACAAGGGACAGCAAGAGCGAGGCGGGAACTTACCTGGGCAAGGATGTTTTTGTATTCGGCGATTGTTGACTCCTCCAGCTTAGGAGAGTCCTTCGCGGGTCCATTTACCCCGCGCGAGAGTCGTGATTCGAGTACGCCCTCAACGAGATGATCAGCTCGCAGATATTCACCCTTGACGGGGTCTTTGCACATCCAATCGGCAAACTTGTCAACGTGGCCGCTGGTCTTGAGAACGGCTTCTGGGGTGATGACGGTGCAATCCAACTCCAGCATGTTCTCCTCGAGCACAAAGTGCTTTCTCCAGGTATCCACGAGGTTGGCCTGCAGGGCGCATCCTGGCGGGCCATAGTCGAAGAGGCCACGGTTATCGCCCTTGAAGTTGGCGGAGAGTCGATATATTTCGAATGCCTCGGTGAAGAACAACCTCCGCTTCAAAACCGACTCAAAGAGCGGCCGGTCGAACTTGTCGCCCTTCAGGGTAGTCATGTGAGGAGCCATGGCTAATGCACAATGAATGAAGTTGGATTATCGAGAAAAGGCACAGCGCGGGGTTTGAAGTTGGTGGGGGTGACTCAGTCAGGTCCCTAGGTCACGGCCCGAACTACCAGCACGGATAAAAGAAGACCCGAGTTTGCGTCAGATCCATCCCATCTGGACGGGGATCCTGGAACTTGGAAATGATGAATCTAATTGGCCAGAAGACAAACCTAGTCGGAGGTAATCACGATTTCATGAATGGGACAGGCCCAGCGTTTCTTATTATTACGCATCGCGTATCTCAAGCAGATCCAAGGGCCTAGCGTCTAAGCTCACGCACCTTTAACTGCAGAAAATAGGGACGTCGGCCTTACTGCCAGCACTCCTTTGGGGGAGAAGTTGGTGACATAAACTTCGAGGCCTGAACGATCAACACTAGGTATAGGTAAACCTTTATTTTACGGATCCGTATCGGGGCGAGCATTGGCTATTCGAGCAGAGATATTTGAAGGTGATACATTCCAAAGTTCCCGTGGCAACAGCGCTTATTTTGAAAACGAATAACAGTAAAGTCAACTCCCACCTTCTACTCGTAATATATCACACCGTTGGCCCTAACGTAGACATGGATCTTGGCATGGTCCAAGCTTTTTACCCAGACTGCAACACATCTAAAAGAGGGATTGCGGGTAAGAAATGGAGATGAGGGACGGATAGGTTTCACTTATAACCGATTCTTGGTGGTCCTTCACTCCTCTAGATGCCTGGAGCTATCGAAGAATCGACGAAGGACTTGTGGAGAATCGGCGAGGAACATGGCCCCTTCCGAGGGAAAGATTTGGGGCAAAGGAGGCCGACCACTTGATCTTGTCTGACTAGTAAGTAGAATGCCCGACTTCGTGAGCTCTTCCCTCCTTTTCGCTAGGAGACTACCTAGTCTCCGGCCAATTCAGGTTCTGGAAAGATGAGTAGGAAGGTAGAAGAAGTCTGAAATACCGCCAATTCCGGTCAAGCACGGCAGACGTTTTACCAACCAGACTTTGGTTTCGGCATGTGCATGAACAAAGCGTGCTTTAGCTCTTCCCTAGGCTGCGCCTCAACCTCCAGCTCTCCGAACGAAGGCCGAACTCCCGCGTGATATATGGACAGAATTAGCAATATCAGATCTCCGGCTGTCAATACATTTCCGGCTGACCTACGGTCTCTCAAAACCGATGGGTTGGTTCAGAGCGAGCCTCTCCTGGGGCCTAACACCATATATATCTCCGGTCTCATACTTCGCCTGCACCGGTGTGAATTGGCAAGTTGCTATTGCATACCTTACCCAGGTATCAATCGCGGGGTGTGAGCTGTGCTGGGCGGCATTTGAATGGCGGGATCGACGGGGATCAGCGTAGGAGAGCTGCAGGTGGCACGTGCACCAAGGCTCCACTGGAGCCAGATGATGAACCGCGACATGCCATCCAAGAGTTCTCGCATTTGTCATGAGGCGTTCGGGTCTGCATTTCGACCAATTCCAGCCATCCGCTAGCGTCTCTAACATGTCTAGGCCTCTAGAGGCGTTGTCCCTAATTGACCACTCATCGTTTCTGGGGTCTTGGCTTAGTATAGCGGAGGTATAACCTTAAATCGGGCGCGAAAGCGCCACCCCTCACCAGTCTCGCACCTAAGAAACGACTCCAAACACGGGGAGAGACGACCCAAATATAGCGCACACATGGATCCCAGCGCCCCTCCTCTCCTGGAATTTCTAGTTCTTCTTTGATTGAATGCTGCTTCGCAGGCCGACGCAGCCGTTGATGGTCGCACAGCGCTCTTCAGTACCCTCAAATTGGCCCGTTGCTGTTTCCGAAGTTGACCGAGTCGGCACAATGCCACCATCGTAACGAGCTGGAATAGCGGAACTCGAACTCGATATTTCCCCTGATCACGTACGCGTAGCCGACACTCCCTTTCAGGCATCCCACCGCCTGAACCCCGACCTTTCGAACCCCGACAACTTTTAGTACACCATCCACCCGACTCTACCGCCATGACCGGTCGGGACGAGCAGAACGCGCCACCTCCGGGCCAAGCCCATGAGAGGGGCGAATCCTCGGAGAGCCCCTCGCTGAGCAAGAAGAAATCAAGGCGCGGAACCGATCCCGCCAGCCAGAAACGGAGGTGTGTCAGCACCGCTTGTATCGCGTGCCGCAAGAGGAAATCAAAGTGCGACGGTGCCCTTCCGAGCTGCGCCGCATGTGCAAGCGTCTATGGCACCGAGTGTGTGTACGACCCCAATTCCGACCATCGCCGGAAAGGTGTATACCGCGAGAAGACGGATGCCATGAAGGTCCAGAGCTCAACCCTTCAGGTCATTGTCGACGCCATCCTGAACGCTGCCGAGGAGGATGTCCCGGCAATTGTGAGGAGGATCCGCACTTGCGAGAACCTGGATATCGTTGCCGAGTCGATATTGAAACACGAATTTGCCAGCAGCGACGACGGCTACGATGATAGCACTGAGGACCAGTACACCACAGACCTTCCGGTCGAGGGTGAGAGGGAACTTGCTCGTAAAATGGGCGAGCTGCGGCTTGAAAACGGGTCCGTCCGGTTCATCGGCGGCACATCCCATCTCATATATCTGGGAGATCCCGTCGACGTTCCGGACGAGCCTCAGTCCGAGAGCTACAGGTCAGACGAGGACCCTGTCACCAGCTGGTCCGAAGTCACCAAAGATGCCCAGTTTGTCATTCACCTCCTGAACATGTACTTCGACTGGCATTACCCCTATTTCACCACCCTATCCAAGACCTTGTTCTACCGAGACTTTCTAAAAGGGCGGCCCAGAGCACCGCCCAAGACGCCAACATACTGCTCATCCCTTCTTGTGAATGCCATCCTAGCCCTGGGCTGCCACTTCACTGGTGCCGCCGGCGCCTTCGCAGTTCCCGGGGATAGTCGGACCAAGGGCGACCATTTCTTTGCAGAAGCAAAGAGACTGATCATGGAGAACGACGAGTACGCAAAGCCGCGGCTTACCACCGTCCAAGCTCTCGCACTGATGTCTGTGCGCGAGGCTGGCTGTGGATGTGAAGCCAAGGGATGGGTGTACAGCGGTATGAGCTTTAGGATGGCGCAGGATATCGGCCTCAATCTGGATGTTGGCGGCATTGCGACGGATAAGGACCCGCTAGACGAACAGGAAATCGACGCCCGGAGAATTACATTCTGGGGTTGCTTCGTGTTTGATAAGTGTTGGTCCAATTATCTCGGGAGACTACCTCAACTGCCTTCGAACTCGTACAACGTACCGAAGTACGACGTCTTTCCGGACGAGGACGCCGAGCAATGGTGCCCATACACCGATGCGGGCTTTAATCTCTCGGCGAAGCAGCCTTCGAGGACAAGAGCAGTCGGTTTGCAGCTGGCGAAGCTCTGCGAGATCAGCAGCGATCTGCTCCTGTTCTTCTACCACCCAAGCCATATCGGTAGATCAAGCGGAAAATCCATCGAGCTCAAGAAGTTGAGCGAGGTCCACCGACGTCTCGAAGAATGGAGGAAGGAGTTGCCAAAGGAATTCGAGGCGAAGGAAGGGCAACTGCCTAATGTGATCTTGGTGCAGTAGGTTTCATGCCCTGATTCTTTCAACTTGCCTACCTACACCTACACCTTGCAAGGCTAACAGCGGCTACAGCATGTTCTTCCACCTGCAGTACATCCACCTTTTCAGGCCTTTCCTCAGATATAGCCCTGCTGCATCACCGTTACCTGCTCACGTATCACCTCGGAGGATATGTACGGCCAATGCGGCGGCCATCTCAAAACTAATGCGCCTTTACAAAAAGACGTATAACCTGAGGCAGATCTGCAATATTGCTGTGTACATGGTACACTCGGCCTGTACCATCCACATGTTGAATCTACCGGAAAAAACGGCGAAACGGGACATTATCCATGGCGTCAAGCATCTGGAGGAAATCGCAGAAGATTGGATCTGTGCCCGACGGACACTCTCCATCTTGAGCGTTCTTGGCCGGAAATGGAATGTCGAACTACCAGAGGAAGCGTCAGCTGTGCTGCAAAGAACGGACGAAAAATACGGCACCTTCAGCACCTCAGATGTCCCATCTCCAAATAGGACCATGCCAACCCAAACGCCTTCACCCCCTGCTTTCCACGCCTCGTTGTCTGCGAGACAGGAGCAATACAGTGTACCGGACCCGCACAGTCAACCCGCTCCGCCGCCGGTGCCTGCAGAACCACCAGCCGCAACGATGTTCCCCGAGATGCCTGGCCACTTGGCCCTGACGGGGCAGCCCCCCAGCATGCAGAGCCAAGTCTCGAGATCGATGACTCATCCTATAAGCACCTCGGGCATGTCAATGGCTGACGCCCGCTCCACGGTCAGTTCATGGACGATGCCCACCGTCCCCCAGGCGATCCCAAGCTACATGCGATGCTTCGCACAACCCCACAGCGGCACTCCGTCGACGCAGGATTCCCGGACCGTCACACGCCAGGTCAGCCCGAGCTCCATTTACGCGATCGATGGCCAAGACTGGTACTTGAAGGACGGGGTGAACTGGCAGCAGAACTTCGAGACGTGGAACATGGGGGCGTCGAGCAACGCGGGGAATGCCTTGTCCAACCCGGACCCGAACGCGTCCTTGTTCACGTTCGCGGGGTTCAGGGGCGATTGTGATGGCGCTCTCGACTCGTTGAACAACATGAGCAATATGGACCACTTGCCTGGTCTGGATTAGTAGCCGGAGCAACGGGTTCCAACATACATGCAATGCGAGGGTTACCTTTGCTACTTATTTATCCTTGGGTAATGCGTGTATCTATGTGCGGTTACGGGGGAAAGGATGGTTAAGGGGTTAGGGGTTTAAGGGTGGCGCAAGTAACCAACAAAACGGCTGAGATTTGAATGATACACAAATGAGTTACTGGCATATTTCATGATATACAATGGCTGGACATAATGACATCTCGATGAGTCCTAAATCAGACCAAATTCCAGGCACAATAAAGATCAACCAAGATACCTTCAAGCAATCAGCTCTCCTCCTCCCTCTCCATCTCCTTCAACACCCCCCTATACACCTCCGCCTCCGCCTCCATATCCCCCATCTCCCTCATCCCCCTCTCCGCATCCTCGATACTGGGGAACCCACCCCCAGGCGTCGGCCTCTCCCCAAGCCGAGCCCTGACCGCCGCCGCCGCCGCAGCCACCACCTCGCGGTCCCACAGCGCCCCGCCGACGTTCCCATCCTCGCCCGCCATGCCCTCGTACAGCTCGTCGCCCGGCCCCTCGGCGGCGCCCTGCTGCCGCTCGGTCGAGCCGCGGATCCGCGGTATCACGTGCACGTGCACGTGCGGCACCGTCTGGCCGGCCTCGGCGCCATCCTGCAGGGCGATGTTGAAGGAGCCGCCGGCCGAGGTGGGGTCGGCGGCGGCGGGCGACGATGATGCCGACGAGAGGAAGTAGTGGCGCGCCAGCATGCGCTGCACGCGCTGCACGGCTAGCATTAGGTCCGTCAGCTCCGGGGGCGAGAGGTCCGTTAGGCGCTTGTGTGGGCGAGAGGTGCACACTAGGACGTGGCCTGGTAGGAGGGGCTTGAGGTTGACGAGGGCGAAGGTGTGGGCTGTTGTTAGGAAGACCTGGTGGTACTGTTAGTGCTGTGAGATAGGTAGGATGGGTTATGGTGCGTTGGGGCGGCTTGAACCTGTTTGGTCACTTCGTAGGGCCCGAAATGGATCGGGTTCTGGGGGGAGGTCATCTTCAATCGCACTTGTGTCTGTTTGATGGCGGTTGGGGGTTTGAGACGTCTCGCCAGTTCGCCTTTCAATCGGATCATGTCCTGAGCCTGTGGGAATCCAGAGCACCTTTGCTGAGGATCTGCTGTTGCCCAGGAGGGTGTGGAGTTAATAGCCTTGGATTTTAGCAGGTTTGGAGCTGGGCTGGGCCGCAACCTGGAATACGTCAATGACGGGGTTCATTGGAAACGGCTGTGGCCTTGTTGTCTTAACTATTTGTTTGACCTTCTTTTTGGACTGGCAACCAGATCACACAAAATGAGATTCAATTGAAGGTTTGAGGAGTTCGCCAATCGCTTCATTGAATTGTAAGGCGTCTATCGCCTGTGTCAGACCTAGAGAGATATACGAAATGCATGAACCAACAGTGACTACACAATGCATGGGCAAAACAAGTTAAACCCCTCCAACTCTCATGTATCCCCTTCAATGTCTATGAACATCAGCTCCTGAGAACACCTTGCCTATATGCAGCAAAAAAAAGTCGTTCAACATATTTATGTGCCCACTACTTTACAAACCTATGACCGCAGCCCGCGTATTAGTTCCTCCTCCTCAAATATGTCCTCCTCGGCGTCTGTATCTGGGCGTTGGACGGCTGACGGAGTCTCCTCCTCCTCTTCCTCTTCCTCCATATAGACTAACGCACGTTATTAGCAAAAGTAAACAAAATGATGCCATCATTCGCAACCCGACTTACCATGTGGCTTGATGAGGAGAGAGGCTACTAGCACCCCAATAAAGAGGACAGCCAGCAGGACGAAGAATGCTTGCGGGAAGAAATCCACCGTCGCGGCGTACAGCCCGTTGAAGAGGATGGGCGAGATGACCCTGGCGAGAGCATGGAGAAGGCCGATGGCCCCTAGAAGCCGACCCAGGCGCTCCGAGGGCACATGCTTACTGAGCGAGGACTGGATCGTGGTGGAACCTAGGCCGCCGAACGCAGTGATAATGGCACAGAGGATAAACAGGGGCTCGGTCCGCACGAAGATGTACCCGCAGATGCCGATGACGTCGGACAGCAGGGCCGTCCGCAGGACCCAGACGTCCAGCTCGTCCGCGCCCGCGTTCTTCTCGATGACGGGGCCGGGAGACAGCCGCGCCTTGCGGGCCGCCGGCCGGGTGCGGAAATACCAGTTTATCACAGGGAAGATTACCATGAGGACGAGGAAGCGGACCGAGGACACGAGCGAGATGAAGCGGGAGCTCTCCACGGTGCCCCAGCCGAACACGAACTCGCTGTAAAGGATCGTGATGGTCCCCATGCTCATGACGCAACCGAGCAGGATCATGTCGATCACGGCAAGCGTGACTAGGTTGCGCCGGACCTTTGCGTTTTTGGCACCCGGGGGAAAGAGGACCTTCAGCGGCGCAAAGGGATTCGCCGTCTTGATGGCGTAGAGAGCCTTGCCCAGCCCGGCTCCTCCGAAGGGGAGAGCTCCGAGATCCGCAACCCAAGCGGGCGGTTCGGCCTCCATTTCTAGCTCCTTGGCAAACTTCTCCCTGGCGAGGAGCTGCTTCCGCTTCGATAGCGACTCGGGGATCACGAAGAAGATGAACAGGATGAAGACGATGTGGCAGCCCAGCGTGATGTAGAAGATGGACAGCAGCGAGCCCGTCCTCTTCACAAAGTATGCGGCCAAGAGTGGCCCAAATGCCAGTCCGGAGAAGAGGCAGGCGTGCAGGTATGATATGGAGACACTCCGCTTCGAGGGCGGCGTGCAGTCGCTCGTGTACGAGTGGCTGAGCACGCTCCCGGCGGTGAACGAGCCAGTGAGCCCGTCAAAGGCAGCGCCGAGGATCATCCACTTGTAGCTAATGACGTGGGGATACTTGGCAGCCAGGATGACGATAATCTCAGCGCCCACACCTCCGAGAGAGCAGATCACCATCATATTCTTCCGCCCGTAGCGATCGGACAAGGAGCCGAGCTTCGGAGCCGAGTAGGTAGTGAGGATCCCGATGATGACATTTAGGACCAACGTGAAAGTTGCCACGTCCCGCTGTACGGCGGGGATGCGACACTGCGGATTGTCGCCGCCGAGGATGATGGGCGCGAACTGGAAGTTTGGATCGGTGTCGGCGCGGTCGGCGAAATGCTGGTTGCAAACGAGATCGATGATCCTATCGCCCGTCAACCCAAGCGGCTCACCAACACCGCGACATCGGGGAACAAACGTACAGGTTCAACTTTGGCACAATTGAACCTCCAAAAGCGAGGGTGAACAGAGCATAGGGGCCTAGTAGCCACCAGACCTAAGAGATTGCGTCTTGTGAGCACGGCATCTTGCAGATTGTTGGTCGCTGGTGTGTAATGCAACTATATGTGGTTCCGGCGACATACCGATGGCCTCCTCCAGGGCGGCAGGTGTGCAAAGTCTGGGTCATCAGTCCATGCATCTCTCTTGCTGGGAATGGGATCATCGCCGCCGTCGTCGTCGTGGGCGCCAGCACCCAGCAATGTCGTCTCCTCCGTCGACTCGGGCTCGTCGCGGTATCTTGCTGCAGCTGCCATCGGGAATCCGGTCTCTGATCCGACAATGCTCTCTTGCCTTGACGCTGCGTCGGAAAAATCACTGTCGTCGGTCGCCATCTTCGCTAGCAGATCGGCTCCGTCCGGCTCTTATAAGGTTTCCCAGACGAACCAGGGGGTCTGGAGAGTGGAGGGGGTGGGATTTAGGACCTTATCAGCGAACCCCCCGCCCCCGCAAGGTTAAGAATGGGAGGGAGGTGGTACGTAATAGGACACGCTGCGCGGAATGGACAGCGCATTGGCACGGCCGATGGCGCAATGTTTTCTTTGGCTTCGAGGCAATTAGGAATGGCTGGCTTCTGGAGGATGTCTAGACTGACGCCAATGAATGGTTCCGAACGAATTGTCGGCGTTCCAAGCAGCCAAGATCTCCAGTGTCCGGGTGTCATCGATCCAGCATTGGATTTATAAGCTCGGGACTCGGCATGTCGACCGTCCGTGGACGTTGACCCCTGCAGGGAAACCCACCTCAGGTACCTACCCAACCAGTTACCCAGCATCGTCGACGACCCACGCACCCTGTGGAGTGGGAAAAGTGTGGAAACAGATCATCAATAGGGCTGGCCAGAATCTCAGCAAAGTTATTCGTGGAAATGTGAACCAACGTGGGATTCAGTAACTGGCCCTGTCTGATATTGTTTTGTCTACCCGACAACGTGGAGATTTTATACACGTCCTTGTCCATCACTCTACGCAGTAAATATCGTACAGGGGCTTGGCTTGTCAGTGACCAGCCAAGGTTTGCTGCCCAGCGAAGAACTTCTTCGACTCGTGACATCTCTCGCTCTTGCAGCCCGGGCATCGCAGCTCCATTTGCAACGAGCACATACTGCCGCTTTCCAGATGTGATTTGGCGAGGCTGGCCAGACCCTCAATGAAAACGGGGTTGCCATTCAGGCTTTCCACCCTCTTGACTGTGTCTCGGTGTCCCGATTCGCCAATTACCTCCTCATCGAGCTCGAAGAGCGTCTCTATGTGATCCGACGTGAAGGCGATCGGGATCAAGACCAGATCTTTCTGGCCTTTTGCGATGTACTCCTCCACAGTCGTCGCTGTTTGTGGGCCGAGCCACGGCTGAGGCCCTACTTGAGATTGGTAACACAAGCGGTATGGGTTCGCGAAGTTCAAGCGCTGCATGACAGCATAGACCGTAGCCCCAACCTCGGCGGGATACGGGTCGCCTTGAATATCAAGGTTAGCATAGCCGTATCGGTGCACTACTAAACTCAATGACCGGTCATACCTCTGTTGATCACGCTCATGGGCAGGCTGTGGGCGGAGAACAGCAGCACGGCCTTCCTCCGGCGTTCCTCGGGATACTCTGCCAGCTTCTCCTCAATGAGCCTGGCAAAGGCTTCGATAAGGCCGGTGTGAGCTGGCCATCTATCGATGACGCTCCATCTTATGGTGCCGTCCCTGCCATCATCGAGAGGGCCCGACTTGCCCTCAAGCCTTTGCCTCCATTTCCACAATTCGTTAAGACTGCTGCCCGTTGTAGAGCACGAATACTGGGGGTACTGGGTAAACGCGACGGCTCGGCCGCCTTTTCCATTGCCAAAGCCGTCTGCGAGCAGCTTGTGATACATCTCCTCGGTCAGGGGGTCGGCGTATCGGAATGCGACATATGGCTTGTGAGGTGCGGTCTCTGGCGAGATCTTGTCCAGTATCTTGCACATCTCCGCAGATTGGTACTCGGACCACTTCCGAATCGGCGAACCCCCGCCTATTGCGGCATACTGCTTCTGTATCTTCGGCGTGCGGCGTTTGGAGATGAGCGGGCCAAGGTATCCCTGGAGTCGTCCGAGGGGAATAAGATCGGCATCGGCCTAGTAGATGTTAGTGGGGAGGCCATACGATGCAGGGAGAAAGACAGACAAAGAGGCGACTCAGGAAATCCCCGACTTCGTCGACCGTCGACGGGCCGCCCATGTTCAGAAATACCATGGCAGTGGGGCCCTTGGAGCCATCGGAATTTTGGGTGACAGGGTGCACTGCCGTTGCCAATGATCTCGACTGTGATTGCGAAATCCTGGCTCTCAACAGAGACTGGACCGGGTTTGAGGTTAGAGAAGGGGCCGTAGCTTGCGATGCCTTCTGCGACAGGCGGCATGCCGAGTGGCGCAGAGCCATCTTGATAGATCTGGCTCCCGTAGGATATGGGAACCGTCAACTCAGGGCAAATTGGCAGGATAGCAGCAGACGAGGCGGAATCCTGGTTCTATAGGTAGTTACACTATCCAAGAAATGGTAGAAGGTTTGGCGGAAGCTGCGGCGTAACTCGGCTCCGTCAAAACTGGTCTCTTAAAAACCCCTTGGCATTGATGATGAGACGATACGGGCGAAGGCCAGCACAGGCCACCTCTTCGCCAAGTGCCAGGAGTGGTTTATCCAATCAGCTATTGCAGATTTCCACTACGTCACATGCTCACGCGGCTCAGGTGTGGTTCTTTAAAGAGTCCAGGCACCAGGATCGCCAGCACTCGGACGTTCTCGACGCGTCCGACCAATACTCCGTGTCGTCCCTCCTTTCAACTACCTAGTGCATTTTAGGAAGATTCCCCTTCGACAACAAGCAGCAGGACTGCAGGCCCATACTCAATCAGAAAATGGCTTGGGGACGCGATGAAGAGCGACGCGAGAACGCGGAGGAAGGCGAGGAGGAGATAGACGAGACTGTTAGTCCCAGAATGTCGTCGACGGGCCAATACGATAACTTGGGCTGACGGGTATTTTAGGACTACAAGGCGCAAAAAGATGCCATCATCTTCGCTATCGATGTGAGCAAGTCAATGGCGGACCCGCCGCCGGCGGGCGATGCGAAGAAAGCCGGTGATAGTGCCATTGCTGCGGCGCTGAAATGCGCGTATCAAATCATGCAGCAGCGCATCATCGCTCAACCCAAAGACATGATGGGTATCTTACTATTCGGGACCAAAAAGTCAAAGTTCCGCGATGAGAACAACGGGCGCAGCGCTTACCCTCACTGCTATGTCTTCATCGACTTGGATGTCCCGTCCGCCGAGGACGTCATGACTCTGAAGAGCTTGGTAGAGGAAGGCGAGGATCCAGATGATGTCCTGACCCCTACGGACGAGACCGTTGCCATGTCCAACGTTCTCTTTTGTGCCAACCAGATCTTCACAACCAACGCGCCAAACTTTGGCTCACGCCGGTTGTTCATCATTACCGACAATGATGATCCCCAGGCGGGGGATAAGCAGGCACGCTCGGCAGCTGCTGTCCGTGCCAAGGATCTTTACGATCTTGGCGTCGTTATCGAGCTCTTCCCAATCAGCCACGAGGAGAAGAGATTCGATTTGTCCAAATTCTACGATGTACGTGTATGAGCAGGCCGCTGAAGGCCGTCGCGAGCTAATTGGACAAGGATATCGTCTACAGCGACCCTGCGGGAGACTCGAGTTCGCCAGAAGAGATCAAAACATCAAGGTCTGGAGACGGCTTAACCCTCCTAAATTCCTTGATATCGAACATCAACTCGAAGCAGACCCCAAAGCGGTCCTACTTCTCGAATCTGCCCTTTGATATTGCCCCGGGTCTGAGAATATCGATCAAGGGGTATCATATCCTTCACCGACAAGTGCCAGCACGTACATGCTACGTTTGGCTTGGCGGTGAGAAGGCAGAGCTCGCCGTGGGGGAGACGACAAAACTAGACTCGGATGCCAGAACTGTCGAGAAGTCCGAGATCAAGAAGGCGTATAAGTTCGGCGGCGAGTTCGTCTACTTCAATCCTGAAGAGTTAAAGGGCCTGAAGTCATTCGGCGAGACCGGACTCCGAATCATCGGGTTCAAGCCGAGGACGCTGCTCCCGAACTGGGCTTCAGTCAAGAAGTCAACCTTCATCTACCCAAGCGAGGATGATTACGTTGGATCTACCCGCGTCTTCTCTGCCCTGTGGCAGAAATTGCTCAAAGACCAGAAGATGGCCCTGGCATGGTTCATCTCGCGGTCTAATGCCAACCCAATCCTCGTGGCCGTCTTGCCTTCAAGGAGTCCTGATGACCATGAGTCGGCGACGTCCTTCCTCCCTGCAGGCCTATGGCTCTACCCGTTACCGTTTGCAGACGATATCAGAAATGTGGATCTCAACTCAACGACGCGTTGCTCCAACGAACTCATCGACCACATGAGAGTCATAGTGCAGAACCTTCAGCTTCCGAAGGCAGTGTACAACCCCACCAAATATCCCAATCCCGCGCTGCAGTGGCACTACCGGATTCTGCAGACGCTGGCTCTCGAGGAGGAGATCCCTGAACATCCAGAAGACGCAACACTCCCGAGATATAAAGCCATCAATAAGCGAGTCGGCGGCTACTTGGTTGACTGGGACAAGGGGGTCGACGCCGAAGCAAAGAAACTCGCTGACAGCAGAGCAATCAAACGGGAAGCTGAAGATGGTGATGATGACAGGCCTAAGAAGAGAGCAAAACCCGCGAATTCTACTACCTCGAGCAAGAAGGCACCAGGTTCATCAATGAACAACGCTCAGCTCAAGCTGGCAGCCGAACAGGACACCCTGAAGAAGATGACAGTCGCCGAGCTCAAGGACGTAATGGCCAGTAAGGGCCTGAGCATATCAGGCAAGAAGGCTGACCTCGTCGAGAGGCTCGAGCAATGGCTTGAAGAAAATGCATGAACGAAGAGGCGATATGGGGTGTTGACACACGGATGGGTCCCTATGGATGAAGGTATCAGGCGCGCAGGCAGGTTAAATGGAATGGAAATGTAACTGTACGACATGGCGTGTAGGTACAGAGGTACGTACCTGTAGGCAGGTCTCTGGTGCTCTACCTAGGTAGGTAGGTAGCTACCTAGGTACAGGATACCGTACTGGGATTTTGGGGGGAGGGGCCTGTGATTAGTCAGTCGGTGGGAACTCACCTTGGAATCCACCACCAACATCTGTGCCCAGGCCTTTACTTAATCGCGTCTTTGGATCGCGACAAACCTTGGGACGATTTATTTTCTTTGTCGCCCAGCCCGCAGGTTGCTCGACCTGCCACTCACTAGTCTTCACGATGACCTGACGTCCCAGTGTCTCTCCCCACACCGTGACTACCTGAGTTATACTGCATGGGCTAGAATGCCACAGTGTGAATGCCATGGAGGCGCTTCTCGCCACGCCATCAAACAGTCATTTATGTGACTCGGTCGCTGATCTCCAAGTCCGACTCAGTCATGCTCTCCACGCCAAGGTCAGCCAGACAAGGGCTGAGCATATATCGTCAACCTTCGAGCTACCGTCCTCGGTTATCTTTAATATCACAGCCATCGAAACAGAAAGCGAAGCCCATGAATCGGCAGCCCATATCAACCCCCAGCTTGGGGGACCTCAGACAAGCGCGCCCTCGTCTACGGTCGATGGATCCCAGTCTGCAAGGCAAATTAGTGCGATTGATACACTCGTCAATCAGCCTGACAATGACCCGGCCCTCCAGAGGACTGTCACAAAACACCTAATCGCCGCATTGGGTGAGCTTGACCGTGCAAACTGGGTTGTGCGCCAAGTCTCTCGAGTTGCTCAGGGCTGGACATTCACCTATGTCTGCAAGAATTCAACCCAAGCATGGGCTCGGCAGCATGCCAGACACCCATCCCGAATCGTGGAAGGGGAGTGGAGTAGTAAGGACAGTCAAGGTCTTGCTCACATGGGTATGGATGTCATTTCTTTCACTGTATATGTACACACCTTCTTTTTCTGACAGGATCATCGTTACAGGTCGGCCAGCATTTGATTGCCGAGGTTCTGTCACCATAGCCTTTTCCAAACCTAACAAGTCTATCAGCCTCAAATATGAACACACCCCAATGCACAAAACGGTAGCTCAGCTTCTCGAGATGCTCAATCCTCCACCTCCACCTCCACCTCCGACTGTCGAAGAGCCGCCGGCAGTACGCAAAGCAGCAAAAACACCAAATTCCAAACGTCAGGCCGCGGATTCCAGCCAAAAGGGCGAGGCCGGGGGCTCAAGTCGCAGGAAACGGAAGACCGCGCCTCAAGCAGGCGAGGGTACGAGTCAGCCGGTGCGGAGGGGGAAAAAGGAGGGAGAAATTAACCTAGCCCCAGAGGGCGGCCTCCTCCCACCCGAGATGCCCGGAGCATTACCTATTGGCGAGTCATCTCAACGGCCGCTCTACAATACTCAGTCACAACTGGCGACACAAGACGGAGCAGCAGGCATGGAGACTACAAGCAGCTATCCCGAAGGACTGGTTGGCGCGTCCCCTAGCTCCACCGAGTCACAGTCTTCAGCTGTCGCTACCAGTGCCCCTATCCTCAATCTTCCACCGGGGGAGACAGAACGCCGTCGAGATGTTGCCATACAACTGCTCACAGACCACAAGATTGATCCCCAGACCCTATCTCAGGAGCAGTTCAGCATCTTCTCAAACCAATCGCCCGAACTGCAAATGGAATCATTGATGATGCTTGAGAAATACGGTGCTGAGCGTTTGCGGATCATTCACCCTAATAAGGAAGCACCGGCAGCCGGCAGCCCAGATGCCATAGCTCAGACCCATGAAGCATCTTCTGTCACACCCAGCACAGAGGCGGCAGCTCCATCACCGAGTAACCCCAAAAAGCGCAAGAAGCCGGCGAAGAAGTCCGGTTTCTCGGAACAAGACATTGCTGGCGACAATGCTGCGCTGTCGGCTTTAAATACCAGCCCGGCTGCGGGGGGGTCGCGAAGGACAGCAGGCGCCTGTGATTTCTGTCGCAGAAGGAAGATCAAGTGTGGCAAGGAACAACCGTCTTGTGCACAGTGTCTTCGATCTAACAATACTTGCTCCTACCCTGTTCTCAAAACGAGGAAGGACAAATCAGCCTACCCGCAAGGAACGGATGAAAACCTGGAGGAAGAAGCCGGGGGCTTACCATCCCCTGATCTTCATGGTGATAGCATAGCCATCCCTCCGTCCGAGTCTGCCTCGCCTCCCACGAGCCATTCAACAGCCTATGCGGAGGCGAGCACCGATGTCTATCAGAATTCCTCGGGTTTGACCTTTCCCCCATCAGCTCCCTTGGACATTTCGAATCAACCCTGGGCAGCCAGCTCCGGAGTGGACTATAGCCAGACACCTGCTCAAGACTCTTCTACCGTTGGCTCGACAGCTCCCCAAGAGCCGCAACAGAGCCCTGGTACGTCGTACCCAGAGCAGCTTCTTGCAGCTGCCACACCGAATGACTCAAGACATCAACGATCTGATTCCGGTTTCGATCATGCCGCACAACAACCTGCTACAAGTAGCGATGCCTGGGCAGGTTCCTATGCCGGCAGCCGGTCCTCGTCGCAAACCCATGGCTATGGCGTTATTCCGGCAATCGCCCAGGCGCGTTCGCCGGAACAGTCGATGACTCGAAATCCAGGTCCTATCCAGATACATGGGTCTCATCAGACACGTGAGGTGATTCAGCAGGCATTGGAACTAGCACGGTCTGCTAGAAACAGCAGTGCGAAACAGTCGCCACCCCCGCAGCCTAAGTCTTTCTCAGCCCCTGCGCCAACTACGCGCGACGCGTCACGGACTGGAACAAGGGCGCAGAACCGGACCCCGGTGCAAGCTATGCCGGTTGCACGGCATCCTCAGGGACCAGCGCAGCACCCTGCCAGCAACCCGGTAGCCCCTGCTTCAGCAGGCTCTAGCTCTGCTTACCCATCGAGCTACAACTCCCACTCGAAGCAGCCCAGCAACCAAGCAGCCGCCCAGTCTAATGACGGCATGACTTACAGTACCATGCGCCAGGCGTACGGCACGGCCATGCCCAGCTCGTATTCCAACTACGACGCATATAATAATGCGCGGTCTCACGGTAATCCCACTCCTGCGTCGACGAACCCGGTAACCCAGGAGGCTTCTCCATCGTACACGACAGCCATGGCGTCCAGTGTCAGCCAGTGGGGCAATGTCGCAGCATCTCAGGCTCGCAACTCGCTGCAGTACAATAATAATTCGTCCACTCCAGCTGCGTTGTCGTACTCGACAAGCGGGCAGCAGTCGCAAGCCGCGCGATCAACCAACATGCGGCCGAGAGCCACCACACAGCGCCCCGCGCCATCGGCCAACTCGTACAACCAACAACAGCCTCAGAATCAGCAGCAGGCGTCGTATCCCTCCTATTCCCAGCAGCCGCCGAGTTCTTCTGGCCAGCATGGCCAGCATGGCCAGCCAGGCTGGTATGGTTATTCCGGCGGCAGCAGTCAAAACGGCGCGGCGGGCGGCTACTCCGACAACCCTGCGCCGCAGGGAAGCGGACACTACAGTCAGCAGCAGCAGTCGTCTATGAACCTGTCCGGCCATACCTACAGCAGTATGGATACCGGTGATCAGTCGATCTATAACTTGCTCCGAGGCAACCCGGGGACCTGAACTAGGGGGCGAGGTCCGATCCCCACGACGCGGGGCTGCCGTCATATTTCCCTCCTGTTGAATTGAGGGAGGACGGGGCAGACAATCACGCAACAAGGGAGTTGAGGGGATATTTTAAGAGGGTACATTTTTCCCTGTACTTTGTTTTTTCCCTGGTCTTTGTTTCACAAGGGGGGGAGCAATATTTTGGGATCGACCGTGTTCAACATCTTTCGTAAACCCAATCCACCCTCCGCTGTGTGATCTGTATGTGTGTTGTAATATATGGCGTGGATGACGGCAACGTCAAACAGGGATTCGCTGAGGAGTCATGCGATACCAGTCTACAGGCAAAGCGTCCTGGGCAATAGTGGCCATGTGGTATATACCGTGACTAGGACTTCTGCGGGCAAGATGTCTCACCTAGAAGTGGTTTATCATGTTCCGGGAGTAGGGTTGTTAAGGGGCCAAGGGATCTTGGAGAAGGTATTGGTGGTAGACTTGTTGCGCAAAGAAAAATCCAGCCAACGTTAATTAGATGGAAATGGCCAAAGGATATGGACGATTGACGAGGCGTAAAAAGATTATTGGGACCAAAACAAAAGAAGAGAAGAAAAAACCCCGGGGAGCTGGGGGCAAGGCCCGTATCCAGGCGGATACCGAGAGGGAGTCGTAGGTGCGGCTATGACATCGCATCCGAATCCAGTGAACCAACTCCCCTTATTGTACCGGCTTCCTTAATTTATTTACCTACCTTTGACAGGCACCTCGAGGGTCGGGGCTACTCATAGGACGGGAGGCGAGTGAAATCCAAGGTGGTGTTGGTATGACAGGCTAATCATCGTCTAACTCATTAAAAGGCCAATGGCCGCAGCAATCGTGGTTGCTATACATGCTTCTCCGGAGACATCTATTTCCCAAAAACCCGGCGTTTTTACCACCCCGTGCCCAGTGTATCGCGCGCCGCCAAACCTTTTATCTATATCTGGACCTCCTCTTTTACCATACTCGTTTCAGTTCTCCGACACGGCAAACTTGCTCATGGCCCGCAGCTTGGCGCCGTAGAAGTACAGCAGCCAGATGCCGGCGATGCCGATGGTGCTCAGCCCGCCGAGCAGGGTGGTGCCCCTCGCGACACCGAGGTTCGCGTAGAGCGGGCCGGCGAACAGGACGGAGCCGCAGGCCAGGGCGCTGCGGAAGAAGTCGTTTGCGGCGAAGAGCGAGGCTGCGTACTGCGGGTACGACATCGGGATGTAGACGAAGATGCACTGCATGACGACGAAGACGGCTGCGCCGTAGACGGCGATGCCGATCGTCGGCACAATCCAGGGGAAGCGCGGCGCTGCCGTCCAGGCGAAGATGAAGAGCCCCACCGTCGGGCCGAAGGCGGCAACCAGCGCGGGCACCAGCCGGTTCTCTTGCACGGGGAAGCCTCGCACCTTGATGCGCGGGTTCATGTACAGCGCGATGTAGGACGCGTAAATGCCGATGCCGATGAGGCACGAGACGAGGATACACAGGAAGACGAGGCCGACCTGGCCGGGCCCCATGTTGTAGTAGACCGGGTAGACCAGCGGGAAGACCTCGAAGAAGGAGTAGTAGATGCCGTAGATGATGGCAGTGTAAATCTGCACGAACATGATGGCCGGGTCCTTGATCGTGATCTCAATCGGCTTGATGAGGGCGTCGATCAGCACGGCGGACGGCCTGAGGTTGCGCTGGTCGATCTCGCTCTGCGACATGAAGCGCTGGCTCCCCGTGAGCTTGCGGAGGCGCTTGGCTCGGCGGAGGAGGATGTTCGGCGTGCTGGTCTCGGGCAGGAAGAAGAACATGACGACGAACATCGCCGACGACACCCAGAGGATCTCGAGGAGGGACCACCGCCAGCCCTTGGCGGGGACGGAGAAGCCGGATAGGAGAGGACCGAGGGCCGGGCCACCTACACAGTTAACATATGTTAGCCCCGCACATTCATTGCAGAGACCTGGGACGAATGAGTGAGGAATACGTACAGTAAGCAGCGCTGACCCACGCAATTAAGGCGTAAGGGAGATGCAACAGCGAGTACATGTCGCCAACCGAAGCGCCCCCCGAAGCCAGGCAAGGTGACCCGAAGAAGCCCTGCAAGAATCGCAGGACCATCAGACCGGCATAGTTCTGGACAAACACAGTCGGGATCGAGACGATGACGAAGAGGAACATGGTGATGATGTAGATGGGGTTTCGACCAATGATGGGCAACTCGGAGAGAGGACTGAAGATCAGGGGCCCCGTGCCGTAACTTTGAACTGGGTTAGCAACTTGGATACAACCCACGACGCCCTTAGCCAAACGGCCTCAATGATAGGATGAACCCACCCCAAGACAAAGAGAGATAATCCCAGAGCGGCTTCAGTCTTGTTGACGCCGAACCTCTCCATCACCCCTGGCTGAGATGTCGTATAGATGGCCGAGGATAGGTAGACGACGAAGGTGTAAAGACAGATGACCAAGGTGATCATGGCCCTCCTCCTGTTGGACCAGTTCTGTGGATTGTCAGGATCATCGGTATAATACCAGTCCACCAGAATAGCTCCATCCTCGGTCTTCCGTGGTGCTATCGGTATCGACCTAGTCTTGTCGAGGTCGTGGATTTGGTCGACTTCCAACCTATCTTCGGTGTATGGCAAGGTATCTTGCCAGGACCTTGTTCTGCCTAATCGTAGACTAATATCGTCGGCCTCCCTAGAGAGCTCCTTGTCTGCCTTCTCGGTTTGGTTCTCCCCGTCTGTGTTCTCCCCGTCTGTGTTCTCCCCGTCTGTGTTCTCCACGTCTGTGATGCTTGGCGATTGTGGAGGCGATTCCGTTACTGTTGTCTCGTTTCCGTCAAAAACGGCAGGACTGTCGTCGTTCAGGAGCTGTAGCCAAGTATCCGGGAGCTTAAAATCGGGTCTCTCCTCGGGGTACTGGAGCACCCGGTTGCGTGTTAGGAGCCTTAGAAGATGGCCCACTGGGGCCTCTCGGATGAGAGAAGCCATGTGAATATCTCGTGGGAAGATGTGTATGGAGCTTAAAGCAAGCTTGGAGTAACAAGGGAGATATTCGGAGGACAAAAAAGCAGTTGAGCTTTACAACTTGGGAGTTATATTGATCTTCGAAAACTGACCCTTAAGAGGAAGCACGTTACTCTATAAGTAGTCTGAATGTTACCTGGATTTTAAACAGCACTGGCTCCGAATAATAGCATATACGATTCATAAGCTCCATGTGGGACACGGGCACGGAGCAATCGTCCACGGAGCTTACCAACTGGCCTATCAACCTTTGATAGATGGTGAAGGGCGTGGAAGGCACGCTCTTCTAGATGCTGTGTGGGAGCCGCTTCAATGTTAATCTGGTACATCTGACGGGGAGAATATGGCAAGCGGCCAATGTACCAGATTAACAGAGGTTCCTGTCAGACCTAGCAGAAAAAGGAGAATGGAGCTAAGGCAGGTGCAAGCCGCAAATACCGGAGGCAAACGGATTTTGGAAACCGGCCGGACTACGGCGGTCCAATGGATCAGCAGAATGGATCGGCCACGACGGAGAGCTCTCAGTTCGCACTCTCATTGGCTGGGTGCCCTCCAAAACGTGAACAGATTCGGCAAAATGAGTCAACTGGCTTAGAAATCTAGAATGACATCAGGTCAAACCCAGAAGGATTGAAGGATTAGGGATATGTAATCGTCCCAACTTATAAGCAGCCTTGGCAGCGAAATCAAATCTCTCGAGCGATGGCGCAATTGAGTCCTCATTATATTTGTGGGCCTCCTAGATCTCTTGGTTTCCTGATGAGACTAGAATACAGAGCGTTGGCTTGGTGATTAGTGACATGTGATGTTTACCGTAACTTGCAAGGTCAGGTACTGTCGCTGACTAGGAATGCTCCTCCATTTCGCTGTTGGCTTGTACATACGCCAGTTAGCCACCTGTTCGCGAATAGCTAACGCCCGATTGCATCGAAAACAGCCAGCCGCGATGGTTGTGGCGGCTGTGGCGGGTTTGTGTCCCAGCCATCCCTAGACATGCGTCCTTCAAGCTAACATGGAACGAGTCTCAGGTTGTGGGGTCTCTGGTTCGAGACTGTCATCCTCGGTCTTCATCCTGTTCGACAAAGTCGGATGGATCTCCTGCTCAAGATCCATCCCTCGACGTTTGCCCTCATTCAGCAGATCCCAGACTCGATCGTCTTTCCTCGCGAAACACCGTCGAACCAAGGCTACCGCGGTTCGTTTCGTTACCCAAGATCCTGCAGACTTTCGGGCACCCGTCGTCGCCGCAAATCTTCCCATCTCCCACAGGTATCGAAAGGCGGCTTCAATATCGCCATCCACAGTGAAGATATATACCAATCGGTCATAGATGGATCGGCTAGGTCTTAAGCTAAGTGCTGACATCTCAGACGCGAGAAACTCGGCGGTTTTAAGCTCTGTGCAGCTCGCAAAGAGGGGCTCAAAAGTGTGGACGTTCGGTCCTGTCGAGCAGAGACGCCGGACTTCATGGTACAAGTCGATCGCCTTCTCGTGGCCGCCAGTGTCGCATAAAGTCTCGATCACCACATTGAACGCCGAAACAGGGATCTCGTGCTTCCTCCTGAGGCTGAAGAGTGCATCCACAGCAGCGGTTGTGAGACCCGGAGAGCGTTTTAGAGTCAGGTGAATCGATCTCGTGCTACCTCGGCCCGATTGAATGCCCGCATTGTTCATGATGCAGAGGACTCCGAGCGCATTTTCCAGGTCGTTATTCTGGGAGTAGCAGTCCACCAACGCCTCGAAGTGGTGCATCCCAAGCTTCACACCCCTAGTCGAGAGGTGCTGGATCGCCTGAGTGGCCAACTTTGAGTCGCTATACCTCGAGGCCGTGTTAAGAACGTTTAGACAGATACCGTCAGACGGGACCAACGTTTTCGACTGCACCATCCGGTTCCAAACAAATTTCGTGCCCTCATAGTAAAATTCTCTACTGCATTCGTCGAGGAGAAAATACCAGATATTGAGCGGGACCTTGTGGTCGTCTTCGTCGCTTTGCAGTTGTCGCTGCAGCATCTTTACAGCCTCATCGACGTAGCCTTGCTGGCCAAGGGCATATATAAAGACATCGCGGAGCCATGACGGGATATCGATTCCTTCCTCTGTCATTTGCTCCAGGGCGTCCAGAGCCAGTTCATACTGACCATCGCGTAGAAGGCCAAGAGCAACACTACATCGCCCTTCAGGCGTGATGTCTATCCATGCTTCCTTCATCGTGCGCAGAATAGTGTTTCGTTGTAGATAGTCAGGATGCACCGCGAGAGCCTATGCGCCAATAAGTTAGCAATTGGCGGTTCACATGAGGTCCGCGATAACATACTCGTAGGGCAACGTGATATAAACTCGCGGTTCCGGCAATACCAAAGGTTCTCATCTCATCCATGAGCTCCTTAACCTCCGCTGCTGATCCCGTTACGTCCCAGTTCGAGGCGATCAAAGCTTCGTAGAGAAAGGCGTTCGGTGTCTCTTCACGACTCTCGACTAGATACTTGACGAGTGCCCTGATCTTGTTCCTCTGGCCGGCTTTGCCCTGCAGGGCTCGTAAGGTTTCATAGACAATCAGCGTGGGCGCTCCATGAAGCTTGGACGAGAGACCTCCGCTTGCCAGGAGGCCCTCATTTCGCACGAGTTTCTTGACGGTAACGGAGTCGTCTTCGCCCTGGCCATCCTTAACACGGCCGTAGGCATATTTCGTGAACGCAAGTTCTTTGTTGTCCGAGGCATTGGACCGTCGATTGGTGCCGTGCAAGGGGCGAGCTTGACAATGGGATACAGGTAGAGGCAGAGGTCGAAGACATGGGCGGTAAATTCGGGGCCGCAACCGAATAGGCCCACTAATGGCCTTCACAAGAGTCGGCGCATCAACCGAAGGGCATAGACAGTTCCATAGCCCGTCAATTGTGATGCGAGTCCCCGACATCGCGGCTCTACACGGGGAAAAAGGTTGTTATAGGCTCAAGCTTCAATCGCGCTTGAGTTCAGAAAATAAACTGGGGCTAATCTGACATGAGGTCATGTGACATACTCAAGAGCAACCTCATCAACCTTGGATTCATGAAAGTTTCGACGTGATTAAGTATGCTTCCTCTCCTCGGAATATAAACTGTCGGAAGCTATGTAGGGCCCTCTAAGTCAGGGCGAGGAGTAAGCGGGTTGCGTACTCCACCATGCCTTGTCGACTCTGACCATCCATCATTCCATCTAGCCTGTTGCCGTCATTGCATCCGTGGCTTCTCCCTCATAATGGGCGCTTCCTGTCGTCGCAGCAGTTCCCACAGGCCGGATACGTCGTCGTTCTTTTCCATGTAAAAAGGGTATACCGTTGAACAGTCCGAAACAAGCGCTCATGCGCCCCGGCCCCGACCTCTACTACCACGTCCCTGACCCCTGCCACCCCGACCACGGTCGCCCCCGCGGCCGCCGTGATCGCCTCTGGACTGTCCCCCACGTCCGCCTCTGAAGTTCCCTTGCTGTCCCTGCTGTTGTTCCTTCGCCAGGTCGATTATCTCATCGGGCACCCGCAGGTATTTGATCTGCGTGGGTTCGCATTAGCGCTCGCCGGGAAAAGATGTTGCGCATCCCACCGAAGGACTTCTCGCCTGCACGCACATTGTTCCCCTTGACGTAGACCTCTGGTAGCCGGACGAACTTGTCGCCTTCCTAGGTTCGGGTTAGTGATCGTGGACGTGGCGGCGGGACGAGTTGGCACCAGGCGGACATACAGGGCTCGTCTGGACCACCTCCTTCAAGGTCAAGTTCATCCACGTGTCGCACATGACCAGGTGGCCGTTGAGTGTCTCGCCATTCTTCAGCTCTACCAGCATAGGATGCCCCTGGGCGGCGTTCAGGAGGCCGAGGGGTAACTGCGGGCTGTCAGCGGGGCTTGCACAAGGCGATACTGAAAGGGACGATGGGAGGAACACACCATGTTATTGTCTACGCAGCTAACCCCCAGGCTGCGGGTTGCGTGCTGAGGTTTCGTGTGGAAATACAAATGGCACGAATGGTTATTTGGAGCTCAAGCTTTGGAGGGGTGCTGGTTGCGCACTGGACGGGACCTATGCTGCAGCAGACAGCGGATACGGAAATATGAAAGTCCGATGGAACTGGATCTTAGGTAATCAAACCAAGAGGCCTTGGCCTGAGGGTTGAGCTGATGAGGGTTTAAAATCTGGCTAAGAGGATCAACAATTCATAACGAGGGGATGTAGCACAGTTGGTAGTGCGCATGCTTAGCAACGTTTAAGCATCTCTGCATGAGGTCCTGGGTTCGATTCCCAGCATCTCCAAGTTTATTTTTTTGCCCTTTTCTTTTGCTCGTCTTTGCTCCTCAGTTCTCAAACACTCTTTCCTGCAAGCCCTCACTCATAACGAGGGGATGTAGCACAGTTGGTAGTGCGCATGCTTAGCAACGTTAAGCATCTCTGCATGAGGTCCTGGGTTCGATTCCCAGCATCTCCAAGTTATTTTTTTGGGGCTATTTTTCTGGTGTAATATTTTGCTCTTCTTTTTTGGTCTTCTTTGCTCCTCAGCTCTCAAACACTCTCTTGCTGTAATTAACTACTTTGGCAGAGTTTTGCTAGCTGTTTCACTTCAATATGCAGCTTGTTTACCTAGAACTTTGAATGTCTAATGCATTTTAAGATAAGGTGCTTGACCTAATCTCAAGCAGCTACAGTACTTACATAGCAACCTACCTACAAGGAGCACATATCATGGCTTAAGGGCTAAGGCTTTGCTTTCTAGGCAATTTCCTGCTAAGAATTTTCAGTAGGCAAGGTACTGTTGCGGCAAAAAGACTCAATGACCACTGTCAGACTGTATTGTGGAGGACAAAGTCGCATCCAAAGCTAAATCAAGTGATATCATGGGACAAGAGAAACTCCAAGCCTGAAGATAGACAGCAATAGAAGCCAACCACAAGGGTGAAAAAGACCATGACCTAGCCCATTAACGCCCAGATGTTAATGGAAGATACCACTAAGGCACTCCTATCCAGCCCTTCCTTGTCGTCATCCAGACGGGGCGTTGACGAACTACCTACTTCAGAGACCTCACGCGCAAATTGCAGCAGTGAGTATGAATGATGGGGCTTCTTCATTTAAGAAGAGCTCTCGCGGCTCTTTCGGTAGGTGGCCTGCAGTGACCAAAGTCAGCACGAAAGGCTACTTTCACTGCAAGGTGAAAGCTGAAGCACGACTTGCCTCCTGTTCGACCTGCAAACCATCAATGATGGGCGCAATCTCGCTCAGAATCTCGTGGGCCTTCTTGTGGTACTCCATTTGCGCAGCAATAAGATCGGCCAGGTTGCGAAGTGGCTCAGGGGTGTCCAGAACCTGCAGGGCTGTGCGTCAGTGTCTCTTTCTGCTTCCACTCAGGTAACACAAGACAGATTGAGGAGACCCACATTCTTCATGACGCTGACAGCCTCCTCTGTCTGGGTGACAAAATCATCCTCAGCCTTCTCAATCTCCTCCTGTGCCTCGGGGCTCAGCTCATGCTCTTCGTGGGTGCCTTCTCCCTTTGGAGAGCCGGCCATCTTCCAGGTGGTTCCTTTGGCACGAGCCTTGACGGCATCCAGGGTCAACCGGGCCTTCTCGACATTCTGGCGTGCCCGGGTTGCGAACTTCAGATTGGTGTTGAGGGTTGTGTTCCATCCAGCCAAGAAGCGGCTCTGGATCTGGGCATCCTGGGCCAGGCGGGCCTCACCCACACGCTCCATGGCCAGGGCGTATTTCTCGAGGGCGGTGGCCAATGGGTCCTCCCCAGCACCTGTGTGCTGTTGGTGCATGGTCTGGCTGCTTGCCAAGCTGGCGCGGGCGATGGCATGGGGGAAGGTCTTTGGCTGCGGTTTCGCAGTGGGAGGCGCGGTCAGGGCAGCCTGGGCCTCGGCAGGGGATGCGGCAGATGAGAGAAGAGTGACCTTCTCGCTGACTGTGCGACCGAGATCCTGGAATGTCTCCTTGATATTGGGAGGGTAGTCGTAGGGCTCGTGGGAGTATTGGGAGCTGCCAGAAGAAGCGCAGGATGGATTAGCTGCGCCCATTTACAAAGAGCGACCTCGACAGAATCGCCAAAACTTACGTCACAGAAAGCATCTTCTGATGGACCTGCTTCAAGGCATCCACTCTCTTCTCCAAGTCAATGTAGTCGGGAGGAAGCTCAGTCTGGCCATTGTAGCGTCGTCAGCTTCCAGAAATGCACTGATGACGTCGATGTTCATAAAACAAAGGAGGCAAACCTTGTCCTCAGCCTGACCAAGTTGCTCCTTGGTGTACTGGAAGGTGCGCGATGCAAAGGGGGTGATCTGGCCTCCCAGATTCCTAAACCGGTGCCATGATTGTCAGCTTGCTCGTGATCCTCTGGAGATCGGGTCCAGCGGGTCGGCTTATCGTACGTGAGACTCTTTTGCAGGGCCTTGAAATCCATGTTTGCTGATGTTCCGATGGGTAAGCGGTAATGGGATTGGATAGTGTATCTGGAGCGCAGGAGCGAAGGAAGCTAGGTTGATGGAGGTTCGATGAGGTTGAGTTTAGTATCTGGCAGATTTCTAAAGAGGTGCAACAGCGGGCGCGCATCAGCAATTATGACAAGGTACGAGTGCTAAAAGTAGGTAGGCTTCACAAGCGAAAGTGCCTACCTACGCTAAGCTCGGGCAGGTGTGTGTTACGGGGGTGTGTACATCTACGCCCCATCAAGTGACCGGGTATTGATTGGTTGGAATTACTGCCATGAGTATTACATCCACACCCCAACAACCGAACGTTCCACCCCTAAACAACCGTGCTTGGCAACGGGAATGAGACTCGATGATTTCGTTACCTGCCTCAGGTTCTTTGTTTTGTTGTATTGACATGCTATCACCTGTGTCTCTTTAAATCCACAACTTTCCTCCTACCTATACAAATACTCATTATATTACGTCCTAATACCAGTAGTTGAATTGCAGATCTTGATCCAACCATTGTTTCACTAATCATCCTTGTAATTGGAAAGTCTCTGCCGACGGGCTATCTCCATCCCCCTCAAAGGGAGTGGCAATTTTCCAGTTGCTAATCGCCTAACGAGGGGTGCTGGGAACAGAGATAATACAAACCCGAGGACGAGGTGGTGATCGGTAAATTGATCCGATGACAGGAAGAGGGAGGACCTCAGTAGGGTGGAGTGGAAGTAAACTGGAGGTGATGAGGTCGGTTTGATAGAGCACTAGATGTCGCCATCAGAATACTGCGGGAATGGGCCTTGGGCCAGCGGTTTGGTAACCCCTCAGAACAGCACCTCAATCTTTTCCATCCAAAGGTTGGCCTTTAGCTATTTCGTGTCACTATTAGACATGGGTGATGATGGCTAGCCAAGGGGTGGAAGCATATATATATTGGATGGCACGGGAAAAGCCCTCGTTGTGCGACCGTTCCAGTGTTGGGTAGTTACGTAGGTATTCAACAAATAATGTGCCCGTTTCAAGAACACTGCGCCTTCTCAATCTGCGGCCTTCTGCTTGTCCGCCCACGATGGAACAACGTATTTGCAGACATTTTCGTAGTCCCGTATTTCTTGGGCATCCAAGGCCGCATCAGGGGTTGTCCAAAACATTGCCCAGTTGCTATCGTCCAGCTTCCATGACCCCCTGGACCGTTCAAAGTACCACTTGTTCACCGGGTTGTTCTTCCTGCTTCTCCAGCACACACCGTCCGGGAAGCAATCTCTGACCATGGCGTTGAAAACAATGTCGGCAACTCCACCGGCTCCTTGGCTCTTTTTAAGCACGGCGAACTTGTCGAGATAGGGAACCATTCGGCCTGCCTTGTAGGCCGTTTCCTCGTCCATCCCGAACGGTCGTTCCCAGGTTAGTATCGCCCCGCCCTCGTACTCTCCGGCGATGATAATGCCCGCCAGGCTGTCGTCCACCCGCTCCAAATAGTGCTGCGCGTCCAGTTTCCGATTGAACGAATCCTCAATTAGGTATATTAGCCTGGGTAAGTCGACGCAGGTATCTGTCAGTCTCAACCGCGGCGTTCCAGGCCGCGGCGGGAACCATGGAGTCTGACGGGGGTCGGGGAAAATCGTCACAGGCAAGCCCCTCTTCGCAAGTGTTGTTGTCGGCATCCGAGGTTTCCTGGTCTCAGCGTCCTGGTCGTTGGGTTTTATCCTTCCAGGAGGCAGAGATGAGGAATAAATGGGGCGGTCTGTGAGCAAATTGTGTATGAGAGGGTTCTGTTTCCTCCTGGTCCTAACGCTGCCAATGAAGCCGGCTACACCGGCCTCAACATCACTGGGTTCTGCAGAGTTGAGATTCGCAGCTTCAGCCGGACTGGTTATTATGGCCGAAGACGTCGATGGAAGCGCTGACAGACAGTCCTTGGCCAGCTTCAAATTGTCCAAGTGCCTCCGTTTGGTCGTCTCTAGTGACTGGTCCGCAGAGTTGAGGGAGGCAGCAGCGTCAAGTTCAGCTCTCGCAGCTTCGTACTCGTCCTCCAGATTGATGAAAACGTGGACACCATTACGTAGTTTCTTAGTTGGCGTTCCACCAATGGGGTCGACGACAATAATTCGATCTACCGTTGCCTTCCTTGTAAGCTGCATACCGGCATCTTCGCCAGGACCGTCCCCAGCAGCTGGGCACGGTATTTGAAGGCCTGACAGAAATCTCGCGAGTGCAAGGATGATTTCATTCGAGTCGACCAGAGAGTCCATCTGGCCTTGAGACAGCGCCCTGGGCGGGACGATTACCAAATAGCCCGATCGAAGAGGTGTGAGGAGGGAATCTTCGGACTCGATAAACAGCCGGGTCGAAGCCAGTGAAGGCAGGCTCGCTGGAGGAGGGATCGGGCGAAATGAGATGGCCGAGTCGACCACCTTGGCGCCCGGCATCCCGTGTCGACCCACGGCTTTCGCAACGCGATCTGTTTCGTGGCCGACAACCTTCCTCCAGTTGGTTGGGCTCCCTAAATGGTCCGATCCACAGTCGACCACTATGACACTCAGAAGGCCAAGCGTTCTCAACTGGGTGAGTGTTTTCGCAAGTCCATCGAGAACATCGTCATCCCACAGCTGAGGATTCATGAACTTGATGATGGCAACATGCGGAACTTCATCCGCCTCCACTACGTGCTCCTTCTCGGCACCCTGGACGAACCGTGGGGTTTCCCTGACGGCCGCGATTCCGTGCTGCAGAGCATTGGCGGACCTTGCCTTCACCGCGTTGCTTTGCCTCCCAAAGGTTTGGAGGTATGCCTTTGCATCCCGCTTCGTGGCTGAGGACTCTAAGACGGATATGAAGAAGTCCTGCAGCGTTGTAAGTCTACAAGGGGTTTATCACAGTGGCGAGGAACGCGCAAATACCCTGTCTTTATCTCTCTTCTGCCTCTCGGCCTCCGCAAGAGTCGTATAACGACATTGGGAGGCAGGGGTTGACTTAATAGCACCACGCTCGCCTTCCCAGCAAGACGCGGAGCGCGGACTATGAGCCGGCGGGCCTGCGGTAAAGCTGTCTCGGCGATTGGCACTCCTCCTGATCGAGATCTGGCTCCTCAGTCAGCGCTGGTGAAAATGGCATTTCGTGAAGTTTGCATGTCTAGGTATCCCAAGCAAGGGATACGGAGCTGAACAGCCGAGATCGGGGATTTACCTGTGCGGCTGAGCTTGCCGTTTTCCAAGCCCCGCTGCGTGATATCATGACTATTGGAACATCGTGAGAAAGATTGGTGGGTTACCAATTCTAATGCACAAATAAGTAAAACACGCCGATATCTTCTCTCTCAGAAAGAAGTAATTCTGGACGGGAAGTCAAGTGTAGCAAGTAACTCAACTGTCAATGTTAAGTCGGTGACTCAATCAGTTGCTAAGCGGTCAAGTTTTGGATTCCCCACACAGCGCTAGCCAGGCATTTCTACACTAGACGGGAGGTACCTAGGTAGCTACATCGTCACGGAACATCGAGAGCAGACAAGATATATACGACATGAGATAAGAAGGTAGCTGAGATTCGGTATCTTATTAATAGTGACGGCCAGTGTCAAGAGGGCGATGTGTTCCAGCTTCGTAGTTCCCGCTCCTGCATAATCCAGATCCTCTATTGCTTGACTCTCATAATCAGATTATGTCATTATGTGTCTCACGGGGATACATTATCCCCCGTAAGCACCCGACCCGATGTCCCGATAGCGCGCGGGGCCGTTCCGGGTTTCCCACGGAGGTACTGCCTGGCAGCACATCTTGGAGGCTGTCATAATATCTCTCTGAACGATTACCCATGATGCGAAAAGATTTGTAAGCCTGCTCAGAGGATATAAACGCTGGAGCTTTACGATTCTGCTTCTCGAAGTCGGCATTTCAGGGATTCAGAAACCATAACTTTCCGCAGTCACCACTCATAGCGCTTTACACTACTGAACACGACCGGCTTCAAGATGGCTCCGAGAATACTTTGGATTGGCCTGGGCAACATGGGCCGGGTAAGCATGCCTGCTTCTGTGTGAACCCTAGGAGTCATGAGCTGACATCGATCCAGGGCATGTGCAAGAACCTCGTCGAGAAGGGGAACTTGGATCAACCACTCATGCTCTATAACCGGACCAAGCAGCGGTCAGTTGATCTCAGCCAGAAGCTGACTCCCGGCAAGAGCGAGGTGGTTGAGTCAGTTGAGGCCGGGGTTTCAAAGGCCGACATCATCTTCCTCACCCTCTCCGACGACCAAGTCGTCGAGTCAACCGTAGCAGAGGCGATCAAGTCGGACGTAAAGGGCAAGCTGTTCGTCGACTCTTCCACAATTCACCCGGAGACCACTGAGAGGGTCGCAAAGGCTATCCTCGGGGCAGGCGCCGACTTCGTTGCCGCGCCCGTCTTCGGAGCCCCCGCCATGGCGGACGCGGGCCAGCTTATCGGCGTCCTAGCCGGGCCCAGGGCGGCGGTTAGCAAGGCCAAGCCCTACTACACAGGGGTCATGGCAAAGGCCGAGGTCGACATGAGCGGCGAGCCGTACTCCAAGGCATCCACGCTCAAGATCATCGGCAACACCTTCATCCTCAACATGGTCGAGCAGCTTGCCGAGGGCCACGTGCTGGCCGAGAAGAGCGGCCTGGGCACCAAGTACCTGCACGAGATGATCGGGAACCTGTTTCCCGGCCCGTACACCGCCTACTCCACCAGGATGTTGAGCGGCGACTACCACCAGAGAGAGGAGCCGCTCTTCGCGGTGGACCTCGCGAGGAAGGATGCGCGGCACGCGATGGACTTGGCCAAGGCCGCGGGTACGAGGATGAGGAATGTCGAGACTGGTGACAGCCACCTGGCCGCTCTTAAGGAGCACGCGGGCGAGAAGGGAGACATTGCTGCTATCTACGGTGCTGTGAGGAAGGAGGCAGGGTTGAAGTTTGAGAATGATGCTTGAGTTTGAGGACGGATTGGCGTATACCTAGGTGTCTACCTAGCTCCCGAGATAGTTAATATTGAGAAATTGAGGAAGTAGATGACCTGGATTTGATGCATCAAAGCGCTCTCCCTGGTAACGATAAAACTTGTCAGCTGTTGTCAGTTGTTACAGGCTGCCGACGCTGCCTTGGGCTGATGACTAAACCGGCCGCGTCCCTTCCAATGCTGGTGAGCTCTATCTAACCTCAACTTCCAACAACTCGAGCACCACGACGCGACTTCCGCTAGATACGACACAGTTCCACAGAGAACGTCGACACCATTCAGGATTGAAATCCTCGATACAAGTGCCCACAGGCGTTGACAGAGATGGCGAGCGGGTGCGAAGTGCCAATACCCCCCCAAGATGTCAAGCTGCTAACCCCCCAGAGCAGGTGGAGCATCATCATCGGCCTGGTGATCATTGCTGTCCTATGTGTTGTCGCATGGATATTCTCACCGAAGGGCGAGAACCAAGTGTTCGTAACCCCAACACGGGCCTTCCGGGCGCGGCAATTCGCGGGAAGACCGGGCTAAACAAAAACCTCCCTTGTCCTAGGCTCTGGCGGTCGTCTCTCATTCTCGCTATCATCAGCTGCTACCTCATGTGGGCCATCACGTTCCTTGCGCAGTTTAACCCGTTGATCACGCCGAGGCGGTCGGACCTGCGACCCGAATACCTACATGAATGAGCCGGGCTTGGGGGAACTAGGATGGTATCGACGGGCTATCTCTGTACAAACACCTCTTCTTATATTACCACATCTATTGGGCGTTTGGGGGTCTTTGCGGGCTTTTTCAAGTGGCAGCATGTTATGGATTCTTCGCAGGTTGCGTTGCAGAAGGGATATGTTTCTACGACGGGGACGAGAGCCAGCCCGATTCGAATAGAGAAATCGGGACAAGCAGCCGCCTGCAGTTTTCTTGGAGCATCCGACCGAAATGCCGGGCTTAGCATACACACGCTCCTCGCAGCGAAGTAGTCGTCGATTTCACGAGCATCGATTATATTATTATAATATTATATCCCATACCCATTGCGTAGATATCCCTCTCATGGGCAGTTCTCTATAATATGGCCCCCTCGCCCTACCCAACAGCCAGCCTCCCCGCCCATTCCTTAACGTAGAGAACCAGTGCCCACAGCGCCCTCCCGTCCTCTGCAACGCTGCTCTCGCCGCCGCCGTCCAGCCCCTCCAGGCCGGCGGCCCACAGGACGGCGCGGCCCGTCGCCCAGCGGCTGACGGCGCCGGCGGTGGCGAGGAGGGCGGCGACGCCGTAGCCGCAGTCGAGCAGGATCTTGAGGGCCTCGACGTTGTTGGCCACGACGGCCCAGCCCAGCGACCGCGCGGCGGCGGGGACGTCGTACTCCCAGATGACCATAAGTATGGGAAAGAGCTTGGTCGACGAGGAGACGAGCAGCGCCGTGCTGACCGAGTTCGGGCGCGAGTACGGTCGGAAGATGCCGAGGAGGGAGAGTGGCGAGGAGCGGCTTGACGTTAGGAAGCGGATCGAGAGGTGGAAGGCGAGGGTGGAGAGGGTGCAGAGGAGGACTATGGTACGGAGGATTGGGTCAGTTTGGTTGCCATTTGAACAGGGAACTAATGAAGCCCGGTGGGCTGGGATATACTCACGGAAGAAGACATATTGGAATACGATGGGCTGCTGCGCAAGGCGGCCAAAGTTGCTAGCCGTAAGGGATGCGGCGTCAGGTGTGGACAATTTCTCGATGCGCGCCCATGTCAAGTAGACGTCGAAGAGAAGTAGGAGAACGCCCAGGCGGATGATAGACGGCTGCGATAATACAGGCGGTCAGCACTAACATCCATAGAACAGTAGTCGATAGCCAGGGGGTCATACGGCGAATTCATCCTCGTCTTTCATCAAGGTATTGTGGAGGAGATGTCGGTACACCTGCGGCGCAATATCAATACCAAAAGCCTTCGCGACGACTGCAGCTTCAGAAATACCTGGGGCTTGATCAAAACGAGATCAATAAACAAGACAACAAAGTCATGTTCGACATATTTGTCGCAGAATCGACCGCAGTTCTTGCAGACTGTAAGCCGGATGTTGTGGCCGCCCGACTTGTCACCGGCGCCTTCTCTCCATAACGTCTTGACGGGATGCCGGCACTCGATACAGATGGGCATTTGCGGGACCCTCTGTGGTTTCAACGGCTTTTTGTTCAGGTCTTTGTTACCGATCTAACATGGCCAAAACCTGAGCGCGGGAAAACGCTTTGGGGGGAAGTTCGGCTTCGGCGCGGTGGGCAGTGGGCGAGAGTTGCGTTGAAGACTAACACGACTTTCTTGGCGGCTTTCTGGCAGGTGGCGGGAATCTGTGGTTTCATCGCGCTTGATTCTGTGCTATGTACATAGGTAAATAAGCTCTTATCTTCTTATCTTCTTATGTACCCCCCAAAGCTGCGTTGTATGCTATGTAGCTACCTAGGTAAAGCTCAATATAGATAATTAACCCTCAAAACAATCTGGTTAGATGTAAAAAGATGGCAAAACAATATCTTGTGTGCAGAGGATTCAGCTATATCTCATGCGACGAAAAACTCCAGCTGCCAGATAACGTTCTGCTAATACTTGTATACAAAAAGGCCCAGCCCGCCGCAACGCCTGGTCTATAACAATGCATGGATATCCATCTCTTAGCTCACTGCTGCCCTGACAAACGAAATTTAATCAGCTTTCTTCGCCTGGCCGATGCTGTTCCCAGTGGATCTTCCCCTGACACTTCCCTCCCCAGCCCTCCTACTAGAGGAGCCATATGCGGACGAGCTCGGCAGGCCCAGATCCGGAAACTCTGCTGCACCGTTCAATGGACCCCCTTTGCCATCGTCGCTGTTGGTATCTGTGAGTTCAATGAGGTCTCCCTCTCGCTGGGTCGGTCGTCCACGAGGACCCAAGTTCGGCGTTCCCGGTCGCTTCGCCAACGCGCCGCGCAGCCACGTTTCGACGGCCGCAGCAGCTTTGTCGAGACCCGACCCTTGCCGACTGGGGGAAGATAGGTCCCGGCCTTCTTCAAAAGGGCTATCGACAATCCCAGCCTGCTCAGCCCCGTTGATGGCGAAGCGGGCGATCTCGGATCCCATCACGGACATAGATGGGAAAGACTCGATGTTCAGGCCCGGGATGTGCTTCTTGGTCCAGGTGTTGAAGTAATCCTTGTCCGGTCCGGGTGCACGCACGTTCTTGCCCAGTGACCCGACACCTCCAGGTCTGCGCATCCATGCCGGTCTGACATCGTCGCCTCCGCTGTTGACGCGACTCCTTGATAAACTAGCCGGCGTCGACCCCCCGTAGGCGTTGGCAAATTGCTGCCCGGCAAGTTGCTGCCCACCACTAAGCAGACTGTGTCTTCGAGAAGAGGTGCTTCCGGGGCTGTCGATGGCTTCGGAACCTAGGATAATGCTGGGAACATCCAAAGATCCTCGTGGGGTTGAAAGACTCGAAGAGCTATGTAAGGTCTTCTTCCGCCTTGGGGGGAAGTATCCCAAGGCTTTTCGTGGTACCCGGGCGATTTCGACTGGTGTCGTAAATGAGTCGACAGTAACCCAGCGGACATGAGTCCAGGGAGTACCCTCCTGCTCGGCCTTTCGCTGGTCAGACGTCTTGTTCGCAGAAGCGGCGAAGAAGTCATCCTGCTGCCCATGGCCCCCATAAGGATCGATCGCATCGGGTGTCGGGGCTAGTAGATCGACCGGTTCCCCTGGATTCGACGGTCCTTGGCAGGGACGCCCTCGCACCTCGCAGGCGTCCACCGGCATTGCCAACCATTTCCGTACCTGGATATTGTCCCTTGACCATAATCCATTGGCCTTCCGAAAAGCATCTTCCCGGCACCTGTATTTTAGCACAATCCCGGCGTACGTGTCGGTTTTTTGGACGTGGTGGATGTAAACAAGGTGTTCCTCCGTCTCGTCCGGCCGAGACGCGTCTCTCAGATCCTCATCCGACCTCCTCTTCTTGAACTTTCCGCTCGCGTCCAACCCGCCATTAACACCCTCGTAGCTCTCCAGCACACTCGCCGTCTTCAGGGCCTTCAGAGCCGCCTGTCTCTGCGCCTGGGCACCCGCCGCCACATCCGCCAGCCTCGGCCGCGACGATCCCGGTGGTTCCGGCCCCCAGGCGGTAGCCTTCTTATGTGAGGAATTCCCATCGACAGTCCTGCGCATTGGCTTCCTGGTCCTGCTCCCACTCTTGCTTCCTGCCTGATCCGAGCCGCTCTCGAACGCGCCATCGCCGCCCCCGGTCAGCAGTGACGCCGCGAATCCCTGCACAGACGCCCAGCTCGGGGCCCACGAGCTGTCCAGAAATCCACCGCCGAAGGCCGAGCTGGCCGTCCGTCCTCCCCCGTTGCCCTGTCCAATCGCTGAGCCATTGTTCCGTCCCGTGCTCGAACCTATCCTCGCCGAAGGGATGGGACTCGCCCCGCGGCTCGGGGACAGATTTGGACTAGGCTGAAGTGAGGTCGACGATCTCGAGGCTGGCTTGGTGGTGTCGGCGTTGTTGCGGCCGGGGGTGCTAGCCGGGCGGCGCATTCGTGGCCGGATTGAGGCCGAGTCCGAGTCCTGGGTGGCTGGCATTAGGGCACTCGAGGAGGTGCGCTGTGCAGACTTCATTGGTTCTGGCATCGTCGTGTGGCCAAGCACGAGGCCGATGACCTCAGCGCGCAGCAATGGCGGCTTTTGACAAGGCTCAGCATCAGATCGTGGTTGCAGTCATTGGCTTGGATGCGTGAAGGTAGAGGTTTCGGGGGTTGCGAATGATGTTCAAGCCAGAGGCTGAGCAGCCCTAGAGTCTTAGACCAAGACGCCCGTGGCTGACGGTCAGTGGAATGATGCAGGAAGGCTGTTTTCCCCTAGAATACCGAGCTTGACTTGACGGAAATCGATTGTTGGTTGTGCTGTCGTGATGGCGTGGACTTGGCTTAATAAGGTTGGTCCCTCCCTCCCCGGACTGGCTGTTTCAACACATGTGGCCAATTGTTTGGGCGCTGGTCAAAAGACAGGAGTACATTTTAGGTACGCAATACCTCATACGGATTAGGTATCTTACAATCCCTACCTCCACCAGCCCGACTCTAGCAAATACGGATAGCTCCTCGTAAAGGGAGTGACGCATCTCTGGTAATTATCATTCCCTACCTAGATAAGCAGCATGCTAGCAATTGAGCGTTGTGGTTGTATTTGCTGTTAGAACATCCTCGTCTTCAAGGTCCCTTTGTGACTTACAGGTACGGAAGGTAATTAATTCCCTAGTGGGGTAACTTTTGGGACGGCTTACCTTCCCGACAATTCCACCCTTCACCACCTCGTAAAGCCTTCAGCTTCGTCAATTGAGAAAGTGTTGATATGTGATCCCCTGGCGCCCACGCTGCATCGCCTTCAGCTTTATTCTAGTTACCAGTATAAACTATACGTTAACTTTGGCTCCCTCCAGACGAGATGAGACGATGGAAGGTGGGCTTGATTACGTAGGTAATACGGATGGATCCTTTTTGCTTGCAGGTGCATGGACCATCTGGCATCACAGTGCTGTTTTGACACCCCTGATTTCACCCCACCTTACCCCCCCGGGTGTTCGCATCCAAAGTAAACAAGTCTGCCGAATTTGAAGCGCGACAACCTTCGCGCCGCGTCTGCCAGAATACCAAACTCACAAATCGAGAGATAACAAGTGAGGCCGAACCACCCCGGCGCACCAGAATGAGGGTCATCGAAGTGATTATTGATGTTCGTATACCTCGCCATAATGCGCAACTACTTTATCTGACTGGTTTGTGCAGGGCTTCAAGTCATACGCCGTGCGAACGGTCATCTCAGGATGGTAAGTAAACAAACCCGACAAGCAACTGTTCTGGGTAACCTCGGACTAACAGACGGTCACAGGGACGAGAGCTTCAACTCGATCACTGGCCTCAACGGCAGTGGCAAGTCCAACATTCTCGATGCGATTTGCTTCGTCCTGGGCATTACCAACATGTCCACCGTCCGCGCGCAAAACCTACAAGTACGGCAGCACTGCGCTCCTCTTTACATGGCCTCTCTTTTGCTCACACGTGCACTTAGGACCTCATCTACAAACGTGGCCAAGCCGGTGTCACCAAGGCCAGCGTCACAATAGTCTTCGATAACCGGGATAAAAAGAAGTCGCCCATCGGGTTTGAAGAATATGCCACCATCAGCGTGACTCGGCAGATTGTGCTTGGAGGCACTTCCAAATACCTCATCAACGGACATCGTGCTCAACAGCAGACAGTGCAGAACCTCTTCCAGTCCGTCCAGCTCAACATCAACAACCCCAACTTCCTCATTATGCAGGGTAGGATTACCAAGGTCTTGAACATGAAGGCCGTGGAAATCCTGGCCATGATCGAGGAGGCGGCGGGAACGCGTATGTTTGAGGACCGAAGGGACAAGGCACTGAAGACAATGGCGAAGAAGGACATGAAGCTGCAGGAGATCGCGGAACTGCTTCGCGACGAGATCGAGCCCAAGCTTGAGAAGCTCCGGACCGAGAAGCGGGCATTCCTGGACTTCCAGCAGACGCAAACAGATCTTGAACGCCTGACCAGAGTGGTCGTGGCTCATGACTATGTCAAGTGCCAGGAGAAACGACAGCAATCCGCTTCAGATTTGGAAGCTAAGAAGCAGCGCCAAAAAGACCTCGAGCAGTCCGCCGCGAGGTTGAAGAGCGAGATCTCACACCTGGAGGAGGACGTGCAGAGGATCAAGGCGGAGCGGGACAAGGAGCTTCGGAAGGGCGGCAAGGCGCAAGCGTTGGAAGACGCCGTCAAGAAGCATTCCAATGAGCTGGTTCGGCTGGCAACTGTCATGGACCTCAAGAAAACCAGCATGGCAGAAGAACAGGAGCGGAAGACGAATGGCGAGAAGAGCGTTGCCGAATTGGAAACCACGCTGAAGGAGAAGACCAAGGCCTACGAGAAGATCAAGGCCAAGTACGACACTGCGAAGGAAGAACTCGAGAAGCAGAACCAGGACGCCGAGTCCAAAGAAGAGCTTCTGCAGACGCTGCAAACCGGCGTTGCATCCAAGGAAGGCCAAGAGAACGGATACCAAGGACAGCTCCAGGATGCAAGGAATCGTGTCACTGCTGCAGTCACGGAACAAGAACAGGCGAAGATCAAGATTTCCCATCTCGAGAAGCGAATCAAGGAGGAGGAGCCCCGCGCGAAGAAGGCCAAGGAGCAGAATGCTGGACTTCTAAAGGACCTGGACGGCCTGCGATCTCAAGCACAGCGGTTGGAGAAGGACCTTGGTAAGCTCGGCTTTCAACCGGGGACCGAAGAAGAAATGTACAAGCAGGAAAGCTCGCTGCAACAGACCGTGCGGAATCTGCGCCAGGAGTCCGACGCCCTGAAGCGCAAGGTCGCGAACATCGACTTCAACTACTCGGATCCGGTGCCGAACTTCGACCGGTCAAAAGTGAAGGGGTTGGTAGCGCAACTCTTCAACCTCGAGGAGGAGCATACCCGAGCGGGGACTGCTTTGGAGATCTGCGCAGGTGGACGCCTCTACAATGTGGTCGTGGATAACGAGGTGACTGGCACTCAACTGCTGCAAGGAGGCAAGCTCCGGAAGAGAGTGACGATCATCCCCCTGAACAAGATTGCCGCGTTCAAGGCCTCGGCGCAGACCATCGCCACAGCTCAGAAGATTGCCCCCGGCAAGGTCGACCTCGCACTCTCTCTGGTCGGATACGACGACGAGGTATCTGCCGCCATGGAGTATGTCTTTGGCAACACTCTGATTTGTGCCGATGCGGACACTGCCAAAAAGGTCACATTCGACCCGAATGTGAGGATGCGCAGTATTACCCTGGAGGGTGATGCTTACGATCCCTCGGGCACCCTCTCCGGTGGCAGCTCGCCAAACTCGAGCGGCGTTCTGGTCACCCTGCAGAAGCTCAACGACATCACAAGGCGGCTGAGAGAGGCCGAATCCTCTCTAAACGGGCTGCAGACAAAGATCGCAAAGGAGAAGTCGAAACTTGACCAGGCGCGCAAGATCAAGCAAGAACTAGACCTCAAGGCCCACGAGATTAAGCTTGCAGAGGAGCAGATCAGCGGCAACTCGTCGTCTTCCATCATCCAGGAGGTTGAAAATATGAAGCAGACCATCACACAGCTCAAGAGCGACGCGGCCGAAGCCAAGAAGCGGCAAGCAGAGGCCAACGCCGACGTCAAGAGGATCGAGAAGGACATGAAGGACTTCGACAACAACAAAGATGGCAAGTTGGTCGAGCTCCAGGCCTCCCTAGACAAGCTACGCGCCTCGCTGAGCAAGATGGTGGCGTCGAACAAGGCTCTCCAAAAGGAGCTCCAGGGCGCCCAGCTCGACTCGGAGCAGGTCGCGGGCGACCTGGCCGCGGCACGCGAGCAGCTGCAGGAGATTGACCTCGCCATCAAGGCGCAGAAGGAGGAGATGAAGGATCTCGAGAGGCAGCAGGTCGGCGCCAAGGAGACGCACGACAGCGCGCAGGCCCAGCTCGACGAGGAGCGGACCAAGCTGCACGTGTTCGACGACGAGCTACGGGCGCTCGAGGAGACGACGCGGTCCAAGAACGCGCGCGTGACGGAGGAGAGCCTCGAGATGCAGAGGCTGGGCCACCAGGTGGAGAGATTCCACAAGGAGCAGCAGACGGCGGTGCAGACGGTGGCCAAGATGGAGCAGCAGCACGAGTGGATCGGCGACGCGAAGGAGCAGTTTGGGCGGGCGGGCACGCCGTACGACTTCAAGGTCCAGAACATCGGCGAGTGCAAGTCGACACTGCACAACCTGACGGAGCGCAGCCAGGGCATGCGCAAGAAGATCAACCCAAAGGTGATGAACATGATCGACAGCGTGGAGAAGAAGGAGGTCGGGCTGAAGCACATGATGAAGACGGTGGTGCGCGACAAGCGCAAGATCGAGGAGACCATCGTCAGCCTCGACGACTACAAGAAGAAGGCCCTGGAGGAGACGTGGCGCAAGGTCAACGGCGACTTTGGCCAGATCTTCAACGAGCTGCTGCCCGGCAGCTTCGCAAAGCTAGACCCGCCCGAGGGCAAGACCATCAGCGACGGCCTCGAGGTCAAGGTTTGCCTCGGCAAGGTCTGGAAGCAGAGTCTGACCGAGCTGAGCGGTGGGCAGAGGTAACCATCCCCCTCCCCCCCTCTTTCTTCTTCTCAGTCCCCTTGTTTCCCGAAAAAAGGCCAGTCGAACTAACAACCCGCAGGTCGCTCATCGCGCTGTCGCTCATCATGGCACTCCTGCAGTTCAAGCCGGCGCCCATGTACATCCTGGACGAGGTGGACGCGGCGCTGGACCTGTCGCACACGCAGAACATTGGGCGGCTCATCAAGACGCGCTTCAAGGGCTCACAGTTCATCGTCGTCAGCCTCAAGGACGGCATGTTCCAGAACGCGAACCGCATCTTCCGGACGCGCTTCAGCGAGGGCACGAGCATGGTCCAGGCCCTGACACCTGCGGATCTGAAGTGAGTCGGTTCGTATGTGTTTATGGAGAAATGCTGGGAGCGAAGGGCTTGTGTGGCGGCGATTTTGGGCCCATGTGAATACGGGGGAAAGTGGGATGGGGAGGAGTAGGTTGTTTGGTCTACAGGATGCATCACGACTTGAGCAACGGATATCATACGGTCTTAATGAGCTGGGCGGGTTATTACGGCTTGGGTTCTATGTCGCTGTCTTGCCTTTTTTTCCCTCTCTATGTATATGTTCTGTTATTACAAATCGTCTCTTATCCAAACAACTCTACGGGGGAACCCTTCACTGCGCGATGTAGCGATGACTGCCTCGCTCCAGAACTTCAACCGCCATGCCCACCTCCAGCCAGCCCTCCATATCGTCGGGGCTTTTTGCCTTCTCGAATAGAGGCGTCAACTGCATCCCCAGGCAGCCATTGCGGGGTGACCCCTCGTCTATGTTCCGGAGTTTCCTGAGGGACTTGTCCGGCTCGACCGGATGGCGGAAAGCGGTGTCCGGGTCTACATTCGGCATCTTGCACCTGTTTTGTTTGGCGTCGTTAGTAGTTGCCAAGTAGGCGCCGTGTTGGGGTGACGGCCTGGAATATTAGGAAGTAGACTGACCGAACTGTCCGGCATGATACGTGACACTTCGAGTCCGGCGACTTGCCTGATGGCGCAGCCCGGAAACGTATCAACTTCCAGCTGTCTTCGTCATATGCCTCTACGTCGTCGACTAGGTAGGTGTGTGAGTACGGGGACAGAGGTTTGTGCACATTGGGGGCTGACTCACTTATAATATTGGACCGAAACCTCCTCGCGTCCAGGGAAGTCATGTTCTCATCCTTGGCAATCTTCGACTCGAGATCGCGGACGCTGGCCAGGTTGATCAAGTGGAGAGGATACTGTTCATTTAGTAAGTCAATTTCATAATCCTTCGTCGTCAACCATTAGGCCGATCTCAGGGGAGAGCGACTTACGGCATCCTGGAAGCCCGTGACAGGCTGGTAGCCGGCCTCGTCCCTGCCAGGCGCACACCGATAGACCTCGCGCAAGCTCTCCGGATCGACGCGGAACAGGCCGAGCTTGTTGCTCACGCCCAGGTAGAGGCGCAGCTCGGGGGGCAGCTCGGCCTCCATGTTGAGGGCCCTCACGCTGTCTTTCCAGATGGTGACCTGCTCGTAGGTGTAGCCCAAGTCCTCGATGTCGGCCTCGGACGGGAACGCCACCGGCAGTAGGACCTCCATCTCGGGCACCGCACTCGGCCCACGGCGGAGCTTCGCGGCGAGCCACCCCAGCGCGCCGCGCAGGCCCGTCTCCCGCCAGGGGAACGTCAGGATGAGGAAGGACTCGGTCGGCCGGTCGTCGGCCTGTCCCGTGGCCTTGACGAAGTCGGCGACATAGAGGTCGGCCTGGACGGTCGCGAGTCGGGGGAACTGCCGCTGGGTGATGAACTCCCACCTGTGCCGGGTCTTCTCCTCGTCCGAGGAGCCGAGACCCACGGGGAAGGGGCTCTTGAGCTGGGCAAAGGTGAAGAGCCTGTCGAACTCGAGGCCGGTGGGCAGGACCTTGCTCCTGGCGACCTCGATGCCTTTGCAGGACTTGACCGGGTAAATCCACAGGCTCCGAATCCCCGCCGAGCTGCCGGTCCGCGATGCCGAGTTTGGCGCCCGCTGGTCCTTCAACTTGGATTTCGACTGCTCAACACCGACTTTTATGTGTGTCTGCCGGACCGCGTCACTTTTGGAAGGGGAAACCGGGGGGAAGAAGATAAAGATGGGTACTAGGAAAACACAAATGGTAAAAAGGAGTAGGAAAATGCCGGTTCCGTCTATGACCGGCTTGAGCTGTGGAGAGGTCGCTTCCATTTTCCAAACGCGTCGGTTATCTTTTGTCACACGTCCAGCGTCTTAGACAGGGCTCTTTTTTTTTTTTCAACGTCGAAGACTACCAAGGTACCGAGGTAAGGTAAGCGGACATGCCACTTTTCTCTTAGCTGGCTTAGATATCAACTCTATATCGCGACCTATATCGTCTCTTGAAGATGCATCGAAGTTCCCAACATGGTGTCCAAAATGGGCTGATCTTGAAACGTCTTCGATTGCCCTTCAGACTTGGGGCACGAACGGTTCACGAAACCGAAGTGCTTATGTAATTGGATAAAAAAGTTTACCCTGTTCCATGTTAGGCAAGCCGGGACGGGAATTACCCTTGTTACGTGGCTTGCCAGAAATTCCTGGTTCGCGCCTTCGCAGGAGTGCATGGGCCACATTACCCTTGACTCCACGTGATATGATGGCCCAATTGGATGAGGCCATGTCCCGCAAAAGATCAGAATTCCAAACAAACCCTTTCAGACGTGTCTGTTGCCAATTCAGAGTTTAAGTTGCCGTAACGGAAAAGCCTATTCTGCAATCCGCATAAGTTAGGCTTATTGTGGGACCGGGGATGCGGGAGCTTCCCCGCTCCCGAGAAACATATATTTTTGTTTGATCCCCTAGGGTTAGGGTGTATCAGCATTGTGGGTAGCCGAGATGTGGAATCTCCATCTTTAGTTGTCGTGGCACTTCGACTGTGATTGACAGTTCTGAGAATAGCAACAACAGCCCTGCGATGCATGCACGTACGCAGCGCGTTGGGGAGGGACGTGCAAGTGCAAGCGGAACGGTCAACTTGAAACGACGCGGCCGGATTAAAGTAATTGGTTAACCGCGCGCCGCGAAGGGGCTGGCGGGAGCGATTGATGGAGCCAGCCTCTAACCTTCTGGAGTCGTGGCTCTCGTCTCTGGAAATGGATTGGGACCCTGTTGATCACATTTATCATTTATCCCAAGGAAAAATCTGTGGGGAGCCCTTCCCGTCCGCCCCTCATCTGGCCACGGCGGCCTGGAGTCAGGCTGATATAAGGCTGCCGGGATTGCGTGCCGATAACAGCAGTCGCAGCCGGCGACACCCAGTTGCTGCAGAAAAAGGCTGCCATCCAATACACACGTCTTTTCATCCGGTATCATTTTCGCCAAAATGCCGGTTGAGGCTAGTGCCCACCTTCGAGTTTGATCCCGGAAGATCTTTGTGAGGATTCATGAATCACAGGGGAGACTGGGCTTCTAGCTTCCGGGCAGAAACAAAAGCGGTGGGAGAGGTTGCTGAAAACCTGATGTCAAAACCAGCATCCACTTGGAATGCGACTGTACCGCCTGGCTGGCACAGGGTCTTTCTTGGGCCTACCGGCTCTCCGCGATGGCGGCTTTCTTGTCGCAGATATCTTGGGCAGCTCGGGTGACGAGGCGGTGTGGGAGGCCGGGGACAGACCCGGTCGAAGCGGGAGATCCTAGACTCTGCAGCTGTTCATTGCGACAGACACCAGCATCAAGGACTGGGGCTGCGGGGCGAACCTTTGCTCAGGAGCAAACTCAGATAAGGTAATGATTGATCCTTGAAACGCAAGAATCGCCGGGTTGCAGCTGTGCAAGGCGCACTCCCGACACCCATCATGGTGTCCAGATGGCCGGGACAACTGTCCGACATGCATGTCTTGGCCCTCTTTTCTTCAAGGGGTTTTCTCATTTTTAAAAGGAAAAAATTGGAATAAAAACAAAAATGAAATAAACAACACAAAAAATCATGCGCGCAAGGTGAGTACCCAAGTTTGGATAGCCAGAATGCCCTCCATATCTTGCTCGATGGAGGGCTAGCTACCTAGTTAAGCAAGCATTCGTCCCAAGAGGTCCAAAAGCAGGGGACAATCCGAGTTGGGACTCTCGTTGCGAGCAGTGAACACCCAGGTTTCCACAGCGAGGCAACAAAAAACTCGACAGAGGTCTGGCGACCGGTAATATCGGGAGGGGTGGAGAGAATCTCGGGGCTTAATTTCGAGAGATTAACCCTTCGCTGGGCCATGGCGACGTAGAACCGACGTGGAACCGCCGACGATGTTAATTACATGCGGTCCGTTGTTGGGAAAAGCCGACGAGTTGATAGTATACTGCGTAGTATGGATGTAGCTTGCGACAGACGTACTGCATGCGTGCTTGGAAGTTATAACACTAGGTAGGTCTCCCCTACCGGCGCATCATAATGGCAAGGATGCCCGGTCGCGAATCCTCAGTTGTTGTTGGTATATGACTAGGTATATGTGAGCGTCGTGTGCGTTGCACTAGGTAGCGTAGCATATGCAGGGTGGCCGCGTCGAGCGGTGATGAGCTGATGATGGATCTGAACCCAGGATACAGCGTACAGCGTCAGGGAGTGCGGATAGCGTAGCAACTCGATCTGTGCAAGGGTTATGTGCAGCAACCATGGGCGGCGCGCAAGGCCAGGTCGGTGTGTCGGGTTCTCTGTACCATAGTAGAAGATTGAAGATGCAGAAATGGGTTGCATCATCGCATGGGTCACGACGCAGGAAAGAGGTAGTTCACCTGTCTGGGAATAGATCGTGAAAAGTCGAGCAGAATAATGGAGCTTTTCAAAAGGGGCAGACGGGTTCGGACATCTCCGGCCGGCTCCATCTGGCATGCCATGGACAACCAGAGTTGCAGGAAATGACATTATTTCCTTTTCGTCGTTGTTTTTCATATGAGAAGGTATAAGACGCGTTTTAAGATCTTCTCTCAGGCAGGGCTGTTTCTGTGCCATGGTTCTGGCAAATAGCTAATTATGGATCTGTTGACTGGTTGAGGTAAGCTTGTCCGAGGCTTTTGATCATTGGCCACTTGGGAGAATCTGCGTTGTCCCCCATCCATGCATGGTCTGTGCCCCTTGGAGAGAGTGGGTGTGGTCACAGATGCAGTGTAACAGTTTGCATGTGCAGATCATTCTCGGGAGCTCCAAGAATATCTGAGACCAAGAAGATCTCTGGACCAAGTAGCTAATATTGTACACATATCCGGCTCACTAGTGTTGTGCATTGGGATGGGGGGTGGATGAGACTGGCTGTCGGGAGCCTTCATTTCCCCAGAACTGGAGCCAGGAGCTCCCTTCACTCAGTGATCGCAGACGGGCGCCAAGACTCCATACCTGGGTGGTTTTGCCGACTGTTCCAAGTGTTGTAAGCCGCAGGGGCTGTTTGGGGGCCGGCGGGCCCGCTCAGGAAATACCGGGATGATACGCAGTACTACGTATGTACATCTTTGCGTGTCCGGATTAGGCAGTGTAGCGTATCTTCCATGCTTGGCAGTACGGATACTGGAGGCAAAGGCACCTAGGCAAACGCAGTACACGCAGCACGACGCTCTTGAACAGGGTGCTTCCCGACGACGTCTCGCCATCGATCAATCAGCTGGAGATGACGGTCCCGATATTATTCCCCCACATCAGTCGCATAGGAATGCCATATTCGCACACACTGGTCTGCAATAGGCTACCCCCTGTCCACTCGACCCATTATGGCCAACTTGTACTACTAGTACGTAATTTGGCGATCACCGTGAGGCCAGGCAACCGGTAGGTAAGATGATACGCCCCTATCAGCGTCGGTATTTCACATACATCGGCAGGTGCTCTTGCGGATGAACTACAAGTCTATATAACAACAGTCCACAGAAAGTATCACCACGTTGGCGCGTATGTATGTACAATGCAGAGCCTCCCTCCGGCAGAGACGTTGGCCGCCTGGGAGACATGGGAGAGACAAAGGCCTGAATAAAGTTGGGGAGGTCAAATCTGGTTCAATAGATCGGCAGGGATATGCCTGCTAGTGAAAAGCGAGAAGCACTGACAGTGCATTCCGCCCTCGGGTCTCAGGACATTGACGACCCACATTCCAACCTCCTGGTACTTTCGACGTCACAACCTATCTACCTTAGGTAGTTAAGAATACCAAGGTACCTCACAGGAATAAGGAAGAGACGAGTAGGTTCGTAACATACTCCCTTTCGGGTCTATGCTGTAAGTCCAGACCCAGCTGACCGGGTATGGTTTTCAACCTGCGAGGTACGAATATGTTAAGGGACTCATAGGCATGGGTAAATGGATCGGATGGGGAATATACTATGCAGTAAGGGTAGAAAAGGGGGGTTACAACGTCGATGCCAAAAACCCCCGTCATATTCATACAGTGTCTCGCACCAAGAATGTATTGTCATACGGTGTCACACTTACATGGATGGTTTACCCTGTCAAATCCGCTTCGTTCCCATAATTATCTTGCACTAGAACATCAGTAGAACCCTCTCAAGCGGGTTGAATTCTGGGTAGACGGTTCCTTCCCTTCCATGTGAAAGGCGGATTCCGTGGACCGGACTTTGAGCTAAACAGTGCAGCTACGCCTCATGAAGTTAGAGATTTGGAGAGCCTGTGACACTCCTCACCTGATGGCAGGTCGTGCTCCTCAGGCAGATGGGGATTCATGGAATGCTCCGATGCAGGGGAGCGCTCCAGCCCGCGGACGCGCAAGCAGTACGGCCACCGTTATGATGTTAATAAGTTAGAGATGCGAATCTCACTTTATGTAGGATGGTGTACCTGCAGGCTCATCAAGCAGGACACTTTGAGCGGCAGAAACCCAGAAGACTCCGACTGATTGGGCCGGGATAATAAGGTTAAAATCAGCATGAACCAGACAACGACACAAATGCAGCACATTGGGCTGCAACGTTGGTAAAGTAGGTAGCAGGTACAGACTGAGAAGGTGTCCGCGAGACACGTGATGATGTTCGTCTCATCTTGGAACCCTTTTCCAGAGTCCCTCCATTTTAGTGAACGCCTGTGCGCGCCGATCAAGTTCCCTGATCTTCGACGATTGCATGCTGCGCTATTGCATATGCACAGATCAAACTGCATAGCCCGGGCGTCATCTGTCTCCATGCGGACACAGTTGAATGAAGGCCGTTCAAAAATCTAAACAACTAATAATGTCCGATTTCTCCCTAGTCTTTGCGCTACAGGCGCCCAGAAGGCCTGGCAATAATACCAGGTACCTCTGTCTGTTTGCCGAATCGTCTCCGAAGAGTCATCCCGTCGATGCTGTGGCGATCGCCGTTTGCTTGTTGGGTTCGACAGTCGGAACGAGGTTACTGCCAGGAATGCCAGTACTGCCGAGTCGAGCTCTCTGCCTACCGGCCCAAGCCCAAGCTTGCCACTTACACTACTTCCAGACCCATTACTCTTAGTTGGTTAGGTGAATACATGGGAGTACAGGTACTGTTACATGACTAAGAACAGCAATCCACCCCATCCTGGATTTGGTGCTTTTTGTCGACTTGGTGTTTTTGGCCTGTGCTTCTTCTATTGATTCAAGCCAGGGGCCAGCTTGGGAACCCCGGTAGCTCGGTAACTTACCTCATTAGGTAGGTAAGTACATACAAGACCTACTGCTGCTTCTAATGAGGGAGGCATGGAACTTTAACCATTCAACACAAAAACAATAACAACATCCATAACGCCATCATGTGTAACATGACGCCTGCTTACTGCTTACCCCTTCACACTTGCCTTCCAATCCTATCCTATCTTACTTATTTATGTGCGAGCGGTGTGTGGGCTTCCGGGCGGGGGAAGGGGCGGCTCCGGTCTGTGGGGCCAGACAGATGAGTGGTTGCAGATTGTCAGAGGGTGGAATGCCTGTGTCAAAGAAATGCAGCTATGACGCATAGATGCATAGCGGGTGCCCTTGTCCCTAGCCTACCGTGGACGTTTTCATGCCATCAAACCCAAAAAAGAGCGACTTTGGACGTCTCTGTCTAACAAGGCGCGGGGCCAGCCGAGGTCCCAAAACAAAGTCGACTTCCATGTCAAGGCCCCGAGGAGGCGCATCAGGGTTGCAGCAACGACGAGAGATTGCATTTCGCCGTTAGCCGCCGAAGATCAAACCACCGCCGTCATTTACCAGGCTCCTTTTCTTTCGTCCCATGTTTGGGCGGCACCCAAAGGCACGCAGACAGCGAGCATGGGCCTGCCCTTGTTTCCCACCCCGGTCGAGTCCCCACCATCTTCCTATCTTGGATACACGAGGTAACGAGGTACCACTTTTACCTTATACAAGCCTCCCCAATGCTTCATAGGCTGCGTACAGCTACCTACCTGGGAACTACCTAGATGTACATCCATCTCCATAATCGAACCATCCATTTCGCCACGGGGTTAGATACTTGGATGCTGCTAGGCTTGAGGTATTGATTGTATTCGCTAGACTGAGAACATCCCTTACGAACACATACATACCTAAATAGCTTGCTAGGTGAGGAGGGAAGGTAGGTCTCGATAATGCCCTTGAAGCGAGGCCCCAAGAACCACCCCCGCAGGGTCATGTATTGGGACGCTACTGGTCACAATGGGAAGACAAGTGGGATTCTTGTTCCAACGTGAATCCCAGCCCAGTCTCCATAGCGTCATTAGCGGTTAGGCGACCCAGGTGCGCCGAGCTGACGGACCATCCCGGTTTGCCGTGACCTTGGACCTGTCACCTACCTAGGGTAGTCGGGCATCCCATCATCGTTTGTCCAGCGGCAACCATCATCGAACATTCTGTGTTTGGACAGAAAATAAGGTCTCCTCACGTTGTGGTGGTTGAATTCCAACAAGGTACCTAACAGGTACTACCCTGTTACCTTGTTGCAGCGGAAAGGGAGATCGAGGCGTATCACCACTGTCCCGTTCGAATATACAAGGCTTAAAGAGCTTGACGAACCAGCGTGGATCTGAGCCGGGATTTTACCTCCTCTGAAGCCCAGTGGGATCCCCAGTGGAGGGCTGGGCTGATACAACACTGGGCGACAAGCTCTGTCCCTTCAACCCTGCCCCTGCAATCGACATCTGCGCGTCTACACTATTACACTATTTGTACTTGGCCTGTCACCTGCCCACACCGGTATCCAATGCTTTCCACTCGACGCCATCCGTTAGCGACTGCCATCTTATAGGTTCCCCATCAGTCCGCTCGCTGACAGTCTGATCTTGTTCCATTATCTTGTTCCATTCAACACTGCCGACCTACCTAACCTGAGGGAGTCAATATCTCATCTGTCACTCTCTCCATACTGGTCTTTTGGGAACGCCCTTCTACGCCGTGCGGCATCTTCTGATCCAGTATCCATCCCGGCATCTGTCTCCCCACTGTATCCTGGCAGCTTCCATCTTAACCGTTGCGCAACATAGGAATATCACGTCAAGGATCCCTCATCCCTCATCCCTCCTCCCGTCTCATACCCCTGGGGTGGCATCCGCCCAACAGCGTCATTGTTTTGTCACAGGTGCTCTGGTCTAATCTTACTGGGACTCTTCCCACAACCCTCTCACTTCTTACAACGGCGGCGTGCCCGGTCACTGCCATTCTAGGGACCCCGGCTTCTGTTCCTGCAGTACTGGTACCTCTGGCTTCGCTCGGGTTTCCTTGTCCACACAGGTCCCATCCCCATAAAGCCTTTGTGCTCCATGCCGCGACCTTGGGAATAACCGGGATGTTGATTACCTCTTCCGAAGACTACTTAGCGGAAAATACCGTCTGGTTTTATTCCTCTTCCAACTTATTCACACCCCATATAAATCTCATCGGTGGACAAGCCCCCTTGGGAAGGCCAATCCCAGCTCCCTGTCGTCCCCGAACACTCGGTCGCTCTAGCCGTTGTCGGGGCTAGATCCAGAGGACTTCCTTAACCACCCCGCGACCCCTCCCCTCCTCCACCAGTCGATCTTCGAGGCTTCGAGGGTACCCCAGTCTAGTCATCCTGCTTCGCCCGCTCGCTGGGGTGTGTGCGAACAGACCATCCCGACCAGCTGGCACATCCATATCACAAGCTATTATCTGGGTCAGCCTGCGGCTTGGATCCTTGAACACCCGCGCATCATCTTTTCCTCTCTAAGGCGTAGCTCGAGCCTAGCCCCCGTCTCGGCACCATTGGCGACCAGGGGCAAAGCTATAAGTGTGTTCGCACTTCAATGCTACGAACTTTATAACCACCAGGTTCCCAGGAGAAAATTTTCAGATTGCTTTCCCTGGCTGGCTCCCCGGCGCAGGTCAGCATCGCACTGAGCCTGGACCTCCACGCCCTCTCAACGTCCGGCCCGGCTCGAATCCATCTCGCCAGCAAAGCGAGCTGGAGACGAGAACCTCCGCTCCTACTCCGTGGTCCTCCTCGATCTGCTTGGGCCGTGTCCAGCGGTCAACGTCACGGCTATACCGTGGCTGGCAGCAGAAACGGCGGAGTGGCAAACACAGCGTTTGTCAGCGGTTTCTAGCATGATAGCACGCGGTTCGGACTCCTTTATCTGACGCCGTTCGAACCTGGAGACCAAGCTGCCAAGTCAACGCTTCGTCATCTTCATCGCCTCCCCGCCGCGGACGACCGAGAACTCTTCCCGTCTACCACACCATGAGCGATTACTATCACCGCTTCCTGTCCTCGATGGCAGGGGTGGGAGAACATCCGAACCCGAATCCTCAGGATGCTTCCCCTTCACTCCAGCAGCCGCCTGGCATTCCGCTCGGCGGCCAGCCACTGTCTAACTCTTACCAGAGTCTTGGCTATTTCAGTGGCTTCCCGGAACCCATCATGTTTAACTCGCAAAAGGCGCAGAGGAGTCGACGCAAGTCGGCCCCAGGGTTGGATCACATCAAACACCGGCGAACAAGATCGGGTTGCTACACCTGCAGAAGCAGGCGCGTGAAGGTAACTGCTTCCTCCTCTTTGACTAAGAGGGCCGGATCTGACATTGCGGTTAACAGTGTGACGAAGCGCACCCCGTATGCGAGAGTATGATCCCGGTATTCTGGCACTCCCTCACCTACACAGTTGGCTGACTTTCGCAGGGTGCAGGAAGGGGAAGCGAGAATGCGTCTACCCGGAACCCCCCGCCGCAAGGAGTTCATCGGCTCAGGATTTGAAGGAAGGATCAGGGCCGAGTCAGCAAACTAGCCCGACATCTTCGCGCGACGGGGACGAAGAAGAGATGGACCAGGACATCAAGCTGGGCCCTATCATGGACGAGGATGAGAGTCAGGCCGAGAGCGTGAGCCGAAAATCGATTCCTAACATACCACCTCGAAGATCGAGCACGACTTCCTCCTTTTCTCGCCATCCCTTCGCGGCCGACCCTCGACACGGCTCGGAAACGCCGTCTCTGGAAGGCACCAAAAGTTCCTCGCCATCAGTATCCACGGGCGCAACTAGCAGCCTCACCCCGGCGGCTCTACAGGTTTCTGATTTCCCGTCCCAGGCCGGGACTACGCGTCCTGACTGGTCCTTCCTCCCCCAGGAACTCCAGTTCTATCTCAACCACTTTTACGAGAACATCACGCATTACCACTACTGTATGGTCAACGACTCAGACGACTTCTTCCGGGCGATCCTGCCAAACATCGCAGTTCGCAATGAGGCCCTCCTTTATGCTATCGTGGGGTTTTCCGCTTACCACCACACTTTGAGGAACCCAAACGGCCAGATCAAAGAGTTCCTGCAATATTACAATAGGAGCGTGACTTTGCTCCTAGCTTTCCTGAAAAGGAAGGAGAAGCACAACATAGGGACTCTCTTGACGATCTTACAGCTTGCCACGATCGAGGTAGGGGGAAAACCTTGGCCCATTTTACCTGCGGGGCCCTTGCCTACAGTACTGTTTTTTTTTTCTGACACAAGCACAAGGAATATTTGGGAGACTGGGTCAGCCTCATGGGCCACCAGAGAGCGGCGTTCGAGGTGCTGACGCAGCTATTCTCACCCGAGTCCGCCATGCAGTCACCAATGAGCCGTGCGATACTGGCTTGGTACTCGCGATTCGACATCTTTGTCGGCATGATGGGCCGTTTCGAGACGGCCCTGCCGAGAGAGTGGTTCTCGACTTTTGTTGAATACTGCGACTCGCAGGTGGCGGCCGAGCCAGACAAGTCGGCATGGAAGATCGAGGCATGCAATGCTCGGTTCCGCCTCATTACGATGGAGATGTCGATCCTGTTTGGCAAAGGGGCTAGGTCGGAGCTTGCGGGAGACGCCTATTTTGCCGAGCACCGGAGACTATCCAAGGAACTCCAGGATTGGAAAGATGGATGGGACCCGGCGCTGACCGATCCCGCGCTGATGGTGACAGAATTCAGCAACGAGCGGCCACTGTACCCAAGCGACATTGTGAACCCTTTTGCGCCCGGGGTCCTGTACAACCAGCCGCTTTTCGCCTCGACGCTGCTCACATGCGAATGGCACTCGATCGTTATCATGCACGAGAGCCAGGGAGGCATGGATACTGGAGGGGAACAGCCGCCCAAGCTGGGGGAGCATGCATACGCGATCTGCCAGATGTTCGAGGCAATTGAGCTGTGGCCCTCGGCACCCAAGGGCAGCTTGTTTGTCATACAGGCCTGCATCGCAATTGCGGCGCTCTTTGTCCCAAGGGACACGAGGCACGACATGTGGATCAGGCGGAAGTTTGCGTTACTGGAGATTATGGGGTAAGTTCCCTTCGTTTGCTGCATACGCCCCTGCTGTGCACAGCCGGCTTTGGTGTTTCCCCAACCTCGGCTAGGGTTGTTCATGCGGCTTCCTTTACGCTTTCCCGGGAATCGAGACGCAACAAGCTTATTTCTAACCGTTCCTGTTTGCCCGATGCAGGTACATCTTCCCCTTCACAATGCGCACCCGCATGGCCGAGCTGTTCGGCGACCAGACTTGTGTGCGTTGGTGGCTGCCCGATGACGAGGGATACACACCCATCTTGAAGAGCCTCCGCCTGTTTGCCGACGAGCGCAGCGCGACTGCTGCTACAGCACAGACAGAGAACCTCCGTGAAGTACGATACATCTTCGAGACACTGCGCCTCGGCGGATTGAGTGGCATCTCATCACAGACAGACGACAGCCCAGGGCAGTCCAAGGGCAAGGAGAAAGACATGGCGGATTGGGCAACATGACACGAGGGGTGTTGGGCAGGCCTCTCTCTCTCTCTCTCTCTCTCTGCTCGTCGCCTCGCGGGATTGCCTAAAACAGCTTGCCCTTGGATCGGCGTTTCGGTGCCATCCATGACGAAATTTAGAAAGGGCGGTGACCGCTCTCATCGGACGAGGGCGGGGCCATTCGATTGACAAAACACGAACGCCGATCAGCAAAATTGAGAGGATGAGGGTTCATGGGTTGACTTGGGGAAGAGTTTCGAACTCGGGCGGGGACGAGCCGTCGTTGTGGATATTTTGGGATGGTGGCTTGCAGCCATTGATCTCGTCAATCACCCTCGCAGCCCTCGCAGTGCAGCAGACAAAGGGCCCCATGGAGAGCTTTACCGGTTTTCGTCCCATGTTTCTGGCCAGGACCTTTATTAGATTGGCTGACTGCTACTCCGGCTTTTCGTCTGATGTAGCCTGGCGCGCCCATCTCCAAGTGTGGGCAGGGGGTTGAAACGCGAGACGAAAGGGACACAACAACCGGAACGAAGGATCGGCATGCGGACACCCGGGACTTGAGGCGAAAAGAGGGGGGGAAAGGGTTTGACGTCAATGAGGCTCCATGTCCCGCAGCGCGGGCGGGTGGTCCGAGTGGCCCTCCCTTGGAACGATTCCTGGGATCTGATCATGCGGCGGCGGCACCTGCGATGCCAGATTCTGGATCCTCCCAGCAATGCATATGCGGGCGCTTGGATCACCTCTCTCCACTCCTACACGGGCACCACACACCACTGCACATTGCCCATGCCCTGAAACGGCCAGCAATACATCCTTAGCCCGGCTTGGAGATGGTCTGAGCGCATAATCACCAAACTGGGCATACAGCGGCCTTTTTTTTTTTTTTTTTTTTTTTTTTTTTGGAGAGTTTGAGGGCTGTTTGCCTGTTGTGCCTGGCCCCAACCAAACTTACAATTTTACCAAAACGAGACGGGCCCTACCGCCTGCGCATTGACGGAATGCGGCTATTGCGATGCGGTCAATCGCAAACCTACCTACCTACCTCCCTACCTTGGTAGCTCTAACGTCAGCCCATGCCTCGGTATCGACTTGCAGCCCGACCTGTCATGGTTGCTTCTTGCATACCACTTCATGTACTCACATTTTTTGTTCAATTCTTGATTCAAATTTGTTTCTGTTCTATTGGCGGTGTATCAGAAACTTTCCTTGCGTTTCTCTCATTCCCATTTACTTCACCTTCTTAATTCTTGTTACGATTCTTGTTGTTATTATCGATAATCTTCTCTATTTTCCCCACCTTCTTTCTCTTTTTGTGTATCTCCTTCTATTGAGCCTTTTTGTCTAGCAGACCCCATGTTTTATTCATACAAGGCTGTCTAGTTGTTAGCGGGGAGCAGCATCAAACAGCGGGTTTCGTCATATTGCAATATTGTAAACGGCAACACAGGGTACAGATACCAAACAGATACTTTGAAGTGCGGGGGAAAAGGCACAGCATCGGACAAAGGGCTTCGGTAAAGAAAACATTAACTGGTTCTCCATATCATATTTTGGCGTGTCCGGCTTGGCTCTTTCCAGGTTTCAAGGAGGCGGGACTGGCGGCTGCTGGCGGTTGGACCAAGCAAAGGGAAGGGACAAGTTAATAAATACCATGTGGGAAAAAACAACATTGTTGGAAATATTGACCTCAGCACCGGCGGCGTTGGGAAGTTCAGCATATTTGTGGACAGGATACCAGAAGGAGGCTGGACGGAAGGAGCTCAACGAACTTGGCAGGACTCCGCGCCAAATCCGCTTTCTATTCCACTTTATTTTAGTTTATTTTTGGGGGGTTTGGTTTTCGGGTTTCACCAAGCCATAGGCGCGTTTGATACAACAGCGTCTTCTTCTCTTCTTCTTTCAGCATGTGTAAGCTGTTGTACGATGTTGTTGTAATGCATTCCCGAAACCCTTTCCCAGGTGTCTTGTTCTTCTCCTTTCAACGTAATGGATTGGTAATGACGCTCGCTTGGCCGAACATCCCTTAAGAGGTACTACTCATACAGACCCACTAGGTAGTTGGGCAAAGAAACAATACTAGAAGAAGGCTGAATCCAACCCCTAACACTAGTCGAGGGGGGTGGGTCATTCCGCCTCGTCACCATCGCCCGCAGGGGTAGGGGTAGGGGTAGGGGTAGGGGCATCTTTGGGCACCTCCTCCTCCGGCTTTGCTTCTTTCGTGTCCTCCGGCGGCTCGGTTTCTGTAGTTGGTTTCGCCTTCTCCGCGGACGTAGTGGCCGTCTCGCCGGATCGGGCCTCCTCTCCACTTGCTGGTGGCGCGGCTGGGGCATCCTCTCCTTCCCTGCCGCCGCCGCTGCCGTCCTCCTCGCTCTTGCCGTTGTCGTCGTCGCCGTCGTCCTCATCGCCTGCGGGCGCGAGGACCGTCTCGTTCCCTACCTCCTCGATCTCCTCTCCCCCATCAGCCACCGCTGGCTCCTCTCCTGCAGCCGCCTCTGGCTCCATGTCATTTCCAGCCGTAGCCTGTGTCTCTGTCTCTGTCTCTGTCTCCGTCTCCTGCCCCCCCGTCGGAGATCCCGGTGCAGCATCCTCCTCTTCCGAGGCTAGAATCGGCTCTTCGGGAACAGTTTGGGGCTCGGCGACTTCTTCGGCCTCCGACGGCTGAGAAGGCGGCTGTTGCTGCTCCTCCGCCACGGGCAGGGTCTGCGGTCCGGAATCTGATGCCGGATCGACTTCCTTGGCGCTGGCCTGCGGGGACATGCGGCGCGGCGGAGGAGGGTAGTGAGAGCCGGCGTAGTCCTCCATAACGATCACGGGCACCTCGGCCACCTCGGGCTCCTCCGCGTCCGCGCCCGTGTCCGCGTCCGGGTTAGATATGTGCAGGTGCCTGAGCCTGCTTGCGACCCCAGCCGCGCTGTTGTCGTCCTCGTCCACCTCCGGGACCGTTGCGACGGCGTTGCCGGTCGAGGGGCTGCTCCGGATGTGCCTCCTCGTGTTGGTCCCTCGCACGCCCGCGAAGCCGTCCTCGTCCACGTCGTGCCGCTGCGACGGCGGCCGGGCAATGCCGGTCACGACGAGCGGCGGCTGCTGGCCCCCCTCCTGCTGCTGCTGTCGCTGGGGCGTGTCCTCACCGGGGGGACTATCCGCCGCGCCGGTCCCGCCGGTCGAGGCCTCCAGACCCTCGGCTTCCGGCGGCAACTTGTAGTTCTCAGCCGGAAGGAGGTCGTAAAGGTCGCAGACGGTCTTGAAAAATACGTAGAGGCCGGTCTGGCCCTCGACGGACCAGAAGACGCCGCGGTGCTGGAACCAGGCATGGGCAAAGATGCGGTGGAGGCGCCTGAAGACGTTGACGAGGTTCTTGAGGGCGGTGCCGCGGTCGTGGCCGTCAGGCAGGACGACAAAGCGGCTGGGGAATATTTTTGGGTTGGTTACAACGTTGGCGGCCCAGTCGAGCGTGTGGCAACAGTAGTCGATGGCGCAGCAGCTCTTAGGGGCGTCGTGGACGGCGCACAGGAACTGCCACTCGGAGGCGCGCATCTCGGGGCACGTCGCCGCGCTGCAGGGAGGGGTGTCGAAGAGGAAGCCCACGATCAGGCTGTTGCACTGCTTGATCAGGAAGCGGCAGAGTTCGTACAACCAGAGCGTCCGGTCGATAGATGGCGGCGGCGCAGCCAGCAGCCGCGCTGTCTCCCGCGTGATCGGCGTCGTGTTGCCTGCCGTGTGGTAGTAGTGCAGCGCCGAGAGGTGCTCCTGGAGCTGGAAGGCCGAGTCGAGCTGCGGGGAGGGAACGCCAGAGATCTTAGCGATATGTTGCGCGGAGACAGATAGCGGACCTGGGAGGGTGGGGGGAGACTAACCTCGTTCAACGGGACCAGAGGCGGCCCCGCAGCCATGTCGGCAGATTTGGTTCCCGGGTGGATGCGCCTCTTTGCGGCCGCGTCGATCTGGGTCTGCTCGATCTGCTGTGCCTGCCGGGTGGCATGGGGGCCCATCGAGGGAGACTTGGGTCCAATTTGTATCTCGGCCGGCGGCGGCGGGCTGGGGAGCCTCGGTGAGCTCGGCGGCAGAGACATACTGCGCGGCAGCAGCTAACTGTATAGGGTATCAATGACTGGTTGATGAGATATGAAATGATGCAGCCGGGACAGCGAAGCTTCTAATATCGCCCCTCGGTTTGTTGAGAGACAGAATTTCACGGAAACGAAGCTTCGTTTTTAGACGCCGAGATCTGACGGTTGGAGGATTTGGGCGGGAGTCAAAGCTTCCTCGTCTTTCGTACCCCTGTCAACACCTCCCAACCTCCAGGGGTTTAACTGTATGGTAAATTATGTAAGCAGGCAAGCATCTGCATACAGTGCGGGTTCCCCGCCATTGCTCTAGCAGAGCCTGTGATTGACCCATGCTTTTTAAGCAGGGCAGCCGACAGGTATAATTGCCTACCTACATTGAGTATCTGGAAGCTTGTGTCGACGTGGGAAAATTTGTTTGCCCTTGGTTCTTAGTGTCTGTAAACACTGAGACTTGCCAGCATCTCCCAGTCGTCACCCGTCTCCAGAGTATTGTTGAAATGGATTTCGACGAAGATGGCGGTCCTCCGGATCTTGTGGAGACAGGTCTTGAGCTTGCAGACGAGGAGAAACCTGTAAAGGTCCCTATTACGATAGTAACTGGTGCGGTGACCCCGGGTTCAGGAAGCTGAGATCACCTTCTGAGACAATTTGGCAGGATACCTTGGAGCGGGGAAGACAACGCTCCTCAACTATATCTTGACCGCGCAGCACGGGAAGAAGATAGCTGTAATCATGAACGGTATGCTCCAATCAAGAATCTTAGCGCTCTCCGACTGATCGCCGAGAACATTAGAATTTGGTGATTGTTTGTGCTGCCCTTCCTGACCAGTGCCCGGACAAATCCGCGATGCTAAATCTTCACGCAGCTCTGGACATTGAGAAATCCCTTACGGTCAATAAGGACGGCGAGTCTGTTGAAGAATGGATGGAGGTTGGCAATGGCTGCATATGCTGCACGGTGAAGTGAGAGGCGCCTACCATACTCTACTATGAGCAAGAGACCCGAGGTACTGATCCGACCCCGTTTTGCAGGGACAATGGAGTAACTGCCATCGAGTCGTTGATGGAGAAGAAGGGCAAGTTCGATTACATACTGCTCGAGACTACTGGCCTTGCAGACCCTGGCAACCTAGCACCCCTATTCTGGTTGGATGACGGGGTTGGGAGTACCATCTACCTGGATGGGATAGTCACACTCGTTGATGCCAAAAACATCCTTCGCAGCCTCGACGATCCGGCCGGGAAGGTAGAAGGCCACGAGCAGAACGATGATCATGGGCCGGTTATGACAACCGCTCATGTCCAGATATCGCATGCAGACGTCATCGTCATCAACAAATCCGACCTCGTGAGCGAGGAGGAGCTGCGAGAGGTCCGAGACCGAATAGAATCTATCAACGAGCTCGCCAAGGTCCACGTAACCAACCAGAGCGTTGTCCCTCAGCTGGAAGGTTTCCTTCTGGATTTAAATGCTTATGCCAACATCCAGGAGCTGGACCAAACTGGCAAGGGCCACAGCCACCTTGATCCGGTAGGTCACACGGGGACGCCCTGACACCTCGACGAACCAGGTATAGGTAGCTAACAATCGCAGACCATCTCGACCGTGTCAATTCCACTCCCTCCCTTGACTGCTAACCAAGTCGAGAAGGTCGATGAATGGCTCAGGGCCGTCTTATGGGAGAATGAACTGCCCCCTAATGATAGTGGAACCCACAGCTCACCCTTTGAGATACATCGCATGAAAGGCCGACTGGTGATGAAAGGTGGGGGCCAGAAAATGGTTCAGGGGGTAAGGGAAGTCTTTGAAATAATGGACAGCCCGACTACAAACCCAGATGAATGTCCCCCGGTCACCGGCAAGATAGTCCTCATTGGACGGCATCTAAAAGACACTGGTTTCCAAAATAGTCTTCTCAGGGCAATTGGGAATAGTGGCAACTCTTAGCGATAGAAGGGGGACATTGTGGAGTTTAAAACTTGAATTCAGATGAATTTGTGTTATCCATGCTCTGTGCCTTATCTCTGGGAGACCAAATGCGCTGCAACGCTCCCGTTTCATTGAAGAGGAAAGAGAGTTGCGGCAGCTCAGCACAGTCCAAATTACCTACCTGGTAGGTATAAACTGGTTTACAGATTTGTCCGCTATACAGAGTAGGTACTAGGATAGGATGGATAGTAATACTGTGGGTTTTGTCGACATTATGCGCGTGGGGATGTAGTTGGGAAAGAGCACTGGTTCTAGGCGTCGGCCCCTTCCTTGTCCCGCAGCCTCGCAGGTGGGAAAGCACAGACCACCCAACAGCCGCATCCTGCTTTGGAGGTGCTAGGCTAGCCTCTCCAAACGGAATGCAACCGGCTTCCATCATCACAGCACAAATCTCAAGAACATCGACCAACATCTCCACGAAAAGGCCGCCCCTCCGAGCCCTATCTAGTCCCGAGACCTTCCGTCGAATCTCCATTGACACCTTAGACCGAGCTGCAAGAGTTCCACAATATGAATCGACCAGGTACGATGTCAGAATGCCAGCCTTGATCTTGGCGATCTCGTCGAAGTTGCCCCCTTGTTATCTCCCACGATGCCCGGCTGTTCTCCGACCCATCATCTCTCTGGACCAGTTTACCCTGCTGGGCATTGGGTCCCTTACCTCTGAGAAGCGACGTCCGGCTGCTTGTTAGGTTAAGAGCTATAGTGGCCTAGAATCCGTTGTCGTCGAGCTTTGGCCTAGTTCCTCTTCCTCATACATTGCCTCTCCGTGGCCGTCACGTATGCAGGGATACCACCCACAGGCCACATTACCATGCTCAGCCAGAATCGCCGTTCTTTGTTCAACCCAACTCGTCTGTTTCGATACCGGAGCCTTGAAGTCAGCTTGGCTAATGTGGTCTTTGAGTTATAGGGGCAGTTCCGCAGTCCCTCCGTGGCATACCGGCTGGGTTTGCAAGTCAGCAGCAACCGCAGCCGCAGCAACCGGGGCGAAGTGTATCGAATCGACTACCAAACGGAAAACTAGGTGCGGGGATCCTTGACCTCAAGGAATGGTCCGATGGTTGAGCTGACAAGTGGGATATTTTTCATACAGGAAACAATGGGTGGGCATTTGGTGCAGGAGTTCCCTTGAGTGGTGGTGGCCTTCAGAATCCAACCAGACAGTTGGGTGGAAACACCAGCTTCGCCCAGAGCTTGAGCGGGTCACAACCAGCAACACCACTCGACCTTTCGTACGTTTTCATGACTTCCTCTCCCCCCCAAGCACCACCCCTTCTCCATTCACCCCCATATCGTGCATACCATACATACCAATTGTCATGGATTTTTACTCGCGTCATGCGAAACCAAAACTCATCACAAAGAACACGGCCCCGCCAAAGCCAGAGGCAACAACCCCCCCTCCGGGTCTCCCTTATGCCTCTGTTCTGAAGGGGTACTGATGCCCTAGGTTTTCTTTGTTTTCCCTCCCAGTGCCTGAGGTCCTACCCGCAAATCTCTTGCCCAATACCCTTGCATGAATTATATCTAGTCGGATCGCCTTCGCCCAAGCGGTCAGCTGACATCACTTTCTAGGGAATTCCCTTCACTCTCCAATACCCCTCAGCTTCCAAACGCCGGCCAGTCATCTATGTGGTCAACTGCGGGATCTAGGAGTCTCGGTGGCCTGGTCCAGAGAAACCAAGGCACACCTCTGCCGTCGCAGCAGTCGCCGCAGGAAGACCTCTTCGCTTCGTCGTCCAGGCTATCGTCCGCCCAGGGATCGTTCAGATTTGGCAACAACCAAGGCAGCGCCTCCCAGACCCAGGGAAGCACTGCTGATGAATTTCCGCCGCTCAATAGAAACGTGAACGGTGATATCGGGCAGGAGCGAAGCTCAAACCTGATGTCAAGCTTAGGGTTTGGCGCGCAGGCATCGGCTCCGACCGCGCCTATGCCAACTAGCAGGGCAGGTAATGGTTTGCTGAACGCGCTCTCAGCAAATACGCGTGCCGCAGACGAACGCTCACCCACTACTGGTAAGTCGCTCCAGCAATCACCTGGTATTCTCACGACTTAAGTTGGGCCTCTCCTCTAGGTTCGCGAACTCAGGATTCGAGGAGTTCCGTTGGCGAGGATGAACCCCGCCAAAAAACGGCGCCCCTCCGTGAGGACAGTGTCGCATCCCAGTCGTCATCATTCCCCGACGGGCCGGCGCAAGTAGTCGATAACCGTAATCCTCTTGGGGCGATCGGAAATGATGCGCCGTTGAACAAAACGAAGGAGGAACGGGAGATTCAAGGGCCCGAAGTGCAAGACCCGTTGACCGGGATGGCTCCGATCGACAAATTTGGCCTCAAAGGACTTCGAATGCTCATGAACAACTATGACGACTACAACGCCATGGTTGTCGGCATTGATCCCTCCACCCTTGGCTTGGATTTGAGCAGCACCGAGTATGGACAGTAAATGCGGACGAGGAGAATCAATGCTAACGGTTCAGCAGGCTCATATCTCAGCAAATCTACTCCCTCTTCGACGAAATGCCCCCCCGGCCTTCGATCCCCAAGTTTCGGCTACCCGATTGCTATCAGGTGAACAATGTCCAGCCGATCGAGAACAAGATTCAAAGCTTCAACGAGGAGACCTTGATGTGGATTTTCTACAGCTGCCCAGGGGACATGAAGCAGCAATTGGCCGCGATAGAGCTGTAAACAACCCTCCTTCCCCGCAGCCATACCTCCCAGGACTAAAACTGTCATATAGGAACAACCGGAACTGGAGATGGCACAAGAAGCTCCAGATCTGGCTAACAAAAGACGACCTCATGATACCTCAGATGCTAGGTCTCACTCACGAGCGTGGCTACTATATCGTCTGGGACACTGTGCACTGGCGCAAGGAGAGGGTATGATACCCCTTCCTATCCATTCCGGCCCCTGACAACCTGAAAGTCATATTAACACCTTGGGCAGCGAGAGTTCACTCTGTACTATACAGATCTGGACACCAATCCGGCAGGATCAGCTGCCTAGCCGTGTTTCATAATCCTCTACGTTCTTATGGTTGGTTGTTGATGGAAGGCGAGCGGCGCCTTCGCCCTCGATGGATATCTCGGCGTATTTGGCTTTCTATGGGCTTCTTTTGCTGAGGCACAAGGACAAGGACGAGGACGAGGGTCGTCACTACCACCCCCTCTGTATTGTACGGTTAAATGGCAATGCTGGGTCTCAGGAGGGAACGACCAGTGGTTGCAATTAAGCACCTTGCTTGTTGAGGTTACATACCGGAGCTGCTTTTTCAACTGATGTCGTACGCACTTACTGCGTATCGGTAGAGAGTGGATCTATGAGGCTCTTTCTGATTATCCAGGGATCGTTGGCATGTGCCGGAGTTTCTCCTTATTGCCACTCAATAGTTCTAAGCAGTAGGTCCCACATTATTGGGTGCACGCCCCCACGGATCTATCGTGGGGAATGTGGATAAACCTGAAGTGACAAACCAACTCACCTTTTCCATATGGACACTCACTCATCTCCTAAAACCTCGGATGTTGGAACCTCGACGCCTTGGGTTAACCATACTCTCCCACACCGCATCCGGAGCAGCCCACAACCGCTGTATTCATCAAAGCATCAACACATTTCATATTACCTTCCGTGGGGTCGCAGTGTGGCTTCCGGGCCGGCCTGTGGCGCAAGGATGGCAAATGAACAGCAGATCAATGTGCCGTCGCTCGTCGTCATCCTGGTCCTTTCAGGATTGATAATACGGTACCTTTTCTTCTCACCACCAACACCGCAGCAGGCAGTGAGGGACCCCACCTCGGCGCTGCGATCAAGGGAGGTTGCCGTCGAGAGAATTCAGCAGATGTTCCCACAGGTGGACAGGAGGACTATCTTGTGGGATCTGCAAAGGACCGGGGGGGATATTGCGGCGACGACGGAGAGGATACTGGCTGGGAGATTGGAGACGGTGAGCCCCCCTTTTCTCTCCCACCCCCCTCCCCGGTGATCAGCCCCTGAACAACTACTGACCGAGATACCCCCGCAGCCACCCGTCACGTTCCAACCACCGCCGGCCCCTGGGTCGAATACGGCGGGTGGTTCTACAACACAATCGTCGCAAAGCCGGGCGGCTAGGCCGGCCGGGAAGCCGGAACAACCGGACCTCATCACGCGCTACAAGCTAAAGGATAAGGTCTCGGCTTCTTCCGAGGGCGAAGAGATCGAGGGCAGCAGCGAGGGCAGCGGGAAGGGAGCGAAAGGCTGGAGCTCAAACCGCGAGGAGAGACAGACACTTTTGCAGAAGAGAAGGGACCAGATGATATTGGAGGCGAGGCGAAAGATGGAGGCCAGGATGGCGGCGGAGAAAGCCGCGGCCGAGGGACGTTAAGGCAGAGGATGCGAAAGGGCGGACCTTACGGCAGATTGGGCGCAACGAATTGCGGTGGCGGACATGTTTGGTGGTAATGTCTCTGTCCTGCGTCGATCTTAGAGCCTGCGGAATTGGGCACACGTTTCGAGTTGTTATCGCAGTGTACTTCCTCGCTGTATTTCTATCCCTGGAGTTTGCCAAGCGCGAGCATACATACAACTTGGCATCATTCTCGGGTTTTCACGGGCTGGCATCGTCGCCCCCGCCCCGGTGATTAAGTATCGGTCGACATCTTATCTGCCGATCCGTGCATCCACGGGCATGCTGAATGCGATACTACGGCTTGACCTGTAAACACGAACTGTTCAAGTACTGGGGAAAAGATCTTTTTGGCAACACTCTAGTCAATACAACGGAACTCCATCCAGAACACTTACATCGTATCTTCTTGTGCGCCGTCAACTCCCGAGTCGTCTTCACGGCAATCAAGGAAGATGACTAATGACAGGATACCGACGCCTCAACGTTTTTAGGTCTCGCATCCTGATAAGATACGCCGTCCTTATCAAGGAACGGTGCGCCTTTCACATGCTTTTGTGTCCACGCGTCTTCCGGCAAAGTACTAAGGCACTATCCTGCTTGCCACTTCCTCACCTGCAGGAGAGAAAATCAATTGCCACGCTTGTGGTGGGGGTCTGTCGGAGAGAAGGCTAAACGCTAAACCATAGGTTCCGCACCTTACTCAGGTTTAAGCCTAGCCATTGCATGAGGGTTCACCCTTTTTAGACCCGATGGACCGGTTGCAATGGGTCATCTTCATATGCTTCAAACCATTAACGGGCTCTTGCCATCCATTGACCACTGAGAAGCTGCACTTCCGACGAGGAGAAATATGCCATGATGAGACAGGACGGGAGAGTCGACAAGGAGAGTATCTCCATCATGTTCTCTGCTCTTTCCACGTCCATCCAGAGCAGGTTGCCGCCTCTACCTTCGATCCGGAGGTCCATGACCGGCGGCCCCTTTCTTTCCCCCTTCGCCTCAGGCGCAACGACGCCCAATTCAGAAGCCGAGTCCCTCTTTTCCGAGCAGACGAGGGTGGATGGATCTGCTGTCGCAGAGGCATTGGCTCTCCATGATGGCAGCGTCGTCGCCCTCATGAGCGATTTCGCCGGCACCCCCACAGCCCTCTCACAACGCTCTGGAGTAGACTGGAGGTGCGGGCAACAAGGTTGGTGCCTATTATTGCGTTCGGTATCCCAACTGACACTCGATCCCAGGAATCTATCTTGTAACCAGTGCCGGACAGGAATCCAGGCAGGTCCTCGACCAGAACCACAGCGCCAAGTTTGAGAGGGGCGCCTATATCGACGGCTTGTCCTACTTACTCAAAGGCCTACCCACGGATCTAGACCAGGCTGAGGTGATGGCTCTCCAAAGAGCGATACCGGCCCCTCTCGCACATTCGATAGCGCCTCCAGGAGAGTCGAGACACACCTTAACCGCCCGAGGTCCTGGTGGCCGGCGGTCGATATTGCACAGGGGAATGCAGCTGCTTGTGGCACAGGCCATAGTGTGGTTCTGTGTCGCATGGCCCTACATTCTCTTCCTGCTTCAGCAGATAGCCCTCTATGAGAGGAGGTACAAGATATCCGAGAAATTTGTTGGGCGAAGCATAGAGCTCGCAAACAGCTTCGCCAGGCACGGCATGAGCGCATCAATCGCTGTCTGCAGCATGGGTGACGGGAAGGTGGGACAAGTGCTGACAGATGCCCTTTCGTGGACTATCCAGGGCATGGCTGGGGGGTTTTCTGATGGAGTCGAGGACGGTTGGTCGAGGGTGGGAGCACGGCGTTAATAATATCGGGGGTTAGGGTTGGTAAAGGGCTGCTGCTTGAGAAGGGCGTTATGTCAATAGATCGGACGCATATAGAACTAGCGACATGCCATATGATGGCATGATAAATTCTACTTTATAACAGATTGCCTTGTGTAAACCCACTGGGAAACTTTTAACGCGATGCCAAACACATGCGAAGTTTAAATGCTGCATGTTGACACAGTGTGTTTTGGAACTGTAATGCACTGTATCCGCTCAAGTCAATTTGGCTAAGATAAGGCTGATAACGATAGGAGACGAAATTTTCCCGCGTCGCGCGCCACCTACAAGGCATGGATCCATGCTCCCAAAAGTTTTCTCCTCCTCAGTCCTCCATTACAGTACAGACTATTTTGTTCTTCTATTTTGTTATTCTTTACATTCTCTCTCTTCTATTACTAGTAGTCTCTTCCATCGACCACCCTAGACCTTTCCCGTAATGCTGAAGACAGCTTTGTCGAGGCAGAGCCGACTCTGTCGCCTGCCCGTTGCTGGCCGTCTCCAGCTCGCATCCAAGATACCCGCCCGTCCTTTCACTCTATCCACTCAGTCAAGAACTGGCATCGTCGCCTCGTTCCAGCTTCCGAGAGCCTGGTCCCGGTCATACTCGGCCGAAGCCAGCGCAACCGCGCCGCCTCAAGAAGCCAGCGCAGAAACTGCCAGCGCGGAAACTGCCAGCACAGAAAGTGGAGGACCGATTACTCGATTCAAAGATCTCGCCTCCGTTGGGGTCCACGACAATGTCGTCAGAGCTATCACTGAAGGCATGGGGTATGAGACCATGTCGCAGGTCCAATCTGTTACCATACAACCAGCCCTAGCTGGCAAGGATATGTATGATTCAATTGCTTCCCTGGTTCAAACGACGTGCAAAACTGATGGTCAAATAGTGTTGCTCAAGCCAAAACCGGCACCGGAAAGACTCTCGCCTTCCTAATTCCTGTTATCCAGAGAATCATTCAGGAAGAACCACACCTTGCTTCCCGGGGAAGGCATCAGGCTACTTCTCGCGACGTTAGGGCCATCATCTTATCGCCGACTCGCGAGCTTGCGGAGCAGATTGGTGTCGAAGCGAGGAAGCTTACTCATAACACTGGCCTGATTGTCCAGACGGCCGTCGGCGGCACGGGCAAGCGGGATATGCTTCGGAGGACGCAACGTCAAGGCTGCCATATCCTGGTCGCCACCCCCGGCCGTCTTCTAGATATCCTCTCAGATGAGAGCAGCGGCATTGACGCCCCAAAACTCGCCGCGCTGGTTCTCGACGAAGCCGACAGAATGCTTGACGTTGGGTTCGAGGACTCTCTGAAAGCCATTCTCGGCTATCTCCCGGAACGGGCTGAGCAGGCTCGTCAAACTCTCCTCTTCTCTGCCACCATCCCCACCGACGTCGTTCGACTTGCCAAGTCCTACGTTGACCCCAAGAACTTTGAGTTCGTCCAAACCATAAGGGGGGATGAGGAACCGACACACGCCAAGGTCCCACAGTTTATTGTACCATGCAAAGGCTTCGAGAATTTCTATCCTGCCCTGCTGGAGTTGATTTACCGAGAGGTTGAGAAGAACGAGATGCCTTTCAAGGCCATCGTGTTCCTACCGACCACTTCCTTCGTCGAACTGACGTCGTCGACATTCGCACGCCTCGCGCACCGCAACCCCAAGATGCCCGAAGTTCTCGGCATCCATTCGAAGCTTACCCAGCGCGCCAGAACCGACAACGCCGAGTATTTCAGGCGCGCCAAGTCTGCGATCCTCTTCTCATCCGATGTGACGGCGAGAGGAATGGACTTCCCCAACGTCTCCCACGTCATCCAGATCAGCTGCCCTCCTGACAGAGAACAATACATCCATCGCATTGGGCGAACCGGAAGGGCGGACAAGAGTGGTCAAGGCTGGATATTCGTTGCCGAGATTGAACTGCACGAAGCGAGGCGGAGGCTCACCGACCTCCCCATCCAGCGGAATACCGACCTGAAGACCGCAACCGTCGACATGAGCGCACAAGATCCGGAGACCACAGAGTACGAAACCATCAGGGACGTCTCGAAAGCGGTGCGGAAGTCGGGCGACGACCTCTTCTTCGAGGCGTACCGGTCCCTTCTCGGAGGAGCAATGAAGACGCTCAGGCGACAGGAACTCGTGGAGACCCTCAACGACCTGGCCCGGCATGGCTGGGGCCTGGAGGAGCCTCCCGCGATCCCGGCGGCGCTGGCCCGAAACACGGGGCTTATGGGCTTGCGTGGGGTGAACATCGCCAGCGGCGAGAGCTTCGACCGCAGACGAGAGTCCGGACGGGACTCCAGAGACCGGACCCCAGGAGCGCCGCGGGACGGGTTCCGGGGCGGGTTCCAGGACCGGTCTCGAGGCGGCGGCGGTGGCGGCGGCGGTGGCGGCGGCGGTGGCGGCGGCGGCGGGTTCTCTCGCGGCGGTAGCGGTGGTGGTGGGTTCTCCCGCAGCGGTGGCGGTGGTGGCGGGTTCTCCCGCGGCGGCGGCGGCGGCGGCGGAGGCGGCGGGTTCCAGGGCCGGTCTCGAGGCGACGGCGGGTTCTCTCGGGGCGGTGGCGGCGGGTTCCAGGACCGGCCCCGGAAACCTCGGGACGCGTTCGATGCCATGTCACAGCAGACCCGGGAGCCGGGCCGCACGTTCAAGCCGAGGACGCAACCTACCTTCTAAACTACCGGGGGTCGCGTGAAGTGAGCTAGGTGGCGGGGGAGGTCCAGGGTATGGGCTCTCGGTAATGTGCTGTAACAACATCATGTATACATATGTATAGATGGGGGGCCGTCTTCTATTCATCCCCTGGCATCGGAGTTTTGGGGTCATTTTTTGTTTTGCGGGCGGGCGCTGAAAAAAAGCATCTGGACATCATTACAGACGGGACGTCATTACTAGTATGGTCGAGCGATTTTTTTGCCAGAGCACTATACTAGACGGGTCAGCCTATGGTTTTGATTGAGCGGCTGACGAAAAGACATCTCAACTTCAACCTTCACTCTGTACTTTTACTTTTTGCTCCGCTGCCAATCAATAATTGACGGTTCATTTTTAATATAAAAAGGCGCGCTGTGTTCGGAACTTGTGATGTGTGTGGTGGGTCAGCCAGGCCCCCTGAAACCAGAGGCGGATGTTGCAAAGGGCAAGACAGCTAACTCTCGGAGCGATTGAGGTACAGCAATTCTACTCACTGCACTTGACTTTGGTATGTAATGATACATTTCGAAGCCGTACACAATTTTCTTGCCGATATGGCCAATAGTCGTAATGCTACTCCAGAAGAATATTTATCATGGTTCAGTCCACCCAACGAACGCCTCTAATGTTGTCCCTCCGCCCGTTCTACCCCTGACCTCCCAGGCCCGAACACAAGTCGGGACATCAAAACCGACCCAGCGAAAAAGAAAGGAAACCACTCGTTCCCGTAAGGAGCAGCCGGGACCATGAAACCGGGGTATCATTCCGCAAAGCGTTTTTGTTTTTGGTCGTCAAAAAGGTCCCGTCAAAATCATCTCCTCAGCAGCGTATGCGCGTCCCACAGCAGGACCCTCTCGTCCCAGCCGACGCTGGCGACCCAGCCGCCGGCGCCGAACAGGCACCAGTCGACGCCGGTGGCGAACTCGGTGTGGCGGTTCATGATGCCGAGCTCCGTGCCGGCGCGCACCGGGGGCGCCGAAGAGGGGTCGGCGGCCGGGCCGCTGCTCCCGTCGGTCCACACGCGGACCGTCATGTCGTAGCTGGCGCTGGCGAGGACGTCGCTGGCGTGCGGGCTCCAGGCGAGGCGGCGCACGGCGTACTCGTGGCCGTGCAGGAGCGAGACGGGGCCCCCGCCCGGGTTGCGGACGTCAAAGGTGCGCACGACGCGGTCGACGCCGCCCGTCGCGACGACGGAGTCGTTGTACTTGTTCCAGTCGTGCGTCAGGATCTCGGCCGGCGCGGCGGCCGGGAAGGTCTGCCCGTTGGGCAGGAAGGCGCCGCTGCGCGGGGGCGCGTGCACCGGGATCATGGTCGTGAGATGGTACTTTGCCGAGGTCGGGGCGCGGAGGTCGAAGATGCGGATGTGGCTGTCGGAGGAGACGGCCGAGATGATGGACGGGTTGGTCGGCGAGAAGGAGGCGCTGTAGGTGCAGCTGCCTATGGGGAGGGTCTTCAGCGAGGCGTTGCGCGTGGGCGACCACTATGGGGGAGGATGTCAGTATGGTATCCCTTAGGCAGTACAATGGGCGGCGGGATATTCGCTCACTATCTTCACTGTCCCGTCCCAGGAACTAGAGATGAAGTTGTCCTTGGTGATCGGATTCCAACACACGGAGAATGCCTCCCGCTTGTGCTCATGGAAGTTCATCACAGGAAAGTCATTGACCCCTAGGTCGAACAACTTGAGGGAGCCATCACCACATGCCACGACCATCTGGTTCTCGTTGATCTCGGACCAAGCGAGGTCGTACAGGGCGTCGTTGGTGTCAAAGCTAGCAAGGCCATGTCAACCGGGTTGCCTCATTTTAAGGGGGCTGTTTGGAAGCGGCATACGTCTTTTCCACCTGGATCCCAGCCGGGGTCATCCCCAGAGCAAAGACACGCCCATTGCCCACGATGCCATAGTTAGCTGATGTCGCAACTGCAATTCGCGAATCGTAATACGGCGAGTATTTGACTGCGTAGGGATTGAAGCCAGGCGTGCGGAACTCTAGCATGGAAGCCATGACTGGGGAGGTGAGGACGATCGGATCCAACCACCCATTGACTATTTGCGACCAGACCTTTCTGAGGTGAAGAGTCTCGACAACCACAGATAGGACCAAATGTAAATCTAAAAAGTGATGTAACACCGAGCTAAGCCTCGGTTCTTTTGGCAAGGTGGGGCTCAGGCCTGTCAGCGGGGCACTCTCAATGATCACGTGCATCGCGTCAGTTTCGTGACTCCTCGCAGCTGTAGCCATCCAGATCCGGGAAGCAGTTTCATGCAGCTAATAGGGCGTATGATGTAGCAGGGGTCAGCTGTCCTAGTCTTTCTCGACATGTATCCTCCACGGTCTACACAGCTCCAAGTCATGACCGGTTTAAAGACCCTGATTGCAAAATGGAAGCCTTCATTACGAGGAAGAAACGGAAAAGGGAAGCTGATGCAGAGAAGCTTGGCGAGGACGATGAGCCCACGGAACTGAAACTGGCCCTTCTCTCCTCTCTCCACCCAGCTCTAGACCAAGACGCCCTACTGGACATTCTTCTGGCCCATGATGGATCCGTCTCGGCAGCATCTGCTTCGCTTAAACCCCAGGGCTCTCTCAAGAAAGCTAGGGGTGTCGTCGGCTCACAGACATCGTTGAAACTCTTCTCATCCGCGCCATCCAGCGATGGGCAACCGTCCTCTCCCACAAAAGCTCGACTCTTAAGCAAGAAAGGCACGACCCTCCACCTGTATGATCCAGTCGATGTTGCCGAGCACACTCCGTGCACAGTTATACACAACTTTCTGCCTCCGGACGAGGCAGATAGCCTATTGACAGAGCTGCTTGAAGAATCCGAAACTTTTGAGAAGATCACGTTCAAGCTCTTCGACAATGTTGTCTCAAGTCCACACACGTCCTGTCTCTACGTCGGCAGCACCGCTGAGCTAAACAGACAGAAGTATGAGTACGTGTACAACGGGGCGAGACTCACGGTACAGAAAACCCCTTAACCTCCCTCCCACCTAAACGGCCGTTTATTATTCTATCCTCGAAAATCGCTAACATTACACCTCCACCAGGATGTGCGCAAGCTCACGCCCCACCTCGACGGCGTAAAAGCCCGGGTTGAAGAGGCCGTGAACCTAGAGGTCCAGGAGCGGATCAAGAGCCGCTACCCTGGTGGCAGGAAGCTGAAGCACCAGTCATCCAACCGGTGGACCCCCAACGCGGCCTTCGTGAACTGCTATGCCGGCCCGCAGGAGAGCGTCGGCTGGCACAGCGACCAGCTAACCTACCTTGGGCCCCGGCCCGTCATCGGGTCTCTCTCCCTCGGCGTGGCCCGCGAGTTCCGTGTCCGGCGCATCGTGCCCCGGGATGCCGACACCGGCGGCGGCGGGGGCAGCGGCAGCGGCAGCGGCAGCGGAAGCACCCGACCCCCCGCCGACGACCCCGACGCCGAGGGCCAGATCGCCGTCCACCTCCCGCACAATTCGCTGCTGGTCATGCACGCCGAGATGCAGGAGGAGTGGAAGCACTGCATCGCCCCGGCGCAGGTCATCGACCCGCATCCCCTGGCGGGAAGCAAGAGGATCAACGTCACCTACCGGGACTACCGCGCCGAGTTCCACCCGTCGCGCACCCCCATGTGCCCCTGCGGCGTGCCCGCCGTGCTGCGCGTCGTCCAGCGGAAGAGGGAGAGCTGGGGGAGGTATTTCTGGATGTGCCATGCGGGGAACGTCCCGGGAAAGGACGGATGTACCTTCTTTCAGTGGGCCGAGTTTGACGACGAAGGGATTCCGATTCGGAGCACGCCGTCGTCCAAACCGGTCTCGGGACAGAGATGATGTATGGTTTTCCCTCAGGGGCGGATCGTCTCACGCCTTGTTGGCGATATGTCGTCACGTCGGAGTCATTACTGCCTTGCCAGTTGTTCGGCGGCCACGGCACTTCTGGGCGGAGGTAATGATCATGCAGAAACGGGACCGGCCTGGAGGATGAGCGAAAAATCCCATGGGCCATGGGTATGTATTTGTCTAGCTACCTATTCTATCAGTCTGGCTATAGCCAAGCTCTATTGCCACCAAACCCCCCACCCCCAGCGACTAGTTTCCTTTTCTTTCCTACTACTTGTGCTGCCATTATTCGCCCTCGACATCAGACTGTAACCTCGCGACTGTCCTTTCCCACCCGACTGTCCATCTGCTGCCATCCCGTCGAGCGGCATCCCCGTCGCGGTAGGCACCCGTTCTCTCGATGTCTCCACAGTCTCCTTATTTACGGGAGTCTGTTCGCGGATTCCCACCCGCTGTGTTGTCTCCGCCTCCCTCGTCGCATGGGTGGCACTAACCAGACCGACGTGCTTGCCGGATTTTCTCCGAGTCCCCATCGTAGTCAGTGACGGAAATGCCGTCAGGGAAGGCAGGCCTCCTCCTCTGGGCCTGACGTGGCGAGTAGGCTTACCCCTGGTTGACAGGCGCCGCATCTCGCTCCAGATCTTGCGCGCCGGGTCGCTGTCGGCGTCATCGTCAGTGTCTGTGATAACCACTTCCGGAGTTGCTGATCGCTTTTCCCGGCCCAGTGCCATGGGACATCGTTGGAGGCTTGTCTTCCGTACTGGAACAGGCGGCCCTGGCCAGGGGACCGTCGGCTTGATACTTTCATCCGTGCCCAACGGGCTTACGTGCCCAGACTCAGGTAGCCGGTCAGCATTTGCAGCTTTCCGCGGCGTGGACCGCGAAGTGTGGATGCGGTGCATCACATCGTTAGCAGCATCGGCGCCCCAGTTGGATGCGATTATCGCAAATAATGGGTTGGTCTGTGGAACCGGACGGGGGGACCATAGAGAGGACGTGTTGTGTCGTTTGATGACGGCGACTGCACGAGTCTCGACTCTGGTGTGTATACGAGTAACACCGGCTGAGGAGAGTAGCCTATCCACCTGGGGAAATCCAGAATGGCAAAACGTCACCTGTATGCTTAGATACTCGGTCGTTGTATCCCCCAGCTGACATTCGAGATCCCGCATCAATTCCTCCGAGTTGTGCCTCCCGTGTCCCTTCCTCTAAGGAGACACCGTGGGGGCCAGCTGCACATGGGCAAGCACAAGAAGTTTAGAGCCTGGATATAGAGTGCTAGCGGTCATATTAGCAGCATGAACGCTTCCACAAAATACTTGGACCCACGTTGATGCAGATTTATCTTCTAAGACTTCGATGATCGAACTGTTTTGGGTTGAGGTCACCCTCACACTGACGTCGCGAAGGCAGCCATATTCCAAGACAGCTAAAAACCTCCCATCAGCAATGTGGAGAAATAGGGGCGATGTAAACACTTACCTGTATGAAAGCGCTCTGGATCTTGTCTGTACTCGCCCGCCCCGGTAGCTTGGCAGAGCTGAGTGGAAATCTCCACGGCAGCCCAAAGAGCTTTGCTTCCATCATCTATAGCCCTACTCTCGGGGATCACGTCGATCCTCGGCGCTAGAACATATGGCACTGGAGAGCAGGATATGCCACCTTGAACCTTCAGCACAGAGGATGACCGGCTCGAGACAGGCGACGGAGGGTTGGTCCCACGGGAGCTGTCGTGCAGAGCAAAGGGGTCCGAGTCAATGGAGCTGACTGTCAGTTGGGAAGGGTGTTCATGTAGCTTCGCAGAAACGACACATAGTCGGGCGTTTTCGTTGGAGGCACGGCTACACCGTGGCTCTTGCCGGTTGCCCCCAGTAGACCTATCCATGAGGCTGTCTGTCTTCAAGAATAATAAGCTAGCTTTACTTGACAGCCTCTGTGAAGCCAGGTCATTCCTCGGCCGTTGTGGCGTTGTGCATGAAGTCGATCTGTGAGATTTAGGGTTATCCTTGTTGTCAGATCCGGCCGCATCAATGCCTAATCTTGTCAGGAAGACGATCAGAGTTCTAACCCAGGGACTCACGACTCACATTCGCGCCCTGCTACCAAGGGCCATATATTTTCCTTCGTCGGGCCTCCGAAGATCAGGTCACCACGATTGCCTCGCCTCTTCGGGATGGTAATAGGGCTGTCACCTCCGGGCGGTTCCGGTACGCTCCCTAAGATCTCTTCCGTTCTAGAACTGGGGTTTCTGGTCCTCCCATAATGCCCATGTTCCTTGCCTCTCTTCTTGATAATATGCAACGGCCGAGGTACGTCCCACAGCGCTGCCCCTCTGAACGTGTGCTGGTCATCATCAAAAGTCTGGTGCGTTTCTCCCTCCATGCTATCGGGTCCGTGGGGAATCCTAGATATAAAATCGTTCGGCACGAAAGGATTTTGTGTAGTCCCCTTCAAAGCTGGAGACCTGGCATATAAGCGCTGCCGCATGCACAAGCCGATTAAGGCTTAGGACGATCAGAAATAACAAGGGTAATGTGGTTGAGAGCACTGATTCTCGAGGCAATCATATTCAAACTGAGCAAAGCAATGCATATAGTTCCAAACCCGAATGAGCCTAAGACAATGTGCTGATGTTCATATGGTCGTGTCACATTTCTGTCGTTTCCACCACCCTCAAGCCCGGATTAACAGCAGCCGCAAATCATGCCTACAAAAGGGCGACTGCCCCTTTCGTCCACACCCCAGATGGCCCTGCGGATGTCCTTCCCTAGGAAGCAAGCGCGACCCATCTAAGGAGAAGCACCGAGGGTGCGGAGAAGGTTGTCCTTGACGCCCTCGATCTCGTTCTCGTCCATGTTGAGGAAGTTGATCTAACCAGAAAGTCGAGTTAGCAAACACAGCCTCAAGCGAAGAGCTGAAAAAGAAAGGGGGCCAGCCGCAATCAGCCCCCCCCTCGCCAGCGCAGACTCACCACGTCATCCCCCGCACCCGCATTCCCAAACAACACCGCCTCGCTCAAGCTCCCCGCAATCCCCTTCTTGACCCTCTCCTCCCACACCCCCTCCCAGCTCCACTCGCCAGGCCGCCTCGCCGACCCCTGTCCCAGCCCCTCCCCTCGGGCAACACCACCACCACCACCCCCGCCGGCCCCCTCCAGCTTGCGCACCTCCCCGCGCACATCCACGGCAGGCGCCCTCCCGCGCTGCCGCTGCCGCGACCGCCAGGCGTGCCACGCGCCCGGGTTCCCGGCCGCCTCGAGGGGCACGGCGTCGAGGACGGCGGCGTCGTCGAACGCGCCGGCCACGTAGCGCAGGACGTCGTGCGTCGACACGTCCGGCCGCCGCCTCCCGCCCGCCGCCGTCTGCGCGAAGCCGACGGTGCCGCCCGGGGTGGTGGCCGCGACGGAGGAGGACCCCGCCGGGGTGCTGGTGGCGGTGGTGGTTGTGCTGCGCGGGGTGGTGTCTCTGCTTCCGGAGGCTGCTGTCGGCCGGCGCGACGATGGCGGCGGCGTCGTGGCCTCCCGGTGCTGCTGGCTGCTGGTCTGGCGGCTACGGCTGGCGCGGCCGAACCAGTGCGGGAAGCCGTGCCGGAGGCTGAAGCCGCCCGGCGGGAGGCGCTCCTCGTCGGTGGCGCTCACGGTGCCGTTGTCCTGGATGTCGGTGGTGTACATGTAGGTGGTGAGCGGTGTGATCAGGGGGTGGAAGATGTCGGTGGAGAAGGTCACCAGGGGCGGCAGGCTCGGGTACGTGTCCGGGAAGGATATCTGGAAGCGCAATATCGCGTTTGCGTAGGGACCTGGAACTTCCCCAGGTCAGCCAGCCATCCCGCACAAGCTTCCCAGGCGGGAGAGAGATGGGATCGGAGAGTGTGGCATCAAACTGTACCCTTGCGCACGAATATGACTCCAGACCATAGGGTTGGGTCTCCCGGGGTCAGACTGACGAATACGCCTTCGGGGCATGCTTGCTTCAGCCCAGTGCTGCCCACGTCGAATTAGTAGCTATCCAGGGAATCTGTTTGCAACAGGGTTCCAAGCGTACAATTCAGCAAGAAGATGCTGGCGCTTCATGGAGGGCAGCCTGCCCGTTTTGAGCGAAGCCATGCTGCTGCGGGTTCAATCTCATCTACCTGTTTAGGTCATATGTTCGGTAGGCACCTACGTCGAAGGTTGAGGAAGCTGAGACGCGAAGCCATTCGCGATTCATGCGATAAGGAAACCAAGGGTTAGGGTTGCTCTTTTATCGGCGCAGCGCTGGCTTTTATTACCCCTCTAAACACCATGGCGGGGTAAGCAGGTATCAGTATCAGGCAATGGGAATATTGAGATGGAACCCAAGGCGAAAGGCTCCAATACATTCCAGGTCTCCAGGTCTAATCACCCTTGGTGGACATGGAGGTAACTATCTGTGTATGTAATGGCGGAACCGGTCTATCTAGCTATTTACTCACATAGAGATGCCCAAGAGTAAGGGTAGTGGATATCCAATCTACCAGCTTGATGGTAAAAAAAAGTTACGATGCCAAAGAACGATGCTTGACTTGAAAAAGTCAAAAGACAAAACATGACGCGGGGGACTGCCAACCGCGACACACCGCTTCACTTGGAGCCCAGCCTCGTCTCGATCTTGGACTTCTCCTGTTCTCTGATCTCCGCCAGCTCATCCTTGGAGGCGTCGTATCGGGCCGAGACCTGGTTGAACGGGTTCTCTGGGCTCCTCTCAAACTCCTTCTTGATCTTCTCCTTCTTCTGGTTGAGCCTCAGCCCGTCACCTGTTCCGTCCGCCTGCATCTCGCCCAGGCGCCGCTCCTCAAACTGCGCGTATGCAGCCTTGAACCGCCTCTCGGGGTGCTTGTCGATCTTCGCGTCGCCGGACGAGGCTGTCAGCGACAAGGCGTCCAAGGCGTTGTCTATGCCCGACGCGTTCAGCGACCCGAGTGGCTGGTCGTCGTCGCCGCCCAGCTGCGACAGGTCCAGCGCCCGCGTCTTCTTGACCGCCGTTTTGCTGTTCTTCGCCTGCGTGCGGGCCCCGCGCAGGCTGGTCTCCTCCTCGGCCAGTAGGGCGTCCCGCTCGGCCTTCTTCCGAGCCTGATCGGCCTTCTTCGAGGCCTCTGCTTCCCTGTTTGCCCGTCGTTAGCCGCTGTCCTCCTGTGTCATGGTTCCAACCATCGCGCCGGGCGTTTCATGCAGTGCAAGGCAGGGCGACCCTGTGGTTTGGACGTTGCAAAGTGGCAAGGGGGGGTGCATGTCCGGGCTGTGAGACATGTTGCTTCCCAAGTCGCACAGCGGCTGGCCCGCAGCATGGACAGAGGAGGGAGATGGGTAGCTGCACTGCGGCGTTGCGCTGCTGTGCGGGTCCGGGTGAGGCATCCGGGAGGAGGAGGGTAGGGTGGACAGGGTTGACAGAGAGCTAAAGACACAAGGGTAAGGGGGGCCAACTTACTTCCTGGCGTTGTTCTTCGTCCCCTTTTGCCACTTTGACTCCTCATCCTGGCGCATCTTCGCGTCCTCGGCCGCGGCCTTCTGGGCGGCAGATTCGGCCTTGCGGGCCATCCCGGCCTCCTTCTTGCTGTCTAGGAACGATCCTTTCGTTTTCCCCATGGTTGGTGCAGCTGTGTTTGGTCGCCTGATATTTTTAACGTTGCTTCAAGGGAACCCTGCGGTTCTGTCGGTGAGAGACGGGATTCGCGGGTTTCGATGGATGGAATAAAATCGATGGCCGGTTGGGTGGGGGTCGGAAGACGGACGTGTCCGGTGAATATTGGATTGTCGCAAAGCTTTGTTGATGTGGGTGGTGTGTACTGTGTGCGTCAAGGCAGCCAAGTTGGAAGTGGCGGTGTTGCTTGGTACCTCTCTTCGTACCTGCCTAAGGTTATGGGGATAGGTAGTAGGTAGGTAGTAGCTTCCTTGGGTATCACTGTGGGGGAAAATGAGAAAGCCCGGGATGACGCATCAATTGTCGGTCGCGGCGGGACGGATTTGCTTCGCCGGAACCGCCAATCGGAGCCTGCCCACAGCTCCCGGCTTACCTACACAGAAGTTTGGCCCCGAAATAGGTCAACATATAATTACAACTTGTGCAGAGAAGCCAGAAGATCATATGGATACCTAGGTAGGTATCCCCCCTCGAGCCTGATGCAGCCCAGAATAGCAAAAGGAATGCGTCGCATGAACCGGGGTCATCCCCTTCAGGCTGCCAACCCGGCCAATATTGCTGACGGACCACTCCGGCCCTCTAAACATAGTCGTACCGGATTGGCGAACTGCTTGCCCGGCCGGGTGTGAACACCATGGATGTATCCGCCGCCACGTAACATGACCTTTCTTCTTCTGACCGCAGGTATGGAAGGATGGATGGAGCTGCTGTTCCGGGGGTATTTCCGAGTCTTGTAGCACGCGCCTCTCTGGTGCGACGCGTGCATACCCCCTTGTTACCCCGTCGCCCATCAAAGCCGAAGAAATTAATAACAAAAATAGTAATTATCTAGGTTGGCCTGGTATCCGTACATGGTCTCTTCGCCTGTGTATCCCTGCAGCGCCAACAGCGCGGTTGTGCAACATCAGGCCTGGACCCCTCCTTGGTTGTTGATCTGGATGGTTCTGGTCCGCCTGCTTCTGGGAGACGTTCCCACTGGCCCCTCAGCCGCCAGCGCACACACGGGGTGCTAGAGTGTGGTGCCACAGAGCGGATGTGGTTCTTGAGCCTAAGACCATTCACCAGTTGAGCCATTTATTTATACGGCATTAGACACCAGGAGCCCTGGAATGGCGTTGACGGCGCTGTTGAGAGCACCAATCATGCTCACCGCCTGGAATAAGCCTCAGATGACGTATCTCGCGGGGCCGTGCTGAAAGGAAGGGCCTAGATCTCCAACCCCCGCCTGGATGAGCCCGTGGGAGACATCCTCGAAAGGCCCGGATAGACAGACTATTATGCGCCGCGACGGTTAGCTCACCGTCTCGAAAGCTTGATTCCTCTGCGAGTGACGCCCTCCCCTAATCGTGCGTGCCCTCTTCTTATCTCGGCCATTGACGAGACTCTACCTTCTCCAGTCATGCAACTCTGCGATGCCTCGGATTCGCTAACCAAATGTCTAGATTGGTGGCACCATTTATCCTCCGCGCAACGTCGTCCAACAAGCCCGTCTTGTTGCGAAAATGGACCCGTACATCCATATTGGGATTCGGATTCGTGATCTATCGCCGAAATGGGCGAGCGGCAGGCGATACAATGGGGGGAGCTGCAGCCGTGGATCAACCAAGAACCTGGACGATAACTACGCCGCAGATGGTGACGAGACTATTAGCAATCTCGAGCTAGGTAGTTGGTCGAGGTAAATTCTGCAGTGATATGCCACCGCCGCTCGACGCGTGACCAAAGCCACTCGACGGCAGTGTAGATACATATATCTTACTGCAGAGGGAGCCAAGACAGGTCTAGTCTCATTCAACGTCCCAACCAGGTCGCTTGGCCACTGTGAGAAAACGACCCTCTTACCACAGTTAGACCTCTCGTGACCGAAGAGTCTCGCCCACCGCGGTCTCAGTAACACGCTGCGTCGTACAAATCACACGCAAGGTTAATCGCGACGGGCCTGGTGTAGAATGCAAGAGCGTAGATCAGCCAGCCTTCCTCGACGCAACCTGATGCGGACCGAGAGAGTTTGCGTTGCGAGCCGAGATTATAACTGATAGGTCACATTGACTCTCCTGTCGGCGAGGGAGCGAGTGGAAATTGGACTGCACTCAAGGCCACCACTTGGTCAACAGAACGGAGCAAGCCACCCGTTTGAGCAAATGACAAACCGATGCCACAGGCCATTGGCTTGAGATCGCTGCGAGGGAAGGGGGGGGGGGGGGGGGGGGGGGGGGTGTGGGCATAACCCGGAATTGACCGTGCCTATACACAACCGGGTAAAACAATCCAAAAAAAAAAAAAGCCGCCCCGCCCCGGCCCAGGGT